AACAAATTGGTCAAATGCCCCCCCCCCCCCCCCCGCTGTCGCTTGATCCATAGGTCATGTTATCTATCATATATCCTGTTACAATTGAGTAATTTGTATAATTGTCATCGAAGGGAAATCCGATGGAATATCATTCAAAAATAGAAAATCACTATCTGGAAGATGGATGTCTTATGCTTATAATCTTACTTTAATAAAAAGGAAAAAAACTGATAAGAATCTTGTTAGAAATATTCAAGGTTATATTAGTAGATCAAAAGTCGGTACTATATTTTATTTTACCCACCAAGATCAATCTCGGATTATATAGTTTGAAATAATCCAATAACTATAAAGAAACGAAATTTCTTTCTTTCTTTTTCTACCTAATTGTAACGGTAAACAGCAGATGTTGCTTATCATCAATTTCGATGCAAGGACGTCTATTGGACTACATCGTATCGCCAGAATGTGACTACTTCACACATGTAAGATAGATTTATATACGAAAAAAAGAACAAGAAAGAGAATGAGCAATGGAAAAAGATCAGCAGAACAAAGGAGAAGCGAATGTGTATAGAGGAGGTCAGAAAAGAAAAAGTCAAGAGGCAATCGTTATCATTACATGAGTACGATTAGATATAGTTGTATCATAAAAAAAGGAAAAAAAAGAATTATATCAAACTAGTCATCCAACGACAAATGCCATGATTACTGAACGACTAAATAAAACCCATTAGTTTTTGTAGTTTTATTGAAAAATACGTTTCTTCGTTTTGTCTAATCCAGTTTCACATGTATAGAAGGTTGTTCGTGTGATTATCTGAGTGTGTCACGTGGCTTTTATTCTGCTCTATCTTGTTCCGACTAAGGCAGATAAGTGCATGTCTGTGAGAGAAATTGCATCATCAAAAGAAAAGAACTACCGAATGAAGTAGAAACATGCATCATTCTTATCACTACGAGCAATTTGATCTTTGGGACATTTTAAAATGCAAATTTCATCATGTAAGGTAGATTTAATTTATTTGTTTTGCTCGTTCATGTTGAAAAGAAAAAATCATATCTGCCAGTTTGTTTTATTATTCAGTTTACATCGTAAAACAGACAATAGTAATTTAAAATAAGGCCTAGTTATGTTTCTTCTTTCCATATAATTGTTCTAAAAACAAGCCGACAAACACCAATGCAGTTCCGAGCATCTGTTGTTTGGTTATGGCATTACCAAAGATAATTATCGAACACAGAATGGTAAAAAATTTCCGTGTCGTTGTAAATATTGAACATGTCAATGGACCGAACCATTCAATGGTAAGAAAGATAAAATTCTAAAATAGGGCGTTTTTTTATGTTTCAGAATCAAAATTTCATTTAGTCAACTTACTTGACCAACAGCGCCAGCAAGACCGAGTAAAAACATGTCGACAATAACATGAGGATAACGTGTGAGAAAAATATATAAACCAAAAATTTCACCTGTTACTAAAATGCCAATAGATGCCCACAGACATGACCAAATATTCATAGAATACATCATATGATAAGCTTGAACTCTATATTTATCGCGGATTTTATCTTGTATACCACCTGTAAGACCATCGAATACGAGTGAAACGAACTGTAAAAGTAGAAGAAAAAAAAGATTTTCTTTTCGATCATGTTCAAATGAGAGTTCTCACGGCTCTACTTCGAAATATTGGATTAAGCGAAAATTTCGTAATTCGAAAACGATGTTTTCTCATAATGACTTACTAAAAGAAATTCGCCAATACCAATTAAATCTCCTGTATCTACTGTATTTGTCTCTTTTGGTTTCTTATACATAAACAAAACCACGCCTAGAATATTCAAATTAAATTTTATTCATATGGCTCAAAGAAAACTTTTTCTCTCACCCATAACAATCAATGAAACATAAACGTATTTCATTAGTGGATATCGTTTTCTTGCAACTAGCACACCCAAAAGCATCACAGGTACAGGTTTAACCGATTTTCCCAGAACCTTTGAATAAAAAAAGCATTCATTAACAGCTTAAGAGAAAAATTTCCTTATACCTGCATAGGATAGCTAACAAATTCTAAAGCAAAATTACTTGCAAGCATTGCAAATAAATATGTAAACGCAGAGAATGCATACATTCTTGACGGTGTCGAATCTTGAGGAGTTTTTCGTAGAACAAGTATCGTTTTCGATACAACCGCATTAAAAATACATTGAAAAAGAACCAAAGATATAATGTAAGTAAATTTATCGTGCTCTCCGTATTTTCCTTTGACTCTATAGAATAGAAAAATCAGTTTTTCATTGAAATAATCTTAGTTCAAATTTTACATTGATTCTTGAATAATTCCAAATAAAAGATATGCAACGAATATTCCAAGAAAAGAGAAAACCAATTTCATTGAATGAGAGCTTAATATAGATTTTATTTTATTATGATGATGATGATGATGAGAGTGATGATGATGTGATTCGGGCTCTTGCATAGTTTCAACCATTTTTTAAATCAAGACTAAAATATAATGCTCGTTTTCGTGGTAATTGGTAACACTACACACAGTGTTCCGAATGAAATTCTGACACACTTTGTTGAACGTAGAGATAGACGTATGTTATTTAATCTAGAAATAAGTATGAATTAATATCGAAACAGACTTTCTTTTATCAAAAGCAAGGTGTTCATTAATTAACAGTATCAGCTATAATTTAGCAAGGGTTTTTATAGATTTTGATTCTGTTGATTACAATTGCTGTTAGGAACACTGAGTACACGTGTTAAAACTTGTCATATCACCGACTGGAAAGAGGAAGAAGCAATCGAAAACGAGAGGTACTGGGACATCTACAGAAAAAAAGAAAGAAAGGTTAATGATTAAGTTAAATGGCTGAGGGAATGATGATTATATATATATATTTTTTTATTATAATTTAATTTGTATAGTGTTCCATGTCGGCAGCCATGGATCAAGTTGTGAAAAAAGCTAAGGATAGTTTTGGGCAAATGTTTGATAAAAGTCTACATGATCTTGTCCGTGGAATTCGAAATCATAAAGATAATGAAGTAGGACTTTTGGGAAAGTGAACGAAGGCTTTTCATTAAAAATTAATATTTTCTAGGCGAAATATATCAATGAAGCTATGGATGAAATTAAACAAGAGCTTAAACAAGAAAATGCAGCGATGAAAGCAAATGCTGTAACTAAATTACTTTATGTATGAAAATAGAATTATTGTTATTTATGTTTTTCTCTATGAACATTTTCCGTGCATTTTTTAAATAGCTTCAAATGCTCGGTTATGATATATCATGGAGTGCGTTTAACATAATTGAAGTAATGAGCTCAAATAAATTCACGTTTAAAGTAAGTCTATATGGTTTTATTCTTAAATAGAAATCAGTTTTAAACTGTAAAAGATTTTTTCTTCGTTATTGAGAATTTGATTAGATAATGTAATTTGTATCAATGGTTTCTTTTTATACAGTTCGATACTTTTGATAGGCTTTAATAAATACATGGAGTCATCGGCAAAAAGGCATGAGCGTATCATCTAACTATGTCAATCGTTTATTAGAAACTAGAATGTCGAAACACATAGGTTCTCTCAACAAAAATCACCAAATGCAATTTTTATCTCGAAGCTCTATATGAATGAATCTCTTTTCGAGACTAGAATTTAATAGTTCCTGTTTGTATCTATACGATTATTTTTTGCAAATAAAAACGACGTACATCGTAACACATTTTCCATCAAGTCCATAGCCATTCGTGCTCGACTAGGTTTCTAATGAAGCGTTTTAGAATGATTTTCCATGTTGAAATCAGACTAAATTCTTGCATGACGTTCACATTCTGCTGTCTCATTCCAAAACGTTTATTCGAGAAGAAATTTCTCAGGAATATTTACTCGTTAGCATTTTATTTTTCGTCACAATCAAATCACATGAAGTCTTGTTGTGTTATCTCTATGTATTTAAGTTTAGTTGTTATGTACATAGAATAATCTCGATATGGAGCAGCTTATAAGTACTTGATCGAGATCAAAAGCGATGTAAATAGATGAGTACGCATGTGTATTCTTCGATGATGCTAATACAACTCTGTTTCTGTCAAAAAATTCAACATTTTAAGATTGCACTTGCCTGTAAGAATTAATTTTTAATCATCAAGACTTACCAATCAAACGTATGTTATTAAGCAAAAGGATTGTTTGTGTGTATATTATAATAGACTCGTTGAATCTTATCTATTTTTTATTGCGTTGGATTATTGTTAATCTGTAGAATCGATGATTGATTTATTGGAACATAGTTTGAATTTTTTGTTTTTTAGCGTATTGGTTATCTAGCTGCGTCACAATGCTTTCACGACGGAACCGATGTTCTTATGTTAACTACAAATATGATTCGAAAGGTGAAGTTTATTTTTCTGTTTTCTATCGTATTCACAATAGAAAAAACAAATTTTAGGATCTAACTAGCTCGTCCATGTATGAAGCCGGAATAGCTATGAGTGGTCTTTCATGTTTTATAAATGGTGATCTTGCACGTGATTTAGCTAATGACATAATGACTCTTGTAAGAAATAAATTTCTATTTTTTTGTTTTTTTAAAAACAAAAATTGTTTAGATGTCATCAACCAAACCTTACATTCGTAGACGAGCTGTTCTCCTTCTATATAAAGTATTTCTTAACAATCCTGAAGCTCTCAAACCTGCATTTCCGCGTCTAAAAGAAAAACTCGAAGATCCCGATCCTGGTGTACAATCAGCTGCTGTGAATGTCGTTTGTGAATTAGCGAGACGTAACCCTAAAAATTATCTATCCTTAGCTCCGATATTTTTTCGCCTTATGACAACGTCGACTAACAATTGGGTGCTTATTAAAATAATCAAATTGGTAAATCAAAACTTATTCCGACATTTTTCTTGCTAACAAATTTTTCATTTCATCAGTTTGGTGCATTGACACCATTAGAACCTCGATTAGGCAAAAAATTAATAGAACCATTGACAAATTTAATTCATAGTACATCAGCCATGTCTCTTCTATATGAATGTATCAATACTGTGGTTGCTGGTAGATAATAAAAAGCATACAAAAAAAAGACGAAAATTTTGATTCGTTTTCTGTTATTTAAGTTCTTGTTTCGATTTCATCTGGTTTACCAAATCATAATGCTTCCATTCAATTATGTGTACAAAAACTGCGAATACTTATTGAAGATACCGATCAGAATTGTATGAAATAAATCTCATCTTTGAAAAAACAACAACAACAGGAATTCGCTTGATTATTCTTTAGTGAAATATCTTGGTTTACTGGCAATGTCGAAAATCTTGCAAACACATCCAAAAACTGTTCAAGCACATAATGATCTGATACTGCAATGTCTTGACGATAAAGATGAATCGATTCGTTTGCGTGCACTTGACCTTCTGACCGGCATGGTAAGAGAAGAGAATACGAAATTTTGATTTTCACTTTTTTCTCGTTCAGGTAACAAGGAAAAATCTCATGGATATCGTACATAAACTGATGGTGCATATGGACAAATCCGAAGGATCACATTATCGAGATGAATTACTTTCAAAAATAATTGAAATATGCAGCCAAAGCGATTATCAACATATAACCAATTTTGAATGGTTTGAATATTTATATTTGTTTCATGTTTTATTATTAAAACGTCTTGTTTATTCCAATAGGTACATTAGTATTTTGGTTGAATTAACACGCCTTGAAGGTACAAAACATGGTAATCTCATCGCTCTTCAAATGCTCGATGTTGCCGTCCGTGTCGAATCGATTCGGCCATTTGCTTGTAACCAAATGGTAAAACAAAAACGTGTTTAGAAATTAGATTACGGAAAGTTTTGAATATTATACATTTCAGGCGATACTTCTTGAAAATGCTCATCTGTTTATTCATGGATCAAAAACTACGACAGTCGCCGAAGCTCTATACGCTGCTGCGTGGATTTGTGGTGAATTTTGTTCGTAAGTAGATCAAATGACACTTAAACGTTGAGCCAATTTTGTTTTGTATAGTCATTTAAAAGAACCACAAAAAACTCTTGAATCGATGCTTAATACGAAAATTACACTATTTCCGGGACATATTCAATCGGTTTATTATCAGAATATGTTAAAAATCATAACATACATAATTCAATCGTTCGATAACGAAGAACTGCTAACGAAACAACTTCTTACAACATCTATTGAAAAAATGTCGGTATTTTTATCAAGTGGTGATGTTGAAGCGCAAGAACGAGTAGGCTCCTTTTTCTTTTTGGATTTTATCTAAACATGAAATTGAATTATTAATTTAGGCGAGTGTTAGTTTAAACATTCTTAAAACAGCATTGAAATTGATGGAAAAATCGGAGTTTAATTTTAATGAATTTTCAGTATTGTTTGAAGGAGTTCTGAATCCAGTTGCTACGAAAGCTCAACGAAAAGTTGCCATACCAAATGGGTAAGAGAAAATGTATTGAAGAAATTAAGTTTCCTACCGGATTTTGTTATAGATTGGATTTGGATGCTTGGATAAATGATCCGCCGTCGGAAAGCGAAGATGAATCATCATCGACAAATACACGTTATGATAGTAAAGGTTTATTTGATGGTAATGAAGGAGACAACAACAATTCCAATGCATATTCGGGTGATAAATATAGTTATCAAAAAGCCAATCATTACGCTGAATTGACTACGGAAGAATTGGAAAAACAACGAGAATCTAGAAAACAAAGTGAAAAAATGAATCCATTCTATTTGAAAGATACGAAAAAACCAAAATCGACACAACAGGTATGAAAAAGATTAGATTTTATCTTTTCAGCGCTATAGAGTATAGTTTAAAATGGCAACATTTACGACGGGCATGAACTAAAAAAGAACATTGTTGAGTGGTTCTCCTGAATTTTTACTGGAACACGTTATTTCTCAGATGAAGTGTAGAGAAACTTTCAACATCAAAAATTGTTCTCTTTCAATAACTATTATGAACTCTTCCTCGGTTATAACGCAAAAGCAGTTTTTGAATTTATCTTTAATATTGTAGACTGAAACATCTTCGGATACGGTCAATGGTAACGAACGGGTTAAAGCAGCAATACGTGAAGGTATGAATCCTGCTAGTTTGCCCGTATCATTGTCCGATCAATTGTATCGTCAATCGAAAATTGAAGAAGAAGATCGACGATTAAAGAAAAAATCGAAAATTGAAGGTGGCTCATCGAAAAAAGGAAAGAAATCTTCGAAGAAGTCGGACCCAGCAGCAACAGCAGCTGACGATAATGATGACGATGATGTTTATCCAACTGTTCAAGTAAAACGTGGTGGTGAATTACCTGATGGTGTAACCGAAAGTGGAAATGAAGATCACGATGATGATGATACATCTAGAGGAAAGAATAAGAAAATTGATCCTCATCGAGCACTCAATATTGATTTAAATGAAAAACCTATCCAATCAATTCCTACACCGCCGCCGCCTCCTCCTCCTCCTCCTCCTCCTGTAATATCTCAAGCCAAAGAACCATCTCCTGAAAAAGTTAAAACGGCTCCTGAAAAGACAAAAAAATCCAAGAAAAAGAAAACAACTGAAAAGCAAGACGAAGCATCGACGTCGACATCGAAACAAAAACATCACGATTATAAACAAGTAGAATCGCCAGTTCATCAAGAAGAAGAAAACCGTCCAACACCGCCTCCTCCTGCCCCTGTTACCCAAGAAAAACCGAAGAAAAAGAAAGTTAAAGAAAAAAAAGTTGTATCAGAAATAGCAACAAAAACAGATACTCCTGCGCCACTTCTATTAGACATCATGAGTGATGATATTCATTCAACGAATCAATCGGAAAAACAACAAAACGAGCAAGACGGTTACAGAATAGCTGCTCAATCTGATGATTTGACAATAGTAAGTTAATTACAAATTGAAAACTCACGAGAAACTATTGCAAATCGCTAATAACCTGTTTGACAGATTAGATAATTAAATGAATTTAGTGAAACAAAAAAGAAAATCCAAATTGCGATTCAAATATTCTCCTATACATTCAACCATTCAAAATAAAAGTCAATAACGCATAATGTCAGACTTGTTAGGTGATGATCTGAGTAGATATGTGCAAAATCAGTCCTACTCTCAACCATCGCGAAACATCGCATTGCGCTGTGTAAAACTTCTACATCACTCACGTAATCTCTTCTCTTTTTTTCTTTAGGAATGTTCAATTAATCCGAGCCTATCCATAGCTCAAATTGATGTAACATTTCTTCTAAAAAATCGAACACCGTTTATCATCGATAATGTTAGTATTCATGTGATCGATAGTATGAGTTCAAAACTATCAAATACAACAAGTGCAAATATAATATCATTTCCATCCACAAGTCTTTTTCCTTATTCGCAAAATTATGTTCACATTTACTTTTCTATTCATGCAATATCATTTTCTCAAAAATTAAAAACAACATTAACCTATTCCATAAATGTATGTGAAAAACATATGTTTTCGTCTTTATGCTCTATATGTATTTCAGAAATCAAACGCACTCGAAACGGATAATATAGAATTTAAGCTCAATTTACCTTGTTCGCAGTATTTACGTCGGAAAGCGATCGATTCGTAAGATTTGTTTTTTTTTAAATTAAACTATTTAACAAATGTTGTGGTTTCAAGAACGGCGTTCGCTAATCTGATGACTTCTGGTACATTAACATGCCAATCGAATGTGCGCATACCATCATCAAATGGGGACTTCACATCGATTATTAATACACTTTGTCAATCGTATCGATTAACTGGTTAGACGATTAAAATGAAATAAATTTTTTCTTACATTGAAATTTTCATTTTAGCTGTCGATAAAATTAATTCAGCTGCGTCGTTATATGCAGAATCGGTTCTCGGACATCCAATAGCTCTTTTAATTAAATCAATAGTAATGTGAACTTGAGAGAGATTTCATTAAAATATAAAATTCGTTCTTTTCTAGAATTCTCGAAATGATCTTTCAATTGATGGCAAATCAACAGAAACACATTTTCTTTCGAATCTCATGGAAGAAATAAAAACATCTCTACTGAAATAATTTTTTTGTTTTTGTTTCTCTTTAGCTCATTTATTTATTTATTTTATTTTTATTCCGTGGACGACAGTATCTAGATAACGTGAAAACAGAAATAACAACTAACAAACAGTGATCTTTTGTTTATAAAAAAAAAAAAGAAAACAGAATTTCTCTGACGTATCAGATAGTGAAGTTATATTTGATCTTCTGACAAATGGAAAAAAAAAGTTATGTTTGTTTTCTGTTTTATTCTTAACGATTATAGTCAATTCTTTTGTGCATGTATGTAATCTGTTATTTTTTATTTGCTATAGCTCGAACATTATATATAAAAAGCACAAATATCAATGGCAAACTATTTAATCGCTCTCTAATTTTATTTCACGAAAGACGACTATTCATGACATGAGGCGTGCAGTGATCTACTGTAAATTGATTAGACGATGTTGATTGAAGCCTGAAAATTAGAATCTGTGCATCTGTGAAGGAAAATGCCGCAAGGTAGAAATGATGGGTAGGATCAAAAAGAGGTGATTGATTTCTCCTAAATTGCCACGACAAATTATCCTTCGAGGACAACTTTTGTTAAATTTGTATTCTATTATCAAAAATACCCAACAGAATTCGAAATCGCATGAAAATTAATTTTTATTGAAGTTCACAATTTTATTCATCGTAGATTTTTTTATCAGAACTGAGATTTTTGATGGAATGTAATTCTATGAAAAGCCAATAGTGTGCTTTGCTGCAAGCGTGAAGTCTACTAAGTATATCGAAAGAGAAATCAGATAAACTACAATTGTTGCCCTTGAATTTTTATTATTTTGCGAATAAAGCAGCACTAAGCTCTCTAATGAAAAGTCGAATCCTATAAGATATCTTGTTAATAATAAGCAATGCTCGTTTGAATAAATTATCCATGTTGATTTTCAAAGTGCTTCACATGAATTTTGATCCTGCCTACTGTAACCGCAATACATCAAACGTTATTTCTAGTCACAATAGCAGATTAAATATTTGTTCAAAAAAGATACGACTGCATTAAATTTCATTTCGGGTTTTATTTTCAGTAAACAAAAACAAACAGCCAGCTTTTTATTTATACGATGAATTTAAAATACAAAAAAGTAATTGACATTTGAAATAAATATTTTCTTTTTTTTCAAAATGCAAAAGACTGTGTTCCTAAGGTTTCCACATGCGACTATTTGTGGCATGAGTATGCTGTAGTTTTAATTGATCCCTTACAATTTCATTATTACAATTGATACATAAATAAGGAAAAAGATTTTTTAGTTCGTATTGTGTTACCAATATCATGCGCGGTTCTTTCATGCAACGCGTACATGCTCGGTCTTGAACCAGTGAGTTAGTTCTTGGAAATACAAAACTATTTTGTTTAATTACTTGAACAGGAATCGCTTCGACTTTCGTCGGTGTTGTAGACGGAGAACATTTCGTGAATGTAGACGAACGATTTTCAACGTTAAAGACAGCGACTTGATCGTTTGAATCATATTCTGAGAATGATAGAACTGTAGTTTTCGAATTCTTCTTTGAACTCGCGACTGGCTCATATTTTACAATTTCATATTTATTATCATTGCTAACAGTACCTTGTTCGATATAAATTCGTCGATAGATAAAATATGTTAATAAATATAATGAACAAAATAAAATAAATAGCACCGCCGAACACATTTGTATGCTTTGAAAAATTCTTTTCATTGTCATATTTGTCAGGAAATAGTCCGGCCATGTTATATTAAGTGGCCAACCTGTTATTGTTGTCTTGTATGTTGAATTAACTTGATAGGTAACTTGAGCATTATTACAATTCAAAGCAAAGCATCGCGTTGGGTCGACAATAACAAAAATATCATAAACAATCAATACCAAACATAATACAATCATAACAAGACATAGCGTTCTTGCAATACGAAGAAATAATAATTGTGGTTTCCAAGCTAAGAAAAAAATAAACGCTTGGAAATTTGGCGTTCAAAATTTTAGGTTTTTCAAAATTAAAATACTGCGTTCTGTGCGATTCAAATTTCTTATTCAATGTTTCGAGTTTATTTCGAAATAGTTTTCCGTTAATCATTCTTCTACAATGAGATTGAGAGATTTATATTAAGTGCAAACTTTCAAATGATCTCAACAGGTATTAAAATGTATTCTGCGCGCGTTTATTTTTGTTTCTTGCTTTCCTAAACAGTGTCTTTCTTGAGGCATTCGTAAAATAGGAAATAATTGTTCGATGTGCTATTATTTTTACTGTCTCCTCTTTATTAACGCAGAAGAAGAAAAAAAACGACTAGAAATTTATGCACTAGTTAAGCAATATGTACTACTTCTTATTTTAAACTTACCAGTAATCAGAACAAAACTGGAACAGCTTAGTAGAGGTAAAAAAATAATAAAACCTCCAAATGCTGTTGATCGATATTCATCATAAATCGTATGTCCTATTTCCATAGCTAGTATAGATAAACTTAGAAAACTAAGTATTACACCAAGAACAACGATCCAAATATAAGGCCAATTAAGATGCAAACCGTACTGGTTGAAAGTAACATTTTTAGTGGGTCTGTCGGGTTTAAACGACATTTCACGCGATTGGAATTAAACTGAACTGTATTGGGGTATTTGATTCTTTTTACTGGCACTTGTGACACGTAAAGCAACTTCAATTTTTCAATGGTTGTTTTTATTATTTTAATGCGTTGTAGGAAAGAGAAAAGACAAGTCGTCTTTTAATTTTCTTTCCGAAAAAATAATAAAAAAAAATGAGACCAACCAGGCTTTCATCAAATTTATGACTTTTGTTTCATGTCGCACACGTTACAAAGAAAAATAAGTATTTAAATAGATTTTTAAGGCTACTTTTGATGACAATCTTAACGAAGAAAAGAAGGATATTTTCGTGTGTGTGTGTATCTTACTCGATTAATTTGCTCCTATCGAATATATAACAGACGGCAAAATTGCTTTTTGTTTTGTGATAAATGATCAACAAATATTTCTTTTCAGAATAAAATCATTGACGGTTAATTTGAAACAATCACTCCGAATCATTCTATTGAGTGAAATTGTATGGAGACGTTTGGGTATTATTTTTAAAGTGGATGTGAAATTTTTGAAAACTGAATTCAATGTAATACTTCTTGCAGACAAACTTTTGTTTTACTACGTTATTAAAGAGTGACAAGTTCTTCTGTTAGTTTTCAAAGAATTTTTCTATAATTTATTATAATTCAAACAAAAATATGAGCAGAGAAGATAACGTAATAAATGATCCACAAGATCGTCGCACAACAGTTTAGGGACGCATGCAGAAATTAAAGTCTTCATGCCAGGTAAATGACTTTGTTTTTTTTAAATAGATTTGCCTCTGATGCCAGTACATAATTTCTTGACATGTATGGAGCAGGGTATTATAACACATGTTACCAACGAGAATAAAAAGACAACAAAGTAAGATTCGATAAGATGAAAAATACTGTAAAAGGCAACGATGCAACAACTGTGGTCACACTCGCCTTCGCACGCAAAGATGTTGTCCAGCTTCTTTATTCATTGTTTATTTAACCATACTTTATGATATAGACTTATGATTTTCTATTTGGGCTTGTTGAAGGAGAACTGAAAAGTTACAAAAAACTATATAATATCATCAGTGAGCCATTTATTAAATAAAAATATGTAGCTGAGAATGATCCGATATTGTTTTTTTTACTGCAAATATTTCATATTGATATCGGCAAATATAAATACAATAGAGTTTTTAGACTGGTCACAACTCATTCGGAGAATAAACATCGATATTGTTTTCTGAATTGGACATCAACACTACCATACTGTTACTTTCTTCATTTTTTCTTAGGCGTCGTCGTTTCGAATGCCAATAACCATAGGAAAAATAAAAGATTTGACCTAAAATTGTCCATGCAAGAAACCGAAAGGCTGTTGCTCTTGATACACCTTTCATAAGAAGCATACAAAGTAGAGAGCCGATGGTTGGAATCAGCCATCTTCCACAGGGCACTTCAAATCCTCGAGGCATATCTTTATGTGTAAAACGCATCTATGAAGATAAATTTTCCTATCATCGAACCGCGAAACAAATCTATGAAACCTACTACTATGACTGAAACATGCACAAAAATATACATGATTAGGGCACCGATTGCGGATGTCTCGCCAAGAATATCCACTGGGAAAAAGCCCGAGACAACAGCACAAAAAATGCCTAAAATGTAAGAATAATTGTACCCTGTAAATTAAATAGAAACAATAATCACCGCTAATCAATGTCGAGATCCACGGAGTAACCCTCGTCGGATGAAGTTTACAAAACAATGGTGGTAATAAACCATCATGAGCCATCGCATAAAATATTCGCGTCTGCGAAAGCATCGCCGTCATTCCTACAGTTGTTAGACTAGCAATTCCACCTAAAGTCATAACAATTCGTAACCAAAGACCATAGGGTGTAGCTTGTCTATGAAAAATTTACATTGAATACGAGAAAGATTCTCCAAGAGATTAGTTATTACTTACAATGCTACAGTAAGTGGACTATCTGAATTTAATTGTTCGTATGAGACAAGTCCAACCATTACAGTACATATTCCCACATATAATAATAGTGAAATAATAGTTGATCCTATAAGTGCAATCGGTAGCGATCTCTCTGGTGATTTGACTTCCTGAGCTACTGTCGCAACTGAGTCAAAACCCACATAAGCAAAGAAAATATGAGTAGACGCTTGTAGCATTCCTGTTACTCCATATTTACTAAATGAACCTATAAAAGAGAATGATAATTATTCATGTTACTGATTCATAAAGTGGTCAATTTCTACTGGTGCCAGTAAGAGTACTGTCTAAAATACTGCTTTTGTAGTAGAGACATGCTTTAGTGCAAACCTAAAACCCTCTCAAATACTAGACTACAAATAGCAAAGCACAATTAAGTATGTCTTTTTTAGTAAAAAGTTTTTTTTCTTTCTAATGACATATCGATAGTTTAATTTAAACTTTTCTTCTATAAATAAATAGTTTTTACTAGGAAAGACCAAATAACTCGATTGTCTACACTACTTCACTGATTGGCGAAAACAGTTTGTGACTAGTCTGATATTTAATTTTTCATCCTGTTAGTATCCGCCTGAAAAAATATATCTGCTACAGATTATTGTAGTTGAGGCATTACTATTTCTAACGGAAACAGAACTGAATAGTTTAAGAGTGGCGAACATAAACATTGATTAATTGCCTACCTAGATTGGATGGAAAAAATGGCTCGTAGTTCTTCGGATTTACATATTTACAGCAGGCAAAGATAAATATTAAGATTATAATAACTTTAATGATAACCAATACCAGATTGGCTACCGCTGTTTCACGAATTCCAATAATAAGAATAATGGTGAAAGCAACGACGATGACCATCGCAGGCAGGTTAACAATTTGACCAGTAACAATGAAAACCTCAGTGGTTTCGTTCCAGCTCACTGGTGGCTGGACAAACATTCCTTTCGCACTATAACCAGACACGATATCAATGAAAAAAACAACATATTTACTCCAAGAGACAGACACTGTCAAGACAGCAAACAGGTAAATTAAGGCAGAGTTCCACCCGACAAACCAGGCTAGATATTCTGTAAACGAAAAAGTAAAAAGCTCTGAAAATCTTTTTACGACAGTAGTAATTGTATACCTCCCAAGGCTGAAACATAAAAAATGCAAGTGTTCCTTAATGAAAAACAAGAACATAATAATTCTCCTACCTGCATAAGTATAGGTGTAAGCGGATCCAGAAAGTGGCATCATTGTTCCTAATTCTGAAAGTGATAGAGCCGACAAAAAAGCAATAACACCAGTTAAAACAAATGAAACTATCACTGAAGGGCCAGCATAGTTTGAAGCAGCCGTTCCACTTAATACAAATATACCAGCACCTAAAAACAAACAGAATTCACAGCTGTTAAGCACATGTACTATTTTCAATCTCACTAACCAATCATAGTGCCCACACCAATTGCAAGTAAATGAAACCAATTTAACGTGCGCCTGAATTCTATCTGTGTATCGATTTCAGCTTGTAATACAACCATTGGCTTTCGTTCAGTTATTTGCTTGAAGATATGTTTGGTGGGCGAGAGTACTATTCTACCGACATGACCAATTGATCGAATCACTCCACGTTTATATTGAAACATAGGAGTAGGCATTGATAATATCAGATTGATACTGATTGTAGACTAATTTTGGCAAGGATAGGCTGTGTATGTGTGAGTCTATAATTGGTTAATAAAGCATAAGCATGCAAGAGAAGGAAAGTATAAATGACTCAGGAGAGCAGCGCTTTTAGGTTTTGAATAATTTATTTCTCTAGGGCAGAAAACTTGTTACGGCAAATTTGATAGAATCGACGTATACATATCAGGTAAAGTTCTCTACCATAGCTATCGAAAAGGTCACAAACTATTCATTTTTGTGCTGCATATTTTTTTACGAAATAAAGGCAGAAAAAGAAATCGCATCAGCTCGGAGTCAATTTTTTCGTTTTACATCTTCTACCAAGACAAATGTTGACGTACGTTGAGTTTTTGCACAATCGACAATTTATGCTTGTCCTAGGTGGCATCAGAGTTCGATATGAAATAGAAAAAAGTCTTGTTTTTGGAAATTATTCAATAATTGATGCTAATCAGAAAAAAAAATTTGATGTTACAAGTTATCTAGCCTTGAAAACCAAGTAGTAAAGGCATACGAATACTTCTCATGCTCACATTCGAAATCAGTATAGTCGATAACCTATAACCCGATGGCGTGCATCGAAAAACTTGGGCGCTCTCTTCGATAATTGAGGAGTGAAAATAGCGTGCCTACTGAAGTAAGTATGTATACAAAATAAGCGGAATAAAAAATGAGTTTTTGCTCGCATTGCGTTGGTTTTATAGTATGCCACATTTATTTTCATATGAGAAACAGTAAGGCGCCTGTGGGCAATTATATGTTTTTCTCGAGTAGGACTACAGTCAATTTATAATGTAAAATGGCATACCTGTTGAAAATGCAACTTTATTGAATACGGCTAATCGAGTACAATTTAGTTGATATATATTTCATGATATTTTTGTCGCAAATCTGATTATTTTTCGAGTAATGTCATGCGCTTTCTGATGAAAATTACAGTTCAATAGGCAATGTAATAGCTAATCATTACTTGCATAAGACTACGTATTATTTATGCAAAACGCTGTTAACAAATTATCGAAAGTATAATTACATAAAAAATCGTTCTTTATCGTATTCAATAGAGTACTTTTTGTTGATGGCAACTAATTATTTTATTTATTGTACAAATTTTTTCTTACAAAGAAGTGTTAGATCGAAATCCGTATCTAATGTAAATGTAAATTACACTTGCCCGCACACACATGTCTTCACTAATATATTCAATATCAAAGGCAATCAATCAGACTGAAATTCATCCATATGAAACATTATCAATTGAAGGCATTATTTGATGAAAATAGAGAGCAAAAGAGCAGCAATCAACTTTACTTGTTGAAAACGTTTCATGGCTATTTAGTGTATTGATATTCATGACATAGTAAATGCATGATATTTACGAACATGTTTGTCATACATATATATTAAGGAAGTATAAATGAGAATATTTTATAAGTTAATCTTTTATGAGTTCTTCCTAGCTTTAATTAATTCGTAAGCTGTAAAATAATGATCCCTATCGCCACCAACACACATGACTTTATGAGCCGCTTCATGCCAACAAGTGAATTCTGCCATAGTTTCTATTCGTTCGAAAACTTTAAAAATTGCCACATTCCACATATTTTACATGTGAATTCATACAAGACTAAGAAAATCATTGATATTTTTTTTAATTCAGCGATTTTTCCTATAGGAACAACTCATGTACATTAAAATAAAAATGTTAATTTAAAATAAATAAATGGCACGGTGCCACGTTTTCTATGCCGTAAATATCGTGTAAATACGATTTCCTCAACACATATGAAAGAAAAACAATTCTATTTCATTTATATCGATACGCTAAATAGACATGTGGGGTTTTCGCGAAGACCAGTTGATTGCTGATTTTTTTCTGTATGTTCATCATTCAAATTATTCTCAAAATTTCACCAAGATTTAAGGATAAAATTAAAGGTCTAACCTGAACCTATTGTAAATGCCACTGATAGTGAATAAAGATTAATTTGTAGAGTAAAACGGCTTCCAGAATAATTTTTTATTCATATCTGCATTTAATATGTTTTCATAGGATATATATATATATATATATATATCGAATGTTCTTGTTAAAAAAGAAATTCATAATGGTTGACTATTAACTAAAATAGTTGTTATCAAATTAATCATATCATTGGTGGATATTCTATCTATTGAGTACGACTGATCAGCAATAGTAGCCGATTTCTAGTAGAAGGTGACGAATAGAAATTTATTTGCTGTTACTACTTCAGTAACAATTGAGTTAGGAATCGTCGGTCTTTGCATTCACGTTTTTCTTGTTTTTTTTTAAATTCTATATAGCATTTAATGTAAAATTTCATGGTAAATATTGTTTTTGAAGAATCAATCAATCATGAAATCGAAGAGCAGTCATCGTTGAGTAATTACAAACTATGATTGATATAAATGAACTTCAATCTGATCGATTGAATATATCAGTCAAGAGATCGTTTTGTACAGGAGTAGTTTACATTTATATATTAGCTATGGATTTCGATGTAAGATCTTATTTTATAGGAAAACAAATGTACAATAAATTCAAACACTATTCTTAGTAACAAAACAGTAGAATGAAAGTAGAAGAGAGTAAAATACATGGCGTTTGTAGTTTTTGCTTGATCGATGTTTTATGGTATCGAACATATGCACATTTAACACAAAGTATATAACTATCATAGATTTAATCGTAATCAAAATCTAGAAAATAGTAACAGCCATGGAAAAAATATCACACGCTGATAAAAGTGATCGAAAACAAGTTGCAGAGAAATCATTCTTTTTTAGGACGAATGAAAAAAATTTTCTTTCCTCACTAGAATATATTTACAGTCCGATGGTTACGGTTCTATTCGAAAAAATATAATTTTACATGAAACGGCATACTGCATGTAGGTAAAAAAACATGTGACATGCCATTGCAGTACATCAGGTAAAAAAAATAAAAAGTCAATGAACCATTTTCTAACGCACACTGTATTAAAAGTTTCATGCGTAGATATTCCCTCTTCATTACAGAATGTATTTTCACGCATCATTTAGTGAGTCTAATGTGCTTCCTTTTTCCTTTTTATAGTCAACGATTGGTAACGAATTGCAGCACTTACTGTTGAATAGTCTATGCTGCAGACACATACATATATGTGATTTTGTCTTCAACGTCAGTCTAACGTTCGAATTGATCTGAACTTATCAACACCGATTAGATCGTCGAAAAATAAACCTATGTTGACCGAACAAGTCTATAATGCTGTTAGAAGGCTAATGTCTCCTGTTAGGTATTTCTTGGAACAACTGCTCGGACGTAAGCCAATGGTTGTATTACAAGCTGAAATCGATACACAGATAGAATTCAGACGCACGTTAAATTGGTTTCATTTACTTGCAATTGGTGTGGGTGCTATGATTGGTTAGTGAGATTGATAATAGTACATGTGCTTAACAGCTGTGAATTCTGTTTGTTTTTAGGTGCTGGTATATTTGTATTAAGTGGAACGGCTGCTTCAAACAATGCTGGCCCTTCAGTGATAGTTTCATTTGTTTTAACTGGTGTTATTGCTTTTTTGTCGGCTTTATCATTTTCAGAATTAGGAACAATGATGCCACTTTCTGGATCCGCTTACACCTATACTTATGCAGGTAGGAGAATTATTATGTTCTTGTTTTTCATTAAGGAACACTTGCATTTTTTATGTTTCAGCCTTGGGAGGTATACAATGATTACTATCGTAAAATAAAATTTGTTTTCTTTCATCTTTTTGCTTATAGAATATTTAGCCTGGTTTATCGGGTGGAATTCTGCTTTAATATATCTATTCGGAATTTTCACAGTAGCCGCTTCTTGGAGTAAATATGTTGTTTTTTTCATTGAAATCGTATCTGGCTATAATTCAACTAGAAAGATTGTCGAACCACCATGGGGGTGGAACCAGACCGCAAACATATTTTATCCTACTGGCCAAGCTATTAATCTGCCTGCAATTGCTATCATTACTGCTACTACCATTATTCTTATTATTGGTATTCGTGCAACGGCTACAGTCAATCTCGTATTTGTTATCATCAAAGTTATCATTCTCTTAATATTCATTTTTTCTTGCTGTAAATATGTAGATACCAAGAATTATGATCCATTTTTTCCATCCAATCTAGGTAGATGCTTCTTTGATTCATATGCATGAATGATTATCGTAATGTTCGTTAGGTTCATTTAGTGAATATGGAATCACAGGCATGCTGCAAGCGTCTACTTCTGTTTTCTTTGCTTATGTGGGCTTCGATGCAGTTGCAACAGCTGCTCAAGAAGTCAAATCACCAGAGAGATCGCTACCGATTGCACTTATAGGATCAACTATTATTTCACTATTATTATATGTGGGAATATGTACTGTAATGGTTGGACTTGTCTTTTACGAACGATTAAATTCAGATAGTCCACTTACTGTAGCAATGTAAGTAATAACTAATCTCTTGGAGAATCTTTCTCGTATTCAATGTAAATTTTTCATAGACAAGCTACACCCTATGGTCTTTGGTTACAAATTGTTATGACTTTAGGTGGGATTGCTAGTCTAACAACTGTAGGAATTATGGTGATGCTTTCGCAGACGCGAATATTTTATGCGATGGCTCATGATGGTTTATTACCACCATTGTTTTGTAAACTTCATTCGAGGACGATATCTCCTTGGATTTCTACATTGATTAGCGGTGATTATTGCTTCTATTTAATTTACAGGGTACAATTATTCTTACAATTTAGGCATTTTTTGTGCTGTTGTCACGGGTTTCGGACCCGTCGATATTTTTAGTACAACAAGCACAATCAGTGCTCTAATTATGTACATTTTTGTGCATGTTGCAGTCATAGTAGTAGGTTTCATAGATTTGTTTCTCGGTTCGATGATAGGAAAATTTATCTTCATAGATGCGTTTTACACATAAAGATATGCCTCGAGGATTTGAAGTGCCCTGCGGGAGATGGTTGCTTCCAACCATCGGCTCTCTACTTTGTATGCTTCTTATGAAAGGTGTACCAGTGATGGCAGTTTATATATTTCTTGTGTGGACAGGATTAGGCCAAATCTTTTATTTTTCCTATGGTTATTGGCATTCGCAACGTCGCCGTTTCAGAAAAAATCAAGAACTCAATAGTATGATAGAGCTTAAGTTGAATCCAGCAAGTAATATAGGCACTATTACTTCAAGTCAATTGGAACCGGATTTGCCCAGTGTAACTCGTGAAGATGATGTTTAAAAACTTATTTTACTTAAACCTTCGGATAGGAATGTGTACTGTTTGAAGTTAAATAAAAGAACTGAAAAATAGTGTGTCTCACTTATTTGTACATATTTACACCATAAATGGTTCAAGTGAATACGTTTTTCAAATTAGCATTCTTCTTCGCTTACTCTAGATATTAGTGTAAAAAAGACAACATGGTACTCCCCTGTTTTCTATATATCAAGAGGGAAACAAACAAGGTGCAAAGAACTTCTAATTGCAACGTCTTATTCACTAAAAGCCATGTTAAAATAAGAATAACTAAGAACATTTGTATAATGATCGGTTTGATACTCTGTCAGATGCCTTTGGAAATAGAAGGCTGTTTTTCAATGTGTAAATAATTATAGAGTTACACGAAATTCAACAAAGAGAAAAATCCATGATTGGCTGCAGTACCGTAAAAAATGATTATATAACAGTGTCATGCTCAGCAGTAACAAAGTCAAAAATTGCATGTAAGTAGAACATAATAGTTGAGTAACTAAAATTTTTTTGATCTTACGTGACTTCGTACCAGATATTGTCTTCGCTACGTGCTTTCAACTTGTTTGTTTGTTGTTTGAAGTAGGAATACGTTGTTTCCTGCAAATTTTTGGAGAGATTTCTCAACTCGTCTCTATTCGATTGCTGAGAAATGATAAGACAAAGTAGCTTTCCATTCGCATGTCGTAGTGCCTATGTAATGAATCAGCAAAATTGTTCCGAGATTTTGCTATTGGAATCCATCAAAACATTATACTATAGTTGTTGTTCCATGTTTCACGTAGTTTTTACACCACACATGATGTTGTTCTCTTGGGAATGAAAAGTGTAATAACGTAGCATTTTCAAAAACGAATATATTTAAGGTGAATGTTTTTTCTTTTAGAATAAATTAATTGGTGTAACGAACAACTATATTGGAGTAGCTTGTGCCACTCTCGGCAAAGATGTTTATTAGGCTACTTCAAGTTATCCAAAGTGTAACGACAAAACTAGAGTGTCGCCTATGCCCGTCGGCATGATGGTGTATTGTGTCATCTGACATCTCCAGAGTGTAACAACTTCATACATAACACACGTATATATAGGAGAGAGATAGAAGAGAGACAGGAGAGAGATATATTAGAACAATGGAAAGAGAAGGAAGGAGAATCATCGAAGCGTGCCATCAATATCGGCACAATTGGGGTTTACTTTTGTTTAGAAATCTCACTTTATTTGAATTCATATAGCTCTAATGGCTGACAACAATGATTTGTTTCCGACAGAAGCTGATCTATTGGCAACCAATTATATTAATCAACGGCATCCACCCATTATTGCGTTAGCACAAACAATGATTGGCCAAACCGAGAGCAGTACACTAATCGAACGTGCTATTCTCTTTCATAGGTATATGCGTGACGCGGCACCGTTTGGGTGGAGTGGCCGATTTTGGAATGAAACTGCGTCAGATGTCATTAAAAACGGGTCGACACTTGTGTAATACAAAATCATCCTTATTTGCTGCTTTACTTCGTTCAGTCGGTATTCCTTGTCGATTACAATCTGTCGATGTAAATGCACAAATTTTACATGCTTTTGGTAGATCGAAGAATAGCATACGAAGTACACACCTATACGGATGCTTTTAACGAGGAAAAGCAACGTTGGTGTCACGTAGGCAGTTATATTGTTGATTCTTTGCTAGCAACTGCAGCTAAGAAAAAGCTAGTAGAGCAGATTTAGAGTTATCGGTTATGGTGTTCATCGAGATGATCAAAGTAAATGGACTGGTTTTGACGATTCATTTGTTCAGTTTGTTGCAACTAGTGACCTGAACAGAGAATTCGAACAACGATTGACATTAAATGGATATGGAAGTTTTGCTGATATCGATGCTTTTTATGCAGCTGCTGATCAGCATGGTGTTCATGATCGATTAAGCAGTCTAGTTCTGAAATTATTATTTATTTACTGCTTATATCAGGAAATCGAGCCTCTGAAGATCTACGAAAAACAAATTAACGTCTCATTATAGCCATATTTTGCGTATTTCACTGCTCTTCAGGTGACTTAAATAAGAAATAACCCATCATCAGTGATACAGTCATGTTTATCCTCTTGATGGCGATGCTGTAGACTCTTAACCTCACATTCTCTCTGATTAATAGTAAAAATAGCTGAAGAATGCGACGACTAAGTTTCGTCTGCTGATTATTCATAGAAACTGTGAACAAGGTCGTGGTCGAATGTGACGAACGAACACTACAAAAGATAAAGATAAGAATAACTAATATGTAATATCTAATCCATGCCGATCCGATACAATTTTTCGGTGAGATAAAAAGCAGCGATCGAATTGAATTCTTCATAATTCCTTAAAAGCAGAATTCACAAAACATCGACAATAAATTCAACAAATGGGAATAGTTGAAAAACAAAGTCTAATAGAAATGACATATACATGTGAAAATTTTCATCGATGTAGCTGTGACGAAATTTGATAAAAGAAATCCTTGCATTGATGGAACTAAACTTTACTTCATTTCTTGATATCACGAATCGCGCCGGTTACTACATAAAGCACACATTTAAATGCTTAACCATCAGGGAGAACGAAAGAGGATGAAAGTTAAAGGCATACGCGAAGGGCACCAAAATAAATACAAAACATGGAGTACGGACAAAATAGTAGTTACGCTTAACCTTGAACATTACCACAACCAATTAACTTTAGAAATCTCTCATATCCGTTTTCGCGAAGTGTTTGAAATGCTTCATCGCCACAACAACGACGCAGTGTTTTATCTAGATTTTATTTTTCGGGTGGGCGGTTGAAATTTTTGGAGGGGCTACTGGCTAGAAGATTTGTTATCATATAGTAACGGGTGGCCCTTAAAGAATGGTGGTTTCATTATTTACTCAATATCGTTTTTGCTCTTTATTGATTTGAACTGAACATTTTCCCAAAAGAGTGAGCATTCAATTCTCTACAAACTCACGTGTAAAAGATTTTTTAAACTACAAAATGGCTAAGTACTAAAACGAAGAAAAAAGGTCGAAAAATCTCCAACTTTCAAGCACTAAATCCGCTTTTTTTTGAAAATTTGCGTTCCATGTGACGATCTACCAAAAAAACTCAGTCTACCATGTTAAAGAGCATCAGATTTGGGCAAGATTCATGTCTTCGAATTTTTTTTTCCTTACAAAATGAGTGAAAAATTCGACATCAATTTTTTCGCTTTTTCTAAAAAAACACAACTGTCATGTCATGCTGTTGATGCTTGCACTAGAACGCATGCCATTCACTTAAAAAGTGTTATTTTTTGACGATTTTGTTTTCTTTGAAAGCCAACATATTCTACTACACCTCTGTACACTTGTTTCAGTGATGCAAAGTTTCGTTTGCAGTAGACTTTCTTGTAAACAGAAATTAAGGCGTTATGGGCGAGTTTTTAGAAAATATCGATTTAATAGGCGAATACCACTTTTAAAGAAATATTTTTCAAGATATCGAAAAGAGCGTACTTGAAAATACCAGAAAATGTTTCTTCCTTAAGTTAAGTCTGCGTATAAATTATCGAAACTTACTCCAAATGTTAATGTTTGTTGAGCTTGAAAGTTGGAGATTTTTCGACCTTTTTTCCTCGTTTTAGTACTTGGCCGTTTTGTAGTTTTAAAAAAATCTTTTACAGATAAGCTTGTAGAGAATTGAGTGCTCAATCTTTCGGGAAAATGTTCAGTTCAAATCAATGAAGAGCAAAAGCGATATTGAGTAAATAATGAAACCACCATTCTTTATGGGCCACCCGTTACGTTTATGAAATCAACTGTTTATTTTCGGGTGGGCGGCGCCCACCCTGCCCATACAGTAGATAAATCACTGCAACGACGTTACTTTTGAATTACTACATACAAAAGTATATTGGTTTCTTTTCCTTAGTAGTGTTTCTGGGTTTTTCAATTGCTTAGATTTTAGCTATTCGTTAGTTGTTTTCCTTTTTGTTGTTGTACGTAGTTTTTATTGATTAAACATTATTAGTATTCTTTCAAAGTTATAACGCGATTAATTCACAACTTTGATGCCTATCATATACTGATATAAATATTTATGCTCTTACAATGAATTAATGAAGTAGATAGTTCACTAAAAACGCCCTTCTGTATAAATGCCGTTCACCATTGTAACCTTTTTTTACCGTTACGGTTCATTTCCTGTACACTATCTTCTTCTCTGTATCCGTATTTTCGTGTATTGATCTTATGAATCTCTCATTGTTCTATTGCGTGGCCGTTTTTTCTTTCGTATATAAGGGAATGCAACTAGAGGAAATACACGAGTAGAGGATTGCAGATAACACAATACATCATCCTACCAACGGGCATAGGCGATGCTCTTCGTGTTCGTCGCAATAATTGTTTACTGAGTTTGATCATGCCGATAAACAATTTAATATGAAATATTTGCTTGAGTAAATAGTCTTCTTAAAAGTATAAATTAACGCATTACAATCCTTGTTATCGGATCAGTGATGAATCGTATTGAACAAGCTTTACAATTTAGTGAATTATTCCTATATGATGAATTTTCTACGATTTCATCAGATATTCGAACTGAAGAAAGTGTTTAAAATCAAAAATCGAATGATGGCAATATCATAAAAAGAAAATAATTGATTGATAATGACTTTAATTGACTTTTTTAAGGTTATATGGTGTCATGAAAAACTGAGTTGCGTTTCATGTAACCCATGTTGCGAATACCGGATCATTTTCTGCGGTGAACCGCGGTATTTATCCTTCCTGTGGGTAAAGGGAGCCGGTAAAGCTGTGGTTAACCGCCGATTTTCATGCGGTTTTTGTTACATGAGAGCACAACCATATATGAATCCTCTTAGCAGTGCTTGATTAAAGCATGATCGATAGAATATAGTCCGAAATGATCAGACTACTGCATCATTGCTTGTTCGGGCTCTTCAGAATGCTAAGAATAGTCAATCAGGTTATAACTTCTTTTGATAGCTGCAATGAAAAGTTGATTTTTAGCTGTATCGAATTTAAATTCAGACGTTTCCAAGTGAAAAACATTGTTGTTGGTCATTTTGAGATAGAAAATGTGATGGTTGAAGAAATTTTGTCAAACGAACATTGATGATTGATTTCATTTTTTCTATCGATGATACTTGTTTTCGTGTACTTTGTATCGAATAGATAATCAAATGATATTGATATCATCAACACACTCAGAAACCCATGCTCTTTTTTCTCTCATATAAAATGACGAAGAGAAATGATTAGGCTGTTTTAATCCAAGCGATTTTAAGATCGCAATTATATCAAATTTCATTTATACTTCAAATATTGCTATATCATATTCGACGGTATATTAGCAAAAAGATCGGCAAAGTCTCATGGGCAATAAACGAAACTCTGGAAAATAAAATTGCTCTTCGCTGAAACATCTAACTATACTCATTCATATTTATATCGCTTTGTGATTATACCCCTGAAAAGTATCCTACAGATTGTTAGAAGAACTGCGTTGTATGTTGATCTAAACGAGTTCGTTCTCAACCGAGGATAAAAATGCCTTCAACATATTTTGCTTATGTCATCAGTTTGTTGATTGAAATGCGAAATAGAATGCAGAATGGCGTTCTTTGATGCCAAATGTAATTCAATCGATTGATTGATTTCTAAAAATTGACTTTTACTCACACTAAAGAAACAGCTTAGTGGAACTTCTGTGTTGATTTTTTTCTTATCGCTATCAGTTTGAGAGAACCCATATACGAGGTATCACATTAAACTAATCGCAGATTGTTTTATTGTTCTTATTGAAATTACAAATCAACAATATAAAAAGTCAATAGAAATTCCATTTGAAATCACTATTCAATTGGGAAACAAAATTTACCATGCAAAAAACATGCTCATTTCTTGCTTTAATTCTCAAGTATGTTACATTTCTAAACACGATTATTATTTAATCAATAGGTCTGTTTAGTTTTTCTAGTACGTATTGATCGCGTGCGTCGACATCACATTTTGTGATTTCCCTCAATTCGAAAAAACGAAATACTTCTTTAAACTCAAAAAGTATGATATATACGTGTATTTTGTTGTTGTTTAGTATTTTCCATATCATCATCTATCTTGACTTCATCAAATGATGGAATATGTGCAGGTGCAACATGGAATCCTAACGGTATTACTGTTGCTGGCAGCAAAACACAAGGATCTGAATTGAATCAACTTGCATATCCCGAAGGATTATTTATTGACGATGACGGTTCAATATTTATTGCGGATCGCGATAACCATCGTGTTATTAAATATGTGCCCGGTTCTTCGCATGGTCAAATAGTTGCTGGTGGAAATAAACCAGGAAATAATAGTAATCAACTGAATACTTTGACAAAAGTTGTTGTTAGTCAAGATGGAACAATGTTTATCTGTGATCGTGAAAATCAACGTGTTCAACGTTGGTCGAAGAATGCTAATCATGGAGAAACAATTATGAAAAACATCACTTGTTGGGGTTTAGCTTTAGATATCGAAGGATCTTTATATGTTTCTGATATGGCAGGACATCGTGTAATGAAATGGCCCCAGAATCAAATCGTCGCAGGTGGTAATGGGAAAGGTAATGCGTTGAATCAGTTGGCAAATCCTTATCACATATTTGTTGATCGAGAACAATCAATATTTATTGCTGATAAAGGCAACAATCGTGTTCTGCAATGGAAAAAAGGCGAAACTCAAGGAACGGTTATCGCTGGTTTTAATGGTTATGGAAATGGTGTTGATCAATTGTACCGACCTTATTCCGTTGTTATCGATCAAATGAAAACGGCCTATGTCCTTGAATACATTAATTTACGTGTAACACGTTGGCTTAAAGACGAAAAATCAAGCAGTATTATCATAGGTGGACCCGGCTTCGGTAGTGGATCGAATCAATTATATTTTCCACGTGATTTAGCATTTGACCGACAAGGAAATTTATATGTAGCTGATGGAAATAATCATCGTATACAAATGTTTTCAATCAATAAGAGTGCCTGTCAGTAATGTAAGTTTTATAGCTCCTGTTCTTTGTAATTTAATTATTAATATTAATAGTTTTAGTTTCTTCTTAAATCGAAAATCGAGAACGACTTCGTCAATTTGAAATTCAATGATAATTGCTTAGTATTACATTTAATATTGATTTTAAATAAATAAACAAATAAAAATATTTTGTCTTTCCTTACTGTTCTTTAATTTACAAAAATAAAATTTCAATATGTTCATCATAAAATTCTCTAATTTAATTGAACGAAAAATCAAAGGAAGGAGATTCTTCAGGGGTGACCGCTCAATTCGTCGCACGACAATTCGTCGCGATCAATTCGTCGCAATCAATTCGTNAGAAGTATTTCGTTTTTTCGAATTGAGGGAAATCACAAAATGTGATGTCGACGAATTGATCATGCGACGAATTGATTGCGACGAATTGATCGCGACGAATTGTCGTGCGACGAATTGTACTAGTACCTTCTTCAGGATTATGTTTTGTTTTATTTCTGTAACACAACTGAACTTTCATTATATCATTTTACAGCTCTGCATTTCTAACAGGTGCTTGCGCCAACTAAATTCTGATTAAGGCATTATTGTCATCAGTAATAGCCGAAAAGCAACCATAATCAGTGATGTTATTTAGCAGTGTCACGTATGGGAAATTTTTGAAGATGCCACGGCATCTTATGCGGGGGTGGGCATCTCTCAGCGTGTGGGTGCATCTCTACTAGTGGCGACGCCAGGAATTCAGATATGTGTGGGGGGGGGGGGGGGCGGCGCACCCCCCCCCCCCCCCCCCCCCCCCCCCCCCCCCCCCCCCCCCCCCCCCCCCCCCCCCCCCCCCCCCCGGCTCAACCCCTAGCTCTGAAAGTTTCAAATAATAGATTGCAAGTCTTTCGAATTTGCGTCTTTTTTTGCGTATGTCTTTCCACACTTTGCGTGGATTTTCCCCTTCTATCCATTTCTCCCGAAAACACAGAAAGAATCACTCAATAGGAAATTCAGAGTTGCAATTAGAATAGTTCATGGATGTTCTTTTATCTCTGCAGTAAACTTATTCACACTAACCAAAGAAACCCACATGGAAATGTATGTTAAAAGGTAGTTAAACAAAAGATTACAAAAAATCTACAAGACAGATCTAGAACGCTCAAGCTTTCTAGAGGATATATTTTATTGAGATGGATTTAAAAAGAGTGAAAAAGACTCGTTAGGACACTTTTTCAGACAAAAAAAGAGTAAAAAATCGAATTAAGAGACACGCGAGACGTTACTGATTAAATGGTTAAACTTTATATAAGAATAAATGATATATCACACCCTACACGGCATCATATATAATTCAACATTATGGAACACAGAAAATGGAGTGCTTGTAATTGACTCAGCTATGGCAATTAGAATCACTTACACTTGTTTTTCTCTTCTCCCTTTCTTTTCTATGTAAGCATTCCAAAGTGTAACATAAATAAACAAACCATAGATTAGTAAAAAAAGACGTTTCAATACGAACACTTATTTCAAGTCTTCCAATTTCATGAAAGAGTAGAATGTAGAATGTTTGTTTATCTCCACTGCAAAAATAAATTCATATACAAAAACAAAAAGACATTGATGTTGCATCTAAGAGCTCATTATAAATATTATAAATTTATTGGAAAGAGAAACGAGCCGAGAAGACTTTTTGTAAAGAGACGATCAGTCTTCGAGAACTATCAGTGATGAAGATAATAGCAAAGAAGGATTCTCTCTCCCAGCATTATGTTGTATAAACAGAAAGTAGAATGCAGTCAAGTGTGTTTACAATTGATAGAATAAAGGTTAAAAGAAGTAGGAGAAAACAACAAGAACATACGTATGAATAATCAATCGGAATGCATCAACGAAACAAAAAAAAAGAATGGTCGATTCTCCAAAGATTTTTATTTTTTATAATAACGATGTTACATAATCGATTTTTAATTTAAAAGCATAAAAGACTGATAACTGGCCATGCGACTAATTTATTTATCGATCATTGATTCGACTGATTTTATAATGATTTCATGTAATTTAATAACGATTAGTTAGATTACCTTGAAAAGCTTGGCAAATTCCATGTTCATCACTTTCTCAGTCACGTGAAATAATTGAACGAACCTTGAAATATCACTCTGGACATTCCGATGACTAGTTATAAAGACGAAAAACACATATCGCGATTGATCGATATCTACATGTATCTTAAAAACAACTGATGCTAGTTCTAGACATTGAAGATTCGCATCAATCAACATATCGAGTTTCTTATTACTATTTATCCTCCGCCCGAGAGTACGTTCGTAACGTTTGTTTAAACTCAAGTATATTTTTGAAGGCATGACCAAGGTGAAAACATTTCACTTGCAAACGAACTTGCATTGAAAATTATACTTTTCGTTAATAGACGAAAATGAAACTACTTGAGCAAAAACCATTAGCTCAAGTAGTAACGAAGAGCATGTTGTTGTCCAACATTATAAAAATGCAACAGCGCAGATATTTTGCTGTTATTCCTTTTATTTCAACAATGGCGACAGCCATGCAAACAGGAGTAGAAGCCTACTATGTTCCTCGGAATGTAAGTTGTCCAAAAAAAGACTCGTTAAGACTCCTTTTTCTTCTATTAGACATTCGTCCCACAAACAACGGCCAAGTCTCTTGATTTAGATTCATTGCCAGAAATTAAAGGTGCAAGAGCTCGCAGGTAATTTTCCATGTTCCTAACTAGCCTTTTTTCACTTATAGGATTTTGTAGAGTTCCTGCCGGGGCGAAATTTGCATGCAAACCGTTGATAGCAGTTGGGTTCTTGGTAGTAGCTGCAGCTGCTGTTGCTATTGCAGTCCCGTTTCTGTTAGGTAAGGCAGCGATGGAAATCGCCACGATGAATTTAATAGTGTACACCAGCATTTTGGTTGCAAGATGCTTTTTGAAAATAAATATTTTCGATGGATCGTTTGCAACGATTGCTGATATAGTGACTAGGCATCGTACTTTGAATCTCGTCACATATCTTTTAATCAATGAATATTAATCTTTGATTCGCATCTATTTAACATTGAGTGTTACTTTAGCCGCCAAACTCAAGCTGAATCGTGTGTGTTGAATTCGTAGTAACTAGTTGTTCAGGGTGTAGGTGTGAGGCTGGTGCCGAGCGCTTATGAATGTATTTATTTGATTCATCCACACAGAGACGACGCGAAGTAATAAAAGTATAGGGGGGTTACTTGAAAACGGGAGGTTTTTTCCAAAATTGAAACAAAAATTTCCAAAGTTGGAGGGGGAACCCCCCCATGNAGCGATTTCGAAGAGAAAAGAACAAATTTATGGAAACGTTGAGCTTATATATGGAATGGAGTAGCTCTCTAATTCGAGTTCGAATATAAATGGAGAAAAAAAAGTTAAACTAAAACTAAATCTAGGAATAGATTTAGTTTTAGTTTAACTTTCCGATATATGCTACATATTAATACATATATAACCTTCACCCGCACCCTCATTTGAAGTATCCTGGGTACCCTTCATCCACATTTGAAGTATCCCGGGTACCCTTCACCCACATTTGAAGTATCCTGGGTACTCTTCATCCATATTTGAGCACTCCTTCATAGTATCCATCACCCACAACCACATTTAAAGCAGCCCGGGTACCCCTCCTACTCACCCCTCACTCGTAACGCCACCCACAGTTACCCCTTTACCCCCTCAACCCACACTCATTCCATCTTAAACTAAATCTAAATCTAAATCTATTTCTATTACTTATTTTCGAATTGATGCCATGCAGTTGAGTGTCGATTTATATTCGAATTCGAACTAGGCATCTCATGATGGAATGATAGTCGAAATCAAATGAGCCATGATTTAGTTGGAGTTGAGTTCAAGATTAAAATGAACACCCATTTTCAGTGTTGCCAGATGTCGAACTTGAAAGTCTGGAAACTTGTGAAGCTTTTTCCAAATGTTGAAAAAGATGCGGAAAGACTTTTTGGGTTCGTTTTCTCATTTAAAGTAAGTTTTACTCTAACGGATTCGAAACAAAAATACTTTTGATGCATATCTACAACATATATTTAAATTAAAAAGTGCACATCCAAGAAGGCTGCTTGATGTCAACCTCGAAAATTCAAAAAATTCCGGAATTTGTTTTTCGAAATCTAGAAAAAAATCAAGAAAAGCTTTGAAAATTCGGAAAAACTTTCGAAATCTGTAATTTTTCCAGAAGGTGTGGGGATCTGGCAACACTGTCTATTTTACTTGATCAGAACTCTATGATTATCTTTTAAATGAACCAGATCTTTCGAAACATATATTCGATTGTTAGATTTAAGTAGAGTCATGTCGCACAAGTGTCACGAATTGCTTAGTAAATTAGTGGGTGCGTCCCTTTTCGTCCTCACTCTTCCGGACATCAGGTTATTTGACCGGATGTTCGAAATCGGATATAAAAAATAAAATCGATTTTCCGGATGTTCGGAATGAAAATCGTCCAGATGTTCGGAACGAAAAAATACAGGATGTTCGGAACATAAAGTGACAGATGTTCGGAATAAAAAATGACCGACGTTCGGAACATAAAGTAACAGATGTTCGAAACAAAAAATGATCGATGTTTGGAACGAAAAAATACTGAATGTTGGAAATGAATGTTGGTGTATGTTTTATAGTGGGAATGAGTAGTAAAGCTATAAACTTCTCTGTTTTATAGAGGGTAGGTGCTGGTAACAAAAAATTTACTAATAATTCTCATAAATGTTCAGTCAGCAGTTCATTAAGTGAAAGAAAAAGTAGACGAAACAGATGATGCCAATATTAAGCAAATTCCAAAAAAGAAAAAAACAAGACATGCTGCAAAAGAACATTAGACATAAAAAATTTTCCTTACAAAAGTTATTTATTCTCTCACTTGTATAAACTTTTGTTGTCCTATGCTTGTTTTGTGAAAGACTATACTAGGAAATAAAAGAAAATAAACTATGTTATAAAAAAATTATTTTCTCTTCCGAATATCCTGTATTTTCCGTTCCGAACATCTAGACGACTTTCATTCCGAACACCCGGTCTTTTTCATTCCGACCTTCCGGCGTTTTCATTCCGAACATCCGGAAACTGAAGTTCGGAATGGACTTCTCCGACCGATGTCCGTAAAAAAAATGAGGACGAAAAGGGACCACCCCAAATTAGCTAAGTAGTTTTTACTATGTATTCTAATGAACATGTTTTAATTATCTATTTAAATAAACTTCATGAATTCAGCATTCCATTTTCAATTTTAATTCGGCTACAAGGAAAATTTTCAGGATCAATCCCATTATAGGAAAAAGGGTTAATACATCTATTAGTGCAAAATCGGAAGTTATCAGATAAAAATCATCGAATGACTGTTGAATGTCAAAAAAAAACGCTCCTGCTTTTTCGCAAAAATTCCCTGCTTTCTAAAATTTGTATTTGGTAACCCTGGGTCTGACTAGCAGTAAAATTTAGCTCTCATGATACATTCAATAATACGATGAGGCTTTCGCATTTACAATAATGCCAAATTTGATTCTACTCGAGTCATCACAGGTCTCTAATCCCAGCTTATAAGGCAGCTTGCTATCTTTGTTAGAAAGTATAGTTATTTCTATGTTACACATAAATCAATGTTATATTTTCTAACTAGTCAATGGTGGCATAACTACCACAACAACGAGTACTACCAGCACGACTAGTACCTCAACAACATCAACGTCAACGACTAGCACTACCACTACCTCGACAACATCAACAACATCAACAACAAGTACAACGACTACTACAACAACAACTACAACAACTACTACAACAACAAGTACAACGACTACCACAACAACAACCACAACATCAACGACAAGCACTACGACAACATCAACGACAAGCACTACGACAACATCCACAACAACGTCAACAACAACCAGCACTACCAGCACATCAACAACATCGACGACCTCAACATCAAGTGAGAAGTGCATGTAGGGATGTGCAGTGTCGGTTTACTGAGCACTGACTACACTGTCACCGATGCCACTGACACACTGATTTCACTGACACCAACTTCACTGAGAACATCGAAAATATCGAAAATATTCAGTCAGTGTTCACTGGAGCACTGAAATTCGGTGCACTGACCGTACCGACATCGGTGTTCAGTGGATCACTAGCACACCGACAACTTCTGGTTGTCTGAAATTGTAATACAGCTCCTGTGACATTTTTTGAAAGCAAAATACGCATGTGAAAGAAGCTTACATTAAATGACAGTATTCGCGTATTCGAGTAAAACAAGAGGTAATGCAACCCACCGAAGTTTATTGTATACTTTTAAAATACAGATTATTCAGTATTATGATATCCTTGGCAAAGGTAGAGATGCGTATTTCACTATAATGTATTGTAAACTACCATTAAAATTGGCGAAGATGTATACTTTGACGGGTGCAGTGGCTCAGTGTTCCGCTGAACACCGATACCGGTGAGGTCAGTGCAACGAATTTCAGTGCTTCACTGAACTTCAGTACTTCAGTGAACACTGACTGAATATTTTCGGGCTTTTCAGTGAAGTCGTTGTCAGTGAAATTAGTGTGTCAGTGACATCGATGTCAGTGTAGTCAGTGCTCCACTGAGCACACTGTCGGTGATATCAACCCCAGTTTTTCTGTATTTACACCGACACTGCACATCCCTAAGTGCATGTAGATTTTAATAATTCTAGAGAAACTCCTCAACGAACATATAGACATTTGTTTGATGCCTTCGTGAGAGGATAAGTCATGATTGTGCCCTGCTAAACCTTTAATTTTTTGAATTATTTTCCACAAACTGCTACACAATTATGTAATTAGATCAAATCTCGGCAGAGTTCTAAAAAAGCACTTCAGTAAGCTGAAATATTTCCTGGAGTAAATTGAATGGATATGGTCTTGCGTAGAGTTTTATCGATGAACTGTAGGTTTGTTAATTAACTAATCATTGTTCGATGATCTTAGTCAATAATAAACGTTTCATTCGTCATGCTTATACAGAATTAGAAGGGATACATATGTACAAAAAATTGACTCCCGGGTCGGCATGAGCTAAACTATTAATAAAAATTGATTTAGCGACAACAACTAGAACAACTTCAACAACTACGACCACCTCCACAACAACAACAAGTACAGCAGCGCCAACAACTTGGCCATATACTGCAACGACAGTTACTTGTAGTAGCACTACAGCAACTTGTAAGTTAATTTATTATCTTCCGTTCTTCTTTTTTATGAGAGACTTCTAAAATTTTTCACAGAAGTATCCTAGATAATTTGAAATCTTTAACTAGTAAAAGTAAGCTTTTGTCTTTGTTTAGCATGTGCAACTACCACAACACTTGTTGCTAGCTGTCAAAGTTATGAAGTATCATGGAATAATCGTTGCTACTATTTAGATGGATCAACCGGTGTTTGTGCCAGTGGCTATACTCTAGGAACGAATGCTGTTTTAACCTGTATAGCAACACAATTTGTTGGAAAAACATACCGCAGTGTAACATCGAGTAACTGCTGTATTTGGACAGCGGATACTTATGAGTGTTATGGAATGAGTTCAAACTGTAATTCAGCTGGAACATTTAGTGCAGGACCAGTGGTTAATGGTGCTGGCTGTGCAAATGCACAGAATCATATGTCTGGACAGTTGACATTCTGCGGTAAAGTTTGAGCGCGTTAAAGAGTATAAATATGATTGACTAAACCATTGCTGCCAGAGGAACTTGCTGCACAGAATCATATGTCTGGACAGTTGACATTTTGCGCTACCGTTTGATCGCATTAAAGCGTGTAAATATGCTTAACTAAACCATTGCTACCAGAGGAACTTACTGCACAGCATTTTTTCACTTACCTGTAGCGGTGTCACATTTCACTTTTAAAAATTTATTAAATCGAGAAATAAATTTTCAAAAATTTAAATTTATAATAAATAAATTTTTTTTTAAATGAAAAGTTAAATTTAATTCAATTTTTTTGTATTATTTAAATTTATTTAAACTTATTTAAATTTAAATAAAATTTTTTGAAATTCAAATTAGTTGAATTTTGAAAACTAGTAGACAAACATAGTTCTTGACTTGATTGGTACTATTTAAAGTCAAATTTGTGTATGTTTCCTGTTTTCTAAAGTTAAACCTAGTCATTCTTCTACGAATTTTACTATTAAATATATTTTTATGAGTATCCCAGTATTGTGAAGAAGAAAAATGACGGATCCTGCATAATCTGTAGAAAAATTTTGACTACTATGAACAAATGTTAACCTAAAATACCAGATCTTCCTCTCATTTAGTATTTACTACTGTTAAAGTCACGTATTTTCCTCGTAGCAATGATGTGCATCCATCCAACCAAGTTATTCAATTTTAATTTTAAATTTAAAAAGAATATTTTAAATTTAGCTTTATAGAATTTAATTTTAAATTAAATCAATTTTTCACGAAATTAAATTTAAATTAAATAAACTGTAAATTGACACCTCTACTTACCTGCGTACACGTACTTCTCAATTTGAATAAATATTCATTCAATTAAATTTCTATTAGTCAAACAAGTCAATCGCAACACATCTTCAATAAAGATAAAATTTGAATTGTTTTTTTCTAAAAACCATTCAGCTATTTTAACCGTTTATTAGGCCAATTATTTTAATCCGCTGGTAGAAATCATTTTTCTTAAACTACAAATCAACTCATTGCACGATGTTGTTGGATGCGAGAATCCAGCGAGATGGAAGAAGTCTGAATCTTTCTTTATAAATTCATACTTAACAATCCACATATATACGAATTTTTGAACAAGAATCGAATATTTATCTAATTGAAGTTCGAAAGAGCATCAAGGATGCAGATATTTTTCCTCAGAGAAATCGATTACACAAAAAATACATATGTATTCCATGCTGACAGAATTCAGTTTAGGTCTATTTTTATTTTTCCATTCGATTTCGACAACTCATAATAATTAATAGTAGATCCATAATTTGATCTGAAAGCGAACTTTAATGAATGTGTGAACATTAAAAATCAAAGCCACCCTTCTGATCAAATAAATTTTGTATGAAATTTATTGTGATAAACTCTTTTTTTACATTTTAATCTTTATAAATTGTTATTTCATGCATTATATTTTTGTGTTCGAATAATTTCATGAGAAACAAAAATAATCTGGATAAAAATAGCTGATGTCAGATTACGGCGTGCGTAAAACCCTGGATTTTTTTAATTTAAAATTACTTTCAAAAAAAGACTTCAAGTGCTGTCGAGGACTATATCATAAGCGAATAGAAATCTCATCTGCCTGTGCATGCCATTAAACAAATAGTAAAAAGAAGTAATTATTTACTTGGCTACATGAAACGTTTGATAGTCATATTCTATTCTCGGATTCCATCATAATGTAAAACCTAGAATTAGTCTATTAGTTAGTAAAAAGGTGATCGAATTAATAGATTCTTACTGTCGCTGAACTATAATTAAATAAATGAAAAAGAAAAAAAACATTATCATTAAAATCCAACTGTTAAAAGTCGTTACATAAATGTTATCTTTGTCTTTTATCGATAATAAAAAGAAAATATTTTTCTACCATAATTCTATCAGTTTTCCAAAATTTATTTTGATTTATCTACTGATATTTTATCAGAAAAGAACACAATTGATTCTGGTTTATTTTTATTTCCATCAAAACAAACATCGACCAATGAAGAAAAAAACCAACATCTGTTAGGCGAACACTGCCTACTTCATATCGTTTACCAGCAGGCATGTGTTTAATAAAAGTATTTTTATTTTCATGCATGATTTCAATTCTCATTTCAGAATGTAATCGATTGTAAAATAATCTTTGCAATTTACTGAATCACACACAGTTTATTAAAACTACTTTGCATGCATGAATATATACAAAAATGATTATCAATGAATTGTCTTTAGTATTGCGATAGATATTTAACATTTATAGACTTGGAGAAAAACAACTGTATCTTTCAAGAATGGTTTTTATTTTATTTTATGAATTCTTTTCTAGTCAACAAGGTGTTAGGTTTTTTCTTGGTCTATGCTTTTCCAACAAAGAAAAAAAACATGATATGAAGCTTTACCCAGGTCGAACTCGTACGGTGGGAAACGGCAGGAAATCACTGGAACGTGGAAGCAGTATTCCGATCAGAAATTTTCGGCATTTTCCCTGTGCTTTCATGCGGAAGTCGATTGAAAAATCATCGGAAAACAACCGAAAATTCCCGGCCGGAATACTGCTTCCGGTTTCCGTGATTTCCAGTGTTTTCCTGCAGAACACGGTGTTTTATGACTTTTGCATTTATGCGGAAATTTTCTTCGAAAGATCTCTGTTTTGAGTTCAATGAATCTAATAAAAGAAAAAAAAAGTACATCTGCCTGATTATGATTGAGGATGGTGTTTTCTCTTTAATCAGTCAAAATATTTCTAGATCTTTAATTGGGTGACTTACGTTTTTCGTCTCACCTAGGGGTATGACAGTTCAGTTTTAGTTCCGTTCAAAAGAACTCTTCGAACAGATAAGATCAGATCCTGAGAACTGTTCGAACGGTTTTTCAGACCTGATCTGAACTTAGATCTGAGAACTGCAATAAACCTAGTCTCACCTCTTCCTAACACCGGTAAAAGCTACCGGGTGTTCGGATTCGGAAATGAATTTTATTCGTAAAAAATTTATGACGAGGTTCGTAAACACCTATGTACCGGAGATCGTAATAGTCAGCAGGAAGATAGTAATGTGTTTACCGGATGTTCGGAATGGAACATTTTTGCTATATTTAATGTAACACCTGCAGATCGTAATAAACATCTTGGGTAGTTCGGAAGCAAATGCTAAGGGCACTTCAACATGGAGTCCGTAGAAGAATTTATAAGGATATTGTAATTGATATAAAGACTTTCTGCTCTTATGGGCAATAATAGGTTGCATTTTTTTATTACATCTATGATTATACAAGTAGACGATTATTCTTTCTTTACCTATACTCCTTGTGCTATAGTCTCAGAAGTTGTTTCTAAGGGTATAAGTTGATTAAAAACCAACAGTTGTCGAAAGCAACAACTGAGCAAGCTGCACCTAAATCTTATCTACGTTCAACTTCAATATTGAATCGTCTTAGAGTTAGACCCACCGATCATACTACTGTTGCGTCGTCTTCATCTTGCACATCATCATCTCAATGTGATTCATTGCTTCAACATCGAAAAATAAACAAATAGCCAGGTTCAAAAAACGTGTGCATTCATCGAGGAATAAATGGAATGTTGATGTACATTAACACTAGAGTTATTATAGTAAACAGAAGCGCAATCGTAGTTGCTTGAATCCGCCAAAACTTTGACTATACGTGATTTTAGGTTACGACTATAGCGTATCACTTCATATTTTCTCACAGGGAAACAAAACCTGAACATACTTGCGAAAATCGTGTCGTCTTTTTCTTTTATTTCGGTTTCCATGTCTTTGCCGTTATGAACATCCGGACATTCTGACTACGATCTCCAGTCAAATTTTGATGTTCGTAAAGAGAAAAATTTGCATGGAGTTCAGAATCAATTCTGAAAATAGCTTTTTCAATGATTATATCCTATGAAAAAGCTTTTGCCAGAATTGATTCCGAACACCATGTCTTTGTTTTCATATCAGGAGATCGTAAAAAAGAGGTGAGACGAAGTGTCATTTTCCCGTTTAATTTAAATATATAGTCTGTGTTTTTTTTTATTCTCAAAATATCATAATTAAAAATTAGTTAATGTCAACTATGACTCAATTGTCTATGTTTTCAAACAGTAGTAGAAAATCATTCTATTAGATGTTAGACACCTATTTTGTTTTCTTCCTCTTTCTTCTCTTCCGTGTTGCTTTTCTATTTACATGAACAACTATGTAATATGAATGTTTAGAACTAATCAAGAAAAAAGGCGGCGGGGGAGGAAAAATTTGTTGTCAGAATTATCATTCTTTACTTTTCTTGTCACTTTACTCGCATGGTCTCCAATCAAAAACGAGAAAGAACAAGAAAAAGGAAGTCGATAAAAACACGTATACAAGTGAAAAATATAATATACTTATTAGAATATGTAAGAAAAAAAAGAAGAACGAGAACTCAAAAAGGAACTAGAAACATATTGACTTTACAAAAACAAGAGAAAAACAGAAAAATGGGAGAGAAAAATAGAAAAAAAATGAGGGAACGAGCGAGAGCGAAGAGCTGTTTTGTCATGGCAGGCATTTGCGCGTTAAACTTAGTCAACGACAGTTGTTCTCTGCTGCTGGCGGCAGAGTTTTCTCCTATTATCATATCGCAGGCGATTATCCCTAACAAATTTCAATACAATTCCATCAAATCAAAAGCATGTCTTTACATTCATTCTATCAACAATACGAACATCAAAATCATAACTCCTACTGTGATTTATCGACAGGTTCGATAAATGATTTTGAATATTTCAACATTGATAATGTTCGACAACAAAAGGAAGTTGATGGTGCCAAGGTACTTATCATGTTAATCTCAAAAAAGCTTCATGTTAAGTTCACATAGAATCTAAAAGAAGAAATATTTTCTGCGTCGACTAAAAAAAGTGAAATGAATACGACATTATGTTTCTATTCATTTTTTCTCCTTCTCTATAAATATCATAATGAGTTTTGTTTAACATATGCAGATAAATAGAAATAGAGTTCTTCTTCTTCTTCTTCTTCTTGTGTATTCTAAAATTCCAAATAGTACATCGATCTCATGTGCAGTTATGTAGAGGGTTACTATACTGTTGTCGTTATTTTTCTCTTAACAATTTAGCCATTTCGAAAACGTCGCGATGATACCAATGACATCATCAGTAAACTCTATGATGCAACATTAATGCGACGGCCTGGCGAACGTGAAATCGTACGTATCGGTGGTCGAAAAAATAAAAATGAAATTTTGGGTCTAACAAATGCACGCTTCGTCAAGGAAAAACATCTCAATGGCGTTAAGTATTTACGTAAATAAATAATTGATCCTTTTCCCCCTGTTTACTATTTCATGACTTTTTCTATTTCAGGTGATATTGAGCTTGTACGAGGCATTCACACAAATGTGAAGAATAGTGAATTTGTTCTTGTTCTTCGTAATGACGGTCGCATTGTAGCTATGAGCGAGGAGGTTGAACATCATTTAAATAAAACAATGGTAAAATATTCTTTTGAATAATCTTTCAATAGTAAAAAGAAACTATAATTTTAGCGTTCATTGTACACGCAATGTATAAATATTTTCGAATGTCTTGATAAAGTCGATAGCAAAAGCTTCCGATCAATTTTGAACTCATCGGACGTCTTTACTAATAAAGAACATCGATTAATTTGTACTCTTCGTTTGCCCAAAGGTAAACGTCCAAGTCGAACACGAGAAGATGTCAAGGTAGAAAATAAAACTCTTCTTCTCATTTTTTTCTCTTATGAGAATAAATAAAATTTAGACCATAGCAATGGCTGGTCATTTTTACTCATGCAACAATTCAAATTATGATCGATTATTTATTGCACGTTGTGAAGCTTTAGTGTCTCGTACAACAAATGGAACGAGTTCATCACAAATGCCGCTTATTAATAATTCAACGATTAAATTAACATTAAATGATGATATGACCGTTGATATGATATCGTCAAAGTAATTATATTAATAATTCTATGGAAGAGAATTTTCAATTTGTCTTTGTTTTGTGTTTCAGTGTAAAAGATATCCTCGGTTATACAAGAAATGAAGTAATCGAAAATTGGTTTGGACGATTTCTGGAAACAAATGATTTAGAAAAATTTGAAAAAATACTTCAAACACATTGTAATACACATATTTTTTTCATTGCATAGAAAAGAGTTCTTTTATGGGTTGTTTTTTTTTCAGTACAAAAACCAACAAGTGTTCGAGATATATTTGATATTTATACAAAAAATGGTGAACATCGTTTGACATTCTTATGTCAAATACGGCCAACACGCGAGCGCCGTTCAAAATCGGTTAAATACTCAATTGTTGCTCAATTAATTGAGTAAATATACATATAAATATGTTTAGTTTTCCTAAGTATTCCTTTGTTTTTCTCTTCTTATTAGTCCATCAATGAGAGATGAATATATGAAATATATTTATGCAGAAACTAAACCAGATCAAGCACAAATACCAGTGAAAGCCGAACAAGTAAATCTGGGTGCGCACTGAGAGTATTTTTTATGAAGCTAATTTTTATTTTAAAATTGTTTGCCTTGTTTTCTCGTTGTTAGCCTCCCCATCGGTGCCAAAAGCAAGTGAAGATAACATCTTTGTGCTAAGTCCATCGCTCGCCATGGGTCTTCTCTGGCCAGAATGTGTCTGCAAAGATGAGCCTTGTCACGGACAACAATTATCACCAGTCACTCGATCACTCTCTCAAGTCGTGGCACCAGTCATATTCGATGATGAATCTGCACAGGTATTCCAACATCAATATGAACAATGTGCAACACATGTACCTCTTGAATATTGGCAAGAAAATTTAATCGATGATACGTACATGAAATATCAACTCGAACAAGAATTAGCAAGTATTGATGCACTTATTAATGAATTGTAGATCATTAATTCATGATGGTTACGTTAGATGGTACTGAACTGGAAGGGAAGAAAAACAAAACATAAAGGATATGGCAGAGGAAGATTGCGCAGGAGTATATATTGCTTTTGGTTTTTTTTTCTTTTATTTTTTGATTTTTGCCCCAGCAGGTCTGAGCTTACAAACATGTATTTCAACTTTTTTTCGAAGTCGAATAGCCTGGAGCGTCGGAACTTCGTCTGTTGCTTTATTCTCATTGATATTTATTCTTATTAGCTTATTGTCTATAGTCGGCTTTGGTTTAAAATGTTGTCAGTATTTCATTAAGGAAGAAACATCAACACCTGCGCACTATCTACCGGTGAACTCGTTTCTCTCTCGTTTTTTCTTTGTTTTGCCGTCGTATCAAGTCTTATGACTTTATTGATGTCAATAAAAAATTTACAAAAAAAAACAAAAATTGTCTACAATTATGTCACACAGTTGTTGTCCATCGAAAGCTAGTGATGTATTCGATGTTGATTTACGGTGTTAAACAATATGAGATGATTCATATTTGAAGTTTATTACCGTAATCGAAATTTTTACTTACGGACAAGAAATATGATCGGATCGGGCTTTCAATTCTTGAAAAAACAAAAGAGCTTTCTAGAATGTTCTATTAATAGAAAGTTTGTTTTCTTTTGGGTAAAAAAAATATTACGTGTGTTACTGTCTGTCGATTGTCAATGTTTTGTTAGTTTCGAATATCAAATGAATTTGAATTCTTTGGACTTTGGAAGTCAGGAAAAAAGGCCAAGTTTCTATTTGGAATGAACCCAGAGAACGACTTAATATACATTCCACAGCTATAAAATACTAATGAATTTTATATTTTTAGTTTAGTTGGGTAATTTGTTTTTAAAATAGATTCTATGCGCTACAAACGACTATTTACGTTATCCAATTAAGATTTTCAAAGCTAGACATAATTCCATTGGTAAGCGTTGATTTTCTCTTCTCTACTATTTATTTCCTTTCAGCAGCAAAAAAAAACAATCGACTGTTAATTAAAATCTCGCTCGCTTTCAACTTTCAACTCATAACGATATATGTGTGAGTCACGATTCTTCAGAATGCTATTGGTTTAAAAGTTGAAAATTTTCAATTGAATTCATGTTTCAAGTTTGACGTATGTGTGAATGAACGGCAAAAACGATGCGTAAGCCATCTAAAGAAAATCACTAGTACATTGGAGTATTATTTGCTGTAAGGTCTCATCGACTCCATTGAATTCTCCATCGAATTATGCCATTGAAGAAAGATAGCATACTACTGCAGTCAAAGTCGCGTCAGAAAATAAGACAAATTTTTAGCATTGTTGCCTCTTCATTCAGTTTTTTCTTTTACGATTATATAATCCGTGTGAAACCCATGCAAATAGAGTCATTATTTTTGTTCTTATAAAAACTATTATCTTAATGGCTATGTTTGGCTTCTTGCAGGTTGAAACAGAAATATTATGGCTTACACAACGTGGTATGCATGGTTTTTTTAAGCGTCTTTGAATCAAAAAATAAATAAAGGGTCGTCAAAATAACCTTGGCAAGAGATTAATCATTAATCTAGATTCCATTATGAAGTGCTTGGTTTTAATAAATAAAGAAATATAGAGTACGACACCGTTGCTATTCTCAACGACTACTATTGACTTCGATGTAATATCACTGAACGCAACAGATGAACAACTTTTAATGAAACAGACAACAGCGAAGGGGGAAAACAACATACCTCGGGATTTTTTTCTAGGGTAGGTTGCACTCAAATTTCAATTTTTCCAATAGAAAACATTGCAATTTTACTGAGAGAAATACCATACGAATCTAATTATGCTAATTGATATCCTGCTGTAGGTATGCGCTTTTTCGTGCTAGTCGTTAACTGTATCAGTTCACCTTCAAAATGAAGCCAATGTGTTCGTTGTCTTGTATCGTTGTTGAAGTTTGATAAGAAAAAAAGACAAAATCATTTCGTATCGAACATGTCATAAACAATTTGTAAGTAGTAAAAAATAACTAGCCTCTTTGATAATCTTTCATAATGAACCATAAAATGGAGAGATAGAACAATAAAAACAATTCTCACCTATGTTTTTCTTATTTTTCTATGAGTTTTACATTACATAAAAAATATTGTTTGTCAGCTAAAATTACGCTTCGAGTCAACATAGACGGTAGTCGAGTAAAAGAAAGATTTCATTGAAATCGACGCTTTCAACGAATTGTTAAGTTTTTCCCACAAAAACAAAACTACCAATCTTTTGAACAATTTTCATTTTAGTGTTGCTCTTCATAGATAAGTATTGCATTCCAAAAGGTTCAGTCTAGTCTTAAATAGCTTCTCTAAGAAAGACTTTTATAATTCTCTGAATTCATAAAAATTATAGTTTTTCAACGTCGCATAATGGTTTACCTTTCTATAATTCTTTTATCTCGAGACTATGCCAATTTATTCCGCTGCAGATAACAAAATATTGTGCTTTAGCGCATTACTCGGCTACACAAGAACTATGGATTTAAATAATAAATCTTCATTTTTTTTATGCATGACATTTATTTATAAAAGTAAATTATTTTATAATAATAGAAGGTATATGCAGAGCGTGATGCAGAGGCTTATTCGAGTTTTGTAGATTAAATCCGATACGACCAGGCAGAATAAATAAAATAATATACGATAAAAAACTAAGATCGACGATCAATTATTATCATTGACGTCAGCAATCTCATAATTTTAAATCCACTACTCACGATATTAATATTCTCGCTATTGCCAGTAGCGATCGTAAATTTGAATTTCTAAAATGATTAGTTTGTTTTCTAATACGAAGAAAAATTATCCGACGGTTTAACTTTTGATCTCATAGACTTGATAATTTTATTCAAATGAATTGAACTAGTCACGAGTACAATCAAAAGGAAATTCATAGGCCTGATACCAGACTTCTATCCAAAAGACTACACCACGCATCATCAGATAGTTTGCATGCCAAAGCCGTTTAATTTTAGAAAAATAATGATTAACATTTGATTATATCTTATTCCGGCATGTAATTCAAATACGTAGTATGAAATTCTATTTTTGCGTGTAATTCATTCTGTATTTTCATATCGATAACTTTGGGCAAAGCAAAATAATATCAAATATCTAATAAATGAATGGATTGATTATGCTAGAATATCTTTCCATCGAAGTCCAGTGAAGTCATCATATTGAGACTTTAATAATGCATATACAATGGATAGTAGATTAAATACAACAAGAAAAGGTCACCACGGAATATCTTCGACGTACGGGAATTATTGTTCGTCTTAATTTGGTCTCCATGACATGAGAAAAGCTCAGCACTCTACGAATACGAAATTGAATAGGATTAGATAAACTCAAAAATTTGCAATTTACTATTAATAAAAAACAATCGTCTATGAAAATGATTGGTGGTTTTATTCTATCAGAAAGAGAATAGATGATTATGTATTTCGATTTTGTTTCTTTTTATTCATCATTATCTCATTTTTTTAATGATTCGAGAAGTTTTCAACGAGGTCGTACTTTCTTTTCAATTCCAGGGCCAGCCAGGGCATAAAAAAAACAAGGTAAAAGTAGGGAAATATAATCGTCGTGGTTGCGTGCATGAAAATCGTACATTCAAGTAATTAATTCTCAAATAATAATAATGATAATGAGCGATTTTGAAAGGAAACTTAATTAATAAAAGTACCGCAATAATGCCTGCTTGCTTAACGTTGAATTCTCGAAAGTTTTATCGACATGACATTGACCTTGCTGAAATAAGTTTTGAATGCATCGGTTATAGATTTCAATGATTATATTTGAAAATGTTTCTTTTTTACAATCTGATTCTTTGAATTTGAATTTTCAAGATGAATTCTTTCGCGTCACGATGAATTATAGTAATTTCCTTTCGTGCTCGTTTAATATCTTAATTAGAGAATTTTGTAATGCGTTTTTTTACGCAGCTATATGACGACTTTATTATTTAATAACCGTGAATATTGATACACTATTTGTTGCTTTAACAGATCTTTCTTCTACGGTTAATAACTCTCCGAGATTGAGCCAATAATTTGAATTCACTTTTTAGATAATAACTTCATCGATGAAAAAAAAACTAGTTTCGAACTAAATCAGTACTTGAATGTAAACACAGAGTCTGAGTAGGAAAGCTAGTTTGTCGAAAATCCGGAGTCCATAGCAACTATCTGTGATCCGACTATGAAACACTTTTAAAACTTCTGGCTTGGTTTCAAATTAAATATGAACGGAAGACCCGTGCACACCTCTGTTGCATACAATAATATGTTCTCGAAGTACCTCAGACGTTCGAATGAAAAATTACCAATTTTTAACCAATGTACGTCAAATTTATGTTTTTGAATAAATGTCATATCTCTTCAAACATAAATAACACCATGTATTCAATCTTTTTGTTTGCCAAAAATTTAACATCGGTAGAATTTTTTTTCTCGCTTGTGAATTTTTTTTCATCATGTTTAAGTAAAAGAAAAAAAAACCAAAGAGCATCATGGAGAACACAATACAATACAACACACTGGTGTGCACGCAAAAACAAATACAAACAACATCGATTTGTTTTTCAATCGCATCCAAACTAGACAAGAAAAGAGAGCAAGCCACGCAAACCAACAAAACAGGAAAAAGACAAAACAAAATGTACAAAGTCTAAGAAGCTGTTTTTAAGACGAAGAAATAAAGAAATTGATTAATGACAAATCAATTGGTTGTTGTTGTTGTTATTCTCAGTGTGTTGGAAAATCAGAAAAGTCATCGAACATTCACAAAAAAAACCGAAGTTTATCTATTGGCTTTTTTTGGCGAAATTGAAATCTGCTAGGGTACTTTTTTTTTCTATTATGATATTACGATAATTTTTAATTCTTTATCTACTGTTCTTAACAAATAATTAGCATTGGTTTAATCGTTCTGTTGGATAACAACCATAAGATGTTCATCATTAATCAATGTTGTTGGACGCGATGGTGGTGTGCGTGGGCCATTCGAAAAGCCGATTGATGGACAAATAACTCTTAAAACTTTTTTACTAAATTGACATGTAGGATAGATATTTAACGTTGCGCTGTCTTGACCTTTTGAATTGTCATAATCTTTGCTTGTACTTGGATTAAACGGCATTGTTATTACACCAGCTGCTTCTTTCCTAAACATAAATAAAATATAGATATATCGCCCGATTTTCGAATAACTTTATTAGTCACGAGTTTTTGTTCAGAAAGCTTTGGCTACAGGGCAATTCTTTCTGGATACTTCATATCTACAGTAGTAGTGGTAGATGTAAAAGATGGCAAAATTACTTGCCGGCTTAGAATTTCACTGTGTAGACAAGGGCGATTGCGAATGACAGGCGCTAGACTGTCAAATCGCACATTCTTCGAACAAATTTCCTTGTTGGACTTATTCAGTTATAGGAAAAGAAAGAGGAGCTTACACGGCAAGATACGATATTAGACGAGAAAGCGATGACTCATCATCATCATCATCGATAGGTTTTTTCAATTGCGATCGATCATCAGTTTCATCCGATGATGATGGATGAGTCGGTGAATTGGCGCGTCCATTAGATTTGCGTTGCGAATTTTCATTTGAATTTTGTGTTTTCGACGATGTTATTAATATAGCGAATCTCGTTCGATTGGCAGGATTAATTTGTTTTCTATCATTATTAGGCGATGATTGTCCATTGACATTTGCCTTTGATAATGCGTCGGTAACATTGTCACGAAGTTTTCCGTCGAGCTCTTCAAATTTATGTTGATCCAGACGAAGACGTTGTGTTACCTTCAATTCAGTTTTCTTATCTTTATAATCACCTGGTTGACCTGGAAAAAACAAATCATAGAAAAAAATAATTTCTTGAATTTAGTTGTTATTTTACCAAGAACAGCTTTAGCAAGATTTGAATTGCCAGCAAGAAAATACATGCGTGCATCGTATGCATGCGATTTAAGTATAAATTGAACAGGGTAAATTGTCGATAGATGTGTATTTGACTTTAATGATAAATTGATTTTTTCATAGAGCGCCATTAAATCACTAATGTTGTTAACATTTGTTGTGTCATCGGATGATAAATATGATCCAAATGGACCATAGAAATGGTGATCAACGACAGGCGGTGGAGTTGGAGTTCGTCTTTTCTTTATTGGTGATGGTGAACGTGAGCTTGATTGTCGTTTAGCATTTTTACTATTCACAACTTCTCGTTGATCATCATTCGAAACTGAACGTACACGTTCTTTTGATGATCGTGCCGATGAAGCTGACGACGCTGATGATGATCGAGATGTACGACGTTTGGTTGTATTATCTTGTGGACGTACGATGACGAAACGTCGTGCTGTTGGTCGATCAAGATAATCAATACGAAGACCGGCTAAAACAAAATTAAAAAAAATAAAAGATTAATTTCGTTTTTTTTTCTCAATGAAATTTTCTCTTCTTACGACGACGTGATGAATCCGATTGGCCAGATTCAGTTCGAACTTTATGACCATCAACTATTTCTGTAACACCAGTCATTTTAGCGCGTGCTTTAATTGCATCTTCAATTTCATCATAAGAAACAATAGCTATTGGATCGCCAGTTGCAAAATCAAATGATTTTATTTTTCCATAACGGGCAAATGCTTGTTCAAGCTCTCGTCGTTTTATATCTATGTGTATGTTGCCTACCCAAAGACAATTCGTTGGTACGATTTTGCCTGAAATACATACATAATAATACATATGAATAAATAAATTCATATTTCACATTGACCAGCATATATATAGATGAGTGTGTATGCATACGTTAAAATAAAGAGAAATGACAAAAAAAAGATTTTTGCAAACTCTCTATCATTGTAATCAATGAATAGACATAATCATTTTAATATATAGATATATAGATATATGAATGTGTACATATGTTGTTCAATGAAAAGAAGAAAATATTTCTATCATCTATTACATGTTAAGAACGCATAGTAAGAGAATATCAGCCAAAATTATTTTACCAATTAATTAATTCATTATCATTAGCCTTCTTTACATTATCAAAAGCATTGTGACCAGAATATAGGAAGAAAGGTCAGCGCAAGAATTTTGAAAAGGAAGATCTGGAGGAAGAAAAGAGGGATAAATCCAACTTAGGTTTTATATGCGCATACATTTTAAATCAATGAATGACATTATATATCACCATTATCAAATAAAATAATAAAAACATTTTGACCAAAATTGCATCTCTATTACATTTTGTTTTTGTCAAATAAATCACTTTTTAATTAAATAATCATTTATAATCAAATAAAAATTTTATGTACGCATATATGAATATTCTATATTATTGTATTATTTTCCTAAATCAATTCTAATCTGTTATTTTCCTTTTAATATGTATATATAAGGACCTCTCAAACGCAAATGCATCATGGCTATAATACGCCAAATAAAAGTGTGGGTGTGTATATAACACAGTTAATGTAAATTTTACGTCAAAATTTCTAAAATAAGAAGATCAATTAACGTCAAAACAGATAAGACATGTATATATATATATATAGATATATAGATAGATAGATAGATAGAAGATAAATAAAAGAATGCATAAACAAGCACAAATACTCAATGACATAGAGCCACAATAAGCAAGCCAACTTTAAGTGGGACATGGATGGGAAAAAAATTTGTTTTTTTCTTTGTACATACCATATCCAATTTTGCAATCAGCTTTGCCAATAAAATGGCCATCCATGGCACGTCTTGCTTCGTATGCCATGTCCATATTTTCATATTGAATAAAAGCATATGCTCGTTTGGATGATGACTGTGGAACTTTAAGATCAACTAAATGACAAGAAACAAAACGATTAATTTCATAAAGCTCTAGCCTATAAAAAAAAGTTGTGAATTACTTTCTTCAATTGTTCCATATCGGCCGAAAACTTCTTTTAATTTCGATTCTCTTACGTCTCGTTCGAGATTGCCAACGAATAATGTACGCGTTGGTTCATGTTGCACATTGGATTCGGCACGAGCCGCTGAAAAATCTTCATATTTTCCTCGTGTTGTTTTATATGCAACCGGTGATGTTGACATTGATCGGCTACGACTACGTCGTCGATGTTGTTCACGAGGTGGTGACGGCGATGAACCTTGTCGATTTCGACCTGCTTTCGTTGTAGCATAATCAGCTAAATCAGGTGGCAATGGAATATAAGGTGAATAATGTCGACGGGAGCGTGGTGGTGAAGATGTATGATGATGTCGACCACGAGAACTAGGTGGTGGCGGCGGTGGTGGTGGAGGACTTGGTGATGGACGACGCGGACGACGTTTTGGAGAGGGTGGAGAACGTTCACGTGGACTACCAGGATTAAGTGGTTGCTCGGCTGGAACAGTTCGACGATAATAAACACTAAAATTTGACAAAATGAATTGTTTTTCTTTTGCACCTAAAAGTGTTCTCGGTAACCTACGGTTCGAGTACAACTTGAATATTCTCCCATATGAGACCAGTTTTTGCATGACGTGCTTTACGTGCATCTTCACAATTAGTAAAATTAACAAAAGCAACACGTTCTTGATTTTTATAATAGATCTTCACCGAGTTTGTACCATATTTAGAAAATTTTTTACTACACAATTCACGAACCTCTGAAAAATATGGAAAAAATTACGAAATTTTTCTAAACATATTTTTCTATTTACCGAGATCGGGAATTTTTGGATTGACATTTTTTACACAAATCGATGTGTAAAGTCGATGCTGCTCGGAGTTACTTCCACCATCAGCTGAACTTGACGGCTTAGAACGTTTCGATGGCGGCACACTATTTGATGGTGAACGTGAATAACGTGCTCGGCGAGAACCACCGCCACTGCCTGTAACTGGAGGTGAACTCATTTTTGTTTTCTTGTCTTTGTCTATCTGTTAAATGAATACGATCTGAATAAGAGAATGTCTGTTGAATACAGAAGATGTTGGAATGGTTGATAACAATAATAACAATGGTGTATGGTAATCAATGGACTCGAAAATTGAAGGGAGGAATAAGGAAGGAAGAGAACAAATCGATGCATTTATGCATTTGTATTTTTTCATGAACGACTAATACTCTGTCGCAATATTTTCATAAGAAAGAAATTTTTATCGTGCATTGAAGAAAATTCTAAAGCTGTAATAATATCTCTTGAATATGCACTATTGTAAAGTTTCGAGATACAAAGCAATAGATAAGTCCTCTAAATCAAAAATCCCGGCGCTCCCTGCTATAATTAGGTCTATTTGTAAACGAGGTGCGCAGACGTGTCAACTTGTAATCTGTGAATCTGTGAATCTCGATTACCGTCAAACAAAAAAACATCCGTTCTCAGACAATATTTTACGCATAAAATATTCATAAAGCTAAATCACGACACTCATAGCTATCGGCTACAAACCAACTCGAAGTCAAAAGCAACCACGTCTTCTCCATCTTATATTGAATCTAAAAATAAAATAAGCGTTTTTCTGATGTGCAGAACTAAATCCATAAAAAAAAGATTATTATTTCTTATAGTACATCACTCTTCTGGATTACAAACTCAAAGGTGCAACTTTATTAAATTGTATCAGTACATAATATAAGAAGAAAACGTTTTCTTTTAAATACGTGCGCTCATTCTAAAAACATGATGCAAAATATTTTCGATTATAAAAGTGAAAACAAATAATATTCGGAATCACCACCGTACAGAACAAGTGACGAAAGTCCATTCTTGTACAAAAACTTCTTCTGTAATCAATACACTGGTTTACTCATGTCCTATCTAAATGCATTTATGATTCACTTGCTTCATTAGATTCATGTATACTTTTCTCCCAATTAAAATCAAATTAGAACTGTAAACCAAACAGAAAAAAATAATATAATGAAACTCTTTATCTTCCTCATCAATCAATGGCTAAGTCGACAGATTCATCATTAAAGTGCGAAATGGAAATGATGCACAAAAGAATACGAATAAACATTGATTTGGAATTCGAGAAATTTTACAATATTCAATTCTACGTTAAAAGCCCGAAGAAAAAAATCTCGTCCTTGTATAGTTACAACAGTTGGTACCTTTTCTTTCCTCTATGCAAATGAACTCTATGATGATGATCTATAGTCGTCAAGTATATTTCTTTCGCTTACTCATTCATTTTACCATTCACGCACAACAATCAAACTATGTAGATAGATATGGTTCATTAACAGATAAGTATCATCTTGAAATAATAAACAAATTGTCAAACAAATCTGAACATCTTTTTTTCTCTTCTCCTCCTCCTCCTCTTCAATAATGTACTGGTTGTATGTTTTTATTGGTGGAAAAAATTAAATATATACAAAACACTTGAGCTATATAAAGAAGAATCTTGAAGATAATTTCATTTCGTTCTAGAATCGCTTGTTATACACGAGGACGAATATTCAATGAAAGGTTACCAATCGAACAGGTTCACATTTGTTTGCTGATGTTTATAATAAAGCAAAGATTTTTGTACCTGCACGATATTAGCCTAGATTGCACGATTATATGAAGCATGCTTAGTTAAGGAAGATTTTCATGGAATAGGCTCATCACCTGTAAACTGAACGTAGTGTATTAAATTTCAGTTGCCAGGTTTTTGACCCTCTTACGAAAATCTATATACATCGACTTTTTCCTTTTTAAATTCTGATTAATTGTTCTCAACTTTTTCATCAGATCAATAGAAAATATGCCAACAGATGCACTTTTGCATAATACAAATGAAGCAGCCGTTCGCTTCATTCTCGAAGGACTTTGAAGCATAAATTATTCATGTCAGCTACTTATAATCGAAGCTTAAACAAAATTTATTGATACATTTTGAGAATCTTTCTGCATGCATAGAAGATCCAAGGGACACGATCAAAAGTTCCCATTAAGAATATCGTATGCTTCATAACTGTTTGCATAATCTCTATTCGCCGCAATTTCTATACAATGGAATCATTTCGAATTTTGTATGTTCAAAAACTTTTTCATATATTTAGAAAAAAAAAACACTTCAAGACAATCTGAGGAACGAAATAAACAAAGGTAGTTTACCTTCGTTTACAAGAAAACGAAAAGTTTTCATACCAAATCGTACGAAAACGAATGAACTAAATATATTTATATACAAGAAAACAAGGAGAATTTCACGCATATTTTGAGAAGCTATTGAAAGTTACAGATAACCACCGTTTCCATCTTTCTTCATTCATGTTAAGCTTTTGCCACTGCTGTTGCTTTCGAAGGACTCAATAATTCTTTTTCTTGATCTTTCGCAGGCTCATACAGAACACTTTTCGCCATTTTATTCTAAAATAAAATGAAATCGTATTAATTTGTTACGCGATGTGTAAAGGATATAAAAGCTTACGCGTCGAGTAAGTAAAATTAGTTCCACTACAATGAGAATAGCAATAACTGACACGAATGCTATCATCGTATAAAGAATATTAAGTGATTGATGAACATAATTGATCTTTTCAAGAACTACAGTTAGTGTTTTTAATGTTTTTATTGCTTCTTCATTAACAGTAATTTTCTAACGGGAAAATAATAAGAAATCTTAAAGAAACAAATGAAAGGATGTTTTTACTTGATCAATCCAAACCATAGGAGTAAAACGACGGACAGCTCGAGTACCACTAGGACTAAAAATCGAATTATTTTTCGATGAAAAGAAACTTTTTCTCCGTAAATTTATTCATACTCTGTTGAACCATCTGGATTAAGAGTAAGTCGATCGATCCAAGCATTCGTATTCAATTGAATACGTAATTGAGCTTGAATGGGTGTACCAGTTATAGGTTCAAAATAAATAGTCGATTCATGTTTGTCAAAATCTGGTTTAAAATCAACATTGGTGTATGATGAATTATGACCATAGAGATGCGGTTTTGTTAAGTAAAGAGTTTCCGCGGGAATTTCAGCTACAAACAAAAAAAAAGGAATTGTTTCTTATCATTCAGTGAATATATTCGAGCTTTGTTTTTCTTAGATCAAAATGATCTGTAGATATTTCATTGTATAACCTACCTGATAAACATTTTGTGATGTCAATTTTATCAGCTTCGGGACAGAATTCATCCATCTCTGGACACTTTTCTACGTCGACTAATTTCAAAACATATTCATGTAGATGAGGAAAGCCAAACTTCGATACTGTTCGATTGTATCGAAGTTGTACAGGTCTAAACAGAGATTTTTGCATTTGACAAAACAAGCGTTCAATCATTTTTCTACAAACCGGCAGAAATCAGGTTGAAATACATTAATAACTTTTCGATTTGTTGGATTACCCAATATTGGAAATGTCATACCATCTAAAAATCATCGAATTCAAAGCCTTCAATAGGCAAAAAAAATTCGTCACTCACCAAACATGGTTGTTTGCCAATTTTCAAATGATGTTTTGAATGGTGTACTAAAACACAAAATAAGGAAATGAAAAATAAAGCTACATTTCTAATTTTACTATTCGGATGCAAAATCAACCATTTGTCCTTTAATCGTTAAATCATTGATACCCGTAAGAATCGTATAATTAAATCCATTTGTTCCATTATACTAAATAATGGCAATTTTTAATATCATTGCTTTCTTTTCTCACTTACTCGGTAGATAAAACCATATTTATCTCTGTTGGGTCCTTGCATTCGTGATGATATAGCAGCAAACATTGGCGATATATAACCTTCTAATTTATCAATAGCTTTCGAATAATTGAATGCATTATTTCCACCAAGCATATAAAAAACTGAATCAGCAACACTACCATATTTAGTTCGAAACATCTAGAGAAATATTTCCTTTTAAACAAAACAATTCATTATGAACTGTATGATATCTTACAACACGAAGTATATCAATAAAGGCTCCTTGTTGATCAAGTAATGCTTTAGTGTATTCACCATGACGTGTAAAAAATCGTTCGACTGAATAATGAATTGTTGTATTGTTATCTAGCCATTCGACATTATTCTTTTTAATAGCAAGTCTAAAACATAAACGTTCTCTGTAGATCATGGTTCAACTTCGGACTGATTCTTTGTAGAAAATTTCCTATGGACTTACTTGAACAAAAATGGTTCAGTTTCACGAAATTCCATTAATGGATTCTTCATATCTGTCATGATAGTCATATAATTTTTTATATCGAACAGCCGATATGCACGTATAGTTGTAGCGGGTGGAATCGTCCAACTTGTATTTCCTAAAGACATTGGAGCCAAACGAATTTTCTAAATAATTGAATATTTTTATTCACCGTTTTAATTCTATATCGAATGTACTTACTTCGAGAGCTTTACCATGAACCCACCGTTGACAGTCAGGCCATTTCAATACAAAAAGAATTACAAAAGCAAAGAGGAAACATACAAGTAAGATTTTCCATATAGCACGAACTAAAATTGACCGCATCTCTCTGGGTCCCTTTGTCTCATTTGTTCTATAACAAAAATAAATAAATATAAACTAATCAAACTAGAAAAATAAGCGTACGGAGTTGCTGGTGGCGACGTGGATTGTTCCATTCGTTTGAATAATCTAGAAAATGAATATAAAAGAAAATATTTCTTGATTCTAATCTCAATAAATATGCAGTGAAGAATTGCAAAGTGTCTAGCTTGATTGTGATAATAACCACATATTCGTTCTTTGAATAAACTGATTAAATGTTTCGCATAGAACTAATATCTCCAACGAATTTACACTAACGCACACATGTCAACACGTTTTTATTTTGAGCGAAATTGAAGTCAAATTGAATACATGTGTGTGTGATTCTTGGCATTTTTTTCTCGAGGGACTAATAGAAGCCTCTATTAAAAATAAATTACATTAGGCTTGCTTTTGACAGTATATTTCCATCGGCAGCTGAGTTGTCAATTATTTTCCTAATCTGATAAATTTTGTTATTCCATATTGAAATAGACTTTTTCTTTGTATGTCGCTTCAACTTATTATAAAGCACACGTGAAATGGTCCTAACAAACTAAAATCACATATGTTTATCTCGAATACTAATCTAGTCTAGAGAATAAGAAAACTATTACAAGGGCGCTCGTTAAGCTATTGCATACAATCAAATTTTAAAAAAAGGAAATACCAATAAAAATAAAATAGCGTATACGTGAATTGTTATATAATTTTGTTGAAAGAAATCGATTGAAAATAAACAATGACATTCTATTCCTTTGCACACATCATATAATTCAAAAAATAAACATTGTTAATCTGAGTTCATATAGAAATGAATAATATTCTCATATAGTTAGCCGTTCTTGAAGTTCTATAGTATGTGCGCTTATCCTCATTATCCGAAAGAATAACCAGCGAAACACTTATGCACTATAATATATCAAAGTAGACGTAAATTACTTACGTTATTAAATGAATGAACACTAGTGAAATTATAATGTGTTATGCATCTTCTTTTTCTTCCAATAGTCTTTTTCGTGATGAATCACTGAGGTCGTTTTGTCGGAGAAGCGCAATCTTGAGGGTGTGGTAATATCAATAAATACAACAGACATTTTTTTAACAATCGGACAACCGAGTTGTGTATGCGTACCTTGACTACTAGTTTTTAACTGAAATCTTTCGCTTATTGATGAATACTTCTTCCGATTGAAAAATTTAGCTGAATAAGTATTGGCACAGTGAACTATTTTCTCTCGATATCAATCAGTTGGTTTGATTGCACTTCACATTCTTTTTTCCTGTTGTTTAAATTGAGTTGTCCGAGAATCAAATATTACCTTTGTGAACCCCGGAACTGCATAATGTTGGTGATAAAATAAGTTCTGTTATATTCTAACAGAAAACATGATTGCTACTATTTCATGTGAGTAAGATGACAGAAGTTTTGCATTTAATTATTTAGATGTTTAGATAGAACGTAACCTTTTCAAACTCATACACTCAACGATTTGAAGATTTTGCTCTACGCAGTTAGTTAAACTATGATTTTCTGTTTAAATAGGCTGCTTGGTTCGGAATAGTAAAAAATAGATGGCATTGATATTTGAAGATAAGCTTGATCATTGACCATATCGACTTGTTATTCATTAGCCGTTGATCATTGAGTGCCTCTTGTTTTCGATTATCGTCTGATGATGACCTCTGAAATTCAGGCATTTCTTCATCATCAGTTATCGGTGGATATACGTTGCTCACAACCAATGTCATAAACCAAATAAAAAATCGTTGAACAAAATTAATTCGATGAACGACTGCCCATAGGCGGGTCGTAAATCGTTTTTCATTTTGTTTCTTCTGCGCCCTATGCTTGTCCGCCATTTTTTCGACAAAATTATCTATATTTGGATATTTTGGATCGTAGTTTCGTCGAATTCTTTCATGATATTCGAAAACAATTCGAAAGCGATGATCATTGATGAAAGCGGGTACTCGTTCGAGTGGTTTGATAAGAGAACAAAATGTTAAATCAGCCGCCGAGAATCGATCACCAACTAAATAATCATTTGTACCTAAATGATGACCAACGTCTAGAAGAATTTTTTCTGTTTTTTCTTTTAGTTATTCTTCACGTATACGATGAAGTCTATAGCGAGCAATCATAAAACAAGCAATAAACGAACTAATAAAACGAGAACGAATATCATCCGGATTATAGGCCCATGAAAATTTTTCACCAAATAGAATTGACATTGCGCCTGGTTTTTCGTTGAGAATTTCAACATAAGTTAGTCGACGTGCATAAAGACCTAATTCCGAGTCCAGTCTTAAACATGTGTCAATAACTTGTTGACGTAGTTCACTTGGTGATGATGGGAAAAGCGAAATGGACGATCGAGGATAGTGACCATCCAAGTAGAGCAATATTGGTGTTGAATCACATTGAAATGGATCACCATCTTTATTGTTCGGATCGTCAATAATTGGCATCAGCTTTCGTAATGATTTAGGTGCTCGTTCTAGGGGTGTACAGCTCACGCTCATGAGCGAGAGCGTTTGTATGCCATCGAATACATGATCGATTCTGATCATTTGTATCTAGTCGATTCCTCGAAAAACTGCATTCACACTTTTTGTGCCTGTAGTACCCCTCAGGTATCGCGATCACAATTTTTTTTTATTAATCAGTCAGAATCATATAAACTTGAAGGTTTAGTGGTGCCGATGAAGAATATTATCATCATACCTCTAAAAAAACATTCATTCTTGAAATATCTCTAATCACTCTGTGAACTCATTCCTCATTAGTTTGGCTCTCCTAGCATTATTATTCACTAAAATTCAATTTAAAACACATTTTATAATTCATAATTCTGCGCTCTATATGAATCTGAACTTATTACAACACTACACGGTAGTATTCGGAAACAAAATAGTGATTTCCAAGCAAAAATTCCTTTTTTCTTTAAGAAATGGAATTTAGTCTCTATGATTGTTTATGCAGTCACTGTTACTGCAAGGTAAAATTCGAAGGATACGTGTAATTTTTCAAGGTCTATCGATTGGTAGCATTAAAAATGATTAAAATTATGTGAAACAGGCCGAGGGCTTGACACTCTCGTGAAAGAAGTCCGTTTCTTACTAGATTTACCTATATATGTTTGATTTTCCCTGTTATCTTCTTCTCTTAAAGGTAATGAACCTAATTATTTTATTTATTTATGGTGGATTGAAAGCAAGTGTAGTTCTAGTTTCCGATAAAAATTTTCGTACATTGTGTAAAATACTAGTGATGTTCCAGGGGTCAGTTGATTTTACCAATATAGCCAAACTCAGCAGAGATACGCCTGCGTTAAGTGTATTCTGCTTAGTATGCTCTTTCGCGATACTCGCATCATTTAGATAAAGATCCCCGAACAAAAGATTATCAAACAGCTAATTTACAAGAGATTCGAATGTTTATTTTGATGCTCTCTAATTCAATAATATTTATTTTAGGTGATCTTTTTTTCGACTATATTTGTTTCGACGATGACAAACGCTTTCTATATTTTTTTACTTCTCACCTTGTTATATTTGTTCTTCTACATTTTTGCAACTACCAATCGAAAGAGCATGAAAAATCACACTGATGGTTCGAATCTTACGTTGCAATAGGACTGACTTCACAAACTGTCATAGGTACAAAATTCGATATGTTATAGAAAATGTTAATTTCTGCTGGGGAGTCGCGAGTTCCTTTGCAAACGTTACAGTTTATGATTGTAAAAGGTTCAGATTCGCATAGAACGCAAAATTCTCAGTTAGAAATTTGGTTTTCGCTGAGTTTTAGTGAATAATTGTGCTAGGAGGGTCAAATAATCAGGAAAGCTGTGCAACTAATGATTAAAGCTATTTCACAAATAAAAGCTTTTTGAGAGTTCTCACGATGATATTCGTCATCAGCACTCTTAAATGTTCAAATTCTTACTATTTTGGCTCGTCAACAAAAACAAATTATATTCACGATACCTGAGGGGGACCCCATGTACAAAAATTTTGAATATTGTTGTTCGAGGAATAGACTAGATAAAAATGACCAGAAGCGATCGCGTATTCTATGCCAAAGAAACGCTCACGCTCATGAGCGCTCATATGAGCGTGAGCATTGACCGCTCGCGCTCATCGCGAGCGTGAGCGAAATAGCGCTCACGCTCATGAGCGTGAGCGTGAGTTGTACACTCCTAGCTCGTTCTAAGCCTTTTGTTCCTCCGAAAATATTGTAATTGATTTGTTCGTAGGGAATCTCTTTTAAATCCAGCGCCCAACGAACTTTATCACAGTAATGAGACCAGGGTATTTGATAGAGACGAAGACTCTCCATGATCTTGCCAACGATTGTTCCTGAAGCAAAACATATAAGAGAAAGATCCAATACAAAATAAATCATATTAACAAAATAGTTCACTCGGATACTCTAATTCGATAGAATCAAACCATCGAATAGACACAAACAAATTAAGATGCAAAAGTATTTCTATACAAAAATAGATAGTTTGCAATATGAATGTTGATGAGCGTCTTTCCGTTACAAACATCATCAATTGATATTTACACTCACAATAAGAATTGACTCAACTGTATGATTACGATAAAATCTGTTTTAATGTAAAAATAATCAGATTGTCAATCTTAACTTTCTTCATATTCGAAAACGCAATGTTATTGCATGATAAATGTGACAAAACAAGGGTAGGTAAGAGATAAGAATTGAAGTCGAAAATAAGATAAAGAAATTAACAAATGCTCATCTTTATATACATAACACAAGAAAAAAAAGAGTACTAAGTAAAAGATCCACGTATATGGTTTTCTGTTCTTCACAATTAAAAACGTTGACCATTAAATCCCATCGGTGGAAAACCTGCTGGTTGAACCATAAATGGTAGACCACCCATTGTAGCTAGAACAAAAATGAAAGTTTAGATTAAATCATAGATATAAAATCAGTAATACAAAACATACGTCGCATGAAATTAGCCATTGAAAGACCAGAAGGTATTGGAGGCATTTGCATTTGTTGTGGTATCATTATTTGTTTATATTTTGGTAAAGAGGCACGAAATTCTTCCTAAATAAAATATACAATTCTTCATTTGATTCAATTTGAATATCAAAGTTTACCAATGATATATCATCATCTGGATGGATTATTTTTGCAGTACCAGCAACTGGTTCGATTTTCCCTTTATTACCAAACAATGAATTTGACGTAGTAGTTGATAAATTTGATATAGCTGCAGCAGCTGACGCCATTGTAGTTAGATTAGGCGTGGAATTAGTATCATGACTTGTCTAAATTAATAAAAACAGTATTAAAGTAAAAAGAAATTTCTTAATTCAACTGACACCAGTAGCTCCACTTGGAAACAGTGGTTTGGTTGGAGCAGATTGGAGAAGAGTTGCTGATGGAATCATAGGTATTGGTGGTCTTACTGTTGTCATCATTGGTACAGGTGGCATCATAGGCAATGGCATTGATGTCATGCCAAATGGCATACCAGGAAAAGTCATTGGCATCATACTTATTGGTGGCATTGGTGGTAGACTAAGTGGTGTAGACACTTTCATAGTGTCTGTATTATCTGTTTCATCTTTATCTTTGCCAGCAAGACGCTTTTCATGTGATCGAAGATCTTCTTCTGGTATCCCTTCCATGCCATAAATTTCTATTTCAATATTTTCACGCCCTTTAATTGCATTTGGTACTTTGTCAATGTTTTCTTTATGTACCTAAACAAATCAAGAAATATCTATTAGACATAAAAAGAAATCGATAGAAAAAATATATAATTCTTTATACTTGTATTGAATGAATTTGTAAACCGGGTCCAGTATATAATTTTTTATGGCACAAGTGACATTTAAAATGTTTTGCCTTTTGATGTTGTAAGAGAATTTTTTCATCATCGAATTCACGATTGCAATACCAGCACCAAGGTTTTGTTTGTTTCTTTTTCTTCCGACCCATAATCCAATAGATATGGATACAAATCTAGAAAACTACAATAAAAATAGGTTTTTTATGTATATGCATTGTTTCACTCTACTAAAATGTTAAACACACATACACACACACAGACATTGTTCTTTTTTTCTTGCACTCTGCAGAATAAATATATGAAAAAGAAATGATTAAATATTTCACAAAAAATAAACACTACAAAGTCTTATGATGTTCCAATGATACGATCCAATGGATCTTTAAGTCGTTGAAGGTCATGTTCAACCATCATTATTTCATTTTTCAAAATATTATAACGAGCTAAATCAAACTTCTTCTTTCGTAATAAATGATGTAAAATTTTCAAATAAAAATAGTCGGACATATTCATATATTTCATATCGCTCCGACGAAGTATATAATAACAATAACCCATAAATACAGCTGAATACGAAATAAAATACGTAAAAGGCTCCATTATATCCCAACTAAACAAAACAAGGATTTAATTAAATTTGTTTTACAACAAAGAGCAATATACCTGTAATCAATCCATACTAATCTAAATAAAATACCAGTTTGAAAAGACATTGCAGCAAACATTGACCATTGAATCCTAATTTAAATAATAAATCTTGTGGGAAATTTCACATATACAATATTCAGCTAGAATAACTGATTTTAATATGAATAAAGTGTGATTATAGAGCATCTCAAAAAACAAATAGATGATTATTTAACAATTTGAGTTCATATATAGTTTTCTCTGAGTTCTCATTCTTACCGATTTCTATTGCTGAGATTAATATGCGATTAGTATATAGTGTGAAACTCCAATAAAAAAACAAAGAAGGGCGAACCGATATTCTCAAAGCACTCGTTATAAGAAATAGTATGCCTATTATGTTCTATCAAGTATAGATTTTGAAATATATGATAGAATAGAATTACAAACCATTTTAAACGTCGGATAGCTTTATTTGCAAGTTGATGATGAAGTTGATTAAGTGGTTGAACAGATTCACGTAAAAATGCCAATTGTTTTTCTAATTCGTATTCACGATACATAACATATTGATTAAGATGTAAATCATGGTAGAGCTTCGTTACAGAATTCGAAACCTCAGAAAGCATTTCTCGAGAGGATCTTTTTGAAGTAAATAAAGCTGGCGGACGAACGTTGTAGGATGCTTCATTAATGCGTAGTGTAAATGGTTCTTCAAAAATTAATTCAAAAGGTGAATTTCGTGAAAGACGAGATCCATCGGGAAGATAAATAGATGCTCGATCTATACCTCGATCTTCCTTTTGTAGTATGTCAATGAAATCACCAACTGTGGTATTGAATGGTTTTAACTAATAATAAAAAGAGTTTTTCAAAGTACTTTAAAAAGAAAAAAAAGAATTCTTTTTGCTTTTACTTGAAAAACACACGATTCTCCTCTACTTGGTAATGGTACTGTAAGATTTGCGAGTCCATCTCTAAATTCAATTTGAACTGATGATGTTGCAATCAGACGAAAAAATTTAAAACATATAGAAGGATTATATTTAGTTAAAAGAATTCGGTGAAGTAACATTTTTTTGGTCCAAAAATTACATCTAAAATAGAAAACTACTGAAAAACAAAAAAGAAGAAGACAAAATGGAATTTCATTCTAAAGATCACAATAATTATGATTATTTATTAACTGACGGCACAATCACTATCACCCTCTTTTTTCATATTTAATTTCTTTAATTCTTCGTGTACTTGTTTTTCAAAGTCGAGAATAGCTTTAGGTTTTTTATACTAAAAGAATGAACTGTTGAATTAAAAACAAGGAGAAAAATTGAATCCTTACACTAATAATTAATGTATTATTGGCATGAGAATATGATAAATTTGTTTCTTCTAATGGAAGATTTAATCGATCGAGATCAGCAATTGAAAAGCGTTTAAAATATCTTTTAAAGAAAAATAAATACATATTTTCATTCTGGAAAGAAAAATCATCTTAACATATTTACTTTCTACTTGTTGTTCTTAAGACAAATTCTCGTTTATCTTTATCAATGGTTAATTGATATGTATCAATTGAATATGGTAAATTTCTTATGCGGATTTCAAAGCAATCACTTTTATCATTACGTGAAAATATTGGCTACTCAAGGGAAAGTTTTATTCTTTAATATTTCATGCAATTAGAAAAATCAACACATACTGTTGTAGTGCTTTCTGTCATGCCGAGTGTATTATCTATAATTGGTCGTGTTTCATAATTTTGGCCAACTTCAAATGTCCATGAATCAGATGTTGCCAAAGTTTTTAAACCAGTACTTGGTTTTTGACGCCATTTTCGAACTAATTTTTATTAAAGCAAAATATTGTAGATACACATATAAGTATCAGTGTGTTGATTATACTTAAAAGCACGTTAGTCGCTGCATCATATTCTTCCACCATTTCGGTTTGATCATCAAATGTATAATGAATTTTTTTTCGATCTTGAAATATTTGTATACTAAATAATTTTAGCATCAAGAGAAATAGAAATGAATTATACCATTTTGAAGAAGGCCAGCTTTTTTAGCTGTTTTTAATTTCTCTATCCAAACTGATTTTGCTGCTGCTATCATTTGTTCGACACGATGGAAACAATCTATGTTTGGGAAGTTGTTTTGATTTCCTAGCAAAATACAGTAATCAAGTCATCTGTAAAATATCTTTTTAAGTCCATATGCAATAAAATAATTTTTTGTTTCGATTTTTAGGAAAATTTTCAACTTGATTACAAAATAATTAAAAATGAAATTGTCGTCAATTCTTAGAATTCTGTTAATGTATATAATAAAATATGTTTGATAGATGTCGTTGGTACTGCAAGTAGCTGCCAAACAAAGAAAGACATATTGTATATCAATTTAGTCGAAGAGAAACCTTACTGCCAAATATAGGCTTTTGGAATGAATGTGTACACCTATTCAATGGTCCCATCAGAAAACGAATGTTATTTTCATCTTTCCGTTTGTAAAATTTGATCATTAAATATCATATCTCACAATTTATCTTACAGATGAGATTCATATAGAGATAAAATCTCGTGCATACAGTCAAAAAATTCATAAATCAAATTCATCTATGGGAAGATCAGCGATTTGTTTGCTTTTTGATAAGATATTTGAAAATAAGAACTGCTATTATGATTTGCCCGCTTTTTACTGTTTTATTCGTTACATAAAATTATCTTCACTTCATCGTTGATTTTCACTTAAACAATGATTAATTCAAAACTTATCTTTATTACATTAATAATAGAAGTATCATTATATTCACTTGCCAATACTCATCATAGTTTTTTATTCGACGATAATCGTGCCATTGGTGGAGAATCTCTAGATACGTCTAAGTTTGTTATATATGTAAATGAAAATTCTTCAAGATTTATTGAAATACCCCAAGAATATATGAAAAATTGGATAGATGATCAGAAAATGTGGCGAACAGTAAGAATTGGTATTGAACTTAAATTACAATAAATTAATATTATTTTCGTTGATTTCTAGTGGTCAATTATATTAGCTGTTATGTGTTTTATCTTTTTTACCACTCTAATGCTTTTTCTTATTCATGGCTTTATTACTTCTACAGGCCTATTTGCTAGCTCTAAACAGTTTGTCATTACAAATTCATCACATCCTAAAATGACATCATCATCAACAACAATGGTCATCGGATACTCACAGATAACGAAAAGTCCAAGAGTGCAACAATCGTATCTAACGGGTTCTAGTCGTATATCAACATTATAAAATGATAGATAGTTAGAATAAGAAAAAAAAGAGCGCTTTCTTAAATAAATAACGACATATTCTATGAGAATACGTTTAGCAAAATCCTCACAAAGTCATGTTTGGAACATCGAAGTAATATTTAAGTTATTCACAAAACTTTTGAAAGATTCAGAAATTTGAAAAGTAAAAGTTTTCAATTCATTTCCGAGGCTCGGACTCGTGGATGTATTTGATATGTCAAACACATCAATACACTGTTAATTTCTTGTTTACAAGGAAAATGCTGATATATCAACTACATCATTTTCAATTGATTTTGTCATCGCCAAGAAAATTTTTCTTGTATCTGACGTGTTCTTAAATTGTTTATTCGCTTTAGTCCTGCAGTTTTTTCCATCGTGATTGAATCTAATATAATACTGTACAGCCGTTAACGCGTGATTTTTCTGTGAAAATAGAAGCAGGATACGCTACAATATAGTTGATTCAAATCATAAATTAAAACAAAAAGATTATCGGAAAAAGAAATTAATGAGAAGTAAGTGCAACGTGTGAGTTATAAGAATTAGTAAGGAGCTATATGATCATCAGCGGCATCTTTTCATGTTAAATTGGGTTTGTTATTTGGTTTGACAAATTGATTGAATTGAAAATGAAAATACAAATACAACACTGATCGAGTTCGAGTTAAAGAATTTTTTCAGTTCTGCTAAACAAATGATGGAATTAACAAATATGTAAGTTCTATTTTATCATCAATATATTAATCTAAATTAGCCATTGTTTTATCTGTAACAGACTTAAACAGCACGATGTCTGTTTTTTGTTGAACAATCAGAAGGACAACGAATAAAATCTGATTCAATGTCAATTCATTAGTTTAGTTAACACAATCAGAAAGTTCGTTACGATTAGAATGAAGATTATTGATCTCCTTAGGTGTACAACATACAGACTGTAGTATCTGCTTGAGGAATGACTGAAACAACACTAAAAAAAAAGAACTGTTTGTTGATGTATAAATCATACCAGTAAATCAATTTTCTTTGGATACTTTTAGTTCAATAAAATAATGCTTTGTTTAAAAATTGTTTCATTATACTTTCAAACTTATAATCATGTTCAGCCAATAATGTCACGTTGTTTTCGTCTTCTTTTTTCACTGGCTTGGAACGCTGTTATTATGTAAATAATTAGATACGAAGCATTTTCAAAGTCTATTTTTATTCATTTTAGTTTTCCATATTTATTTTCATTTGGTACACTTGCTGCTGGCCTACAAATTCGTGTTGATATCGATATTAATTAAAAAATAACGACGAGACAAAAAAAACATCTTCTTGACATGTCCCGCAGTATCCGTGATCTTCGTGAATTAATTTGTCTATCTCGTTTTGGCTTTCGTTCTGACGAAAATGATTTAGATAATAATCATGATAACAACACAACCACTACCAATACTAATCAATCGAATAATAGCATACTTTTTTATTTTGATTCATCAATTCTTAACAATTGGCTCGAAATAACATCATCGCGTCTAGAAAAATTACGTTCATTACCAACAATTACATTGATTAATTTTATTTATTTTTGGTTAAAACAACTTGAGAATGAACATAAACAATCATTATTTCAAATGGAATTTGAATTATTTGTTGAACATTTACTTCTGGCATTTACACCCAATGATATTGATTCACTAGAAATAAATCAATTTGCTCGAAATATTTTGCATGATATCGACAAACAAATTGGGATGTATTCAATTGAAAATGATTATAATTTTATTTATCATATTGATATTTTTAATCGTTACAAACGTGATGATCAATATCGAACATTATTAGCTGATTTACCAAATGAATTAATAACTAATATAAATAATAATTTACATTTACAATGGATGTTAGCTATTCGTGCATTTGGGCTTCTAGCTATATGTACAGCAGCTGTTGAATTTTTTGAGAAAATTCAAAAGACGCTCGAAAAGAATCCAACAGCAGGTAGAAAAATATTTGCATAGTTTGGAGATTTTATTAAAATGTTTCGAACATTTTATATGAACAGTTGATATGTTAGTCATCTTGTCACCGTTTAATCTTGCACGAATGATTACCATTTTTGTTTTTAGAAACAAGATTCTTCTCCAAATAGATTAGTCAAGTTAGAAGTATGACATTTGAAAATCGAGAAGTTTTAAAACTACTATTAGAATTTCGTTAATGTGCCTATTCATATTTATGGCGTACATTAAGAGACGCTTTCTAGTTGTACTAAATAGTCAATATCTTTGAAATAAAAGCCAAATATTCAGTGAAAAAAAACGTTCTAATTTTGGTTAGGTGAATTATATTCATCTCAAATAAATGATGGACCATTATTCAATAATCAATCCGATCAATGTAAAAATCGAATTTTAACTGCATTAAGGTTTAATTTGATCATATCGTAAATATTTATTGACTCTTCATTTTCTATTGTTCTATTTAGAAAGGATTGCATCGATGTCATTGAATATTTTATTAAAACAAACCAATTAACTGGCGAGCCAATTGATGAACAAAATCGAAACATTTTATTTCATGCACTACCTATCGGCAATATTTCTATGATTGAACATTTATTAAAATCAGTTGAGTAGTTTGGATCGATTTGTTATTATAAAATATTCATGAATTTGTTTAGAACTTAAAAGGCTTCGATATCAATTCTGTCACTCAATCTGGAAATAGTCTTCTTCATTTATCTATCAGTCTTCAACGTCTTGATATAATGGAATTGTTAATAAAATATTATCCAAATATAGATTTAAATCAACGTAATCAACAAGATGCTGCACCTATTCATCTTGGTATAATTTACAATGATCTTGATATAATTCGTTCTCTTGTTCGATCAGGTGTCAATACTAAATTGACTATGAAAACAAAAACATGTTTACAACTTTCAATTGAATTCAATCATGAACGTTTAATTGAATTTTTTTCTGAACCTGTTTAATTGTTAAGTTAGAACGATTTTAAAAAGAACATTTTAATTTTTTATTATAATTCAATTAAAAGCAGATTAAAACTTTAAAAAAAAATATATATATATATATAATATGGCAAAAAGAAAAGGAAAGGAATGCAATCACATTGAATTTTTAGCTTCAATGAAGTATCGAATTGTTTACTTAAGAATTTGATTCTTGAGCAATCTTGCCTTTTTTAAATCGTAAACAATGAAAACAATTTTTAGTTTCATTTCTAGTACTTAAATTTATTTGTTTTTCTTTTAATTGTATACCGGAAGCAAAAAGATTAAGTGCTTGACGATGAGCACGAATTCGAATTTCATTCCCATTTATTAATTCTCCATCACAAGCCCAATTACCAGCTTGTTTTCCATCCTTTACGATCGGACGTATAAGTACTTCTCGTACGCGATATTTTTCAACATTCGGTAAATCTTCAATTGAGCGACCATCATTAGCAACTTGCCATAAGAAACGAAGAAAACTGGTGCGCCATGAACGCTTAACTAGAATTAAATCGAATGTTCCATCACCTAAGAAAAGAAATCAATGAATTATTGATGAGAATTTTTTTTTCTTTCTGATTGTAAATGATTTTACCGAGATGCACAAATGGCGACATTCCATATTTACTTTTTGCACAACGACAAGGCATATTAAGACAATTTATAGTTGTATATCTTCCATCAAGTTTTAATTGTAATGGTACATTGTTTTTAAGAGTATCGATTTTGTTTTGTTCTGCACATCTGTCACAATTGCGACGACAAAATGCAAGATTTGGCGTCGTTAATTTATTCATCGGATTCATCTCTGATAGTTTTGAATTATTATTATTAATTAATTGTTGACAATCAGATACAATAGAAGGGGGCTCATTCTCATTTTTAGTTGATTTCATTTCTTGTGGATCACATATTTCAAGTTGATCAGTTGTTGATAATGTTATTGTTAATTCACTATGATACGATGTATGCCGTAGAAATTGACAAAATCCAGCTAAATCATATCTTAATGGACCTAGACAACGCCAATTATCTGATTGATGAATTATATCACCGAAAAATCCATAGGCAAGCATAGTTGCCATAAAACGTACAAAGCCATTCTCATTATGAACCTTTGAGAAAAAACAAAATGAATTAAAGAAAATTTTTCTTTATCTTTACTGTTGTTATGTCAATTAAAAGTGATTCTCCAACAATAATTTGTAATGCACTTGTAATAGGATCATTTGAACCTGTTGTGCCAAAAACGACAGCATCAGTTGAACCTGCTGGTATAATGCCAATTCTGCGATTAGGTCGAATTATATCCACTTGAGGATTATCAATATTTATTTTCTCATCACGAGCTGTTCGCAGTAAAAGTCCATGACATAATTCAGCGAACATTCCATCACCACCGACACATATAAGACCATCATAGTCATCGATGATTTCATTGATAACATAATCTTGTGCATGATTAGCACGTTCTGTATAAATTGTATCAACAGTTATATTTGCTTCTTGAAATATTGGTAAAACTCTTTTGAGATACACAGATTGTGCACGACCTAAGAATGGTACAAGATGTTTTTAAGAAAGATTTATTAATTTAATATTGATGAAAGAATAACCCAGGTCGACCATTCCGGCCACCGGATCCCGTAGGATACTCCAGGGAATATGCAGGAAAGTCACCATATCCAGTAGGAAAATGGAAGCAGTATTCCGGTCAAAAATACGGCCGGACTTTTCCGGCGAATTCCTGTCAAGTTCCGGTGCTTTCCGGCAGCAATTGATCGGAAATCACCGGAAAAAATGCGAAAATTTTCCAACCGGAATACTGCTTTCACAAAATCAACGGAACTCCCCGGAAACCGGCCGTTTCCAGGCCGGGCTGTTCAACCTGGGAAAGGATTCTTGAATTACTCGTGATTAAGGCTAACTAACTTTCATACTAACTAAGTCAACTATCTTACAAAGAAAATTATTCATCAACGATTTATCGTGAAGAAGTGTAGAAATTGAACTCTGGTTCGTAGAGCAAAATATGTCTATTTTGCGCAATAGCCTCTATTTAGTTTTATGGATTGATGATTCCATGACAATCATACCTTTTCCAGATAATGGATTAACAAAAGCTAATAAACGATGTGGTCTTTGTTTTAATTTTGATAGACATAAATTAAGATTTGAATATAATTCATAGGCAACATCTTCTGCATCCAATTCAAGTTCTAAACTTTTAATTTTCCATTGAATTGAATTCGATGCGTCAACATATTTGATTTTAACTAAAGTTTTAAATAATGAAGTAAATTCACAATTAGAATTTGATAATGAAGAAAAAAAACTTCGAAAACTAAATTGTCTTTGTGTAAAAAGAACTTCTGAATTATTCGAATTTAATGTTATTTGAGTTATGTCTCCTGGCTGTTCAAGTATTGGCGTATTTATAGAATTTGTATTTCTATCTGTTGATCTTTCCAGCGATGCAGTTTGTACACGTTGAGTAAGATTTTTATTAGATTTTCTCGATAATGGTGTTGTTTGTTGAACATTGAGTAAATGATTAAGAGTAATTGTTTCTGGAATATTATTATTTGTTTTTTTTTCATTTAATAATTGAAAATTCAATCGAGCAAATGAAGGTTTTACATAATCGATTGGAATGTTAGTAGGTGCAAATTCAAAAGAATCATTTTCGAACTGATTATCTTCCTTTGAATCGCTTCCGAAACAATCATTGGTATCATCAACATATATACGTAAACGATAGAAATCATCTTTAATATAACATGTTGTTGAGTATAAAATGGACGGCATTTATCAATTAGTTTTCAAGAAAAACAACCTGGACGATTATGAAAATGATAAAAGCTATATCAATGTGTTATGATTTAGTTAACACAGAGAATAAATAATAATAAATAATGTGCCTTGTATGTACATAATTATATTGATTGAGATATATTTGTCTATGGTCGCTACTTAATCGAAAACAACATTTTCTGTTATTGTCATAACTAAAAGAAGAAAATAAATATTATATAAGAGTGTAGGAGAATAACAATACAGTAAAACGTGCTTAATCAATATGTAAAAGAGTTGAAGGATACGTCTCTATAATAGAATGACCTTCATGTTTAAATCAGTAAAAAGAATCATTATACAGAACGAGCTCTGCTGAAGCAACTCTGTTGTTATTCCAGAATGATAAGCAATCAGTGCAAAGAGACAGATGGCGCTTTCTACATTTAAGTTTTTTGTTTGTTTTTGAAGAACAAAAATTCGAAGGATTCAATAAATAAATTTCTTATTTATTCTACATGGAATCAATGATAAATTCTGTTAAATATAAATTTTAAAATACTAAGCAACAAACTTAATTGACAACGCTTATGGTTGATAAAAGTTCATCTATTAAAGAAGTTAAGAAGTAAAAAATTGATTGACAACTTAAATACGATGGAAAAATATATGATTATATCGCCGATTGGCGAAGGCTCTTTTGCAAAAGTGTATCGTGGTCGAGAAAAATATACTGGAAGAGTCTGTATTTCAATTATTTTAATTTATGAATTCATATAGAAAACCGTTTTTTAGGATGTGGCATTAAAATTTATATCAAAATTAGGTAAAACAGAAAAGGATTTATATTTTCTACGACGTGAAATCGATATACTTCGCAAAATGAAACACGAAAATATTGTCGACATGATCAATAGTTTTGAAACAAATAATGAAGTAATTCGCAATTCTCATTAAATATTAATAATTATTTTTTGTTTTTATTCAGATAGTTGTTGTGACAGAACGTGGATTGGCTGATCTGTATCAATTATTAGAAGACGATGTCAGTTTACCAGAAGAAACGGTATAAAAAAAGAAGTTTTCGTTTCCTCTTGTCATTAGTATCGTTTTCTTTCTAAGGTACAAAAAATTGCTTGCCAATTAGTATCAGCTCTTTATTATTTACATTCTCATCGTGTGCTTCATCGAGGTTCGTACTTATTTTTTTTTCCATTGAATTTGATAAGCGAAATAAAATTTCTATTGAATAGATATGAAACCACAAAATATATTAATTTTTCCTGGAGGGAAAGTAAAGCTATGTGATTTTGGGTATGTTTCATGTTTTTATTATTTATGGTAAGTTTGAAAAATGAGTTTATTTAGTTTCGCTCGAAATATGACAATGGAAACAATGGTATTAACATCGATTAAGGTTTATATTGAATTTTCATCACTTGATTTTTATAGTTTTGTACGGTTTCTTTTCTTAGGGTACTCCATTATATATGTGTCCAGAACTTGTTGATGAAAAACCATATGATCATTCTGCCGATTTATGGTAGGATATTTTTGTTACAATTGAAAATTTTCGACATAAACTTGTTTACTTCCATCATTAATCACTTATTAAAGTCACAACTTTTCAGAAAATATGTTGATGACAACCGGCATTAAAATATAAATTTTAAAGAATTTCAAAAAGTTCATTCTAGCTAATTTTTTAGGGCACTCGGCTGTATTTTATACGAGGTTTATCATGGTAAACCACCATTTTTTACCAACAATGTTTTTCATTTAATAAAAATGATTGGAAAAGGTTTTATTCTTTTGATTAGTTCTTTATACACATATATAATTATGTTTTTTTTTCTCTCTGTCTCAGAATCTGTCAAATGGCCAAAACCAATAAGTTCTGATATGCGTAACTTTTTAGAAGGTCTTCTTACAAAAGACTCAACTCAACGTTTAACGTGGCCAGACTTATTACAACACCCATTTGTTCGAACAGGAGTTAAAGGTACAACCAGAGTATTGTGTTGTTTTGAAAAACTGAATATAATTCTTTTTCTAATTGATTAGTACCACTTTTAACGGAATCAATAGTGGGTCCATTGACACAACCACCAACAGAAGAACAACGTATTTTAAAACAGCAACAAATAAAAGCTAAAGGGGTTTCACGAGGTCCTTCGAAGCTTCTCTCAAAATTTATGCCAGATGAACATCGAAAAGTGAGCATCCTCTTTTTTTCACTAGAATATTCAAGTCATAATATTTGTTTTTAAAAATTAAATTAAAAAAAAAAGGATGCACCAAAATCACCTGGAAGTAAAGATAAAAATCAAAAGAAAACAAAAATTCCAACTTTGCAAAATACTGAAGTTCAACCTGCTCAATCTCGAACTGTACCACCACCCGCACCGCTTGTTGAACCAATAATAAATCAATCAACTATTGTTGCTGATTCTTTAGCAAGGCAAGAAGAAAAATTTGTATCGGCACGTGAAAATCTTCATTCATCAAGATTAACAAGTCGAACAATCCAAGAACAAGAAATCGAACAATATGCGGAGCAAATTGAATCGATGTCAAATGAACAATTAATGAATTTACTTCATCAAGAATCATTTTATAAATTATTCGAAACAATACAAACAACAATATTATCAAACCTATTAGAATGTACGTTAAACGGCGCTTCATTCTATCGTAATATGATGAAAGTCATTAGATTTATTTTACAATCCGATATCGATCCACATTTAATTATATCATTTACGAACTCCAATAATACACAAAATTTATCATTGAAACATCTTAAAGCTATTTTAGATCATCCGACTATTCGAAAAGAAGTAAAAAATATTAAATTTTCTGTTGTTCATCATATTTTTTCATCTCCTTTTCTAGCCTTGGTTTGCTCATGTACTCTATGACATATTAATAGTGATACGACTTTGGTTCGAATTAATAACTGCTTACACTCTTCAACAATTAGATGAAGAACAATGTCAATATTATTTAACAATGTCACATGAATTTCTTGAACTAACATCAATTATATTAAATATAGCACCAGCATTAGATTATACAATTTGTTGCGAAACATTAATGATATTAATTATTCTTTGTGAATCGTATGAAGACGCATCACCATTACTTTGCCAAGCGTGGTATGATCCTGTACGTATAGATAAATGCCAAGTATGGCCTGCTATTGCTCAATTAATAACAACCAGTTTTAAATCAGAAAGTAATAAAAAAAAATAAACAAAAATTAAGTTTTATCCGAAAAATAAAACATAATTGCTTTCGTTTGTTTCAGATTCAAATATAGAAATTTACAATGAAACATTGATGTATACTATTGCTACTATGGCTGCTCTTACTTACCCATCACAATGTTTGCCAGATGAATTGCTTGAAGCAAAAATTAAAGTAATTTCATTCAACCAATGTATATAATTCAATGATATCATCATATTATCCGGAATTTTATTTTTGTTTTAGGTAGCAAATTCGCTTGCATTAAAATTACTGGATTCAAATTATTCAGGATTTCGTGAAGTTTGGCTAGGTCAATTTCGTACGCCTAAGTGTAGTTCAAATATTCTTAAAGTATAATAAACATAATTTATTTGTCAATGCAACTGCAATCTGTGTTTATAATTTAGGCGATGTATGGAATGTGTTTATCGACGCCACGTTTTAGTGCATTGATATTCGATGGATCGTTTCTATCAAATGAGCTATTTAGTTTACTTCGTGGTCAGGTAAACGTTTAGTTGTTGGAAATAAATCGTATTTTATTTATTATTATTCTTCTAGATTACAACAGAAGAATCAGATTTAGATGAAGCAATTGAATTGTCCATTCATATTAGTACTGTAATAATAAAACAAATCGTGTTACAATAGTAAAGATTATTTGTAAAAAAGAGGTGTTTTCTTTTTCGAATGTATTATTTTTATAGTGATAATAATACAAGAATTGATCTACGAGATCAATTGACGATTAAAGATGATCGAAAATTTGAAAAGTATGTCGTAGCAAATTTATGTCAAATAATTATTCCTTTTTAAGAACTATAATTATACGGCGAGCTCACAAAAATTCAGAACAGAAGATTTGCAGTTTCTAAATTTTTTTTTCATGATAGACTTCAACCAATAACTGGTCATATAGCTCAATTAGCGATGTCATCTCAAGTACTACCTCAACGAGCTGCTTGCGCTCTTCATCTAGTTTATGCTATCGCATGTGGTGCTAAGTTTCTTCTAAATCCTGAAGAATATATTGATACTTTGTCGACTATATTTGTTCAATCAGAATGTGATGTAAGTTAAGAAAATGTTTTCAAAGTCACGTTTTTAAAAATTTTGTTTAGTTTATTGTTCGATTTCCATTTCATCATGGCCTTCTTGATGGTTTAATCATGTTAATATTTCATATTGTTCAAGTCGTAAGTTAGAAAATGCAAAAATTTTTCTAACAGTCTACATANGTTTTTAAAAATTTTGTTTAGTTTATTGTTCGATTTCCATTTCATCATGGCCTTCTTGATGGTTTAATCATGTTAATATTTCATATTGTTCAAGTCGTAAGTTAGAAAAAAAAAAAATATTTCAACAATAGTTATTCTATTGAAAAGGATCCGCAAAAATCGGTTGGTACTTTAATTGATTCTGGCCTATTCTATATATTATGGCAACAGCTTCGTGCTGCTTTTCGTTCATTGTATCCAAATAGTTTAAATGAAGAAATATCAATCATAACAACGCCTGATTGGATTTTAATATCACGTGATGGTATTCATCAATTACTTCAATTAACATTAGAATTATTTCTTCAAGTAGTAAACAATGTTTTGAATAATAATAATAATAATCACTTTGCACTTCATTTAGCGTATGCATAAGTGTTTAAGTTTACTCATTCAACCTGAAAGTATCATGTTCGAAGCGCTGAGTTTGATGTTAAGTAAAGAACTTACTGAACAGCTTGATGTGAAGTAAAAACTACGAAATAATTTCATTCAAGAATAAAAACACATGGTTATATTTTTTTCATTTAAAGGTCTTCTTCTTCCTTAACCAACGAAGTTTTCACATTAACATGTAATATTTTTATGTTTCCATTTTCAATTGAAACAAGTGAAACATTTCTTGAACGAATATTAGAGTAAGTTTACTAAATCTTCCGATATTTTATACAAAAGTCATAAAATAAAGATAACTTCTTGACAAAATTGAAATTGTGTTAAACTGAAATTCATTCGAATAAAAAAAATCAAATTATTGAAAAACTTCTTTGGGTAACCATGACTCATTTATCAGCTGATCGTGTTGAAGTACCTGTTGGTCTTGTAGCACAGTTAAGCTACTATCAAGAAAGTATGTATTAAATCATTCTAAAAGGAATTTAAAAAGAGAAGAAAAAATAAACTTTATTTTAGGCGCTCGAAAAACAATCAGTCAAATGTTAATGAATGATGTGCAGGTAAATAGATCATTTAATAGTTTGTCTTACGATCTGATACTTTATGGAAACTATAAATCAACAATTTAAACTAAATATGAATTATACAAGAACTAGTCGAATCGACTTTCATATTTCTCAAGGGTTAATTAACAATAAGTTTAAGATGGATTACGAAAATTAACCTATATCTTTCTCTTCGAACTATTTGAGTCACAGACATAGTTCTGTGACATTCAAGTTAAATTAAATTTCCAAGTAAAAATTCAATATTTTACTTATCATATTTTAGTTGTGTCAATTCTATTCAAATGTTCTTTATGGAACCAAAGAAAGTGAATTTATTCTATGTGACACATTTTTTACATTTACAAATCTAATAAAAACAACTGATAGTATTGTTTCATGCATCAGTGATATTCTCAGTGGACCAAAAAGTAAAGAATAAACAATCATTGACTTTACTTTTCTTTCGATAATTTCTGCTCTTTCCAAAGATGACTATGATGTTTTAAAGCGTGCTTTATCTGGAAGTAATTTAACAAAAGCAAAATGTTGTTTTCTAATGGGTCACATGACAAAATCATCCCGTTCATTTTGTACAATATTGAAAGCTAAGACAGTGTTGTTTTGAAGAAGATTCACACGTTCGCAAGGTAGATAAAAACAAAACATTCTATTTTATTATCATCTAAAAAAATTTGTTTTGGTTTTAGATGGCATTCTTCTTATTGGGAAATTTTATTTCAACAAATAAGATTCTTTATGAATATGTTGATGAATTAACTCCATTTCTTGTTCAAGCATTAAATGATACGATTTCTAAAATACGATCACATGCTGTTAGTAAGTGAACAAACCCAAAATTGTCGTTGTTTCTTCTGTTATCATCGTATATTTATCTTTAAAAATAGATACACTTGGATTTTTGCCACGTTATCGCTTATCGGAACGATTAATTGAACTAAAAGTTCCTGAAAAATTACTTGATGTTGCTTGTCATGATACACATGTAACTGTACAAGAATTTGCATTACGTGTACTCAAACAAATGTTATATATTGTCCGGGGATAATGGCCGTTTTTCTAAATCTTTCTCTAGTTATCCGTCCAATGGTTTATTCGTATTCATCGTTCTAAAATTTTATTAAACGATAGTGAACATATTATGTAAGTGAAGCTAAATTAATATGCGTATATATTCAGAAATTATCTTTCCATTCATCGATAATTTAATCTTTGTCTTTATATCGAGTCCAAATCTAGTTGTGACGTCAATCTATTTTCCTCAAGAAGAGAAAAGAAAACTATGGTTTTAGCATTGAGTACAAGAATCGTTCTGTTGATATTCAACTTTATCTATAAACGGAATAGATTAACAGTCGTCGAGCTAAAGCTTTTCCTGGTTGCTTTTCTTGCCCTTTTAACCATTCGTTACTGAGACGAATACATCAAGTTATTAATTTTGATGTCGTATCTGCTATTTGTTTTGATTATCATCAGTAGTACAATAATAACAGCAACAACAAAAAGAGAAAAAAAACAAGAATGGGTAAACCTAGTTTTGCACCATTTGTTGTTCTTTTTCTTTTCTATGCACCATCCATTCATTTGCAAAGTATTCACAGACGATTATATCAGAGAGCGAGAAAGGAGGACAGCAAAGATCTGTACGATATATTGTTTGGAAAATCGCATACCAGTAAGACCATTACCGAAAACCCTCGTGTCTTTCATAACGAGAAGTGTTCTGTTCTTTGGTAACTTACTTGCTGATTATTAGTACAATTCAATGGCGTCAACATCTGATGACATATCTTCATGTAGAAACGATGAGATCGATTTGATCTCATCAAGGAATAAAGCTGCTGATGAAAACGAAGAAATAGAACGTACTGAGACGCCACTATCAACAACAATTGATCAAAAAGAAAAATTATTTTCGACTTCAAATACAATCGAACCTAAAAGAAAATCAACATCGATAAAAAGTTCAATATCTATTTCTTCTTCTGATGATGATGAAATAAATAAAGAAAATCTTGATAGAAAACGTCAATATCGTTTAAAACGCCGTTCAGTCAGTTTTGCGCCGATGGTTGAAGAATTTGAAATACCTTCATCTCGTCACTCTTCTTTTGAATCATCACATCAATCGATCGATTTTATCGATGTACTCGTCGAAAGTTATAAACTTGAAACTGCAAATAATTTATTTTCATTAAATGAAGAAAAAAAATATATACCGAAAACAGCTCGTACACGCGTGAATCCCAATTGGCGTGAACATCGTATAAGATGTTTAATGAATAAATTAGAAGTTTTAAGTTTATCGGATCGAGAAGAAGAGTTGAAAGTGACACAAGCTCAATTTTTACGTGAGCAAAAATTAGAGCAAATACTAGATCGACAACGTAATCATGATTTATGTTTACAATTAATGCGTCAAAGGCATGAAAGTGAAATTGAAAATGCTGCCTTATTAGATCGTTCTGAAAATTCTATCAATGATGAAATTACAAGTACAACAATAGCACAAACAATGAATTTAGCATCACAGAAAAATGTTCTTGGTTACGGTTTATTGATACCACCATCGATACTAAAACGACGTGTTCCACAAGAACACGACAACAAGCTAATCAATCTTAAAACACCTATCGGTCGTTATCGACAATTTGAAACAACGATGAATAATAAACTTGAAAAAATCAACGACAATTTACAACCCGATCAACAAATCTTGCGTGCTTATAGTTCATTTCATACATCAATTCCATCCACAGTTGTACCATTATTTAGTGAAACATATTTAGGATTACTTTCAGTACCGAATATATATTCATCAAACAGATATAAGCAATATCCTTATGATGTTACACATGCTTCTAGTCCTGATCATGAGATTCGTCGTAGGTCTCATTCTACACGTGATGTACGTGTACCATTAAAAGAACAAATGAATGATAATAACAAATATGCTAGTGATGATGATTATGAATATAATCAACCGAGATTAAACTCTATTCTATCAGTACGATCACCAAATAAAAATATTCTTGAATCTACAACTGAATCTTCAAATGGAGTGTCAAGAAAAAATCGATCAACATCAGTACCAACAAATAAACGGGTTCAATTTCTTCGACAAGATTATGATCAAGAAGAAAGTTTTCATTCAAATAAATCATCAAACATGACCTTTATCGATTGAACATTCTCGACTTTTCCTTAACATGAACATTTTAAAGCCTGTTTTATTCGAATTTTACCTATTTTAATTCGGTATTTATAGATTATGAAGAAGTTTTATTGTTTTATTTAAAATAATATATAACAAATAAATGAGACAAAAATACGTTGACACTTGTAAGTTATAGATGAACGCACTCATAAAAAGATTTTTCCACAGAATTTTAGTTCGCAGTTTATTTTGCTGACTGCATCCTTTTCAATGATGACACATTTACACTCCACCATCTATGCAAAAGGAAATGTTTTATTAATTAGCAATTTTAATTTTAAGATAATTATTTTAATCACATCTAAACTAATGCTACATTTTTCATTTCAGTGAGAGATTTTTTAAGTCAATCTGTTGCAAACCGGTGAATTAATAATGTTGGCTACAGTTGGGATTTTAACAACTCTATGCTATCGAAATGCATAACTTATGATAAGATTAGGCTTTATTAGATGTTACTTGCTCATAATGAAATGTAATAATAGTCTAGTTACTATATAGTTTAGGGTATAAATAAATGTATCGAAACATTCTATTTCTATCTCTTATTTACTATGAGAATCTGAAAAAGATTTGAAAAATAGATATGTGCTGCTTTTCGACACTGGTTACATTTTTACATTAAAACAGTTAGAATCTAAGCAAAAAAAAGAAATTTTACATTGTGTATCGAATACGATTCAAATAGAGAAATATAGTTCTATTCATTTTCTTACAGTTCAAGCTTTCCAGTTCGTTTTATACTATTCTAATGTGGTACGAATTCTTTCTAAAGTCATACACAAACGACGATTTCTAAATCTCTAAAATACATATGGTAGGTGTTGTAATTTTTCTTTGAAGAAAGCATGTTAATATATAAAGCCAATGTCTGATTAAAAATAAATAATTTATCATTTTAATCAAATTATCATTGAATAAAATTAGTTTTATTTAATAACAAGTAGAAATTCAAACAAAAATATATCGATCGTTATCTGTAGAATGAATCAATGTTCATTCATTGGTGATACCTGAAAGAGAAAAAGAAAAAAGAAGCATATGCGATAAAATAATAATAATCTAAAGTGTAATCATAAAGGAAAAAAGAAAGAAAAAGTAATCCATCCTATCCACAACCTGAAAGCATCCATAAAAACCTGTCTAATGAACACTTTTTGGTTGTGAAAAGGATATGCCATTGATTCAAAAAATATATAATTGATTTTTCTTTATTTACCATTCTGCTATGCGCTTATTTGCAGGATAATCAATTAATGATGAAACAATTCCATTATGATTGGTTCTATCAACACGTGAATCTGATGCGCTTGGCAATTTATCAAGTTCAGATTGTATACGTAAACGTTCAAACTCATCTATTTCAAATATGGATTCTTTTAAATTTTCACAAAATGTTTTTCGATCATGTTCATTTCTTGCATTAAATCATATTAAATTTATTTCTATCCTATTTGACTTACGCACAAAACAGAAGAGAAAAGTAACAATCAAGTCGGCGATGTGGTGTAGTTAATATTGACTGTTTACCAATCAATGCTTGTTCAAACTTTGCTACTTCTGTTAGATGATCAGCATCAGGACAAAGTTCATCTGTACGTATACGGTCATAAATAGCAGTTAAATAGTTTATATTGAGATCTTTACCATTATCAGTAGCAAGAAATATAATAATAATAATCATTATTTAGTATAGAAAAGAATCAAGTTGGATGTCTGTTGACATATAATTTTCTCTCTTGCTTCTTCTTCTCGCTTCCTTAAGTTTAACGACGAAAAGCAAACGATAACATTGAATAGTACCATTGCATACAAGTGGTTGATGATTTATAGATGATGATTTTCTTCTTTACATTTTCCCTTAACTTACATCCAAAGAGGAAGCGAGAAAGAAAAGGCGCACTTTTTCGCTCTTTCTATGTCTGAGGTTCAATGCAACATTTTTTTTAGGTCGCTCCGTTCTCTATCGTATTCCTAACTTGTAGGGAAAAAATCAGTCTAGTCTAGACTATCGTGAAAATTGAAATGATTGATTTTGATTCTATTCTTTCCATTTTTTTTTCTATTGACAAAGAAATGCAGGAAGCAATAATTGTTCTCTCTTCTACTCTCTTTCTCTATAGAAGTCTACACGAATAGAAGCAAAATTCAATTTAGACTAAACGAAAGATCCTGACAGGATTGATGATGAGAAGAAGAGTGAATGAACGCTTGTTCTTATCGAGAAGTTTCTTCCACTTGTCTTAAATGAACGAGTGTAGGATTGTGCGCAAAGCGGAAAGAGATGTTCTCTCTTTATAGTAATCAAGCGATTGAAGGATCTAAAAGAAAAGAATGGAGAAAGAGCAAGGCCTATTTTTCAAACAATCGCAGAAGCGGGTGTTTCTTCTAAGTTTAAAAAGAGCAACCGTATGATTTTGCTTTCTTTCTACTTTCTTTTCCTTTTACACACATACATCACCATGAATAAATATAAAATGCTTTTCTTTGGTAAACAAATGCGATTGAATCCTTTAATTTTGTTGAACAAAATCTACCACAAAAAGCAATTTGACTTATAAGAATAAAAATATGGGCTCTCATAGAAATTGTAGAAAAATTTTACATTAATCAACACTAAGATTTGTATGAAAACAAAAACAAAAACAAAATATATTGTATCTTATTAATAGTACCAGGGAAGAAGAAATCGTTTCGTTAAATCAGATTTCGTCTAGCATCGTTGGAATTCACCAATCTTATCAATGTTGGTTCTCGTTACATAGAATGACGATTCCGTATATGTCTGCATAAAGATTATCTAATTTATGCTTTCTTTTCCATAATTTACTGTCACTGTTTTCTCTCGCTCTCATCTTATCTATTTAGCGATATCTCATTGGAATAATGAACTTACATGGCAACGGCTTCATTTTACATTACTATTAGTTCAATGTTGTCTTATCTATTACATCTTTTTTTCTCGTACTCTATTTGTTTGCGCTTCATTAGCGGTCTGTCTATCATTGTTGACAACGACGTCGCATGATGCTTCAGTATTTATGTAGAGCTAGAGCGTCTCATTTGCATGCAAAGACATAAAGAGAGTTCGACTGTTCTTATCATGATTAGTAATTGAGCAACAGTGCGCAATACTATCAAAAAATTTCGAGTAACTTACATTCATACTCTTTTTTTGCTATTTGGAGTAGAAGCAAAGAGACGAACGTCTGTGAAGCTCGACACATTAAAGATTTATTTATCACTCAACATAGAATAACTGTGATATTAGAAATGTCAGTTGATGAGAAAGAAAGAAAATGGTTCCCTACTTTGATTGCTGTCCCGTCTCTTCCTTTCTCTCTCTTTGTGGCTTTCTTTTGATTTGCTTCTTGCAGATGATCAATTTATGGTAGTGGCGCTCGTATTTTGTGTACTGGAAGAATCGTTTCCTAATTGATTCTTGCCTAACTGTGCTCTCTATATGCAAATCGAGCATGGAAGATTAGAAAACTCAGTACATATATATGCAGATGATGCTGCGTGTTGTCCTTTCGATTACCTACCGATGTGCAAGTCTAGTGGCATCAGGCCAATATATGCTTGCGTGGCTCATTGAGAGAAACAAAAAAGGATTGTATAGTCATTACTTAACGTAACTATTGAACATAATGGGACTACAGGTATTCCAGACTGAACAAACTATAAGATCGGTTAAGATTTTTTCCTTTTCTTTCCCATCCGTTTCGACTGATACACCGGCAAATTAATTTGACACGCAATTAATATACTTGCATACATATGAAAAAAAGACTACACATGCAATTTTTTGTTCGATCACGGAAACATATACTGCCACTAGAAAATAAACACGGGACAGCAAAAGCAAAGTGGCAAATTGGCAATCAGTGCAGCTCGCTTTTCACACTATGGCAAACTAGTAGCCTGCTGTAGTGGGAAAAGATTCATGATGTTTAGTACACTGTATTTGTATTGGAAAAATTGGCAGCAAATATACATACGATATTAAAGTAAAAATTTCGTAAAATGATTATGAGACCAGAAGAAACCGATGAAATCTCTCTTTCGCATTCCAATTGTATCTCTTCAAAACAAATGCCTCATTCAGAATATATTTTATCTGTTACGAAAACATGACGTTCTGATAATATCTAATTTTTCTCTGGATTATTGTTTTTTCAGCCGTATATTTTTTCCAATAACTAATCAACAGCAAATTCCATTTTATGAGCAAAAGAAAGCTTTCATAGTAATTTATTGAGAAAATATCAGGTGCAAAACGAAACATATTCCAACTAACTAATAAAGTGATAAATCTACAAGAAAAAATAATTTAGAATGATGTTATTACGAACAGTCTATCGGTCGATGATTTATTTTCATAAATCTTGAACATTTGCTTTTTGGCTAGTCTAAAAAAAATAGAAAATTGATGAAATAGAACTAAAACTGAAATTGAATGTCGCTTATTTACTTTTGCTCCTTTTCCATAATATGGTCGATTATCAATAGTTACTTCTTGGCATCGATCTTGTTGAACAAGATAATCTTTAACTTCGTATGCTTGTGAACCATCTTGTAAAAGAAATAAAACTCGACTATCATCAACAATATATCTGCAACGAAATTCTATTATATTTTTGTGAAACAGTATTGAAGAAAACTAAACTTACTTAGCTACATCGTATAAAGCATTTTTCAAAGCTGCCCACCATATCTGTGTTATTTCTTCTGTTTCTCGTCGTGTAGGGTTACCAGAAACAGACGCAAACATCATCACAGTTTGCCCTTTTTTCGACATCTTTATCAGTTTATCTCGATCTTGTCCAGCTAAATCCTCCGGTGTAAACGAGGGTGGCTTATGTTTACCATATGGATGACGTATATGAAAATCATGTCGTTCATCTTCAGGTAAAACATCTTCATCATTTTCCTATATCGAAGCAAACTTTCTAATTGAATTTCTATAAAAATTGAAAACAATGATAAAATATTTACCTCCCATTGTTCAAATAGATTGTTAACATCATTTTCAGTGAAATCTCTGGGATCTTTTCTAACTTTTGCGCTTGTTTTATCATCAGCATATGTATGATCATATGCAAAAAGTAAAGTAAGCAAGAAAAGAGCAAAGTAGAAAGAATGCATTTTGATTAAAATAATACGTGCAAAGGAAAAAATGAGTTTGTTTTTTGTTAAATATATATTTGAAGTGAGTTGATTGAAAAAGAATACGCCACGCAACGTTACTCAATAGGACTTTTCATTTTGTTTAAATTAAAAGCGTATCCAATCACAACGAAAACCTTGACAATTTTATTTTCGATGAATAGTGCCATCTGGATTTCTTTTCGAGTTCAGAATCAAAACTTCTCGATAAGAGTTCATCATTCACAGCTACCTTAATTAGAACATCAATTTTTAGAACTGTTTCGTTTCAGTTCTAATAATAATTATAACTCAGAACAAATGTAAACCTTTTTTTAACCATTTATCGGATTGATGATTTTAGTATTTTATTTTTGCACTACGGCGAAATTCATCTCACGAATCCTGATCTCATCTATGCATAAGAGACATAGCCAGAAAACAAATTGACGAAGTAAAAGTGAGATTGAGATCTGGAGGAAAAAGAAGAAGTTGCTGTGATCTTTTTCAGTTCCGTATAGTTACACTACGATTATTAATACGATATAATAATGGTGATTGATTGCGGAGAAAGTATACCAGTAACGTTACATAAACGAACATTATTCAAACTCGTAATAACATTTGTATAGATTAGAAGAGCTCATACAACATAGTACCAAATTAATTGAAGACCTTGCTATGTGCTGTTACTCTTTGACTCAGGGACTGATGGCGTCTGAGGATAAATAACATGTGTTAGAGATATTAATGTATATTAATAAAACAGCAATAAATACAGCTATTTCAGATCAAGTCAAATATATCATCAAAGATGTCGATGAACTTGATACTATTATTCGTATCCATAAACGTAAACAATAATATTATTAAATGTATTTAAAGATAGTTGTATGACAATTTACCTATCATTGATGGTATATTCTTTTTATTAGAAGAATAAAATACAATGAATACCAAACTTTGAATATATTAAATTGCCATTTTTCTCGGATGTATAACAAATTCAAAACAGAAAGCGAACTAGACATGTATAAATTTATAAATGTATAAATAAACTCTAAAAACTGCAAAATGATAGATGTGCACAATGACCTATACTATCAGAATAACAATTACAGTCAGAAAAAAATCCATGCAAAAAAACGAAAAAAAGAAAGCAGATGAAAAACCCTAGAGCATATGATTAAATAATATTTGAAAAGAAAAAACAATATTCATCTGATACTCTTATTTAGATATGAAGCTGAACATGTTGGGCAATGCATCGGAATGTTGATGGGCATTGAGTAGTTGCATTTCAAAGAAGCTTTGTTGTCCCTGAGTTAGCTAAATGACAAGAATGTTTAAGACACAAATGCACGTCATTCATCCATAATCGGTTCCATACAAAGCAAGGTCATTAATAGTTATCGTGTCTTTTCCATCGGTCCATTCCATTTGTATAAACATTTCTGTTCATCAATAATATAATTACATAAAGCCAAAAAGAAAACAAAGGTAAAAAAGATCTATCACCGGATTAATTATAGAAAAACCCGTATAGCAATGTGTGTCTCTTTTTAATATTGTCTACGAAACATTCTAATATGAACTAATTAAACATTTGAACTATTTGGTGGAACACGTTGAAATTGACCTTTCGTATTCATTGTAGATGAATGATAAGTGAAGAGCCATATTATTACAGCAACAAGAATAATACTAAAGACAGTAACACCAACTAATGATAGTGATATCCATTTCAGTGTTTTGTTTTTCTTGACTATTTGATAAAATTCATTGTTAATATCAGATAAAGCTTGAGATTTATGAATTGTTGATGGTGAATTGAAATTTTCATCGTGATCATCGGTAGGTATCGCGTTTGGATCAATTGGTTTATTGGCTTTGAATGAAGAAGATGCATGTATACCCTAAGAAAAAATAAATCAAAATTAAATACGAAAAACAAAACTACGATTTTCTTTTAAGAAAATTCTCATATTTCTGCTAACTGAATTTTATGTGAAAATATGTAGGGATACGAGGGGCAAAGGATATAAAAAAAACAATAACAAAGTTATGTATGAGAAAAAGGAAGAGGGGAAAGAAAAAAATGGTAACAAATAAAAAGATCACCAATGTGGTCCGTGATAGGAATATGATGGATTATTCTGAGTAAAATGTTTTCGAAATTGTTTCTTTCCCTTTCTCGTTCGCTTTCTAACCACGAAATAAGATCGCGGTGATGATGATGGTAACTGTATTGGATGAACAATAATCACCTGTGTATCTGCAAAAGATGAATCATTTGGATCATAATTATTATCTTCTGATTGAGAATTATGATAAACAGGTGGATGTCGAGGAATATGAACCAATTGAGACTGAGCTGTTGTTGTTGTTGTTGTTGTTTTAACTGAATCAGCTGGCGAATAAAATGGTATTGATGGATCAATAATACTTTCATCAATCGATGGAATAATCATGTGTTGATTTATTTTATTTTCTTGTGATGGAAAATGAAGATTTTTAACAATATCACATTCACTTAATTGGCAACGTTCTTGTTGGGTATTTTGACATAAATCGATGTATGATTGTTCAGATTTTTTCTTTAAAATATTTAATATAAAATCAAAAACACAATCACAAAACTCTGCTTGTGGTGGAATAATAATCATTGATGGATTTAGTTGTTGTTGCTTTTTTAAATAACGTGCTAAAATGCATTTTGATGTTGGATACAATTGATCAAGACTCAATTTTGATAAATCAAAGCGTGTTAAATGATCTAAATGGTCAAGTGAACGTTCCGACAGATAGCGAACATTTTGTCCAAGTGTAAGAAAACGAATACGATTTGCATGTTTAAATGTATGATCTAAACAATATTAAAATAAATAAAGTTTTGCTCCAAATTATAGTGATTCATTGATTTACCTTTAATAGTTTCCGCATCAAGTTCAATTGTTTCAAGATTTTGTAAATATTGAAAGCCATCAAATGATTGATTATCGAAAAAGAATTTGGGTCGAATTAAATGAATACCATTTAAATTATAATAATGAATAAATGTTGATGCATTTATTTTTCTTGGTTCATGTGCTTCAATAATCATTGAACTAACAGGATATTTAGGAAACTCTTCACTTGAAACAAGTTCAGCCATTTTTGTAAATTTAGCAGAACGAATTTTACCATTAAAATATTGGCCCAGTGTCGTATTAATTCGAGGCGTACAACCTTAATATGAAACAACAAAACGATGATAATTGATTATCTCGACGGCTCTATCTATTAATGGTTTACCTTCAATAGATAAACTGCCAATTTTGGTATTATTAAAAATTTCTTCAAATGAATATGGTTCCAACGATGAACTATGCAAAGACATTCGATCGACAGTTAAAAAGTTCAATGCCATAGGTGAAAACGAAATATGTCCATTAGATGTCAATTCCAATGAGAGACTAGTTGTATATTCTGGTTTTTCACCAAATAATTGATAAAAAGAATAGTCCTCGAAGTGTAATTTATAATAATCTTGAAATGTTAAAATAATTTTAATTGATTTTTGTTGCATTCCTCGTCTCGATGACGACGACGCCGATGATGATAAACGAGGAAATAAATAAGATAATTGATTAATAAATGTTGCACTGACATTAAATTCTTGTGTATGAAATGTCAAATGAAATGAATCAAATGAACGTGGATGTTCTAATGTTGAATTTGTTAATTGAATTGTATTATTTATTGGAACATAATAATTCACACAATTTAATTGTTCACTTTCATTATTTATTGATGAATGGCATTCACATGACATATTTTCAAGTATGTAACATGGTTTTCCTGTCACCACTGTTATTAAGACAACGATAAGAAGTATATTGTGCATTGTAGAAATCAGTTTTTTATTGAATAATAACTAGAACGTATCTAGAAAAATAATAGCACACTTGTATATCTCTTAGTATAGATATTTTTTCTCCATGTTTCTACGTGACGAAACGTTAGTACTACCCTATTACTTACTATCTATATTCTTTAGATGAAGTATTCATTCATTTGATACGAGAGTCAAAAGATAATAAATAATCACACACTCGCTAAGAAAAAATCATCGGTTAAGTATTTACATATTTCTTCGTCTTGTTTTTCTTTCTTTATAAAATAACCTCTTAGGCATGTACATCATCAATTGATTTTGATTTTTGATTTGCCTTTTAATGTCCTAATTGACCATCGACTATTTAGAAGTCTATAGTACACACATCGCATCTCATTTATTGCTCGATTATGTGCATGTGATAGCATCGATAATGGATGCAATGTCATCGTAATAAAACAAAGCAGAAATGATGTTATACTCTTCTAAACATTTATCTGCAGGTGTGAAGAAACATTGAATGTTTGTAATTATTCATCTTTTCTATTTATCTATACAAATTCATCTCATAAATAGTCAAGCGTAATAAATAGACTGAGAATTATATAATAAATAAGAGGAAACAAATAACCTTGTTTTACAAGGATGATATACTATCGGTTAAGCAAAGAGAAGTAATGATGATTAGGTTGAGTTCATAGTTTTCTTTTTTTTTGCTATATTCTATTGCATCATACATTATCTTTTGAAGTAAATTAGGTTATAATAACGAAATGTTTTTGAAAGAACACTGAGAATCATCACTATTCAGTCAACAGTAGTTCGACTACATATTACGAATATTAATGAAATGGTAACGGATCGCTGTCAACAGTAATGGATTTTTCTCGTCTTTCAATTCACAGCAATAGGCAATAAAAAGCAAATCATGTGTCCTTAAACAACTGCTGTGTTTTTAGCCTACCGAAGGTCATTATTTGTAAAAAAAAGAAGCAACTTTGTCGTTTCATTTCGTTAAAATAACAATAATTACGTTAGATATATATCTACGGATAGAAAAGACAATTTTACACTGCTTATAAACATAAACGCATCTATTTTTCTAAGGCTACAAGTATTTATCCTTGACAACAATATCTCTTTACAAACCCGTCGTTATTCTAAATGATAATGATAATGCCAATTTCTTCCCCTCATCATTATCATTTTACCTTGAAAAAATGTCTCACACATGTAATTTTAGTTTATATTCAATCATAAAATCATGTCTATACATTCTGACGTATCTACAAGGTTACATTTGAATCATAAAAGTAATACAATTGAAGTTCTGTTCTTTTTTCAATCTCAAATATTCTAACATGAAATAGACCTTGACAAAGATATGAAAAAACGAAAGAAGAAGAACCAATGCGATTACTTTTATTCTATTAGAAAGGTGGTAAGATGTTATCGATCATTTCTTATCGATAGTCATTACAATCTTTGTCTTTTCTTTTAATCTAATAATTCTATTAAACGAAGGAGATATCGCACTAATATTGTTTCATTTCCTAATAAAAAGTTTTGAAAAATCAAACGAGATCAACTTACCAAAATTTATTCTATTCATTAATAAAAATTGATTTTCTTTTCTTTTTATACTGCCGTGAGTGCTAGTTATAGTGAAAGTAATTTAGTTTTATGCTGTTTCTAAGCACAGATTCCCGTGATCTATACATGAAATGATATTGTATATGCATAGAAATAGAAATAGAAATGGTAAGAAAGAAAAAAAATCTCGGAAAGAGCAAACAAAAACAGCTACATATTTTCTTTTTCCTTATGTGGCTTGTCTCATCAGCCAGCACACCAAGGAGGATAAACTAACGGAAGAAAAGTTGCTTGCTTTTATATAAACAATTTGCTAACAAATCGTGTCTTTTCTCTAATGACCAACTTAAGTATTTTTTCTTTCCCGTAGTTATCATTCTAACCATCGAAAACATTATCGTAGACCGTTTAAAATGGCGTATGGCTTCAATAACTAATATAATAATAATCCATCATTCCGATTTATGGGACTGTCTATTTTGTACTAGCAAACAGCCATAGTTTTCTCTAATGTCTTCACAATATGCAAATTGCGATGAAAAAAGAATTAGTTTCTAAAGACTGTAAGTTCATGGCTACTGCTCTCAGAGTTATTTAGTGGTTGGAATGGTTAAAATTAGACTTTCAAAAGGCTTAACTTAATTTTAAAAAAATGTATTTTGTCGTTTCTGAATACGAACAGTAGCATCATTTTAATTGTAGTATTCTCAAAATATGTTAAACACCAAAATATGCAAACTTACGTACAGTATCGAAAAAGAATTTTTTAACAGATCTGTTTAAAAACAGAAATCATGCAGTCCAGCACAGCGTTCGTCAAGAAGGGAATCACACAAAGTTTAATCACAACATCAGTCTTATTGCGTCCTATTTCAAGTGAAGTACTTTTTATTAGTGCATCTATTGATTTTGATTGCCAATGAATTCTAATGTTTAACTCATTACATGCCAATTAACACCTTCGAGTCCTGTAGGTTAAAGAAAGTTTCAAATACAGCATTGTTGACTCTTAGTAATCTTTGATGATATTCTATATGCATACTCATATACAGATGAAATTAAAAGAAAATACGTATTCATATTCAAACTCAAGTACTTCTCATACAAGACGAGTGTTCATAGAGAGAGATTTTACTGAAGAATCAGTTGATCGATGTAAGGGAAATAATTCTTTATTTATCAAATGGAAAAACAAACAGTGGCAAATGCCAAGCTACAGAAATCAAGAAAAAACAGTAAGAATAAAAACTGCTGAATAAACCGTTAGGCAGATTTTTTTCTATCGAATGGATCACGCCAAATAGGTAAGCCTAGGAAAAAGAAATTTACAAATACTGGAACAAAAATTGGATTTATATTTACCAGTTGGTTGTACATCTTCCGCATGAATTCCAGCTCGATTAGCTTTTTGTACGCTACCTAATATTTAATATCTGTTTAACATTTTTCATATTTCTTTTCAATAATAATAATACATACGAAATTGTTCAATGTTCATATAAGGATAGAGAAATACAAGACTAAGTCCACCAATCACAGCTGTTACAGTTGCAACAATAGCAACTCGTGAACTAGTACCACCTTTCTGTGCTGCACTCCATTGTGATGGACTAATGCGAAGATCAGGTCTAGGCAATCGTTTATTAGTTTGCTGCTGATTCATGAAAAAAAATACGAATCTAAAATAAAATTTATTTTTTATTGATTCCATGAAAACCAAAAAATAAATCGAACATTCTTTCTAATTGTTTATCTTGTAAATATTGATAAAATTGTCCTAAATCTTGTTTAGTATGATTATCGTGAAGAAAAGCAAGTTCTTGAAATTGATTAAAACATAATCTATTATCTTCAATATCACCCAAAGATTCGTTTTCTTTTATTTGTAATTTTTTCCATGTTAAACTTCTTAAACGTGCCCAATATTCATCGACATCAGATTCTTGTCCTTCAACACATATAATTCCTGGTTTACCAGGCATCGAAAAACCACTTAAATGTAATTCGTGAGCCCAATTAATAATATTTCGTCGTTTGTCTATATTATATATATGATGACTATAGATCCAAAGACGAGTAAAGTTCTTTTTCGTTATAATTTGTTCATTTGTTAGTTTAGCTGTTGTATCATTCGACACAAGAAAAAGAGTTTGATTATCTTGGATCCACGAAAGAAATTCCATAACATACGGTTCTTGTGAAGATGTTTTATTATTTAAAAAGCTTTTTACAGATTCATTGAATTTTTCATAACATTCACGTGATAGATAAGTACGTAAATGAATATCCACTGGTGATTCGGGATAATGAAGTGGATAGATAAATTGAAGTTCGATAGTTGTCTTTAGAAGAAAAACAATAAATGAAAAAACCTATGAAATAAATTATTCAGAAAAAATCTTTTACATTAATATCGTTTAGACGAAGTTTAATGATAAAGCCAAGATTTCTTTGGAGATAATCTCGTTTTTCATCAATAAATTGTTTAGCGTCAGTAATTGCTTCAATATCATCAAAATGAAATTCGTCTGCTGATGGATAACAACAATGCAATAATTCCATTTCATTTAATTGTTGTTCAATACATGAACGAATTGAATTCATGACAGATTTTAATCATCAAGAAACTAAGGAGTAAAAGACAACAAAGTTAGCGTTTTTTTTCTTTTTTTTTGATTTGACAAGAACGAAAACAATACAAAATCATTAAGTAGATCTTTTTTTCTGAACATAGAAGTAAAACTAACTAAGCAGATTAAAACAACAACAACAACAACAATAAGCTAGAAATATTCTTTTTTTTATAATAAACGTTTTAATCAATGAAAGGAATATGATTGAAAAATGTTTTTGAAATCCTTTATTACAGTAATTGATGGATCATTTGATTAGAAAGCTTAAATAAATATTATTAAAATAAAACAATTTCTTTCCAATTTCCATGAAATAGAGAATCTTACCTATATGGGTAGCCTTGATATTTAGCGCGAAATACCGAAAGTAAGAAACTGAAGAAGAAGACAACCATTAGAATACCAAGAACAGCCGTCATTGCTAGAAAATCAATACAATGTTAGCTGTGATATCAATGTAATGTATTGAATTAATTATTTTCAATAATTACTTTATCAACAATTTATTTCAAATAATAAATTATCTGAGACGTTTAGCAAGAATTTTAATAACAACTAATGAAGCATATTTACACTTAGAAAATGCAAGAAGGTAAATTCAAATGATTTTCAAAGAAGTTTCAACTGAATTATTTATTTCCAATAGAAAACATCGAAGATAAACGACATTAAATAGATAAATCAATCAATTTATTTGATGCTTTATATCGATTTTGAATGAATACACAAGAATAAAATGGGCTACTGTTTCATTTGAAAAAGTGTAACTTGAAGACTTGGTGATACTGATTTTAAAAAACTGTGTATTACCAAATGTTGGATTACTGAAATCTATTGATGACTGTTTATATATATATATAAATTCTAGACTTATAAATAGCTTTTGAGTTGTCATATTTTGATTATAAATTTTTTATGCTCATGTATATGTTTTGTTCAATCATCTAAGTAACAGCACGCGCATGACATCTTAATTATATCAATTTACCTTTACGTTTACCAGTTTGACCAATTAATTTAGGCGCTTCGTTTAACAAAATCATACCAGCACAAATACCAAAATGTAAAAAAAAGTAAAATAATAGTTAAGGAAAATAAAATGTTAAATTCTCATGTTTCTTTTCTTCTAAAAACCTAAAATAAAAGCTATGATCATTGAGAAAAAGGATATAGAGTAAGAAGACCTAAATCAGCAAAACATCGTTAGCTCTAAAAATGAAATTAGAGTTTAGAAATGCTTACGACGTAAGTTTCAGCAATAAATTGATATCCCGAACTTCCACTAAATAAACCCTAATAAAATATCATGAATAACTTAGATGAATAATTTAAATAAAGAAATACTTACAATTTGACCTGTTTGAGGATTACGATGAAGAAATGGTGAACCTCTTATGCTATTCCAAATTTGTCCAGAAATACAAATTAAAATGGCAAGCTAAAATTGACAAAGATTCCAAATTTATTTATATATTTTTACTATAAAAATTTTTAAAAATTCAAGTTCACTTACAACAACAAACATTCCCCACACAATTTGATTGTAGAGAAATTCAAGACTATTTCGTTTTATATAGAGAAGACCACCAATCATCGTAACCAGTAATATGATTAATAAAAAGCCAGAATAATTTGGTGGACGAAATATATGAATCTGAGCATGAACAGCAATTATATAATTTACAATCTCTTTTAATTCACTTACTTGAATATCAGCACGATCATGAATCCATTTAGCAATTTGTTCAGCAGAAAATCCCCAACTAACCATATTAATAGTATGACAAAATTACTGTTTTCATTTCTGCTATTAGTTACTTACCGACTTATATCCATATAATCACTTTTCTTTGGTTTCATTCTCGGTGGAAAATGAATAAATACCGGTGCAGAATTTAGTTTTAACTGAATAAAAAACAAAAGAAATACAGTTAAAATGAAGCATTTCAAACAGGATTTCTCTTATAATTTTGTTAATATGTGCAAATATCTCGATTATAGTCGTCTTTTCTACTGCTATGCTTATTTTGACAAAGAATTGATGAAAAGAAATTAAATTCATACATACATATTGAAATACTTCTGAACCATCATCAAAATCAACCAAACCAAAAAATACTTTATTTGTAAAAGCACTTGAATAACGATAACTTTGTGCGACTATTTGAAATTCATCATGAGCTTGTCTATTTAGACGAAAATGACAATAATCGCAGACAGATAAATTAATTAAAACTTACTTGCATATGCTACATTGTCGTTGTGGTGACATTGCAGTAAGCATTACAATCATGGAATAATTTCGAGGGGCTGTTTTAACATAATGCTTGAAACGTTCACTATTTAAGCGAATAATCGGTTTTTTCAGTGACCAATCTGTTAATTGTTGAATTTTTTCTGAAAGAATATCCTATTGGAATAAAAAAATATGTTAATCAACACCGAATACCTAACTAGTATACGAACTTCTTTGGTAAAAACATTTGAGATTGTAAAAATACAAATTAAGAAAAAGCAAATAAATTGCTTCATGACAAAAGTTCAAGATCACAGATGGAATTCTAGCTCTCGAATATTTGACAAAAGTATAACCTATGTGGTCCGTTGCAATCGTTCATTGGCTTTTACAGATCACCGAATAAAAAATAAATTAACTGTATTTTTTAAATATTTGTCGAAAACATTTACTTGAATTTTTTCGCATAACAATCAAATAATTTTAGTTTTATTCATATTGATAAAATTTCGTACACTAGAGGTCATTAGTCGTCGTCGAATTTTCATGTTTTTTTAAAAATCTATCGTTCAGTTTTTACACGTTTGATCAATAGCTCGAGTAGCATGATCAATACCATTATTATCATCGTACTCGTTTTTAACTAATTTACCGAAACTAGTTCTCCCTCCTACGAAACTATTTGTTCATCTACAACGATCTGTCATTTGAGATTTTAAATCAGCAAAATGTTAATCAAATATATTTTATTTTATCCAAATATTATTACTTAACAAATTAAATAGAATGCAATTGAATTTCAATTGTGTTTTCATCAGTAACAACAAGATTTACTTCTTAATGTGAAAGCAATATTTCAAAATTGCTATTCATATCATTTCTAAATATTGGTAGTGTATCGGTGGGTGGTGATAATCGAGAAGCACAAGCTGTTTCAATATTTCTTAATAGTGTCGAAGTGGTCAGCATCAGATTCCACCATCATTTTCTCACTCGACACAAAAAATGTTTTTTTTGCGTAGCCTGAAATAAACGAATGATGAATGTTACTCTTCATCGTACACCTTCATTCAGTAAGTTAGAGAGGTACAAACTGAAAAAATTGATGATATATCGAATATTTATATTTGTTTTTAAAGAATGGAGGATGAACCAGAAGTGAATCAAAAATACAATGATTATATTCTTTAACAGCGAAACAGAGAAAATAAAACGAACAATGTAATATTCATTCTTTGAAATTCTACTTAAAATCGTTTTTTATTGCTGATTGAATCTGTTGTATTTTTTAATCGAGTCCTTCAATTAATACCAATCGTTGGGTCACACGTTTGCCTAATAATTGAGTTTAGAGATCATCACAACACTCCTAGATGATTTTCCATGTTAATGCTCGTATCATAGCAAAATATTTTAACATAAATAGTTAGTTGTTGGGCATTTCACTCAGTCTTTCTCTTTTCTCTCTATTCTTATTATTGAAAATTATTTCATAATGCCAAAAGTGCTGATGTACTTAATTGCAAAGCATCATGAAAATTATTCAAAAAACTTATGCAACATGGATAATCACGAAATGAATCGCTAGATACAAAGGATTCGTAAGAAATAAAATCATATTTGAAATAAGGTTTTGTACAATGTGTTCAGATGTTCCACAGATATATTTTAAAGTAATGATGATAGTTTTTCTCTTACATCTATCTCAATTTTGTTTTTATTAACGAAAGTTCTCATCGTTTTTTTTCCAGCTGTTGTATAGATAAGCTAAAGCACTTGGGCAGATCTGTACGTCAATATAGCATAAATAATCACATAAGGAATAAAACCACTTCTATTAGTATATCTCTTATCGATTATTTCTTTCTTTCTAACAAAAAAGTCTTATCAATGCTTCTATGTTGTGTCAAAAATCAACGAGAATTTTCCCAGTTCAAATTCAAGTGTGCTACTTTTTTAATAGTTTCATGTTTAGTAAATGAAATTCGCCATTAGACATAATAAATTTGATGTTTATTCGCAATGGTATGTTTTGAGCAACATGCTGCAAGCCAAAGAAACAACCAAGAAGATAGTACTTCATGGTGAGGTCGTATTTCACATATAAAAATCATCTAGCAATAGTAAGTTGTTACTTTAACTTAATTCTATAGATAAATATAGTCAAGTATTTCGCAACTGCTTGCTTTTATCCCTGACAAATCTTGTCGAAAAGGGTTTTTCGTTCCCACTTTTTTTTGTTCTATATTGTATTTTTGACACACAATGAAATATGTAGTTTGCCGCGATAAAATATTTGTATTTCAATAGAAACACTTCTTTAATATTGTTTTACATCCATTGATGAATATATCTCTATGAAAAGAAGATCTTTGCTGATGTTCATATATTGTTTTTATCTATTTTAACAAGCGAACCTATAACCCACATATATGATCGTATAATGAAATTTATTAGTACAGAAAGTGGACTTAAAATAATATCAGATGTTCCCGTGACCCCATCAGGAGCAGAGATGACAAGAAAATTTCCTTTTCTTTGACAAAAGACATGCAGAAGTTTTCTCTAATGAAATATTCTCCCTATTTTCTATATGAGAGTCTGCTGTTAAAGAAACAGTATTCTCTTGATATTATTTGGTTTCAATCGCTGTTTTTTTGCTCTCATTTGCAATTCATCAACAAGAAAAAAAAGTTATAGCGGATGTGCCATTCTTTTGTTTCTTCCTTTTTATCGAGCGAAGCATTTTTCTTCTTTCCTATAATACTGAGCTAATGCCACGGCATTCTTTTCTTGTTAAGCATATTGCAGGGCAAATACAATGATATTTTTGGATAAATTGCGCGTTGAGAAAAATTAAAGAACTTTCTTATGAAGCGAAACATCTAATAGTGAATAGGAAGAACAAGCATCGATAGGAATATTTTGAGTTGAATAACTACAGTTTGGCGCCTGAGATAATATTTTTATGCGTTACTTGTACGATTTTAGTTTTGAAAACATTCCAGACTGCATAAATGCTATTGAATTTTATAGACATAAATTAATGGTGAATATATATGACGAATAATTCTAAGTAGAATTCTTTCTCACTGCTAGTAGTGTACCTCTGATGCAATTCGATGGAGTCATCATAATATTTTTTAACATTCTCAGTGTTAAGCAATAAACCGTGCATTCATATACGTATAAGCATACAGTATTAATCCTTCGCCATGTCAAATCGAGAAAAGAATATATACAGAAAAAGTACAAAATATATGAACGAAAATTAGAGAAAATCAACAGAGCATGGGCACATGGATTATTTTCATGCACTTCCTATCATTATTCATCATGTAATAATATGCAAAAGAATTTTTTTCTTCTTTGAAACTTTAATAAATAGGAGACAAAAACTCAGAAGAAAACAATTTTTCATTTTTGAAAAGAACAACATTTTCTTTTACCTTTAGAAAAAGGCATACTTACTTGTAGGCGTCACAGACGAAAAAAGAAATCTATTACGCACCGTAAACTAGTCTATGACGAAGTAAACTATAATGAAAAATATCAAATAGGTCTGTTGACAAAGAAAATGAAAACTTCTAATATTGCGATGGATCAATCGAGAGTTAATAATAATATTCATAATTATTATTGTACTCATAAAAGTAGGTCATTGAACACAAAACGATCATCAGATTCATTAGTTATGAACGTTGATACATTACCTCGCAATGATGCATTAGAATTGGCTATTCTGTCACAGTTTCCTGCTCAGGTATGTTACATACTGAAAATAAATTCTAGTTAAGAATCAAAAATATTTTGTAAATTCTTCACTACTATCTTGATAATTTCAAATACTCTCTAGAAAAAGAAATTTTTGTATGGATTTTATATTTGCTTTGAGCTTTTCATTGAAATAGTGTTCATCGTCAGTATTTCCAAATCGAAAGCGACGTTATCGTAAATCTCAAGAAATATATAATACAAATTCGAGAACAATATGTTCAACAGCAAATACCAACGGCGAAATAGAAAATAATTCAGATCTTTCGTGCGCCGGTAAGATATTTTACTTTTTTGTTCGTTATGTTTAATTACAAGCATTGAGAAAAACTATTGTGACAAAATTAATCTACTATTATTTAAAATTATATAACACATCATTGAATCAACAACTCAAAACAAACGCGCAAGGTCATCATGCGAAAGAAAGCAAAAAATGTCCTTACGAACGTCGTTCTTTTGCTCTGTTCTGTAGCTTTTTTTTGTGATAGTCAATAAAATATGGTAGATGAAAGAATATAGAGCATTTCAGGAACATTTTTCGATGTTTTTTCTTCTTTCTTGACGATATTAAATTAATTATCATTTTAGTTTGTTGTGCTGTTGCACATGGATATAATTTTGATGCAATTTCGTGTGAATCTTGCAAAGCATTTTTTCGAAGAAATGCCCTTTTCAATACGGTAAATAAATGTTAACTTACGAAATGATAATTTATCATTTCTTTATGTTTGTTCATTTAGGATCGATTAAAATGTCGTCACGATGGAGCTTGTGAAATAAGTGTTGAAACAAGACGTAGATGCAAATCATGTCGACTAAACAAATGTTTCACTGTTGGTAAGAACTTTAGACGTTGTTGATTGTTCTTTTAATTGAACACTACGTTCATTGTTCTCTATTAAATAGGTATGAGAAAAGAATGGATTCTAACTGAAGAAGAAAAAGTAACTAAAAAACGTCGTATTGAAGAAAATAGACGAACTCGCGTATCTGATACAAATGATGGTATACAACCAAAAGATTTGATTGGAAATAGTAGTTTTATCAGTAACATTGTTACGGCTTATAATGATAGAATCAAATTAGATCTTACTGGATATGGTTGGTCTTATCCGTTAACACGAAAAATTACTGGTTTATATCAAATAATTAATGCAAAAAATACTACAGCTCTTCGTCTTATCAGTTTCTATAAAAGATTATATGACTTTGACGTTCTTAACGAAATCGATAAAGTTAATCTAATCAAAACAAATTTACATTATATATTATTTTTTCATGCTTCTCTTAAGTAAGCTCCTTGAGAGAAAGAATAAACAAGAGAGCGAAGTTCTATTTGTAATTTCTTTTTGCCTAGATATGATCCAATCCATGATGTTTATCATGAGGAAAATACAAATGATAAGCCTCTCTATGGTGTTCATATTCGTGAAGCATACGGTGTAGATACTTACGTTCGGTGTACAAAGCTTATACGTTCCCTCTATTCAATTGTTCAAATGGATAAACACATCATGCAAGTTGTACTGGTTATATTTCTTTTTTCTAAAGGCCTTTCAGTCATGAGAAAATCCAATGAACCATTAGTAAACAATTATCAGCAAATATTTCAAATTCAAAATAAATATGCTGAACAATTGTGGTTGTTTATTGAGAAAAACTATGGAAATGTTCAAGCTGTTCGTATATTTTCATCATTGATCACTAAATGTTTACTTATTCAAGAATTTATTCGTGATATTGAACATGATATATATGAAAAATTAGATCCATGCCAAGTACCACCTATTCTACGAAGTCTGATACAAACGCCATAACTAATCTTTATAAATAAATGAAAAACTATTGTGATATGTAAACGACACTTTAACAATGTTATTTAGGAGATCATTGTGATGATCAACTGTTTTATGTTCGTTGACTCCTAGTTTTGATTTTCTTGCTGTCTTGTGCGTGGTTTATTTTTTGTTCCCAAATAAAATAAAGGTTAGATAAATAACAATCTAATGACTTGCTTTTCTTCTTTGTTAGATTCAAATTGTAACACTTCATCATGAAATATAGAGAAAGAAAATCAAATCTTCTTTACAGTTAGCTAGTTGACAAGAAATTACAATGACAATACATGTAGTCATACACTGTTCTGGATTGGTCAACACATTTTTTCGATAGTTAAAATAATTAATTTCTGTAAATCAGCATCAGCTATTTTTTCAGTTGTCCCTGGTTTCAATTATACGCGTGATTCGGATGAAAAAATGTTAGTCCCACCTTGATACTTGTTCTTCATTGTACTCCAACTGTATTCTATATATTTGTTCGACGATCTTGACGAGAATTTCATTCTATCAAAATCATTGTTAATCCTGATACGATAGATAACTTTTTCGCATGATAACTTGAATTTTATTCATTCAACGTGTTTATGTACGTAGAAGAAGAAAAAAGTGCTAAGAGATCCTAATCGTTTATGTAATTCGATTGTTGTCTCTATAATTGATACTTTGGACTAGATCAAATATTATTTATTGGTCATTAATAAAACGTAGACGTTGTGCAGGTGAACCTTCATCATCGTATTGCACATTACACCGAGTTGATGCTGGAATTATATTGATATTCAGTTCAGCTAGACGATTTTTATTCATCACAAAAAATTGTCTTAATTGATCCCCATCATATGTCGGTACAAGTGTTACCTAGTAAACCACAAACAGAAGAAGAAAAGATCGTTGATTTCTTTTTTCAGTAATGACAATAACGTACTGGTATTTGTTCTTGTTTATCCCATTGCTGTTTTCCATCAATTAAAGATTCTAATGTGAGACGGTTTATTTCAACAGCATTTAATACATAATAACGAGCACGTATACGCCGAAAAAATTCACTATCAACATAATGTTCGTTGCCATGATATGGAATAAATGCAACGTCAACATAAAATATTGAACCAGATGGTAAGTTCTGTTTTGTTTTGCGTGGGTTATTATTTGAAATTGTAGGTAGACTTGATTTTCTAACTGTTAGTCTTTTTGTATTATTTTCATCGTTCATTGGTAAACCTTGTGGATTTATTTCGTCGATGGATGATGTTGTCGCTGTTGATATATTATGGTGGATGATTTCAATATCGTCATTTTTATCAAGAAATGGATTTCGAGTATTAGGTGCTCCATCAACAAAACTTGTTGTCATAGGATCAGTAGCAATAAAGTATGAATTATTTTCATCGAGTGGTGTTGCTGTGTTACTATCGACAAATGCTTCATTTATATTATTAGTAAATGAAATTGATTCTGGACGTTTTATTTCATTCTGAAACATAAAAAAGTTGATTTCAGATTTGCATCTATTGACTAATTTTTTAATTTATATGACATCCAAAAAAGAATCTTCAATGTTCATGTTTTTATTTCTCTAGTTAATATGATTTGTAAGATAATATGCGAGTCATAATAGAATATTTAACTAAAATCTGGCACATCTTACTTACATTTGATTGTTCAATGTTTTGTGTTTGTAAATTTCGTCCATGTCTATCAACTTGATTAACTTTAGTAATAGTTTTTGATATGGTTTGCCGAGAATTGAATATCTTCTTATCTTTATTAGCTGATTGTAGAGGTGGATCAGTTCTAGGAATAGATGTCTAAATCAGACTTCAAGTTAATATTCATTAATAGAAAATAGGAATCTTCTGTACTTTTCTATCTAGTTTCGTTGTTGTTGTTGTAGGGACCAATCGAAGTTTTGATTGTGATGTAACAGTTCGTGGAAGAACTTTTATTTTTTCACTGCTTGATGATGTTGAAGATGTCGATTTAAGTTTTGAAATTGAATATTTAACATTTATACTACTAGCCGTAGATGATGTTGTTTTAGGAGTACTTGCTCGACTTGTTTGAAGTTGTTGTTGAGATTCATGTAAAAATTCGAGGTGACGAGCTCTAGCTAATGCTTCAAAGACGAGAGTTTGTGGACATGCGCCTGTGTATAAAATGCGAACTAAACTATCTTTGCTTGATTTTGCTGTTGGTGTCCAAACGAGAAGTGCACATGATGAATACCAATGATGATGAGGGATTATCGAAGGAGAAGGTTGTTGATCACGAATTGGAATCTAAATAAAGCACAACAGTAAACTTTTCGCCATGTTAAAATTAATATATTTGGTTTTACTTTTTGTAAAGTTGCTAAAGATTTATCATCATCCATTGACGAAGATGATAATGGATACAACACATAAAGATCAAGTGAACCAAATGCTATCTTTTTGTAAAGATTAATCGGCTCTATAGTATGTTTATTCGGTGTTGTATTTTTTACTAAATCAAATGTTTCGATATTTAATTGTTTAATATCATTTAAGAATTGATCAATATTATGAGATAGATTAACTGATAGTTTGCTATTTGAAGGTGCTTTCAATGAATGCAACGCTTGTAATCGGGTTCGTTGTATATTATTAAGAAACATAGCTCCTATATCTGGTTTACATAATCGACCATCATGCAATGATGGAATAGTCTTTCGATGAATAATTGTTTGTAAACCAGAAAGAACATTATAATCGAAATGTGTTAAAATACAAGCATCAACAGTTTGAAGACCACGAATTAAATTCCAATACGAAGGCATTCGACTACATAAGAAATCAAACGTTAGTTTTTCAATCGTTATAGATGATAAATACAAAAGAAATGAAAAGTATACGGCAGTACAATTGTTCTTTTATTTTATTTAATTGGTTTTCTCTTGTTTTTTACAGCTATTGTAATTTATGATGTTTTTAATGGTCAATTATATTCGATCCGTGCTGAGAACGTTATTAGGCGAAAGAATTTTCTTTTGTTGATACTGTTCTACTGATCTTCTATACTTATTTAATCACTTGAAATTCACTGAATCTTACATGACAAGCTCGAAAAAAGGAGAAGATCGTGTTTATTGATCGTAACAATCATTATTATGAATTACAAATAAAGACAATAATTTCTTATTGTCTTAGATCGAATTGTTGCTCGTGTAGCTGAATTCTCTATGTAAATAACTCATATTCATCGAAAACAGTTTTCTTACCTAAAACCTCCATTAATCAGTACAACAAAACCGCGAATACCAAATAACGATGCTTCTCCTTGTTGTCCATATAGTATATAAAGATTCGGTTCATCGAAAGCAACTAAATTATAAAAGAAAAATTTATTCTGCAATAGATTTCTTTTTAATCGTTACTTGTGCCTGAACTATCTCTTGATATTAATTTATGATAAATATCAAAATCAATAGAATCTTTATAGAGAACTTGATTTAATCTTTGATAGAATTCATTTCCAAATGAATTTTCGTTATTTATTTCTTTTGACAAATCATCAATATGAATATTTTTCACACATTTTTGTTTTAATAATTTTGTCCATTGATGAGAAATAAATGGTAATATTATTTGTAAATCTTCTGTAAGATATTTTCCACCATCTTCAAATAGATTATTCAAATGATCCGAAGTAAAAGTTGAATCAGCCAAAATAAGTGATCCATGTGAATCAATTTGCTGACCTTTAATAAAACTTTAAGAAAGTCTATGTATAAATATTGTACATAATCTTACCGCAGAATATAATAGAAACATGAGAACAACTATTAAAATAATCTTTTAGCACATTTAATACAGCATGAAAATTAGGTAAATACAGAAATCCAGCAATCGAACCATTGTCTGTAATTTTTATTTGTCGGTATTGAGATTCTATTTACGAAGAAAAAAATAACTATTACAATAAAAATTGATCAATGGAAACAAAAACAAACCCGCTTGAAATTCTTCAATATTAATTAAATTATTGAAAAGATTGTCTATTTCATGAAATTTTTTACTATCGATCCGTTTCAATGCCTTATTGAGATAATTAAATATCTCGTCACGTTGTTGATTGGAAATAATATCACCAAAGATTAATAATACACCTACACTTAAGGTGTTTTGGTCATTATTTTCATTTGCTGGGGTCGCCATCTCATCGATGAGCACCAACCGTATAGGTGAGATTCCAAAAAGGTGACAGCTGGAATGAATATAATTACAAAGCAACCGTCAATATAGAATAGTTGTCTTCCACTTGTTTCGCTCTCTAGTCAACGTAGGAATTAAAAATAAACAGAAAACTGAAACATATGAGATTAAGTCGAATTTGAGTTATTAGACCCGGAAAGAATAATGATGAATCACTTCATCATAGGAATGGTTGGTTGCATAATAGATTTTAATTGTAATGATTTATATATGATTTAGTGAACAAAAAAAATGTTATTGTGTAAACAGAAATGAAAGTTCTTTTTTAGTATAGAAAAAGGCTTTAATCGAATAGATAGTAGATGACGCTACAATTCCATATGCAGACAAAGCAATATTAGAAATTTCACAGAATAGAGTCTTCGCCATCATTGTCTGAAATTGAGACATCCGTGTCGTTTTTATTACTTTATCTACAAAGCCCAACAGTAGAAGTCTGTTAAGGAGATCGCCACATTTTCAAAATGAAAAGACTTGAATCACTTGAACGTGCTCTTCCCTAATTACTCAAAACAGCCATAAAAACACCAAAATTAATAAATAAATATCTCGACCTAGTCAGTACAATTTGTGCGGAACACTAAAAATATACATTCTATATTCAGATGCGAAATTGACAGTTGTTGTTGTTGTTTGTTATCAACGCTGTCGAGCAAAATTTTAAAATTTCGTGTCCTATCAAGTTGAGATAAGTCTATATTCACTATTGACAAGTGTCAACGTTACTGATATGGATTCTTTTTTCTATATTGATATAAATGATATAGGATAGTAAAAGAAACAAATGATTGGTGCTTGAATAGTAATTGATGTTATAGTTAGCAAATAAATCTTAGATCATTATTATATGACTATGAAGTGTTGTGGAACAAGCAATAAATTACATATAACAGAATGTGAATTTTTAAATGCAGTTGATGCAAATAATGATTTTTTAAAGAAATTTAATTCGAGAATGTAAAAACGATGAAAATTTAATTGATCCTGATATTTTAATTTAAGGAATGGAGAACTTTTCAAATGAATATATTAAAAAAAATGTTGACGCTGTACGAAAAAAATTGATTACCGAACATTGAAAATGATCAAAAACATGTTTTTAGAAGAAAATCTACTCGTTAATATACGCTTAGAGGTGGTATGCAAGAATCGATTGATAAATCAAGGAATGGCTTAAAAAAATAAACAAGACTGAATTTTATAGAAATTGTTTGCCAAACATGTAAAAGTTATCAATGCAATCAGCATGGTTTCAAGTGTATTCTTTCAAAAATTGTTGATCAGAATAATGTTGTTTCGAATGTACTGTTAGACATTTAAAACCCAGCATCTAAATCAACGAGCTTCTTTTATTATATTCGAAAAAATTTAAACAATCAAGTACCATACAACTTTTTGTTCAAGGTCATTATCGAAGATCTAGTTTGTTTCGACGGAGAAGAAATGATACAACACGTAGTAATCTTTTTTTCGTAAACGAAATTAACTGAATTTATTCGCAGTTTTATGAAAACTTCTTTTGTCAACAAGTTAAAAAATGAGTTCGATGGAGATTTTTGACTTTTCAAAACTAAATTTCATTGAATGTTAATCGTTTTCATCTATTCAAGACGTCAACGTTGCGTGATAAAAATCGATCACTTTTAGCGCATACAACTGAAAATACTCAGTTCGAGATAGCTTTGCAGCACTGTATCGAATATAAAATATTTGCCTTGTTACTAATAATAGAGATTTCTACTTTTACACATACATGAAAGCAACTGGCACCAACAATTGTTCGTTTACTATGGCCGATACATAGCTGAAATGATTGAGAAATCAGTTGAAATGTATGCTTTCATGAATCTATTACCGAGAATACATCTATTTTTGTATAGAGTATGTTTAAAAGTCAGCGTTTGATGATTTGAAACAATGAAAAATGAATTTTTGTCGTGTTTATTGATCAATGTCAAAACTAAGTTCATATACAGCAACGACAAGCTTCTTTTTGACTACAACACAAGCAAACTACAGCAAGAAAAAAGAATGGCGCATTCTTTCACAAAGAGACTAGGCCACATGTACATATGTAGAAAAAGAGCACAAGAAACAAATGATAATAATCAAGTCAACTTGTGAGTTGATGAACGATATTTAATAATATTAAAATTATTATCATCAATATTATTGTCTTGATCATCATCAATCACTTCAACAAATATATCAGCAGTTTCATTTTCATTGTTCGTATCAGCATCATCATAATTTGAATTATTTAAAAATTCTTTTTTATTGGCTGGCGAGTCCAGACACGATGAATCGTCATAAGACATTTTCGATAATCTTCGACGACTTTTTTGTAATTGATAAGTTCGCGGCATTCGTTTGTTTGATATATAATCGTCGGCTGTTTCAAAATCATCATAACCATCTTAGAGTAAAAATTTGAAAAACATTATTTTTTATCTAGTTTTTGTTTCAACAAACCTCTTTCAATCTTAACGATTAACGGTGAATGATCATGATTTTGATTTTGATTTCGAAATTGTATAATAGCCATTTGCTCATCTTCTTCTCGGTCATTAATACTTTGTTGCACTTGATTAATTTCAATAAATTGTTGTTCCTGTTGTTGCTCATAATCATCTTGAGTTTCTTCTTCATCAATAACCGTTGAATTTTTCATAGCTTCTGTATCAAACGGATCAATATGATGTATATCATAATGATGACGTTCAATAGCACGTAAATGAGAAAATTTGCTACGACATATTGAACAACGATAAATTGTTTCACATCTTTGTGCTTGATGTTTTATTGGTGATGTTGATAGGTTCGATGAACGTTGAGAATTTTTCAATGATGATGAATGAGATCGTTGACGCATCGATAGACCACCAGCAGGCATTTTTGCATATACACCACAACGATGAACTTTTGTTATGTGTTGACGAAGATCACCACGTGTCGCATACATTAGGCCACATTCATTACATTGAAATGTTCGTTCGTCTTAAATTAGTAATAGAAAGAGTTTCAGATAAATTTTGAATCTTTTTTCAAGTACTGAATCGTTAAATTTCAAAGCATTCTCACTCATATCTATTTAACTAGAAAAAGCTACTTAAAACTTTGTTTTGAATCTTAAATAATAGGTTAGACAAAAATGTAACAAGCATTTCTCTCGCGACTTAGTCTGAGTCACGTCAATACTATAAAAGAACATCTAGTAGTCAATGAAAAATCTTTCAAGAGAAAAATTAAAATTAGTCTCCTGTTCGATAAAATTTCTTTTCAAACGATTAAATCGCATTCTATGATTTCAATCTGCCAGTGGTCATTCAATAATTTAAGATTATTTCATAAAAAAGGACGGGGTACTATTTTTTATAAATATGATACAATTTCGAAATTCAATTGCAACTGAGCGAATAATTAACTTTTCAGTCTGAATTTGACCACGGAGTATTAGAGGCATTGAGCATATTCGTTTTGAAAAGTTTAATTATATATATTAATTCAATTCCAACTTGCAGTAAAAAGAGACTAGTTCGAAATCATTTAATTAAAAATTTTACAACGAAAATTTAAACGAACCTCGATGTTGTGAATCCATATGATCATCAAGGATATCTTGCGAAAATGTTTTGTATGTACACAACGAACAACTCAGTTGAACACGTGGTGTATTAAAATTATTATTCGTATTATTCATTGCATGATGTAGTTTTTTATGTTGAGTTAGTTCATGTCTACGAAAAAAATAGATTTAAAATAAAAACTTCGAAAGAAATAAAAATACATACGGATCAGTAAATTCTTGATCACATTTAAGACACGTTACAAAATCTTCATCATTAGCATGTTTTTTCGACATGTGTTGTTTAAGATCAGCTTTGCGTGTCAAAACTGTTGGACAATATGTACAATGAAATTTTTGTGCATTCGTTTCATGTGTTAACATATGTGCTTTCAAACTGTTACTTTGTGTAAATCGAAATTTACATACCTGCAATTTATTAATTATAATTGTGATCATTTTTTTCTTTATATTAATCAACTTACCGTGCATTGATATGGTCTTTCACCTTAAATAACAAAATGAATAAATAAAGTAGAAAAATAGATATTCTTTTTATTACCCGTATGAACACGTAAATGTCGCTTAAGTTTAAATGTATCTGGACTACAATATGAACAGTGTGGACATGAATATGGTTTTTCCTAGAAAAGAATAATATCGAATGTATTAAGAACAACAAAAAATATCCATATAAATACCCCTGTGTGGGTTCGAATGTGACGTCGAAGTTTACTTAATTCAACGGTTGCATAACCACATTCTTCGCATTTATGAGGTTTTTCGAGTGTATGTCTGCAAATGAGAACAAAAACACCCTCAAACTTCACATGACTGAATTATTACAACTTAATTCATCGTTCAACAATCCATACTTACTTATAACGAACATGACGAATTAATTCACCACTTGTAGTAAATTTATATTCACAAAATTTACACTTATAAAAAAGAAAATTGAATTGCTTAAAGACAGAAAATGAATAGATGGTATAAAGTTACTTGAAACGGTTTAATACCAAGATGTGTATTAACATGATTTTGTAATTGTGCCGTTGTTTTAAATGTGTTAGAACAATAAGCACCTAAAAAATCGTGTTTTGTTTTTCAATAATAATATTTCTTTTTAGTTTTTCCTCAACAATTTACATTTATGTGGTCGTTCAGTTGAATGAGATTTGAGATGACGTTGAAGAAGGTATTTTTTACCTGTACAATAATTACTAAAAAATATAATAGAATTTTAAGTTATAGAAGAAAAGAAAAAATTTTTAAATAATAAATACCAATATGGACACAGATGTTTTTCATCACGACGAACTTTAATCGGAGTTTTCGTTGAATCACGTGAGAGAATACTTCCAAAAGAATCAACTGTTGGAAGTTTTTTACGATTTGATGTTTCACTGAATTCATAAACTGATGCATCAACATCTGGACCTGTTGGACTTAAAGTAACGTCAACTGGTGTGCCAGTTGAAAAATCTTCTTCGTGTTCTGCATGCCATTCATCATCATTATCATGTAGTGTTTCACGCTTGGATGGTCGGCCACGGCGCCTTTTGACAATACCGCTATTGGTATTGTTTTGACTGGCGTGTCGCTGTTGTTCTTGTTTAATACGCGCCACCGGAAGTTCATCAATGTCGTCATCTTCATCATCATCTTCGTCGCCCTGGTCGTATTCGAAAGCTTCTTGGTCAAAATCGGGATCATCGGTAAATTTAAGATTTAAACTTGATCGAGATCGTATAGAACGACGTACTCGACTTGTCATTATATTTAGATTTTCAATTGACTGTGTAGTTTTGTTTATTTTTTAAATTCTTACGACACTATGAATTAATTGGGATAGGTGGCACCCTGAGATAAAGACGTCACTGCTGCTGCTTTAAAACAATACAACAGAGGTCATTGTCTGTCTTAGACTAGCCAATGAATTGATATATTAAATATTTATATATAGATCTTCTAGAAAAATACTAGACAAATTCTAATTCTAGACCATTATTTTGTTTTCTGTATAGGAATAGATATATGAAATATTGGGTTGCCTATAGAAGATGTCACTAACGCACGGACTATACTATACTTAAAAACATCGCTTGTGGAAGATTTCAAGAACTAAACTTCCGATGTGTCAAATTCTTCAGGATGATGATTATGCAGGAAATCCTCAGAGTATAATTCATATCTTACACTACGAGTTGTATTAAGTCGAGATCTACAAATCATTCTTTTCAAGACGCAGAAATAGTACGATCAGTTACAATGAATTCTCGACAACATAACATCGAGTTCTTTCTAAAAATCATAGATTCAGTTTAACTATGAGCTTCTCTTACTGAACAAATAAATATCCACCGATAGGTGAATCAGAGAATTTCGACTGTTACTAAACTCAAGCAGAGTGCATCGACTAAAAGAAAATCATTTTTGCAACTTAAATTATTCGGACTATAAAATTCGAATCATAAATTTATTTTGATAATGCACACAAGAAAAACAATCAATTGATTTATTGAAGTTTTCCCTTTTGACATAATGATATGTCAATATCTAATTTTAATTGTTTAATTTGTTTACGAACTGTTTCAATTTGTTCAATAGTTTTCTGTATCTTTTCTTCTTCATCTTGTACAAATCGACTAGAATAACAAGTGAGTGAATCTTGTATTGAAAGAGGAAAAAAAGAGTATTGAACAACTCACGCATATGGCATAATAAGCTCGCGCATTTTGCGTTCATTATTATCCAATTCATGTGAAAAATGTTTTCGTAGTTGTTCCGTTAGATCAATTCGTGTTTTATCAATTCGGTCTTTCATTTCTTGCTTTATAGTTAAACGACGCATAGGTATTAAATACAAACCGAATATACCAATTAGGCCAGCTCCTAAAAGACCAGTCCAATCAAAAGAAGCTAATGTGGCCAACGCGCCTATATTTATATTAGACATAACAAGAAAATAATCGTCAAAGATAATGAAAATAGATTTTACCAAGGCCAACAGCTCCAACTTCAATAGCTGCTGTTCCAAGCATTGTGGAACGAATCGATGCTGTAAGTTCATCTGCTTGTGCACCATTTGCTGTTTTTTGTTTATAGAGAATCTTTTTTCGAAAAACAAATTTTTAGAATTATGAAGTATAACTATTAGTTTACATTTTGAGATTGTGTTTGCAGCTGATTAAGTATTTGTTGACGAGAAATTGAAAAGTCGACATCAGCTCCAGATGACATACTATTATTAGTCTCTTTAATAACCTGCTGTTGTCGTCGTGAATTACTTGAACTTGCATTAAGATGTTTATTGAGTTGATGAACTGTTCTATTTGATCTTTGAACAATCCAATCACATAAATGACTAATGCACAGAGTAATATCTTGTTCAATATTTTTATTAACACGATTATTAAATTGTACTTTCAATTCTGCTGAACTACTTGAACTAAATAATGTTGGAATAAGACGTGAAATTTGAATATATTCAAGTAAAAATTCTTCCATGTTATCGATCATTCGAAAAAAAATATTATCAATTTTACTTAGTTGAAGTTTAAAATCGTCTAACATTTGTCGACGATATTCATCAACATCACTATGCAAAATAAAAAGTGCCTAAAAAAAGTAAAGTTCATTATCAAAAAGTTCCTTTTCGTTTTGATTTTTACTTGTTCATCATTGACAAGAGTTTGTTTTCTTTCATGAACTATTGCTAAATATTTATCAAATATTCTTTCTGCTATACCGAGTGGATTTTCAAGTTTTAATTTAAGTTTTTTTTTATCATTTAATTCCGTACGTAAGTAATTTTCTAATAGATCTATACCAATAGATTTTAGTGAACTTATTTGAAATATTGGAACAGTTATATCATCAAGAACTTGATGTGCATTACTACGCACATAATTTAGAAGCTTTTCTTTATCGATATCTTTTTGAATTTGATCGATTTTATTTAAAATAATTAATACTTTTTTTCTCCATTGATGAATACGAACAAGAAATAAACGCTAAATGATTATGAATATTTTAAATCGAAAGTAAATAACATAATTACTTCGCTTTCAGAAAATGGTCGATCAACACTTGTTACAAATAGAATATAATCAGATCGTGGTATAAAATGTTCTAAAAATAATATATAATTATTATATGTTGAAATAATCAACTGAGATTTTATGTCGACAAGTTCAGATTTTTAGATGAAGCACGAGTTTTCAATCTAATTTTCACATTTTGTTTTTCATCTAAACATTTTATAAATAGTAGCTTATGTGAAAAGATACTACCATCTATGAGGCGTTCAGTTTCAAGACAAAGGTAGGATAGGAAATATTCTGTCAAGAAACTTGATATTTTCTGGCAAATGAGGATATTAAAAATTGCATAGGTTCGCGAAGATTCAAAAAGGAACCCTAATAGTATATGGCTTTTACTATAGGCAGACAAAAATCGCAGGAGACCTTTTTGCCTTGTTAATCTTATATAGCTTCAACTTTTAAGACTTTTCTTAAATAATTTTATCGCTTAAACTTTCTAAAGATACTTTTTTATTTCTTGAATCTTATCATATAATATAATAAATACCTGTAATTTGTTGATGTGTTTGAAGAACAGCATTTGTACCGGGCGTATCAACAAGATTTGTTTGTCTTAACCATTCATTTGGTAAATAAATGGATTTAATATGTTCAGATTCGATAATATCCTTACGTTTTGTTCCGTATTTTAGTATTTGAATAACATCAGTTGTCGGCAAAACACCAGTTGGACATATTTCTTCTTTTTCACCGAGTAACGTATTTATGAATTGTGATTTACCAGAATTAAATTCTCCAACAACAACAAGTAAGAATATTGAATCAATATTTGTTTGAGCTTCATTAAGAAGTTTCTTGTCTGCAGTAGATAGAAGTGCTAAATCGGTTTGAACATGAATCAAAAGATCTTTGATGCGTTTAACAAGTTCATGATGAGTGTGATCGAGTAATGAAACATTTTCATTCTTTCAAGAGAATTGAAAAAGATTAATTTCAGTTTAAAATTATAAATAAAAATCTACATTTTAATTGATCGTCTATCTATTTCTAATGTTTCCTGTAGAAACTTCAGAATTGTTTGCCTTGTGGCTGAGAAAATAACTTTTAAGCTTTTCAAAAAAACATTTTCAGAGAAGAAAATCTAAATGAAGCATTTTCCTCTGTACTGGTTAACTAGACAACGCCTTGTCTCGTGCATAATCTACTGTGCGTTCATTGGGAATATACTATTGATTTTTAGTCATAATATTTTGGTTCTCTAGTAAATCTATTGTGACATTTTTGCGAGCAGTAGTCCTATGAAAAACATTGTACGTAATTGGGTTTTCAAAAGAAAGTTGATTTTCACAGTAAAACGTCTGGTTCCAAACTAATTTTTCATTCACATTTGTTTCAATCTCTTTAAAAATTCCTATATTAACACCATCAGATTAACCAAGTTCTAATTATATCGCAATTTGAATCGATACAAATGCAGCTTTGCTTATTTCATCAAATCCATGCTATTCTACTTACAACAAGCGAATTTCTCGAATGGGATAAAAATTTGGTTTGATGCGTAATAATCGATCGTCGTTTACAATAAACATTCAATCGACATCGAATGATTTGTTGCCGACATAAAGTTAAACATAACGACATACTGCTTTCAATTGTTTATGTTATCCGAAAGAAAAGAAGATAAAGAGAATAAACAAATCTTGTTTAACAAAAAAACAAATTCAATGAATTTTATTTTTTCAATTCATTCAACATCATCTATAGAACGAGCATTTATTTTTTCTAACAACGGTCGAAGAGAGATGAGATCATTAGAATTTCTTTCTCAATGAATATCTGACAGAGAGATAATACTACTGACTAAAACAGAAGATAACAGAATATCAATGCAACAAACAAAAATTGTGAATAGTAATACTAATATAAAGAAGAAGAAGGACACAAAACTATCGTTTTTATTTACACGCTGCTTTCATGCAGTGTTATTTGATTTATGTCTAGAGCACCATTAATAAAATCATTTGAATAAGTTGACGAAGATGATGATGATATTGTTTTCGAACGATTTTTTCTCGATAAAACAGGTGATGTTGTACTTGATGATGTTGCTGTTGTTGAATCACATGTTGACGATTTCAGTGAAACACTGCATTCATCATCTTCATCAATATATGCAACATGTGGATGATGACCATTTGGTGGTTTTTTCCAAATAGATGGTTTTTCATTCAATGAATTTTCTTGTTGAATTAAATTAGAATTCTTATTTAAATAAACATATGTTGCACGCCGTTCTTCAGTTGTTGGTGATGGCATAACACGATACGAATTTCGTCCACCATTTAATTCTATTGTTGGATCTGTATGACCATTTTGGATTATTGTTGATGAATTATTCATAGTTGGACTCGAAAGAATTTTATTCGTCGTCGGTGATGATAGTCGTATGATAGGTAATGGACGGATAATAGCTTGTGATGGTGACGATTGTACTCGAGGTGATATTGGTAAAGTTGATGGCCGAATGAATGATTGAGGAGAAGCAATAGGAGGTAAATGAAACTGAACAAAAAAGCAGTTTTCATCTAATTCGATGAATTTGAACAGAATATTTACGTATGCATTTCCATTTTGTATTATATGAGATTTTGTTGGACTTTCGGCTGATTTCTTCGATGATTGACCATACTGCAAATTACATTGTGCCTGCTGATCATCAATAGTAGTTGTAAACCTATGCAGAACAAAAGAAAGATTTAAAATATTTCCTTGGGTTGGAAATTAGACTTTCTTGATTAATGTGAAGTTTGAAAATATCAAATCATTCACTAATCACTGGAATTTCAGATATTTGTATTTTTAAAATGAGCAGTAGCAGCGCATGAACATCATCTTTATGATAATTATGTCTCACTCAACTTTTATTCGTTCGACAAGAGTTTTATTTTTAAAACTTAGAACACGTTATCCAAAACATAAATTCCAAGAATTGCAACTCAAACACGATGCTTAAAACGACGAGTTTTATTCAGGCTAATCTGTGAATTCTATTGTCAGAGCAGTGAACGGAAATCTATTCATAAGTAACAGAATTGATCTGTTTAACTCAGTATGAAATTCAAACGCTTACTCTTGTTGAATAGTATTTAATGTTGAATGAGGTAATGATTCATTTTGTTGTAAACTAGATTCACTAGTTGATATACTTGTTTTAAGTATATGTCGATGACGAGCATAATATTTCGATGCGACAGTAGTTTGACGTTTTGAACCATACGTATAAGTATCGTTTATGGATGTTATCTCGTTAGTTAGTGGTACTTGAGATTGATATATACTTGGCGAATAATGTGAATGTGGTGGTGAGGGTGAAGGAATTTTTTCGGTAAATGAATCATCGCCCATCGTTAGGTTTTCATTTAATATAATTTTGTCTCGATTATTATTATTATTTGATGGCGATATCAGTGGATGTGATGGTGACGACGGAGATTGTTGAGGAGTTTGTGGTGGTGGTGGAGGTTCATTGTAAGATTGGTTTAATAAGAGTTTTTTCTTTTGTTTTCTACAACAACGATAGTATTGACAATGCATTGTTAAATCATTGCGTGATAAAACATAAAATGCAATTATGTAAAATGCCAAAAGTAAAACAAATATTCCATATAAATGAGTATATATTGAATGTTCTAAACGAATATTGAACGAATGTAATGGATGTATATAGATTGATAGACTTGAGAGAAATATGAAACTCAGAAGAATCAATTGAAATAATATTGATAATAATTGATTGGATGGTTGATGTTGATGATCCATGTCGGATGAACATAAACTGTCTAAATGTGATTGATGGCAATCAACATGTGGTAAAATTTCATTTCGATTTTGATTATCTGATGGAATTATGATTGGTAAAACTTCGTTTGGCTTTGATGATATTATATTTTCATCGATTTCATCATTTATTTCTGGTTCAATTTCAGATTCGTCTGGTAGATTACGTAGACGTATGGCTTCTTTTCTTAATCGTTTTATATTAATACGAGCAGATAACAGAAATATAAGTAATAGAAAAATGAATATTCCGATTGGAATTATTAATGTTAAAAGTGATTCGAAATTATTTAAAAAACAACTAAAATGAAAAAAGTCATCAAAATTTAGTAGCTCATATTTTCTCTATTTCATATTCAGCTAGAAGACTAATTCTAATTCTCACTTCTCAATCAATATTGTTCTATACAGTAGTAACCTAATGGTAGACTTGAAGAGTGTGGCAAAACTTTTATGGTAAACAGAATTTCTCTTCTGTATCTAATTAAAACATATTCTAAGAGCAACTAATCAGTTTAATATATTGACTTCGATCTGAAAATTTTCTCAAGATTCAAATAAAATAAAAAATCAATATATAAATATTTTTTATAGATTGCAAAATTCTACAATAAATTTGACAAGACAAGAGCATATATATATTTACATTTTATTTGTTGTATATTGATCACGTGATATAGCAACATTAATTCCACAAATAATAAATGATATTCCATACGCTAGGAAGTAAAATTGTATAACAGATTTAGCTTTTAATTTCATAATTGGTAATCCATCATCATCATAATCAACAATTGTTACTGAAGATTTTCCATTAGGATTCTCATTTGAATCTTCATTATGACCTTTACCGGTCCATATAAAATAGAGTTTTTGCCAAATGCAACTAAACAAAATTTAAAAACAACTTATTTTCATATGTACGCGAATAAAAATAAAACTATACTATGTTAATAATGTTAACCAAAGTATTATTGTTAAACAAAGATAATGAAGACTAATTGAAATAAATTGGCATAAAAATAAATTTTGACTTTGTTTTACACCAAAAGCAAATAATGGTAATATGAATGCTAAGCTAAGCCAGTAATTAATTAAACAATGAAAAAAGCTTCTTGGCATTAGATAAACTCTAGAAAGAAAAATATTGACAGTGAATTTGTTTTTGAATAAAAGCAAATCAACTTACTTATGGCAACAAATATAGAAAAGTATACAAATAACAAAGCAAACGGATGCTATTGTTGATGAAACATAAATAGCTAAATCTAAATAGTTTGCATTCAAAAATAAACTTTGATTGTCATTGAGATGATTTAAATATGTTATTGACAGAGAATTATTTGCTGTTAAAGTGCACTCTGTTGAAATCAAATTAATATTCTAAAATCAAAACAATGAAAAGAAATTCAATCTTTTTGTTCAAAAGAAAGAAGCATGACATGTTTAAATTAGCTACATACTTTACGATTAATTTGACAAGTATGTGATGCCATTTGCCAAGACGTCATATTTGAATTCAATATTCCAATTGATGCTTGATTCGATTGGCCATAAAATATTATTGTGACACTTGAAACATTAGTAGATGTTGCTAAAAAGAAAACTTTTATCACATATGAAACTCTCGACTGAATCAGCTGCATGTCTAGTGTAGAAATCAGTTAGAAGTGTTACAGATATGGTGCCTATGGAAGGATTTTTTAGATCTACTTTGCGATATCCCTTAAAATATCTTTGTTTTGAGAACGTATGCTAACTGAAATATTAAAATAATTAATTCCGTTACTTTCTTTCATTCATGAATCTCGATAACAGTGAATTAAAATCTGCCTCTCACAAGCATACAATTTGTAACTGTGTGATATTTAGAATCCTCTTCATAGTCGAATTCGGCAAAGTATATATATTATATATATTTCACTGAATTTCGTCAATAATAGACAATATTGATAAGTTTATCAATTCACATATGAAATACAAAGTACACAAGAAAATGTACATCAGGAAATATTCACAAAGGGAGAAAATAAAAATTAAACTTATCTATCATTCTTCTTGAAATTTTAAAAAGAAACTTTAGTCATAATTCAAAAATCTTCATGCATTCACCATACAAAAATCTATACAGGAATAGATACTAGAGGCGTGCAATATAGGATACAGGTTATAGTTCGGTGCTTATCTTGATATTAAAATTCGTAATAAGTGATAATTAAAATCCTAAAATGGTTAGAGCAAACAAGAACGAATTTATTAATATTCATTTTTACAAATCGATGGAATATTTTAAGCAAAATCAATAGAAAAACTATCCTATATGAGTAAACTTAATGTTGTAGTTACCTGGCATCATATAAATAACAGAATTTTCATTTGTTTTAAAGTCTGGTGCATATAATGCTGATGTTCGATAGAATATAATTCGAAAAATCGACGATTGATTAATGTTTACATTTGATTCAAATCGAAATTGAATTGTTGCTAATCGTGGCTAAAACAAAAATCAAATTATTTTTCTTTGATTTTTCGTATAGAAATATCAAATGAAAAAAGAACCTCATGGCGTTTATATTGTTGATTAGGTATGCCACACATAAAAGTTAACAAATCTCTATTCGGGATAGAACACACATTTGGTGGTAATGATGATACGAAAGTCATAGCTGTTAATTGTTTTCCATCATACATCCATGGATGATTAATTAAATTTAATGACATTTCTAATATAAATCTTAATCTATTCAAAGCCAATTGATATTCATTAATTCGACTAAAATCTTGATTAATTTGTAAAATAAAATCAGTTAAACGATAAATCGATTTGGAAAATTCATTAATATTTTTCTTCGTCAGTAAATATTTATCCTTTTCTTCATCGATTAAATCAATTAAAAAAATAATATCATCAAATTTTAAATCGTCAAGACTTGTTTTGGATATAAGCATTATTATTTTTGATAATAAATTGGTAGAATTTTTCGATAATAAAAGATCAAATTCTCTTGATATATTTGTTCGAAAAGCACATTGTGATAAATCTAAATCAATCCATTGTCTATTAGATGAACATGTATAGAATGCTTTGGCATCGTCATATGAATCGCTTAACCATGCAGCTGAACCAAATGGACACTTCAATTGAATTATTTGACCAGTTAATGCACGTGGCCAATAAAAATGTCCTTTCGATGTATCCATTTGTAATGATTGGCAGAAATGGTTGGTTTGAATACTTAAGACATGTATCGATATTGAACGATTCAAGTTTAAACTGTGACATATCCATAAACCAGAATGATTTAATAGTAAATGTGGAATAATTAGTGTTGAATTTTTCGAATAGAATTTCTCATTCAATGTCCAATAAATTTGAGTATTTGACGAGCAATTCAATGTAAATGGATCATTTTCATATACGATTTGTGATTGTTCAGGTGTCAGAAAAAGATAATTTCTTTTATTAAAACAAAAATCACTTTCAAGTAATTGTTTAGATTTTTGACAATTCATCTTATTTAGGAGATTAATTGTTTTAAACCATTGTATCAACCATTTTAATTGACACGAACAATTGAATGGATTATTTGATATATCAAGATTAATATTTGATACTTCATTAATGCTTTTTGGAATCGTTTTTAAAGAATTATTCGATATGTATAATGATGATAATTGCGGAAATTTTGAAAATAAATTTGATGGTAGAAATTCTATTTTATTGAATGATAAATCAAGTGTTTGAAGATTACTTAATTTTGTTAAGGAATTTATTGATTTGAAAAAATTCGACGAAAGATTTAAAACGATCGTTGACTGCGGTAATTGACTATTTAAATTAATAAACGATTCATCACTTAATTGTCGATGTGTACACGTAATTATAGTTAAATCTGATGAACATGAACAAAATGTTGATGATGGACATTGTTCACTATATGAATATCGAAGAATATTAAATATTGATATTAAATATAACAATAACATCATGTTAATACAACAATGAATACGAAAAAAAATGTTGACCGATGCTGAAGTCAATCGACGAATGAACAAATAATATCGTATTTTTTCTTTCCTTCTCTTCCCAATCGATTTTCACTGAACAAACTCGTATATCAACATATGCACATTATTCATTCATTCTGTTGTTGTGTTGTATTTATACTTTGTTTCAACAAGTGCTTTTTGTTAACGTAATAATAATAATCTAAGATTTTTAATAAATCATGTGAAATTCATTTATATTTTCAATGTAAGTGTACAACTATAGATATATGTTTTATAGGTTAAATCAATAATGTATAAAAATTATTTAAATGGAAATATAGATGGAGTCAGTTGTATATTAAATTGTTAATATCATATTAGAGTTTGATATATAATATTTCGATGATGATTTCTATCGTGCAGATTAAAAATAATATACAACTTTATGAATTTCATTAGTAGAATTCGATAGATATCGTCTGTTGTTGAAGATTTGTTCTTGATTTAGGCAGTGGCATCTTTACCTTGCAGGATTGTCGATTGTTTTGAACAGTGAGAGGGCGTTATAATTTGGCAGAAACTGAACGATAAATGTTAAATTTACTGATTATCTGAGAGGTTTTTTGAACAGAATGGGTTTCTCTTCGATTTTCTACCAGAAAATTGGTAATTAGTAGTTGAAAACTACGTTTCCATCAGAAAGGGTTATGAAACTTCCCATTATACGTCGAGATTAAGAACACATAACAAAGTAGAAGAAATCAGAATTATTCTGGCTAAATCTGGAGATTTGGTAATCCTAGCTCACTTTAAAGAATTGTTAATTGGTTGAAATCGATTATTATTACAATCAAGTGTGATCAGAAAAATTGGTGATGATAGTTAGTTTGTGTTCGTCAATTAGCACTGACTTCATAAAATTTGAGTCAACACATTTTATATATGCATTCAATTTTGTCACTTGGAATGTATCTAATGTATGAAACATAATAGTTGTTTTCACATGTAAGTGAAATAAAACAATTCATACTTTCATTTTCAATTCACAATTGTCAGCTATTTCATAATGAAATTCTAAAGTATCTACCAAATAGTAAGTGATACCTCACTGTTGCTAGTATTTTAGAAAAAAAAATGTTAAAATCAAAGTGGCACAGTATGAAAATGAACGGATTTATTCTTCATCGAATCAACTCGAAATTATGTAATATACAAGGAAGAAAAGTCGATTTCTCATGAATCCACCTTCCCCTCTTACGTTATAAGTGTATTCTATAATCAAGTATGTGGCCATGGTTTGTATCACTTCCTATACATCGTTCGGGTAGTCTTCAATAAGCAGTACCATCAACTAGAGAAAATGATCATAGTCATTTTTACTGGTCAATCCTATCATGACGAAAAACAAATATAGATATCTATGTATTGAAGTCAAAGTTGTTTGATAAAATAAGTTCATTGCATTTATCGCAATAGGTTCTTTTAACTAGTTAATCAAGAAAAATAAGAATGAGGGTTTAGTAAAAGAATAATCACAACAAAAAAGAGAAAAAAACGTATGTCAAAGATGTTATTAGTATACATCAAGAATCGCAAGCAGAGTATAAAGAGGAAAAAAAGAAAAATTAGATAGTTGTTTTAGGTTGTCTGAATAAAGACACCGGAGATGTGTATCGCAAGAACAAAAGTACAAGAGCGAATATGGTTGACGAAGAATAAAGATAAATTCATGCATACAAAAAATAGAAAATTGATCAATCCTGATTATCGTTTTATTGTGGTTTACCAACACCATAGCCTAAAACATAACGTTCTAAATAAATTTTCTAATCACAAGCAAAACGTTCTTACCTTGTGGTGGATACTGCGGAGCACCAGCTATTGGATAAGGAGGCGCCACTAAACAAACAATAGAATAATGATTTTCAATAAAACTTCATTTGATGAACTCACTCATATTAAAAAATGGATTATATGGATTATAACCAGGTGGCATCGGAAAGAATGGTTGCATATATGCAGTTGGATAAGGTAATGCTGATCCATCTTAAATGAAAAATATTTAAAGAAAAAGAAGTTTCTATTGATGTTTTTATACCAGGTGCTGTTGCTGGTGGTTGACTACCCGTTGATGGTGCTAATGGTTGCTGAGGATATGGTGGAGCAGCTGCCGGTTGGTAGGATGAAGCAGTAGTTGGTGGATAGGCTGGTTTTACAAGAACAAAATATAGTCTGGATAATTTTTATCGAAATATTAGTTTGACTTAAGCATACCAGTTGGTTTTGTTGGTTGTGACGTGTTTCCACCGACAATGCCTCGTTGAATGTCTTTCATTAAATCCTCCTTTTCTGTTTTACGTGCAAGTACAAAATCAGATGCTTTATTTTGAAATTTAAGTAATAATGGTGTAAGATCACTATAAAACTAAATACCAAAAATAAGATGATTTTTGAATGATTTGAATACACGATTTAACAAACCTTTGTGCCTTCTTTTAAATTATTTAATAATTCTTGAAATGCATCATAAGCTCGAGCCAAATTTTTTAATATTTCTTCACGCATTTCTGATGACGCGTTTCCTTGTTTTTCATTTTGAAACTGTTGATTTGCACGACGAATATTTTCAACAAGTTGTTCTTGTTTTGAAACACTTTCATTAACTTGTTGTCGTAATGGTGCATAGATTGATTCGATTTCGTGAACAACAACACTATTTTCATCATTGTGATTTCCTTGTTGAAAAGCACCAATTAAACGAGCACGAACACCATCCGAATCTGTATTTTTCAATTCGGATTCAATTACTTCACGTTCAGCTTTCACTGAAGCTACTGTATCCATTAAACGGTGTAATTCTCGTACGACAAATGCATCACGTAAAGCACCAGCAGCTGATGCTGATGGCAATTCATTTGCTATTTCATGCTAAGAAAATGGGACGAAGAGATTATACACGAGTTAAATATTTTTGCAAATTTCTATCGAATGAAATTATTAACTTTATCAATCTCTATCTTTTCGATAATTAATGTCGCATCAGATGCAGACAAATCATTTTAAAGGATTGAAGGAATTCTCTAGTAGATTCCAGACGTATTAGAAATCCACGATTTTACTCTTATATTGCATACTGAGCAAATTTTATATATATTTTTGCAATGTGTCTTAATATAATTCTAATGCAGTTAGTTGAAGTTAATTAGTTAATTAAATATACTTTCGATGATTTAGTATCGATAGTAAACTTCCTCGGTATATTCTATGAAAATAATTTTTTCTTTATCCTAGGAAAAAAGAAAACAACAATCATACACTATCTAAAGGATTCACATGAATAACAACTAATATTTCATTTTAGCTATGAGCTGAAAGATCACATTTATATTTTAATAATTGAAGCAAATTAGATTAAACGTATAATTTCATGAAATGTACTCTCATTATCTCGATCTACACGTTCTTGGTCAATATATTGTTGGATTTTGATACAATTTATGAAGATCTAAAACGTTCTCTATATTATTCAATTCGAAATACTTTTTGTGATAATAATTATAGATCAACTTGCAAGTTTGAAGGATATTCTTATGAAAAATGAGCAGATACTTTACCGTTTGTTTACTAAGTAAAACAATAGAATCTCGATTCATGCGATATTTTTCTTGTACAATTTTATCAGCATTAATAGCATTCTGAATAATATCCATATATTTTTTGGCTTCTGAGCGTAATGGAACTGTTAAAGTTGATGATACAGTTCGAGTCCAACGTTCTTTAAATTGATTACGCAATTCTGTATCTCCTCGTTCTTCATCATCTAACATACGAATTGTCTAGAACAAAAAAGTCAATGTATATATTAAAAACAAAACTTATACGCAAAAAATGTACTTCATCGAGAATTTCTTTATTACGAGTCAATGATGTTGGTAACTCGTTGAACATTTTTTCTAATGTATTAATCCCACCTTGACGTTTTATTTGATTAGCTTTTTCAATAACAGATGGTGGGATTTCTCGGCCACCGCGATCTTCAATTGCAGCTGGTAAGTTAAGTGAAGCCAAAAATCTAAATAGAATCAAATTATGAATGGAAAACTTAAAAAAAGAAGCTTTTTAAAATTCTATATTTACGCATTCAGCACATTGGTGGCTTCACGTAATCGATTAATTTCTATATTCATTATTTCTGCACGTTTCGAATTAAATGATGCCAAGGCATTATTTAATGCTATTGGCACAAGTGAAGCAAATAAATCTAAATCATTGATATTCGTTTAGCTACTAAATAAGAATTAATTATATTGTTTTGAATTACCTCGAAAATCAGGTGTGATTGGAAATGTAACAGGTAATGATTTTGCGATTGGTTGAGCCAAAATTGTTTCAATCAATTTTGAATCAGGTAAACGTTCATGATAGACAAAATCATTATCTTTACGTGCTGCATCAACTGATTTATTTATTTCATCTTGATTAGCGCGAAGTGCTGGTGCAAATGCAACTGTTGCGCATTTACTCACCGCTTGGTCAGCATATTCTTTTGCACGCTAAATTGAATTCATTTTTGTTTTTATTTTATGAAAAACAAATCATAGTTTTATTTACAGTGAAACGAACAACGGCAAGACCATATTTTCTATCAGCTTGCGCTTGTTTACCAGCATGATATTCAGTTTTTGATTGAAACAATAAATGTTTAACAAACATTACATTAATGAAATTCTAAAACATTAAAAACATTTCTCGGTTTCTACTACCGTAAGTGTTGTGAATACAATAAAATTATATTGACTGATACGTATAGATAGTAGATTATGATTAAAAAGAGATGACCATCCCTCAGATTTTTATGTTTGACAATATCAGATTATCACGAGATACTAAATGTTAAGGGACTTCTTTTCTTTTATCTACTTTCAGAGAAAATCGATTATTTAATGTTACAAACATTCTATTGTTCGAGTTAAAATTAGTGAAGAAATTTAAAAAGAAATAATCAACTTGACAACAATATCCGAAGAAATTGACCGATCAAAGTTTAATTGTATATGACTTAATCATGTTGATTAAAATACAGAGATTAGGTTTCGTCTTTCTAAGTCTCTCAATAGTTAGATGTGCTCTATTTGAAGACACTACCATTCAGCATATATTTCATAGCAGAATAGAATCTGCTATAAAACTGTTGTAAATGACAACGAGCATGTATTGACCATTTGTAACATGGTTAGTTGGTAAAAATCAATGCTTCTTGAATTATACAATTTAGTTTCGAATGCGTATTTAGCTTTTGATGATAATCTTTAATTAATGAAAAAGGATCTCAATTGTATAATCAGAAAATAATAATTTGAAATTTTGCCACAAGTATGTCTGAATTTTAATCGCTATGAAAATTATATCTCATTCATTCTTATAGTACTCTCTCAACGAAAACGCGATTGCCTTGTATCAATATATCGAACAAAAGAATCTACTTACATCTGGAATGATCTTTTTTGCACTTTCTGTTTTTGCTGACGTATAAGCTTCCCGATAACAATCCGATGCATGAGCTGCAACTTTAGCTGCAATTTCACCTAAACAAGAAACAATTTAGAATTTCAATAGAAAATAAATATATTTACTTTTAAAACTTGAAGATTTTAAATGAATAAGCTCTGCTGCTTGTCCTAACATAAACCATGATAAACTAGCTAAAACTGCCGGTTCAAAATCTACTGATAAATCCGATAATGAATTAGCATTAACATAATCTTTTAGAAAGGAAAAAACTCCAGATGATAATTGAAAATATCTTAATGCTGCTTTCATTTGTTCATCGATAGATAGATTTTGTGCCAGTGCCAATTCACTATATGCATGACCAATATTAAACAATACACAAGCTTTTTCGTATGCTAATTTCCATGAACCATTCGTCTTTTGTTTACCACCAAATAAACCACCGCCACTAACTAATGCATCTTGCCATTTAAAATAAATTCGTATTTGATTTTCTGTTATTGGTAATTTATATTCAATCGCATGCAATTGATCATAATATCTAAACAGAAGCAAAGCTGATTCTTTACCAGTTAATTTATTTTCTATTACCGAAATAATTTTGAACAATCATCTCTGTAATTACTACGAAGTAATGCTTCAGCTCTCAACGAATTGAATCCATCAATTGATGCTGAATAATCTTCTTTGTCACCGAAAGTTGCTTTAATAAAATTTTTAATCGGTGTAGACAAAGTGACATCGAACGCTTTTTTAGCTGGTACAGATAGAAAATGATATGGATTAGACATTGTCTTGTCTCTTTCAGTTTAGTTTGCCTATCTGAATATTAAAAAAAAATAGCCAAGTTCTTCTGTTATTTATTAGATTATTAACTTGAAAATGATTCACAAGAACATTACACTAGTCAAACAATCAACAATGAGTCATGACAAGTTTAAACCAATAAAAGAAAACATGTGTCGCTCGATGCAATGAATAACAATATATTGTTCAGTTATAATCTATGAAAATATTAAAAGACTTATATTCAATTGTGACTAAGTTTCATATGTTTTTGTTAAGTTTAATAGAGACTTGAATGAATCGGATTTTATAATTAACTCAAATTTATATTGATTCTTAAATGAATCTTGAAGCAATAGATCTATCGAATATCTTCTTCTTGGAAAAAACTCTTGTAAAATGGGCTTATTCCAGTAAAACTTATTGAGACGAGAATAAAAAAAAAAAATTGAAATAAATTTCAGATTTTCTTATTCCAGCAAGAGAAAAAGTTCAAATGTTTTTCGTCTGACTTAGAATACTATTTTATTATTAGAGATTGACTAGTTTTTTCTTTTATTTCAAAAGATGTTGTTGCTGTTTTCTACATTTTCCTTGCACAGAAAAAAATAATCAGTATATAATTTGATCGTATAGTCTTTTCATTCGCGATTATAAGTTAATTATCTTAAAATAGACTTACGAATCTGCCTTAGCACAAAAATTTTAACTATTAGTTTATCCTTGAATTGAAGGTTGTTAGTACTCAGTTTTTATTTCATTTTATTTGCTGAATATTTGAAAATACAAGTGTGTGTATTGAAGACAAGAAATAATAAAAAAATAAAAATAAAAATGAAATAAACAAACGAACGAATACAAACTAAAGAATAATATCTGGCCGATAACTCGAAGAACTACTCGTAAAAGTTGTTAATTCACCAGAACTTTCTGTATTGGATTCATTTACATGTGAATCTGTTGAACCTGCTTTCGATGATTCATTTCTTGTTTTGCTGTCATTTGATTGATTCGTATTCAAAAGGGGTATACATCCAGCTGCACTCGTTTTGATTGACGACGACTTTGAATCTATCGGGGGAAAATCTTTTTTTAATTTTGGTCTATTTTTATTCCATATAATATAATAAACTAAGAATGATAAACCAGCAAATATTAGACCCATAAAAATCCCAAGTATTAATATCCAAATTTTATTTGCAGTTATTTCTTCATGTATGTAAGGTTTAATTGAAGTATGATCGATGAGACGTTGCAGTTCAGTTGTCTTATTCGACATCAACAGAGATAATGGTGGTAGAATAGTAGTAGATTCATTTATTTGAAGTTCAGCGTCATTTTCATCGTCAGATATCGGTGGTTGAAGATTGGATACTCGAATAATACTTAGACGAAGTGGTAATATTGATCGTTCTGCAAATGGAAATCTTAGAGAAATAGTTATACATGGATTTGCGTTTTTCAATGTACAAATATGTAAAAGTGGTCGAAGAACATCAGTATATAAAATAAAATTATTATAATTAACAATATCATCATAGCCTAATGTGGACCGAGGTCCACGTTTTTCTGTTAAAACTTGTTTTCGATCAAAATTTGTTTGTTCATTAAGATGTACAACAAGAACTTTTTCTTCTAAACTTAAATACATAATTTTACTTGAAAAATCAATGCTGGCTGTACACGGATATGGACGATTATCATGTGAAGTTGGAATTTTGAATAGAAAAACGCATTCATTAACAGTTAATGAACAACGTATAACTGTGCACCAACCGTATGAATCACCTAAAATATAACCATCCGATGTTAATTGATCAATGATCATGTCAGTTATACGTAGATTAGGACTTAGTTCACGTAAACGCTTCATAAAAGGTGCTGAACCTCGTGTACGTGGTTTTTGAAGCAAATCAATTATTTGTATATCTGAATGACCATAAACATAAAGTATTGATGATACATAATGAATATCGACAAATAATGGCATTTCACTACGAATTGAATTCATCACTGAATGGTTAGAAAAATTTGATATCCACCAACCATTTAAATATTCTAAACGATAAACAGTACGTTCATGGGGTGCTGTTAAATATATATTTCCCTGATCATCACCAGTAACATCATGAAAACGAGGTACATCTTCTTGAGTAAGTAATATATGAAACGAATCATCACCACCGAATATAGCTGGCCACCATACATAAACACCTGTTAATGATGTTAATACAACAACAGATGATATTTCGTTTGTTACTGGCGTATCATTGTATTCGATTTCTTCCTCCTCGTTTTTATGGGCGTATGTGAAACGGTCGCCAGTTGATGTAGTTATATTGCGTAATTTATCAGCTTGTACTGATGTTCTTTGATGAATATTTAACGAAGTAACATTTTTTAATGATTGTTTTTTACTTTTTATTATAGACGGTGTTGGCCATGTAAATGCCAGATCAAGAATAAAAATTAGAATAATGATTGAATAGTAATAATATCTCATAGAAAAGAAGAATTGTTTTAAAGTTAATCATCAGCTATAGATAAAAGAAAAAGAGAAAAAGATTGATAAAAACTATTTTTTTAAATATTCTTATTAAATCTCAGAGACATCAAACAGATCAGTTCTTCTATTTGAACTAGTATTTAAGTTAATTGTTTGAGGTAAAATATGATCATCTATTCACGATTACATATGATGCGTGAAGCGACAAAAGAAGAAGCCATTTGTAGAGAAAGAATACATGTATGCGATGCTGTATCAGGATAAGAATTAATATCTTTACTACATCTATTGTTTTAGAATACGTAAACCATAGCATTACATATTCATGCATTAGTAGTATGACACACGGGAAAACGTAGGATGCTGCTCTTTTATTCTTATTCTTAAAAGATCAGTCTACTATGGCAACTCTGTTCACTATCGATGGTCACTATGTTTGACGAAAGAGTCAATATTATTTTGTATTACTGCTATCGTAATTACTCTTATATCTTTTGAATCAAGAAAATTGGTAAAAGATTTTTTCGTAATTTTCTTGATGTCAAATAATGGTAAAGCAATTCTGTTGATAAAGAAAACGTTCCGTGCTTCTTAAGAAGATTTTTTGTTCATTTTTCTAATTAAATGTTAAAAGACAGATATTTATTTCGAAAGTTCATTCAAGCGATAGAATCTGTTAATTGCATACCCAATTATAGTTGTCTGCAATGCTTTGTGGCGACAGTAGCCGTCTGATAGTTTCACTTGATAGATTATGAGCAATCCAACTTTATAGTTCTAATTTGTGATTTGTATAAGCAGTTGCCAAGAATTTTTCGTTTTTTATACTCTTTGAGTACTCTCTTTCTCTCTCATCGTTTTTTCACTCTCGCTCACCCTCCTCCCTTGCCTTTTTCTTTTCGTTTGACATTCATGGGCGCATGGCGCAACTTGCACTTGCGTATCAAAAGAAAAAGAAAAGATAAAGAAGGACAAGACTGCACCAGTAATAAAAACACAGTCACTGCGATTCTTTTTTGTTTCTTGTCTCCTTCATCTTTCGTGCAATGTGGTGTTGTTGCGGTTGTTCTTTTGTTGATATCGTACAACTGACGTAAGATCAGCGTTTTGCTTGTTCCACTTATGATGATATCCTTGACAATTTTCTCGTGTGCTATATTTCATGTCATACGATACAAATCGAGGCGTCACCTGTTTTTATCAGACAACTATAAAAGCATATTCTACATATATATTGTATATCGAAAGTGCAATATACATGGAGAGACTTACCCGCTTATGATATTCTATTTAGTGTTCAAATGATGTTTTATCAAATCCGTAATTTATCCATATCTTAAGTAGCTAGGTTAGAAGCAGAGAAAGATTGAAAATCAAAGCTAAGAAAGTCAATAAGCAATATGTCTATAAACTATAACATACTTGAAATAAGAAGATTGATGTTTGGTAGCGTTCTTTTCTCTCACCAGACGGTATACCGCTTGTTTGTGCCATAAGCAATTATCACAGTTGAATGACTATGGTTTCAAAAAGAAAACAGGAAGTATCAAGTTCTGTTTTTCAATAATAGTCAAACGATAAATTTCAATGATTACTTCATGATTCGTTTAGATATATCGGTAACTAGTGAGTTGATTCATTAATTCTTATCTAAGTTATTGTAAAAAAAACTAAAATTTGAAATTCAATCTCTTAAAAAAATTGCTTTTATTAAAATAGAATGAAATAATCGCCAATTAATGTTGCTGGATATCTATGGACCATATGAAGGTTAATATAATACAATTATCGATTGATTCTTTTTCTACATGTTACTGTTCATTATTCTGTAATCATTATGCTTCGATACATTAATTCAATCGTCTATTCACCTTACTAAGTGGTACTTAGGTTAGTAAAGAGTTTTATAGAAAATAAATCGTATAATTAAACATAAATGATCAATGTAATTAGTATCAATAAAATTGAAAATGGCAAATAAATTGCTTGAATACAACATTAACAGTGTGAGCATTTTGTTTTATATTCTATATCAAAGTATTTGATAATCAATATTAATTCATGGGCAACTTATAGGTCGATAAAGGATACTGAAGATAATACGATGTCCTTGAAAAGAAGCAATGTAATTACTTTCATTAGTTTATTGCCAATAAATACTTGATAAGGAAATCTATCCTGTAAAAAAACTTTGATTTTCTTCCTTATTCTTTCCTATGACTAACATTTCAAATTAATTTTGCTATAACGACAACTGAACTCTGTGGCGATAAGGAATGATACAATCAGAAAAAAAACAATCAAAATTTCAAAGTAATATTCAAGGTTGAAATAAATTAGCGTCGGAATTCTAACCCAATCTTATACACAGAAATTAAACCTTATGATAAACAACTATGCTATATCGTTCAGCACAAATCAAGTCTATTGTTGGTCTATTCTTCATGAAAATATATGTTCTCTTACGATATTAAATATTGAACAGTGCCAACCCTAAGGCTTCTTATGTGAAATATTTTTATGCTTTGAACGTTCAACGTATGTAACATCAAATAAACTAGTTCTAATTGGCAATTTTAAAATATTCTAGTAGTACGCAAATTGCTGTATAAAAACAGCAGTCGGCAAAGTTACGGTTTGGTTTCGATGACGACATATCTCAGAAATTGAAAATTTCAATTAATAATTTGTACAGAGAAGTGCGGTGAATACGTCGAATTGTAACAGATAAGTAATAAGAAAAGAATGAATGAATAATTTATGGATATTATGAAAACTAACAAATCCTTTTATTTTCGAATGGTTATCTTCAATGTTATCGCAGATTGGTGCAATTACTAATGCAATATTCTTTATTTAAACAAAGTTCAGCCTTATGCAGCTGTGAGCAGCTCTACGATTGAAGCGACGATTTGAAATGAATAATTATTTTGCCTGAGTCATAATGTTTTCTCTTGTAAAATATTTTACATCGATTTTGTACCAAATCTTTCCCTTTTTTATTTGCTATTTCATAACCCTGTAAACATAGGTATTTAGTGATGAACAAGTTCTTTCGTTGATGTGGTGTGATGTTTGTCAATTTGTTGTAATAATGTAGCATTTATACATCGTATTAGCTAAATTCCATTTTGTGCCAATTAAACTATGGTGAATCTCATGATAATGATTAACTGTAGGATTAAATGCTTGCAAAGAAAAAGAGAAATCTGGCACTTAAATCTTATTAGCATCGATTAATACTGATGTTGTTGTAAATGGTCAGTAAATCAAAAACAATTATAATGAATTCTCTTTTGTTAATATTCGTTCGAGCAAAAATAATTTATTCATACTGTTATTATTTTTCCTACAAATCACTGCATATTCTCATGTATTAATAGATTCATTTTTCAAGTCCGTTCTTTTCTTACGGTGAAGTTTTATGTCTTTGAAGGTTCACGAGAAGAGAAAACTTTCGTTCATCATTTTTTTCGAAGACTGATGAATTAATAACTTGGTAAACTTGGGTCATACATAGAAATTAAGAATAACATAGATGAAATTCGACAAAAAAAAGGAATCTGATCCAAAGTCACCAAAAGAAAAGGGCCAGAGAAATGGCGTTTGATTCATATTTTCAAAGAAAAACAAAGGCATTGATCGAGAATACTTAGTTTACCAAGTCGACCAAAATTTATTTAATAATATTATTGCAAAATAAGTGAAGAGTAAAAGAAAAATCAAGATTTACGGAAGATTTCTGGAAAATCGTTCTTTACTGCCTTTGTTCAAAGCTTGATAAGAAAACTATTGATGTTTGTTGATCGGACAATAATAATTGAAAGATATTAGAAATAAGGTGAAGTGACGCAAATAACAAAATAAACAAAACTCTTATGCGAGGAAACGAGTATGTGGAATAGCGTAGACGATAAATCAACTAATCAGTTTGCATTTTTATGTGTCATAAAGAACGCTATAACGAAAATTCGACATAGACACAGGAGGGTAGAGAGAGAGAGAGAGAGAGAACAAAGGGTTGGTGAATAATTAAGGGAAAATCACGAAGTGGTAGCGTGATTGCAAAGCAAGACTACAATACATGAGTCAATCTATATCCTATTTATCAACAAGTGTGGCCATCACTTCTGGCTGTAGTTTCAGCATTCACGGATTTAAAATAGACGACATACTTTTAAAACGGAAAGAGAAACAAAACGAAGAGGCAAGAAAAGCCCCATACATAAACAGAAATACATCTAGATGTTGCTTCCTAGTCTCTATTCTTCTAATACAAATGAAAAAAAACAGAGACCAACATCCATCTTATATATAAACCGGATTTGACAATATTGTAAATCATCAAAAAAATTTTTCGTAAAACGCTTCGTATCGTATACTGTTTCGAACCAATAAGTTATCAGTAGGTTTTTTACTCTCCATTGTTTTTTTTTGATAAATTATGTTTCTGTCGTCCATCTTGCAGTGCAGTGTATTTTACCACAGAGTCCAACAACACCAGAAAGAGTTTTGTCGAATCCTTACTATGGCAAAAGCTTTTGTGAACCAGATCAATACAAAGTAGCCATTAATCGTTGTGAAGACGGGTTTACATCTTGCGAATTAGCCCTTGAAATGTTAAAGGATCTTGTTAATGAACTAGAACGTTGCTCAAAATCTTTACGTAAATGGTCAGAGAGAAGTTAAACTAAAATTGCTTTATCAAAAGAACTTAAAACAAATAGAGTAGTATGGTTGGAATCAGTAAAAGCAATTGAAAAACTAGCTGAAAGAACTGATGATATAGCTGATAATATTAAAAAAAATGTTATTGATGAATTAGTAAATTATAAAAAATTCAGTTATGATAAATCATTTCGTCATGTGAAAACAGCTAAAGAGTTTGAAAACGATTTTAAGAAAGTACAAAAACCATGGGTGGAATTATGAAACAAAATCAGTGAAGCCAAAGTAGCATATCATCACACAAGTGGTAAATTACATCGAGCTAAATGAGCAGAAGATATTACGAGCTCTGATGTGAGTTCTTCTGATGAAGAGAAGAACAAAGCTAAATCTTGTGTGGATCGTTATGAAAAAGAAAAAGAAAAGTGTAATATTGTCTATGCAAAATTAATCAATGATATGGAATCAAAAAAATCTGCTTATCAAGGTGAAATGTTCAAAATATTAGGTCGCGCAGATGATTTTGAACGAAAGCGTTTAGAACATTTCAAATTAATGTTCACTGCTCTTCAACAAGTAACTTCAATTGAAAACGATACACGTCACACTGAAATGCTTGAGAAATTTCAACGAGCCATTAGCAAACATAATGCCGATAGTGATATTGAATTTTTCAATAAAAACTATGGCTGTGAAACAAGAACTAAATGGCCTGATTTTGAAGATGTACACCAATAATCTCTATCTTGGTACATTAGTATAAACATCAAAAGAAGAGCAAATGACTAGGCATATCGAACGATGAAAATTAGTGAAAAATACTTTGTTTTTGTAGACATTAACTTTGATCCTTTTTTTATCAATTCTTTCTTAAGTCTCCTTATTTTATATCTATTGATAAAATTCCATGTTCATTTCAATTTCTATAAATACGATGCTGTTGGTGTAGTGAGCTTAATTCAGAAAAAATAAACGACGATTACATCCTTGAGTCGGCCTTCTGTTACTCATGGTTTAGCACGGATAAATTCATTATTTACGGAATAGACATATCATCAAAGTGTTTCAGATCGTAAAGATAAGAAATATGGCGTAGTTTCTGATTTTTTTCTCTGAGTCTGGATGAGGAAGCATTCGATAGACTGTCGGAAGTGTTTTGATGAATTATACTTGTGTTTTCAATTCGAAGGAAATTTATTTTAATACAGATGCCATGTTCACAAGTTACAATGAATAAATAGTTCCTTTGAATCTATTTCGAATTTTCTCATATAACTTGGAAAGAACTAATTTCTTAAAACAAGCGATTCAACCATATTTCGACTTAATAACAACTTGCACAAAGAAACTTGCAGCATTTTTATTGGTAGAAGTTTTGATGAACGATATGTTCTATTTATTTAGACGACAATAGTAGCATTGTTTTGTTTTAGTTATGGGCATTAATAATATTTTTGAAAATGGTAGAAACTATTTCTTTCAACACAACAACAAAATAGAAACGATGAAAATAAACTGCTTATTTTAATTCTATTTCACTGTAGAACAAGAAAAAAGAAGAAAACTATACTGATGGAATCAGTAAATGTATTGAATAAGAAGAAACAGTTTGCAACATATCAACAAGTCTATTATATTGAATCGTACAAATAGTTTCATTAAAAAAATGCAAAATAATATTTCACCTTATTATTCTTATCCACAAATTGGATACGCATCACAACCATCATACTATGCGCCATATATGAGTCCCTATGCGCATCCGTCACCTCCATATAACAATGTCCAATATTCCAACTATCCAGTAAATCAGTCTGGTCAACCGATAGGAGGATCTTTATATGTTCCACCTGCTGTCAATCGAAGTCATCTGGAACACAATCCATTTCCAAGGTATGGACCAACTGTGCCAACTCATGATGATTATATGTATCCTACGTTGTATGATCAAATGTATGAGCATAATCATCATTATGACCTTAGTCATCATGACAATCACAATGATCATTACTATCATAATAATCACCATCATCATTATCAACATCAATATCATCAAAACAGTCATTCCAATCATCATTCGCATTCTTCTAATTGTGTAGACCCAAAAACTGATAGTGTATCTTCAACAAAAGAAAAGGTATTTGTCTTCGTTCTATTTCGATCAAATATATCAATTTTCCATTGATTTCTAGCTCTCAGATTCAAGTCAATCCGTTTCGTTAACGAACGATGAATATAAACAATATATTGTTGAAAATTTGACTGGGCGTGATTGAATCTCATTAGGATAATCCGAAAAAGATGCATGACAAACAATTAAATATTATAATAAATTTCAACAAGATTCTTGTTAATGCTTCATGGTGCTTTTTTTATTTATTCGTTTGACTACAGAAGTGTCAGATATCGGCCACAACATAGTGTAACTTTTCTCATTAATGCTGTCATCTTAATAGAGACAGCATGGCTTCGCTTCGTTTTCAATATCTTTTGCATGAATTAAGAAATAGAAGAAGATTCTCTAGCAAATGAAATTAGACAATGCCTCGTGTAGATATGTATTAGATGTGAAAGAAGACAAATAGGAAAATAGTTATGGGTTATGGGTAAATGCACGCACACACATACATTAACAGAGTGAAACTGTTTCTAGCCGAGTATAAGAAAAGCGATACGAGTAAATATATGTTCAAGCGATAGAAACAACAAAGCTTAATTTCAATCTGATAATTATTTTCGTGTCTAAACTGCGTGTTTATTTTACGGTATCTTTTTTTCTTATTAAAGTATCTATTCTTCATCTCCGGCTGGTTCAGAGGCTGAGGCTGCTTCTGTTGTTGCTGCGGGCTGAGCACCACCACCAGGTTGTCTACTAAATTTTGTTTCTAATTGTTTACGATTACGTTCATGAGGATGAAGTTTATCCTGATAGCAGCCTAATCAAGAAGTACAAGTAACTATGTTAAAAATATTTCTTAAATTGACCTTACTCTTGCAATAAATATCTAGAGAAAAGTCTTTGTATGAAGCCAATGTTAAAATGCTATTGCCTATATTGAAAATAGAAAACTAGTAAAATAAAAATAAATAAATGCAAAAAACTTACATGTTTTACATTTGAAACAACCTTTATGCCATGCAGCACTGCATGCCGCAAGTTTTTCTGCTGGATAAACAGTTTTCTGACAACGTGGACATATTTCACCGCCTCCTCCCCACTGTGGCATTGTTTTAATTATGACGAAAAATAAAATAAAGTAAACAAGATCAAATATAATCTGAAAGAAATATCGAAATTAATTTGTTTTTATTACAAATATTCGACCAGTGAACTGATTTATATTCTTAACAGCTATCGGTAACATATGGAATATGTAGGATAACAATTGATCAAATTTTCCAAAAACTCGTCTCGACTGTGGGCTTATCTGTAAAACTGCATCCTAACGAATAACATCATTTGTTTAAGTAGTCAGAAAAAAGTGTCGTAGTAAACAAGATCATCTTCTACTACTATGGTTTGCACATATACGATGCATGAGATCAGCAAAATAGAGAGAGAGAGAGAGAGAGAAAAAAGAAAAATGGGAATGTCTTCCACTAGTCAGCCTTGGTGATATAGCTGTTATTCGTCGTTATCATTTTCTACACGTAAAAATACACCCCCATGGAAAACCTTTCCATTTTTTATTCTTTTCCTCGTGTTCTGAATTGCAGCCGATGGATAAACAAAGAAGGTTGTTATTGGTAATGGTTTGTCATGAGGATAGATGAAGATGATGATCTATCTTTTTTTTCTCACTCGATATATCTCATCAGTCAACCAACGAAAGGGTGGAGCTAGCAACAAGCGAACATTATGCACCCAATTTATGGCACAGTTTCTAGGTTGTTTTCTCTTTCTCTCTATGCCATCAATATTACATCATTAGGAATAGCCATGATGGTGTGCTCAACGATGTCAATTATTTAATGACTCGTTTGAAGCGTATACTAGTTATTTCAATAATATGGGTCTTATATATTAGAGTAAGAAAAAAACAAAAAGGTAGCAAGGATCATTATATTATTATCACTTCTTTGGATAGGAGGTGACAAGCAAACATCTCTGTTGTCGCCCGGCAATTATACTGTACAGACATTTCAAGGCGTGTGCTAATCTTGCAAAAAAAAAGAAATAGACTTGATCGAAAAAATATGGTTTAGACTATATAAAAGTGCGACGTATGAGAACTTTCTGTCGAAGTAAAATTGCTGGTATCAATCATGAATATACAGAAAACAAAGAAAAGCATAGAAAGAGAGCGAAAGGAGAAGATGAGTCTCCCACTAATATTACTAGCAACAACAACAACAACAAGTGTAAGCATTCGCCTACGTAATAACACTTAACATAATGAAAAATATTCCTTTCATGTGTTGGTCCAGTGTGTGTATGTACTATGAGAAAATATCTCCGAAGAACTCTCGAATCAAATTTTTCTTCTTCTCTAGCTATCAATCATAAGAAAGAAGTTTCTTTATATATATATATTAGTTATGTTTGAAAGGATCTTAGATATATGTCTGATAAATCAAACAACAACGAAATACTATTTATATTCTTGTCAGTCTTTGTCTTTTGTCCAAATAAATGAATGAATGGATAAACATACAATGAGAGTTATTTTGTTTACTTTACTGGAACGATTCTCGACGATAAAAACTTACTTATTATCTGTCTTTTTAAAACTATTTTACTCGATTTCTAATTATTTACTTCCTCAAATATAGATATAATCAACCGATATATATATATCAAGCAAAATACTACGTGTGTACATGACCTTTTTTTGGAAAATTCTATTGTGTCTATGTTTGGCACATATGGTGTTTGCATAGATGAAATAAATATAACATAATTTACCGTATTATCGAACTAGGAAAAGTACTACTTGAAAATGATGAAAGATGTTCTTCGAAAATGTCAATAATACTCATTTCTTCAACTATTATGTTATCATATTTATATATAATCAAATAATATTTTTGCATTTTCTCATATTTGCTATTATAACAAGAATATGAAATTGTAGCTGTGTAGTAGGTAAACGAATTTAACGAATATTTTATCTAATTGCAATGAACTGCAATTGAATCTTCTCATTTTTGTTTTCTTGCTTAAAATTATTATTATTTTCCTGTGTTTGACTAATTTATACATAGCAACAAAATACAGACTTCGTTGCGTCCTATCTTTTTATGAATGACTTGTTAAACTCAAAACGCAAAATAGACATAAGAAGACGTTTTTTGCGTTCCTTTCAACTATAATATACAGTAAATTAAAAATAACTCTAGTTTTATCTTCTTTATTTATGAATGGCCACGTATTTACTGCACCCAAATATGTAATAAATTTGTGAGAAATATTGCTTCGTACAACTACTCCATGAAGTACCATTCGCTTGCATGCATGAAAAAGTAAACGAGTGAAAAAACACCAAATTGCACTGATTATAAATCTTATGACAAGAGCTCTTGTGAATTTTCTATTCGTTCAAACTAAGATGTTATCCATGATTCTCATATTGGGTGATTGGTGGGATTTACATTTGCTTCTAAAATGAATATGCATCAATATTGATTTTTAAAAAGGCATCGATAGTTTTTTTTACGTGTATCTTATTGCATTTACTATCAATTGATCTGAATTATTTATGATCAAATTCGACAGAGAGCACAATCAACAACAGAAAAATATGTTTGCCATATCGACTAGAAAGAAAATGGCCCATTCAAAGCAAAAATTAAAACATATCCTTTATAATCGTTTAGATAAGTAAACGCTCGTTTCTCCGTTTTAAACAATTATTTGGTGCAGTTATTCTCTATGCATTAGAGATGAAATTTTCAACTGTTTTATTATGAAAAGCTTTTTTCAATTAGAAACTCAAAGATCAATCTAATCTTGATCTACGTGTATTTATTGTTTTTCTCAAGCAAATTATCTATTCTAATGACATAGGAAAGCTCAAAGTTTCGTAATACTTGTAAAACAATAATGCTTTTATGTCGCGCTAATTTTCCATATTTTATTCTAAGTAATACATTTTTACTTGTAAATGTTGTAACAAAGCTTGTGACATTGAATTTATTCCAATTATCGTATTTACTCTTTTTTTTCTTGCAGTATCAAAACAATGAAATAGATTTTAGAATATCTTATATTTCATGTGTATTAGAGAAAACTTTTCTTTGGATATTTCTTTATTCAATATCGATGAATACATGTCAGGACGACTAAATTATTTATTTATCTATTGAAATCCAGCCATGTTATTTCTGTTGCTTAGATATTGATACAAACGATCGCTTTATTTTTTTATTTTGTCAAGTCCATCGTTTATAAGTAACGAAAGAAAATTTGTCATTGAATTGTAAAAGAAAAGCACTTTTATCGTTATTTTGATTATTTTCTTTTTCTCTTTTCTATTTATCGGTCTAGAAAAAAATTCTCCCGAAATCGATCGAACAATATTTTCTCCTGTCATGATTTTTTTAAAAATACTTTTCAAGTTATTGAAAGTATGAGATATGAATTAAGTTAAACAACGAGACTCGAAGAGAAAACGAAGGAGAAAAAAATAGAGAAAAGAATCGACGATCGACAACGTTTTTTTGCTGCCGTTCGAACAAGTGAATAAGTGGTTGATTTTTCATCCCGTTGTCGTCACGACAGAAAAACAGACACAGGTGGTAATACGATAATGGTGACCATATGCAATTTGATGCTGTGTAATTGAAAGTGAAAAATAGCAGAGCAAACAATAGGCGTATATATATCTATATATACGTATAGTCACGTATACGTATCATAATTTTGACTAAAAACAAAAATAATATAAAATGGTACACTACGGTAAACATATAATTGATCCTCAAACTGGTTTATGTGAAATTTGCGATCGTGGTGCCATACACGAAATTCGCCATGGAAAACGACATGGAAAACAATTTCTATACTCAAATCAAGATGGAAAATTTACTTATCGCTCTAATGATGACAATGAAGTAAATTATGATAACGAAGCAACACCACGTCATGTTCGAAAACCATTGTATCCTGAACCGCCACCACCACAACCAACACGAACACGTCCAGTCGTACAAGAACAGCCGGTGGCCCCTCATAGAAAAGTCACCCGCCGTGATCATTCACCAGTAGATCATATCAAACATAATCCTACAGCGGGTATGGCAACACTTTATTATGTTGATAATACAGGTCAGATGGTTCCTCGAAGTAACGTTCTATCAGATGAGTCACATCGAACTTACATCGTTCAAAATCATAATTCGCCACCGACACGACCAGCTCATACTGTACGAAGACATGCTAAAACACCACCACCACCAGCGAGTGATTCCATGCGTTCACAACCAAGACGAAAGAATAATTCGGATACACGAATTATTGAACGGCAGCATAGAGAAAATGCCGATGATAGTCATTTTCACCAATCACCAAGAAGAGCTGAAATGTATTTTGTTGAAGCACCTCACAATAACAACAATTTTACAGCGTTACGTTTCTCATTTCAGCCATCTCATTCAAATAATACTCCGTCACCTCGCATGAATCCTCACGGTGATCCGCATAGAAAACACCGTCAACTTGAACCAATTCAACGAGTCAATTACACTGAAATTGAACCAGCTGCTACAAGAAGAACTCATAAAAAATTATCACCAACTTATGACCCATACGAAGAAGAACATGTTCCAAATGGTAATCATCAGCGACCTATACGAAAACTTGAAAAAATTTATCCAACACCAAGACAATACGAATCGGAACCACAATTATCAAACAAACATCTTAGAAATCCGTCACACAATAAAAATCCATCTCTTTATTATATTCAAACTGTTAATGGTTATTAACGAACGATAATATCTTTTTTGAATTACAACTTTCCCACCGTTGATTTTTAAATATAATAATACAGAAACTATGTAAATAAAGAAAAGTTCCTTTACAACACAGTTCTTGAAATCGTCACAGAATGACTTTGTTCCAGAAGCCAAACAGAATCAACAGCAAAAATATTTACCTACTAACTTTGCCATAATAGAATTAGTTTATATCATCGAATAGTTATAAGAAAATAATATTTCAAAAATGTCTTGATCTGAATGTCTCAATCAGATTAGAACATTAATTAGAAAACACAACAAAAACTATTTTTTCAAGCGAAACCCGAAAGTGTTTATACAAAAATTATGTACACAAACGGAACAAATCATAGTAGAAACCAATAAAGTCGAGTTAAAAACAAAACATTTTTATAATGTATTATTTTTCTTACGCTTATCACTCTCCGTAAAAAATCAGCAAATATATCATTGAATATTTATGAACAATATTAGTCTTCCACTTAAAAGAGCAGGAAAATAACAGACACTTTATTTGAGTAATTAATAATAATCAAAGTTATGTTTGATTAAATATGAATCTTCATGCATACAAAACAGCAAATGCGCTATCGATTAGGTTAGGTAGGACGAATGTGTAGCCAGGATTCCCAAATGATGAATTCTAAAAGTGGAAAATAGCGGAATCTTATTGTGTTGCAGATTTTTAATATTTCTCAGAACAGAAGGCATTTTTTCATATCTTTGGCATTTCTTTTTATTTTACCAAAGTTTCAAAACATATATTTTAGTTAAATGAATCGAACTTTGTGCCAATATCGACATATGCAATGATATGTGGGTCTTCTGAGTAATCTTGCATATTCTTTCTAAATTTTAGGATAGTTAACAGTAGAAAATTAAGAAGAAACACGAGAAATCTTAACGCTCACTACTCTACAAATTTAAAATGAACATTGGCAGCATCAGAGAAACTTTTAATTGTCTCGTCTCGTCGTCGTCATGTATTTTATTGAACTTATGTTGATCTTTATATATGGTCACGTTTTATTTGATTGGCTTTGAAATATTGTTAACATAACAACTCGAAGCCCACATCAAGATTAACTTTGATCTCTCCTAATCTATTGTTGATAAGTGTGATACATCAAATTTTGTATGGAAGGATAATTAAGAATATTCAAATACAACATAAAAGTTCTTACATTAATCAACTGCAATTATTTATGAAGGAGAATGTCGATTGATTTAAAAAAATGCATTGTTAGTGTCATTTTCAAAAAGAGTTATTAGATATACATTGCTTTTTATGCTGTTCATGAGGAGAATATTTTTAAGATGAAAATATGCATGAATGTATCATTAAAATGTTCTTGCTAGGATCTACATAAATTCAATATCATTCTATTATATGATTATTTAATTCATTTTTTTTGTTTTTGAAGAGTAGAAATCACTATGAAATTTACGATAACGGATCTTTGACTAGTGGCCAATTCATAAAACAAAACAAAACAACAAATTTAATGCTCTTGTTTTATTCAAATGAAGATTTTTAAGTAAGTAGATAATGAAAATTATTTTGATGCACTTGAAATATTTATTCGATAATAATTCATTTTGATGTAACAATTTCAATATATACATATACAAGTAAAAAGGGAGGGAGAGATTATCTTAATTTTTTAAAAATATTCATAATAATAAGTCTCATTTCTTACTTTGATGATTATTGTTGATAGAATGCGAGTGAAAGATAGCAACTACGAAACTTGTTCACACAACATAATTCTCAAGTTCAAGTTCTCTTTTGCTTTGTGCATTTCTTATTTAACACATTCCGTTTTTTTCTTTTTCTTTTTCTTTTTGTATTTATTCTATTGCATAATCATTATCGAAAAAAAAGTTTACATCATGGTTAATTATTAGTTCAGTGAGCGATAACGGAAGAGAGGCATTACATATTCGTTTTTATTGAACTCGAATAGTTATGCACACTCACACATATGTATATATATATAACACCGTATTGCATAGACAAGAGAAGCACTATCATGAAAAGAGAAAAAATGAGGGTGAAGTAGGTTCATCAACTTTTCTATGTCTGTATATTATTATTTAAAATAAAGTATATCTCGACGCATTTGAAGCATAATGATAAGTATTGTCAAAAGTGGTACAACTAAAAAAATGACAGATATAATACCAATACGTTGCTTATTTGAATACATAGTGTTCTCTAATGCTACAATACAATTTGTTCCCGTACAATTATAAGTTGTACGAACTGATGACCATACAGATACTGATGTTTGAGAAACATCCGTTTCTAGCGTAGGACGAAGTCGATCATAATTAGCAAAGCCACATGCAGCAGCAGCTGATAAAATGGAAATATAAAGTGCAAGTAGAGCAAGCGAAATTATTAAATAACGCCAACGACGTCTTAATATACCGAGAACACCGAATAGTATTGGTATTATTACTATGCCACTACCTATTATGAGAAGTATATGAGCTAAAAAGAAAAAAAGAAACAAACATTTTAATTCGATTATCATCGTTTAAGTTAAATACTTACGTGCATAGATGGAAAAATAAGCTTGTCGGTTGAAAGCAGAGTTGAGATCAATAATTGTTCCATATAATGGTGGTTGAAGAAGAAATCCTATACCTAAACCGATGCCAAGTAGACTTTGAAAAATAAGAAGTATGAAAAGAATAAGTGCAATCAATTGGATCGAATCCAAGGGTCCACATGGAAAATTCATGGTCACAGATCAAGACTAACGTAAAACAATATATTATACCATTATCAATCTGAAAGTCACATTGAAAAAAATATTTGAAAAAAACTATCAATAATAACATTTGCACAAATCAAACGTTTACATTTACGTGACAGAAGTTTATAAATTGTTTCTTTCTTATTCATTAAAATGTTTAAAATAAGCCAGAAAACATAAGTAATCCTATCAATTAGTTTTGTTGCATGACACACCAGGCGACTTACCTAGTCAATATCGGCATTTTTCCATGACCATGCAGACACAGAACATATGTCACGCATTTTTAAGTATAGAGAATAGAGAATAATAGATGAAGCTAATTTAGTAGCTAATAAATCTTATTTAAAATATAGAACTAAATCTTTGTGACGAATTTCTATTCTTTCTCATCGATACGTTGGACCAAACGAGATCCAATTGATGATTGTTAACGATTGAAAATGAATGGCAAGTTAAGCTATAAGAAAAGAACGCTGAATAGTAAGAAAAGAATGAAAAAGACGATGATGGTGAATTTCGAAGTTGGGACGAAGAAAAAAAAGAAGAGAGAAGAAAAAAGAAATCTTGCTTCATATGTTACCCTTCTCTTTTCTTTATACATGTCTCAATAGATCGACAGTCAACATTTCAAGAACGATGCAACATTTACTAGCAGTACCTTAATCAAACAAATCGAAAAGTTCAAAATGTTCTGTTAATGCTTTCAATTATATGAACAAATATTTAATAATCCTATTGCTCTGATATAGTTTAATGATGAAAATAGTAAACGTGAATATTTGTATTGCAGTTCAATGAAGAAGAAAAAAAATGATCTAAATGATGTTCAAGGTCATTATTAAAACTACAAAAAAAACGTGACCTTGCTTTGTAGGTTACTTTAAGAATAGATGCCATTCAGATGTAAAACGAATAAATTGTATTTGTTGATGTTCTACATGTATCGGGATATGAGCTAAGTTGATATTATTTGTTTATTGAATTTTGCGATGAACGTCAATATATGATATATTTCATCATCATATTTACATATACTTGCAATTTCATTTGCTTATTGAACATCTATGCAATCATTTGACTTCACGCACAATTCTACTGGAGTCATATAGACACTCATGAAAAGTATATTTATTTAGGTCAACAAGCATTTCAACAAGTGGCCAACCAAGTTGATATGATAGTTTTATACTGCAAATAATAAGTGGTTTTCCTTTTATCTATTTAACTCTATAACATAAATAATTCTATTTGCTGCGAAAAACACTAAGTTGACATAGATATTTCAATGCATGTCCCATTTCTTTTTATAAAAAAAATAAAAGTACTGCTATCGCTTCAGCTTATATCTCACGTACTGTTGCAAGAACGTATGATAATAACAACAACAACAAAAAATGTAAAGACTTGCTTATCTATTTTTAAAAAGTTGCACCTACCTGAAGTGATAATTGAATTCATTTACAGGTAGACAGCAAGTTTAAGTGCTCTGCTAACAACAAGATGGTAAGACGATTTTTATTGTTGAGATATTGATTTACATTGAAATAAACATATTAGGATAATGTTAATGTGAACATACCTATAAAAATCCCACATTCAACTCAATCATTACGTGATAATACATTTCGCGTTGCTCTTAGTTATGCCAGCTGGTTAACAATGTTTTTTCTTTTGGGATGGATTTCAAAACTTCTGGTGCCGAAAATTCGGTATGTTCATTTTTAGGTTGTACTTTTCAGAGATCTCTGTCTAAAAACGTTCCAATGTCGAAGAATTTATTATTTAAAATCTCGAATTCAAATAAATTATGAAAAATATAGAGATCATCAGAACTGAGAATGCTCCATCTTTTAAACATGATTCGGACTTTGCCTCCCCTTGATACGAGTTTTCGTGTTCCATTGATTATCTTATTTTGTTTAATTGTTATCCTACTCTTATAAAAAATAGGACATTAAAACCAAAAGAACAAATGTTTTGGAAATTAGCAATGGCTCGAGCAGTATGTGGAATTTTAACATTATGGGGTATGAATTGCTTTTTGTTAAATAAAAAATTGATTTAAAACAAGTTAATTGTGTTCATCTATATTTATCTAGCTGTCTATCTTGTTTTCATTGACGAACGACTTGCGCTTGATCATGTAATAGTGACAACTGATGAATCATGGACATTTATAACTTTTCTACTTGGTTTTTTTATATTTGAAGAATTCACATTAATTTATTTCGATTTAAAATTTCGCACATTTTCAAAAGAATTACATTTGCATCATTTTTTTGCTTTTAATGGTTTCTTCTTTGCTGGATATTATAACTGTGGTCATTATTATGCAGCAAAAGCGTTTATGCTCGAAGCAAGTACACCGTTTTCATGTGTTTGTTGGTGTTTATTAAAATTGAAACTTGAAAATACAAACGTTTGGAAAATTAACCAATGGATATTGATTAATGTTTTTCATATACGTTCCTTTCTTGAATTCTTATGGTGGTATGATATTTACAGAGATTGGGATAATATTAAACAAAATCTTCCATTGCCATTTTTAATTAATATGTTAGTGGGTCTTACGATTGTTAGTCTTTGGTTGACACCTTATTGGACATACAAAAAAACAGTACAATATTTTCATCCAGTAGATTGGAATACAGGAAATTCAAAAGACAAAGGTGATGATGATATCGATAAGACGTCTTAGAGAAAAAAGAGACATTTAGAACAATGATTGATATTCGTGTTTTTGAAAATTTTAGTTATTCGAATAATACTTTTCTAATCTGTCTTTGTGTCTTATATTATTTATAATTGATTTTGGAAGTAATAAAGAAATAGACTAACATTATAAAAGGTTGACTATATACACGGTGTCACGAAAGTGCTTTCCGCAGTAGTGACCAAGAATTGAGAAATGAAAATTCCTCACAGGGAAACGAGAACTGGTCATCAGTTTCTTCATAGCTCCCCAATTCATGAAAGTCAAAATAATGCTTTCTCTGAAATAGTTTTTACACCATAGGATTGATGTACACAAATGTCCGGATGAAAATGAGTATAGTGATCAGAAGCAATCTAGATGTCAGTAGAACACAGCAGCGAGCGATCTCTTTTTAATTTATTATCAGTCGAACCAATCATTAATGTGCTGTACGAGAACTAAACTAAACTAAACGCGGTGTATCCTACAAGATTTATACCATAATCAATCAAACACTACAGAAAAAGAATCAAAATCTTTATAACCATCATCGACTATCTGCACCTGCAATTATTAGTTATTGACATTAAAAAGAAAATAAAAAATGAATAAGCACATGATAATAGTGGGCATTATTGAAAATGACACAAAATAATTAAAATAGCTTTTACGTTTTAATTCACAGTACAAAATTAATGTTGTTTATTTATAAATTAATCCGGATCAACTTCGACAATATCCAACCCTCCCTATTCTATTACAACAATCATTTGGCATTCTGTAATCAATTTATACCCAGATTTTAAAATAAATCTGAAAATTCCTTTACGTTAGTTACTTTCTCAGAAGATATGTTGTAACGGTGACATAATCAAAAGTTAAAATCAATTATTTCATTAAAAAATTCTCAAATCCTCGTTAATTTACATGAAGCAATCCTGAAAATAGCCAAACATTTTAAAGATAATGATCCTCTTGGTTATTTTGAACAAAATATTCATGTTCATGTTGATTATTCAATTGAATTAAGTTTTAAACATGATGGCATTTTTGAATATTCTGGCTAATATTTGGTTTTTATTTTAAAATTGAAGTTCAAATAAAATGTGATCTGCGACTTTTTTTAAATAATGCGGAATTACCAATGGCTTACTGGCAATTAGAGTCATAATTTACTGTTTATATAACGTCAGAAAACAAGAAAAGATTATTTTTTTTTTATTTTTTTTTATTAGAACAACGAATTGTATATTTATATAAATAATACATTTTGATTATTGTTGCCTTTATATGTTGTGATATATTATGAACAGCTGAGAAATTTTATTTTAAAACTAGATATCATGGCAACTGCTATTATCGAAGATCATCTATGTGTTACACCTAATTGCGGAGGAAAGGCCAAACTTCGTTGTCCAAATTGTGTCAAATTAGGTAGAAGATTTCATTGATTAGTTAAATTTTCAATTGAAATATTTCTCTAGGTATTGTTGATGGCTCATATTTTTGTTCTCAAGATTGTTTTAAAAGTTATTGGTCAGAACATAAGAAACTGCATGTACAAGCAAGTAGGAAATAATTTATTTTCGATAATTAAAAATTTCAAAAAAATATTTTTATAATATAGAAAATTCTTCTACTGCTAATGAGCTACTAGAAAATTATAATCCGTGGCCAGGTTTTCATTTTACAGGAAAATTAAGACCATACCCACAAGTAAGACATAGCAAATGAGAAGAAACATCATGGTATAAGTTATGTCATTTTAGACTCCTCGTCGAATGGTTCCACCGAATATTGCACGACCTGATTATGCTGATGATTTCAAAGGAAGATCGAAATCCGAGGAAGGAGAGAAATCGTCAAGTAGTGCAATTCGTGTCTTAATTGAAGATGAACAAGACTTATTGCGTGATACTTGCAAAGTTGATATAATGAAAAAATGATTCGATATCAATAGATTTTATTGTAATTTTTAGGTCGGTCGTATTGTCTTAGATGAAGCTGCAAGATCTCTTCGAGTCGGTATGACAACAGAAGAAATAGATCGTATTGTCCACGAGGTGGAATCCATATTTTTTCATGATTCTTACTATAAACTCCTCTCATTTAGTGTTGTATTGAACATGAATGTTATCCGTCGCCACTTAATTATTATGAATTTCCTAAATCATGTTGCACGTTAGTTCCAATCTTTCTCAATAATAATAATAAATTTAGATCTTCTTTTTTAGGAGTATTAACGAAGTTATCTGCCATGGAATACCTGATTTACGTCCATTGCAGGACGGTGATATAGTTAATAGTAAGTATATCAAAATTAAGAAAAAATAATTGTTTATTTTTGTATATTAATAGTTGACATTAGTGTTTATAAGCATGGCTTTCATAGTGATCTTAATGAAACATTTTTCATTGGTAATGTTGATCAAAAGTCACGAGATCTTGTTCGGACTGCGTATGAATGTTTAGACAAAGCAGCTGCATTGAGTAATTTACTGAGAAGGTTTTTTTCTTTAAATTTGTAAAAATGCTATCGATGTTTTTCGATCACAGTTCGTCCTGGTACAAAATATCGTGATATTGGAAATGAAATTCAAAAACATGCTACGGCAAATGGTTGTTCAGTTGTACGTTCTTACTGTGGACATGGGGTTCATAGGTACATTTAGATTAATAAATGGATTTATCAGATTTTTTTCATATTAATTTAGGCTTTTTCATTGTGCTCCCAATATTCCACATTATGCTAGTAAGAGTTTTATAAAACGTCATAAAAAGAAAATATTTAGTTTATTTCTTCTTTAATTATTTTAGAAAACAAAGCTATTGGTGTTATGAAACCAGGCCATTCATTTACAATCGAACCTATGATTAATGCTGGTAAACAGATGAAATTAATTTACTAAATCATACTTGTATTTTTTGCTTCAGGAACATGGCGTGATGTTCTATGGAACGATAATTGGACATCGGTGACAGAAGATGGACAACGTTCAGCACAATTCGAACATACATTTCTTGTAACAGATACAGGTTGTGATACTTTAACAGCACGTGCATCTGGCCAGCCATGGTTTTTAGATGGAAATCGTATTAGCTGAAAAACAAGAACAAAGAAAACAATATAAACGTTTTTCCTTGTCTTTGTTTATTTTAACGAAAGTATTGTAACACTCAAATCCATATTATTACGTGACTAACCAATCGTACATTAAGGCGAAATGAAGTTTTTATAAAAGAAATATTGTTTTTTTTTCTCAATAGGAAAATAAAGGTTGTCTCAAATGTTTTGACACGATTAAAAAATTGATCTGTGTTTCGTAGATGATAACTACCATTGCATAGTAGAAGTATTTAGATATTTACTTTATATCCAAGAATAGAATTTATTTATTTAAAATTTGAAGTGTTTTAGAAACTAAAATCATTATAGCTATAGTTGCGATCAAATGCAGATATTGTCTGCTTAGAAAACAATAGATAAGTGCATTCAAATTTTGGTAAAAAGCAAGGATGAGTATCTTCGAATAAACTTAATATTGCATTTCTTATCTGCGGCAAAGTATTTGTAGTTAAATTACGAATGATGATGTTACACAGTAAAATGACGCTTTTCAAAAATGTTTTACGAGTACAAATGGAGAAAAGAGTAAAATATCGTACGGTCATTCGTATCTCTTCTAACCATATTCATGTTCATCTTTAAACATGCTGCATCATATTCACACCTATGTTATGCACTATTTACTCCGTTTGAATACTTTATCATCATGATTGTTGCATGGTCTGATCTGTTTAATTTAACTTGATTTAATGTTCTCTATAACTCTAGTTAAAGAAAATGACATGTTTTAAATTAGGGTTTTTATTGACGAGTCAATCGGATAAATGAATATGTAATATTCTTATGGTGTAAATCAATTAAGTCAATAGAAAATATTTTATATTTATCAATATTTACTTAGACAATGTATGTTCTTTAACCATTTAGTTATTAAAGATTCAAGTTTAAATCTATGAATTTTAGAACTCCATTCACTAGCTGTGTATATTTAATAGTTTTCTGTAAACGAAAACTTAAAAGCTGCCTTTTCCCCATCTACCACCGGGATTTGGCAAAGAAAAATGGCAACATATTTACATGAACATAATCATAGAAATAATCAAGAAAAAGACTAGCGAAGAAAATCGCAAATAGAAAAAAGACAAAACAAATAAAATTGAGCATGTTCAAAAAAACAAAAATAGTAATAAGAATAATAATAGTAGTAATAATGAGAAATGCATACACCTTTACATACAACAGTTTTAAAACACAGTGAAAAGACACTCGTGCCAAGAAATGTGTACAATTATTTCTTTATATCAGACAAAAGTTATATCCGATGTTCTTTCATTGTCAAAGGATTTGTATTAACAGCCATCATATAACTATAACGATTAGCATTAACTAGCGTTACGTTTGGTGATTGAGACTTCTTTTTATAACTAGCAGATGATTGTTCCGGAGTACTTACATCTGATAGTGGTTCAATAGGTCCAATAAAACTATGATGATATCGATGTTCATTAATATTTATTTTACCAGATGAATGATCTATTTGTAATTGTTCAAAATGTCTTCGCAATCGATCAGCATATCCTTCATATCGTTGTAACTAAAAGAAATAAAATAAAAAAAAACAAATTCAATTATTATCTTTTCAAATTCTTTTTACTTCATATTGTAGGTAATGAAGTTTATTTTTATTTCCAATTTTATGACATGCTTTTATTTGTTTACTATTACCATTGATCGTACTGTTTGCATAAGATTGAGTTCTTAGATAATTTAATTCTTGAACTAAATCACTTATGTGATGAATAATAAAATCGTATTGCTCAAACTAAATTCAAGAAAAAAAAACAGACTTTTATCTTTCAACAAAAACAAAACGATAATTTAACTTACAACTGAATAACGTGTTTGTGCACTTGGTAAAACTGGTCTTGGAAAATGTGTCGATAGAGAATCAATAGCTGCTGATAGTGGTGGAGACGAAAACGATGCTGCTACTAAATTAATTGTATCGATCCATTTATTCATTAAATCATGATCAGTTGTTTGAAATAAATATTCTGCCCAGTCAGATGTTCTTAAACGAAAAACGTGCTGCCTTTTACCATAATCCGTTGCTTGTTGAGCAAATGCATGATTTAAACGTAAAGCATTTGCATCATTATTTAATACTGTTGTTGATTGTTGATCATTTTTATGTAAATAAAGAACCATATCACGTAAACTAGCATAATATGCTTTCCAACTACGACGTAAAAATGAAGCTAAAGAAAATCGAAAAATAACTTTCCATAAAAGAATTAGTTTTTAAAGGATTATTATTTACTTCGTTTTCCATCGGACTCCACGCAACATTTACGCATGATATAACCCTTGAAAAAGAAACAATTTTCTTTTTTTCTTAAACAAAATGATTCTTACTTGCATCTGTTCAATACTTTTATTTAAATCAGAAACCTAATGGAAGTGAATCAATTTTTACGATTGACAAAATCAATAAACTTACTTCTAAAAATGGATTAACAATATTACTACAACCATGTAAGGTCCCATGACTATCTAATCGCATATCATTATAGTCGTTTGCATCAAGATTTCTATAAAAGAAAATCATGTGTTTATATTTAGAAATGTCCTTAATAAAAAGAAACACGTCGGAGTTTTGATCTCAATGATATATGCAAAACAAATTTATTTCCTCTCTACCTCTATGATATCGATTGCTTGATTATGCAAACTTACTGTATGGTCGTAGGCATATGGAGTTTTTTTTTGCATAGAAAAATGTCAAATAATCATCTTGTTCTTTTCTATTATTAAATGTCATTTATACCTTGCTGTCATGTCACGCTCATTTACTTCTATCAGCTATTTTTTGATCCTTATCTAGTTTACATCGTTAAACACACATTATGCACATATCTATGCATCATGAGCATGTGCCAGTTGTATCTGTACGCATACCAATACTAATCGATGTCTGTATTCGTTTTTACTACGTACCAATGAATGTATAATGTGTAGACAGGCAGATAGACACAGCAGATAGAAAGAAAAAGAAGATCTCCATCTTTTGATATAAACAATTGTCAAAATGAATAGAGACGCATCAGCTCGATATAATTCTTTTGCTTTTGCTTTACGTTCATCATAGAAATAAAACACGTTCTTTTTCTCTCTCTCTTTCTCTCTTATTATGTTGCATGCTAATGATGAGTATTTATAAAGGAGGGGTAATTTAATAGTAGAATTAGAAACAAGAAAAAAAAGGAACCGACTAGCAGTAGTTTGTTCAATGAAGATGACAAAATATATTTTACGCTTGAATGAAGATGGATGTTGCAATGAGCGTGACACACGTGAATACATGTATTTCCATTTCTACCCTACAAAGTAGTTTCCGATCTATGTTGAATAATGATTATGTATATTGAAATGCTGTTTTTGAAGGTCTCTTTTCTCTTCTTTCTTTTTGTGACAACAAAGGTTGACTAATGGATCAACATATAATAGTATTTATATGACAAACCATTTAAGCAGATTTTACAATGACTCTTTACCATATATATTTTTATTTCTTTTCAACTAAATTTGTTCAGTAAGAAAATTGGCTCTAACAATTCCCTTTTTTCATTTCACTATGACTACATGGATAGACATAATAAAATCTTGATTGATATGAGGACAAAATATTGTTCAACGAATTGAATAAATAAGAGAAAAAGAAATGTTCGAAGCTGCATTTCATTGTACGATTATCTTCACACCGCAATTTGATGAATTTCATTAGAAGTTTGCACTTACGTTTCACTGATAAGTTGTTCATCATTGATTGCGTTAAACAATGATTTAAGTAAATCTTTTGAAAAATCATTTCCGTCATTTAATTCATGTAAATTATCACTGAACTGCTGAAAAGTCATTTTATTTGTAATTTTCTATGAAGAAAAGAAAAAAAATAATAACAACTGTTTCGAAATTATTCCATATCAGTGAAAGTATAGTCATATAAGCAAATATGGGTCATTAAGACAAAAAATTAATCATGGATTATTTATTCTTTTTGCTCAATTTCAATGAAATATTGTAAATTAAAATTATAACTTACTCGGTCATGAAGATCAGTATTAAGTAACATGATTGCACAGGTAAGCATGTGGCAAGAATCTAAATGAATAAATAAAATTCGTCGATGTTTATCGAATAGCTTCTTACTAACCGACTGAAGTAAATGTTGTTGGATTACAATCAAGATATCTTGCAGCAAAAAAATGTAAAATACGTTCACGAGCTTGTGCTTCACCAATGATAGTAAATTGTTTAACAAATTTTCTTAATGCACGATCAAGTGTATCACCTTGAAAATTAAACAATTCAACATATTCTTCAGCTACCAATTGATTAAAATCATTCCTGAAAATAAAATAAACGATTGTCGATTAAATTTATATTAAAAAGACATTTCTATCTATGACATGAGTCACATTTATTTGTGGTTTTTTTCAGCTCACCCAATATTTTTAATCATGAACATCAATAATAATGAGCTTGACGGTTGTGAAATAGGTTTCTTTCTTTTTTCTTCTTCTTCAGAACAGTATAATCTTTCACTAGAATATTTATGACAATAGTAAGATAAGATTCTCATTTCTCTTGTCTATCTCATGAATGATTATTCAACAAACGGCAATCTTCATTTTTTCATAAAATTGCTATTAGTTCAACAAGTAATATGAAACGCTTTAATTTTTTCGAGAAGTTCATGGCATTTCAATCTATTCTTCGAAATGAATTTCTGTTTATCTAAGAGATGTTCCAAAAATATTTTTTACCAATCATTTTTTCTTTTTCCTTACTGATAAATGTTTCACAGTTGCCTGCGACAACAACTGAAAACAGCTCTGAGCGCGATAAAACTCGATGATTATCACTAATCTGCATTTCCTGCCACTTCCAGTGTTTAAAAATAAATCCATTTATTAATCGATCGAATGAAATATTAAAAAAATAAACCTTGAACGATTGAAAAATATCGTTAAAAGACAGAATTAACTTTGATCAGGATATTCTGATAGAAAAATATTAACATAGAACTTTTTATTCACATGAACTGGATCGATATTTTATAATCACAATCAATTTAATTACTATTCGAATGATAGAGAATAATTAAAGACTCACATACGTTCGTTCATTGGTACAGGGGCAACAATTGAACAAGCACATATTCCCACCATCCACACATGTTGGCAAGTACGATTAGCCTTACCTGCAGAAAGGCGATAATGAACGTTCTTTTTTTTCTCTTGCCAACAACACGCTCTCAATGTTTTAATGCTTTTCGCTAATCGACATACAGATGAAGCATGGGACTGTAAGCGCTTATGAAACAGAACGGAGCGAAAATCGACTATACAACTATTACTTCACTCACTAATGTTCAATTTAGAAGCAATGCAAAAGAATTCCAATTGCTTGTTTGTTAGCTAGCGTACTCACTCCGTTTCCATAGAACTATTGTCTTGCATGCATAGTGGTGATGCGCTCGCTTACAACAGAAAAAGAAAATATGAGATCGCGAAGAAAATAGTCCAACCGGAAGATTCACGAACAGAGAAAAAGAATCAGTCGTTACATGATGATAGTGGCAGATTTTAGAAAAACTAAGACGAAGAAAAAGAAGGCATATTCCGGAAAAGAGATGATGCAATAAAACTCCACTTAGTTTTCCTTTCGTTCTCTTTTGCTTATCTATAAGTATATAAGCATGTTATATTAATTCAATTAACAAATGAACAATCTAGATAAAAACATTTCCTTGTTCTTTATTTTCACTTTCGTTTCGTGCAAAATTGTGCTGTGTTCGTCATCGTATATTTTAGTTTTATTTATTTCTTATGATTATACACAGCAGCTTTTAAAATTACTCGAACAAGTTTATTTTCCATTATGAAGTTATTTCAACTACTCAGATTATTAGATGAACCGGTTCTGTAACAAACATAATCATTCCTAGTTCTACAATTCTGGATAATTCAAAAAGACTTGTGAATGAAAATTATAGAGCTTTCATTATCGACTTTTCAGAGGTCGTAGTCTTATGAAACTAGAATCACTTTTATAATAAAACAGTTTTGTTCAAAAATGAAACTGTAAATTTATTATTATTTGGATTTCTCTTGCTCTTTACAGCAGCAATAAAACATAAATCTGATGCGTTGATTTTCGAAGTCACCTTACAGTGTTATCATTGTCTTATTGGCTGTCTGTTTCTAAGCTGTTTTATTCTACAAGAGTGTCGAATTCTTTTTCTTTGTTCTCAAAACTAGAACAATGTACGGATTGATATCATAAAATTTGATATGCTAGCGTACGAGCAATTGTAAATAACATCAAAAGATATATTTTATAATATGTTTTATGTAGCATAGCATGTTTAGGATAGAAAGACATAACAATAGAAGAAAATAAACGACGACTAAAATTGGATTTCGATAAAAAGTGCAGCATTTATGAGTTGCGCTTCTCTTAGGATTTGAGGAGGACAAAGACTTTTCTTGAACGTCATTGTTATTCTAATATATATTGTCTTGAATTAATCTGTTGGTAACGATCATTATGAGAAAATATCGAATATTCGCAGGTTTATACTACAAGAATCAACTGAATCAACTAGAAAATAGTAAATTACCTTATCATGTTGAAAAGAAAGTTTGTTTTAAGTTGTACCGTATATAATAGAATGATAAGTAGCAAATCATTTCAATTTCAATATTTCAATATTAGTCTTTAGTTAACCTTCACGACAAGGATTTTATAATGATACTGATAAGCATACATGTGTATTACATTTGATGTCAGTTAAGAGGTTATTTGATTCTGCATGATATTATAAATAGAAAAATTACAGAGGGCATTCATCTTGGCACTAAATTAGATCAATTATTGATAATATCTTTTACTCCAGTATTTGATAATTAGATGAATAAATTCTGTACATTTTTATGAATAAAAGAAAGAAACAATAGAATAATTAACATAATATCAGTGATATTTTATGGTACTATACTAACATTATTATAGTAAAAATAAAAACAAGAAGACTGCACCATACATATTGCATAGCATGTTTGTCGATTAAAACCAAAATGATGATATACTTTTAAATAGAAGATAATTCTCTTAATCTCTCTCTCTCTCCCTCATTCTATATATATACCTTTTAGATAGATGTTTGAGAATATCAACTGATTTAAATCCATCTAATGCATGCAGACGTTTAGTTAATCGTTGTGCTGATGGGAGATCAACTGATTTATTCATGGTTTCTGAAGTAACAGGTACTAGAAATGAAATGATTGAATAGAACATTTCTTTTTAAAAGAAATTCTTACAATTAAAATCCAAATCATCATGAATATCTTTTAGTCTCGCATCTATTTCATTTTTTATTTTTTGATCGCGCTCACTTGATATCAATGTTTGTTTTGCTCTATTTATTTTTAGCTTTTCTTCGTCAATCATTTTCATCGTCAATAACAGTAAGATTATCATGAGTTATATGACTTATTATTAAAGACGTCGGTAAATCAATTAATGATGATGAAATAGTTAATTCATCTGCTATTTTTCTACCGCATAGATCAAGATTATTTTCACAAGAACGACTTTTACTTGATCCATTGCAACCATTTGTCATTGATCTATTTAACTATTAGTTTGCTAATACTTTTGATGTTGGCAAATAACGCCAAGTTGAATCAGCAAGAGTAGATGTTGTATGTCCACTATAGTCTAACATATGAGATAATAAATAATTAAATTGCAACGCAATAATAAAAAAGAGGTCTATTCATTAGACTAGTTAGTGGTACAGTGAGTGATCTTTACTTGGTCAATTAAGGATACAGAAATAAGATGTTTTATGTCTGTTTATTGGAAAGAATATTTTTTTATCAAGTGTCAGTTCTTATTTTGAATGAAGGATTAGATTCAGGATGTAAACTAAATATTGTCGAGTGTCATCATGAATAGATGTATATACTTACACGATAAAATCAATCTAGGGAAAGATGTGCAATGTAATTTCAAGTCAACTAATAGCTTAAAGCAAAAAAAGAAACTCCTCATAGAATAAAAGATAAAAAAAGGCAACTCAAATATATTACCTTATTTTTCTGCTATATTTAAGCTGAAAAAAAGTTCCACTCGAACATAATGTTTCTACGACGTTTAATCAACTATATTTTTCTGTCAATGTCAATAACAACACTGTGAAAAATAGCCAAGAAAAACTAAGGACAAGTCAGTTGTTTCATTCTTGTTCTGCATCTGTTTGCTATATTCCATTGTCTTTTTATAGACTGCCAGTTACATATTATTTCTTTTACCTGTACTTTTAGTTTTCTGTTTACAATATACTGTTGTTTCATATTTTCGCTCCTGTTACCAAATTGAATAGCAAAGAAATAGTCAAAATCATTTTATTATGATCATATATGACTCCCAAGTGTTCGCTTTTACATATACGTAGATATATAATATGAACATGTTGGCGAACACGTCAAATGAAAATGAATTATAGGTGGAATAGAGATGTATTAGAGTACAGAAAAAAAAGAACTTCCATTCCTTAATATCCAGTAAACAAAGAAGCATTCACAACTATGACGCTCTCTTGTTCGTCTTCTGGATACCTCAAGACTTTTATCCTATTATATGCTAGCGAACACAGCATGGGCAAGAGAGTCCTGCAAACATACAAATCTGCATGTTATGTGCAAAGAACAAAATCAATTAGATTCATTGATACTCACACACATAGAAAAACAAATAGTGAACCTCAATAATGGGTGTTAATGGCGAGATCGAACACTTTTGTAAAGAGAAAAAAGAGAAGTATTGCAACTTGATTTATCTTTAGTTACACATAACAGTTGCATCATATTAGGTACATCGATATGCATTCTAATCTGATCTTTTAATCTCATAACTCAAAAAACAAAAAGGAGTAGTTTACATTCCAATAAAACAAGTAAACAACATCTTTTTTTTGTCGTATGAATTTAATGGATAAAACCTGCATGTCAGTCTGAACAGGAAGATTTATTGAGATTCAAATAGAGAAGAAATATGGTAAACCTTATTGAGTGATTTCCAAACATGTGTTGGAAGACATGTTGTATTATTATTGATCGATCGATATGATTATTTATCAAACTTTGAACACCATTAGATTCTTCATTTATTATTACAAATATCCATCGACTCTATATCAAAATCATTATTAACTGATATATAATGATATATCTAATATTCCAAGATAAATTATTGAATTATTTTCACATCGAAATAAGAATCAGTTCAATTTAGAAACATTGACATACGATACAGGGGAGGGAAAAGGAAGTGCGCTGTATAATATTCCATATGAGTACTGAGACATTTAAAAAAAGAACTTCACCAATTGTGCTGATCAATAACGAGCAATGCCAATTATTTGCATGGTGATGTATACGCAAAATATTGTTCCTCCTGATCAAAACAATATTCACCTGCAGATCAGTCAAAATATAACCACAGCATAAATCACGTTCGATACTATTGGGCATCAATATTTGTTTTTGTAAGATCAATGATATTCTTATTAAGACCTTGGATGGTCAGATGCTGAAAGTATATTGAAGAACTTATCCACTCTTTAATCGCATGTTACATTCATACAGATGGCTTCTATTTGATTGTAGTTTGCTTTAGACGTACAAAGGTCGAAAGGGACAAGCGGAAGAAAGTTTCCGACAAGCAATCGCCGACAAGATGCACTCATTATTGTATGAAATAATACTAAGATTCACATAGAGATTAAATACAAAAATATTCTCACAATTTTTGTAACTGATATTACTGTTGTCATTTGTCTCATTTGATTGGAAAGTCTAATTATATCATAAGAGGAAAAACACTTTTTGTTTCTATAAATCGATCGATAAATCCACTGGCAATGATAAGTGACTTTCGCTCAAAAACACTGCGTTTACTTTTCTAACTAAAATGTCAGCTAATTTCTATCACGCATTCTTCACTAGTGTTGACAGATATAAACCGATAGAATAATAAGAAAGTGAATGATACAATGCAGACTTCTGACAGTTATTTTTTACTACGATGCCTACTTTCTTTTAATCTTTGTACTACACATTGATATCTAGATACTTTTTATCAATAGAGTTATATTTATGAAAAAATTGAAAATAAATCTTAAAATAAACATTTTCCGTTAATTTCTTGCACAAACAGAATTCGCCCACAATGAATAACAGTAATCAATTATTATCGAATAAATAATGCTTCTGTTATGAGCACTAGTTCTCAACTTGAACTAACTTTTTTTCTTGTGCTTGTGTAACATGTTCTGACAAACGACAAACCTGTTCATGAGAATTAATTGCTGCAAAAGAAAACTTACTTGCCTTGTTTTTTTCTGTTCGTCTCAATACGAGAAAATGTTAGTTAAGCTTCTTAAGCTTTTCTTACACTCGTTTTCTCAATTTGTCGAAATTGCTTTGCTAGGAAACATACAATGGCTGCTGTTTATGAATTAGAAGATCCAAGTGAAAAAAAAGACAAACGTTTAGTATGTTTCAAAAGAAAATATTCTCTGTGATTATTGTTTTTCTCTATTTAGAAGTCACTTCGACTGATTGAACTAAGTGATCGTATTATGCGTGTCAATCGTCGCGAAAATACACAACTTGAATTACGATTGAATCAACTGAAACAACAGGAAAAAATTCTTCGCAGAACCTATGATAGAGAAATCTATTGGAGACGTATGCAACTTGAGAATATCTATGATTCATTAAATGATTCACCAAGCCAACAAGAAAATAGTCTGCGAAGTGACACACCTATATCAATTCATGCGATTAAGATGCAACGAAATCAATCTGCACCACCAAGTAGAACAAGAACACAGATTGATAACGGGCCACAGTCAAGACCAAGTACAGCATCTACGGGCATTCGGCGTAATAAACGAGCACTCAGTGCATTAAGAGATATAACACTCAAGCCATCCTGTCGAACATTAGGAAATTTGTTGATTTTATTAGATAGTGATAAAAAAAGACTTCTAAGATAAATGGCTTAGTGGATCAAAGTCGTTGGTAATGCCAAGGAAAATGAATGAAATTCGATTATTTCTATAGCATATGAGAATTCGTAAATATTGTCTTCTTTTTTTTTCTTTTTATTCTATAAGCTGTAAATAAGATCAGTTTAACATTTTAATAAAAGTTAAAGCCCATAAAAGCACCTCAATAAAACTACATGTTTTGATTAGATACAAATGTACTGACGATATTTCTTAGCAAAAGACGAAAAAATCAAAATTTTCTATGTTTTGAGAAATTTCAATTTATTTCATCAGTGAACTGGTTGGTATGAGAAAAAAGACTGTTGCCGTTGAGATATACTTAGTAATCTTATTTGTTGATTCTGATGAATTCTCTTTGGCATCATTGAATTTCACCCATTCGAATGACCTCGATTTGCTACTGAAAAAAGATATAATCTGTTTATCATTGTCAACATCACTACTTTAATACGATGTTTTACGTTTGCATATGAACTCTAACATTTGTTTTATTCACGTTAAAAAGCATAATCTATGCATTGACTAACTTTCGAATTACTTTATTTATGATCTGTGATATGTTATAATACTGTTGTGTAGAATTTTTTTTGAGATTTCTATTTACTAGCCAAACTTTTCACATCTCAATTTTTTCTGTTTATTAAATTTAATATTTTATTTATACAAAAGTTTATCTATTGAATGAGATCCTAAGTCATTTATTGAAATTCAGCTGTAAATCTTCTTTTTTGTTCACGTCAACATCTTCACTACATTTTGGCAAAAACTATGATATTTTTAATAACTTGTATCTACAGTGACCTCGATCTCAGTCAGTATAATCAACCAAGAGACGTTGAGTTTTTTCTAACTGAAAGCATTTTAATTCTATTACCGAAAAACAAATGCTTTACTACAATAATTTTGCAAAATTATCAAAACTCATTGATGAACTTATTATAACTTTTTTTAATTTCAAATAAAATGTTTCATCGTGTAATATCACACTAAATATACATACGACACAACATCACGCCACACAAGTAAAGACAAAATAAAACCATTAATATTCAAAAAAACAAAAATGAGAACATTTGACTTAAAAATACGACATTAAAAATAGATCGGATAGAAGAAGAAAATGTTGAAATTATATCATTTATATTTATATATAAATATGTATATACACACACACCCAACAACAGCGACTGGGAAAACATTCAATGATTTTTATCTACATCAGAGCTACTCAAATCTATTTCTAGCCATAGTATTCCTAATCGATATACATGCCAAAAGAAGAGCGAAAGAGACAAACTACTATGAAACGAGTAATTCTCGACTTGAACTTAACGAATTCGTTCGACTTTTATTTGTGTTAGATGATGGTGTTGTTTCAATAGCCAAGTCAAGTGATTGTGTTGAATTCGAACGTCTAGGTGATTTGGACAATGATGAGGTTCCTTCAAAAAATGTATTTATCAAATCATTATTTTCAAATAAAGGCGATGCATCTGTGCTTCGTGGCGATGTTTTAACTCGTTTGTTAGTTATATTTAATTCATTATTGCAACTACTATTGATTAATTCTGACGAATGATTTGATTCATCAGTTGGTGATGAACGTTTTAATGTTATACTTGTTGGACGTAATAATTTAGTTGGTAATGATGTATGCTGTGGTTGAGGGGATTCAACGGACAATTTAGCAATGCCAGACGACGGAGACAACAACGATTGTACTTGACGTGTATTGACCAAATCAAAATTAAAGCCTTTTGGACGTGATAGAAATTTTGGTTGATCATTATTATGTTCACGTTTCATCGAACTACTGTTACTACTACTTTCAAGGTGTAAGTACCGACGACGATCATTCAATGGTGCTTCTACTGTTATACATTTAACTGTGGGCATTGTTGTTGATTTTTTAGTCGATGATGGTAAAATACGTTCATATTCGGATAATTGACCCATAAAATTAAAATTCGGTGATATATGAGAACGACGTGCTTTAATATATCGATAAGCATCGTCAACAGATAAACTTAAATGGCGCATTATGTAAGCAACAGCTAAAGCTGGTGAACGACTTATACCGGCTAACAGAAAAAAAAGATACAATCTGTTTTGCATTAACAAAAAATATAAATCAAGTAACATACCTAAACAATGAATAAATACACGTCCATTACTGAGTCGAGCTTTTTCTAAAATAACGATAAATTATACTAGATTAAACTCTCGAGACAGCAACAAAATTTACCGATAAATGTAAAAGCTTGATCAAAATACGGTAATAATTGCGCATTAAGACAATCGTTGACAGGTATTCGAAGAAAATGTTCATCATCATTCTCATCAAGAAAAGGTGCTCGCTGTCCTGTCATGCTTACATTAATGACATGTGTTATACGATGATCCTATAGGAATCGAAAGAAAAAGTTGCTCTAACAAAAGGATCAATGACATTTTTCGATCTTACCTGCATCACTTTACTTGATAAAACATCTTCCTGTGAACCCAAATAAAGAAAGGGTAAGATTTGAGATGGACCAACATTGGGTGGTGCAGACGTCGCAAGACATTGCTCACTAGATGATCTTTGCGGTATATAATTGTTATTGAAAAACATCGTTTATATCAATGAAAACAATAATTTTTAAATATAATTAAGCGACAAGTTTGATCATGAAAAATATATTCGAAAACATTTACTCATGCATTCCAGGTGTCTAGAATAGTTCGAAAAACGCAAATTATGCTTCTATTCTTCGTTTTTCTTATGAATCATTTATTCAAAATAAATAAACTGTACGTGCTTGACTCTACGCTTAGACAGATGTTTGACGATGACTCATCGGATGCTTTTCTCTTTGTAGAGGGTTTGTTTTTTTCCTCCGACGCAGTTAAAATTGTTAGAACCAATGAAAACCAACATCGGAAGCTAGATGAAAAATTGAATCAAATAGCATCAATATGAAAATTTTGAAAAAAAAGTAACATTTGCGTAATAGAATTCGTATTCAGTTTAGGTGTTTCTGATACAATACATTGAACCCAATAATGTATGTTCCATATTTTACCATGAGATGTCCAATTTATTTTATCTTCCATCGCTTTTCCATTCGAGGAATATCGTTATTATTATTGTAGGTTTTTCTAATTAACTATGTACTGATAAGATTTCAGTTATTTTCGATGAAAATATCAATAATCCATCAAATAAGCCACTTAAATTTACAACTGTAGATGAATTTCTTTCAAAAGTAATTAGCTTCAAATTGAATATATTTTTAGTGTTTTCATCCTTTAAAATTGATGTGCAAGGGTAAAATGTTTTCATACACTATTCAAGATTAAGAAAAGTCATAGAAAGTAGTCAGATAATAATAAATTCGAAGAATTCAAATTAATAATCAACGTAATTATCTATGGTTGATCGATATAATTAAGCTATTATCATAAGAGATGTTTTTGCCTCTTTTAAATTGCAAAATCAGATCCAATTGAATTACAATGACTCTTGCTACACAATATTATTTTCAATTTCATCCAACATTCTTAAAAAGACAACTATACGTTTATAAAGATATATTACAGATGTCTTTTCAATTTCATTCTTTGGCAAAGAGTTGCTTCTTTTTACTCATCAAATGGGTTCAAAAAAAAGGATGAATTTACGAGGTATGCTATTTATATCCTAAAATAGATAAGATCGTCATTATGAAGCATAGCATTCATCGATTTACATCATGACCGTGTTGTTTTACACGTGATTATATTTAACAGACGCGCGAAAAGGCTTTATCCATTTTATCCGTAATAAGAAATGTATTTGATTGTTTGTGTTGTATGTTTACCATTTCGAAAAAATGAACATTCTACTTTGATAAGATTATTGCCAAGGAAATTGTTTATAATAGTAATAGTTTTGGTTTTGATAAAAAGAAATACTTCATCATATGATTCGAAAAAGAAAAAACTTCAGTTTTTCTTTTTGTATGATAGAATGTGTAGAATTTTATCTTATGTGTCATTAGTTTAAATAGTTCGTTTTAATGTTTTGATGCTATTAGAATGTGAAATAATTCAATTTATTTCATGACATTGAAATAAAACAGTGGAATTCTTAGTCAATAGTTCTCAGAATAAAATACGCTTATGAATTTATTTCAGTTTTCAAAAGAAGTTTTCTGTTTTACAATAAATACAAAAAATAAAGAAAAATCTACTTAATTTTCTTCATCTTCATCGTCGGTCATATCAGCCATGAAATCTTCTGATTGTTGTAAACCAACCATTGATTGTTGACTGAATACTGTGTATGTTGTGTCTACTAATTCTGTAGTGGTTGCAACTATCTATCAAATCAAGAAAAGATACGAATGCAAAATTTTTCATATTTCATACAAATAATTAGAGATTCAATGGTGACCGCGCATTATTCAACAACACACTATGCTACCGGTAGCAATCGTAACAGCCGTGAAGGGAATAAATGCACGATGAGAGCTACAATGGTCTTGATCGACAAAGTCATTTTAAGAAAATATCCGAACTTTGTAAAATACTCGAAACGATTTTTAATTTCTTGCAAGTTGAAGCTGTTGTTCGAAATAGATCTCTCGTAATCGAAAAAATTCGAAATGAATTTCTGGTCACCATAGTTTTCTAGTGCATTCAGTAATGAATACCATCACAATTGCATTTCTAAGACTAATGCTCTTTGCGTAAACTATTTACTTTTTGTTTTGGATTAATTGATATGTTGTGTTCATCAAAATTCGATTGTCGATCCATTGGATTTGTATTCGTTTGTAGTGTTGGTGATGACGATAGTGCTGAACGTTTCTTTCCTCCTTGGTTGGTACCATTTGTGATCATTGTACACTGTCGATAAGATACAAGATCGTCTTCCTCCATGGTTGAGATATCACTAGAAACATGGTTTTTATTCAGATTCGAGTCGCATAAAGTTATAAACCTACTCTAAACTTGATTGAGTCATGCTGATCGATGGATCAGTTTCACCTTCTCGATTTGCAATAGTAGCAAATACAAAAGTACCATCAAAATGAAGTTCTTCTGCATCGAAATAAAATACAATTGGTCTAGGAAAAGAAAACAAATTCATGAAAAATATTATTTAAAAGATTTTAATTACCGTCCGCGACTATCAAAATACATTGTCATAGGCAAATTGAGTAAATCAGCTAAACCTAATAAGAACTAAGAGAATCATTTATTTCATAGGAGAAGAGAAAATAAAAATGAGAAGAATTTACTTTAAATTCTCGTAGACAAAATGTAATGTCTGACTGATATTGTATATCATAGCTGAGGAATTCTCGTGGTTCACATACAACTTGAAAGTTCATACCAACAGCAACACTGTCATCTAGATATTTTGAAATTCGTTGAGCAATCTTTGTGGTCTTTTATTTAAAATCTTACAAACCATCACGAACGATTTCATCACATTTTTTAATAATAAATTGATCCTTTGTTACACAAATAGTTATCTCATCCCATTTAGCTGGAAAATGGGCTGTTAATTCTTGTAATGTCTTACTCATAACTGATACACAATTTTTATATGATAGTTTATCAAAGCGTGCTTGCAGTTTTTCACAGTCAATGTAAAAACATGAATGAACTTTAATAATATCTATTAATTATATTATTTGCAAAAAAATATCTCAATATATTCTTTTCCAATAGGCTTACTGTATCGACAATGAAGTATAAATGATAAATCCGATGCTAGATCATCAAAAATGAGTTCGAGTCGTGTTAATTTACTTGATAGAGCAGCGTGTAATGCAGACATACATCGCTAAAAAGAGCAACAAAATAGTATTGACGATTGTAAGATCCCATTTCTTGACGCTTGTCTACATCTATGATAACACTTCTCGCATAATCTTGAACTGGCAACAATAACTAATATGTCAGTTCACACACAGCTATTGTAGAAATATCTAGATATCGTTTATCAGATAGTCCCGTTCAAATCATGGAAAATAAAGCCATGATCTTTAGTTTAACTTCATATAGTTTTATCTTGTATTTCCAATCTCGATAGTTCTGTACTTCTCATTTTCGCATGCACTGGTCATCATCCTTAAGTTGACACGTTTAGTTCTAGTCATGTCATTATTTTGTACCTCGTAGCAATTGAAATGATCCTATTCCTGTTCGAAAACCTTTTCTATGATAGAAAGGATACTTCAAATTCAAATTTCTTAAATAAAATTTCCTAAATAAAATTTATACTTTAGCTGAAATTCGACATTTAATTTTTTCTTTTTGTAAATCATCTTGTGGCCATTGTTGAAAAAAATCTCGATTAAATGTAATACACGAATATGATGATCTCGCTTGATTAGCTGTACGAAAACTTAACTAAAATGAAGTGTAAAAATTGAAAAACAAATATCCATTTAAACCACAATATATTCTATTTACACCATTCGTTTTTGCAATTGATTCAATATAAATTTCTTCACCGAGTTTTGTTAAAACTTGTAGTACTTTACCAAAATCTATTCGTATAAGGGTTTTTTATATTGCAAAATATAGTTAAGCCAATTCTCTTACGTCGAATATGTTCAGGTGGAATAACAAAAACAACCTTTTTTTCAGTCATGATCTTAAAAGAATAATGAACTTTCATATATATTATTTTTATTTATTAATTTTTGAATATAATCAATATGAGAAAAAAAATTAGCACAAAATTCAGAAGAGAAAAAATATAGTAATAATTCAATTATCATCTATTTTTTTCAAGCGAGTCGATGACTCTTGACGACGTTTAGCAACATAGATACGATGATTGGCACATGCCATACAATACACATACTGATCATCAGAAACTAAAAAAAGAACGGAACGAAGGATTTCAACATATTTTATTCGAAATTGAACCTGTGAATCGTTTGAACGCTATCTGTTTTATTAAATGTACGCTAACTTTAACCCGACATAAAACCATTTTATAAATTAGATTCGCTGCTTGCTCGTTATTTTGTAGATCGTCATGACTATGTTCGACAGAACCATCTTCATTCAAAATAAGATAGCCCACACGGTCAGGAACATTATCAAATACTTTATTTATTGATGTACTCATCTAAAAAAAGTTGAAAGATTTCCGTTTTTATTTTAACAAATTTTAAATTACAACGTCATCCAATTACGCATACGATAATTCGCGTGACTATTGCTGGATAGTAACCATTGGTTACTAAAGTCGGGATTCATAAGACCAAGTAAGCCACCTGTATGCAAGAATAGTATATTTTTTCCATCAGTTGGAAATCGATCAATGCGTTTATTTCGTAATTCTTCATATAAACCCCATAAACATTTACCTGTATAAACAGGATCAAAGATGATTCCTGTTTCTCTTATAATCTCATGTAAAAAATCGATTTGCTCATTTGTCATACGACCATAACCTAGACCAACATAAGAATCACAAATATCAACAAGGCTATTATTATTAACGAATTGATTTAAATGATCAAGTTCGAGCTCCTTGAGAATTCCATTAAAATGAGTTTTAAAATAATTTTCATTGTCCGATACAGCAAATGCATGAATACGTACACGATTACCAGTAAAATAATTGGCAAGTGCTAGTCCTTCCATGGTGCCACCACTACTTATTGGTACAACCAGATGACCGAGATTAAGTTTATCTATTAATGGAATTATTTCACGTATGAAACAATCAAAATATCCAAATAAACCAACTGTATCTGACCTAAACATAAAACTAAATTGAAAAAGAAATAAATATAAAGCGAAATATCCTACCCTCCTATTGGGATTGCATAACATTTATCTTTTCCACCTAATTCTTCTTCTAATAGTTGGATTCTCGGTTCGATGTCACGTTGAATATTAGCCTTTTTTGATATCAAATACAATTTAGCACCTAATAAATAATTCAAAAGTGGATTGCCTTGTAAAATTTGTTCATCGTGATTATCACGATCAGTTCTAAGTAGAAAATGAGCTTGCCGCTGAAATCGTGCTGCAAGAACAGCAACAGCTTTACAATGATTACTGTGCAGTGATCCAGCTGTTATTATATGATGACATTTTGGACGTGAAAGTATATCAGCAAAGAGAAATTCTAATTTTCGAAGTTTATTTCCACTTGCATATGAATCAAGTTGATCATCACGTTTAATATAAATATTAACTGATGGTAATGAAGATATATGTAATTTTTCAACGGATGTTTCACGATCAATTAATGATAATCGATATTTAGGTACATATTTCGAATTAATACATTTATTATCAATTGGTAATGAATATGTTTTAACGAGAGCAGATACTGACGATGTTGATAATCGACGATACATATACGAACAAATCTAAAAATAGAAATTTCATTCCAATAATTTTACATTACTAATGAAAACAATCTTCAGTATGTCATCAAACAATAGCATACGGAGTGCCTTTCTCTCATCTTTGGGGAATGGTTGCTACAACATAAAAGTGCGAACTGACTTATAACTCATACACCGGCGAGAAAGTTTTCTTGAATTTCTCCTTCGGATTTAATAATTGCTTTGAATATACATATGTCATAGATTTTCGATAATAATTTGAAAATAACTTGGATTTTTGCTGAGAGTTGACTGATCTATAAAAATTTTAAAGCAATTATTTCGAGACAGAAGGTTTTCAAAATATGGAGTTTTTCTGATTAATCGTCTACAAAATATATGTTTTACTGAGAATTTCATTTCTCGAAGATACTTTATTGAAAATTTCTATATACTTGAGTTCTCTATATGTGTAAAATGTTCAGATCAAATTTCGAATAGACAACAGATAGTCAATAGTTCCATTGAATCGTAACCGAAACCAACAATCTTTTTCAGTTTTAATTAGAAGACTATGTAATACTTTTATGCAAGTAAATCTTTGAATTAGGATGGGAATCTCTTATAAGATTAGACTGAACCTATTATAAGTTGAACTATTGGTTATAACAAAAGAAAGCATCTTATCTGTTTTATGAATCAAAAATGTTTAAAAAAAAATATTTCATTTTGTTTATCGTTCAAATCTACCATAAGAAACCATTGATAGAAAAGTTAGATAAGATTATTGCTGTTTATTGTCTGTTAGTTTTTGTCGAATTCTCTTCAAATGAATACGTATTTCATTAGCTAGTTGGTTTCGTGGAATTACAAACTAAATATTATAAAATACTTATTTAAGAAAACTATGACCAAGCCAAAATAATCTAACCTCATTTCGAGTGACAACATCACGAATTTTAAGTGAACTAGTTTCTAATTCTGAACTACCAATAATGATGCACAGTTCAATATGATGCTTTTCACAATATTGTAATTGATCAAGTAATTTTGGATTACGCTTATATGCCATTTCTGCCTGGAAAGGAAAACTATATTTAAAAAAATAATAACTTGTAACAAAAACCTTAAAACCATTTTCCCATAGATAAGCACATATTTTCATTCGTTGTTCTAAGAAATTTTTTTCTGCTGATGCTACATAAATTTCAGTTTCGACTGTTTTTGATTGAGTTTTTAATTGCTATAAATGAAACAATCATAAAGACAAATGGAATAAATCTGTTAAATCAATTACTGTTTGTTGATGCTCTTTCACAGTAAATATTCTTTCAACACCAATGCTTACGCCAATGCAAGGTACATGTCTTTGTTTCGGATCAATTTTTTCTACAAGTTCATCATACCTTCCACCACCAGCAACACTTCCAACAGCTATTTGATCATCGTCTAATTTTGGATTAAATTGATATTTTGTAAGAACAGCTTCAAATATAACACCTGTATAATAATCTAAACCACGAGCTAATTTTAAATCAAATATAACCTAGAAACAGTTTTTTCTCTTTAGTTCATAAAGAAAATAATTAAAAATTTGAGTTTTGTTTTGGTTTTACTTTATCTATAACGTTAAATAATGTTAAATAACGAAATAATAAATCAAGATCATGGAGAGCTTGAATAGCTAATTTATTGGATGATAATTGTGGGTCATTTCGCAGTTGATCAATTAGATTAACATTGCCTACTGGTGGAGAAAAAATAATAATTAAATGTTATAGTATTACAGTCAAACATAGAACACCAACGTCTTTGTCTCTCTTTCTTTGGACATAATAATATCAAATATAAAACTCAAATCTACCTGAATAAGTTGTGTAAATAATGAAATACATTCGATAAATAGATTTCTGAAAAACTAAACAAGTTAGAATTGCAAGTCCTTAATAAGGCATTTGAATAGACTATTTAGATTTGAGTTTTATGATTGATTTCGTGTGGGAAAGAATATGAGGGTGTTCTATTTTGAGCTAGTAATGCATTATAATGAAAAATGATATACCATGCATATGAACATATCGACTAATTCTATCGACAACTTCTGGTGATAATCCTTTTTCATTAATCATTTCATTTCGAACAACATCCCACGGAAGCTACAATAAAGAATTAGACAAATGAAACGAATAGACGTATTTTACTTACCTTATCAAGTTTATCAATAGTTGAGCTTAAGGAGCGAAAAAGTTTATTTGGTACATCACATACAGTAAAAATAGCGTCAAGTAATTTCCGATGATTGATCTTAAAATAATCAGAGCATATATAAATTTAATTGCACTATTCTATTCGATGGAATATAGCAATATTAGTCGAAACTTTCTAGAGATCAAACATTTCTGAAGGACTCTTGCAATTCTCATAACTTACGGATACTTCTAAACTTACATAGATTTTATATTGTCCTAAAGCAAGTTTATCGAGAATTTCCACAACAATTTTAATACATTCAGCATCAGGTATCATTGGATCATAACAACCAGCAATATCAAAATCACATTGGTAAAATTCTCTATAGCGACCTCGGGTCATTTTTGGGCTGTCACGTCGATAAACTTTTCCGATCTGATAACGTTTCATTGCAGAAATTTTATTTTGTGAAATATAACGTGCAAATGGTACAGTTAAATCGTAGCGTAAAGCTAATTTTTCATTATTATCATCATCATCAACTCGATCTTGTAATTCATAGATAAGTTTCGCATCTTCACCATATTTTCCCCTAAGAAGTGTCTAATTGAATTAAAATAAAAAACAAAAGTGTACATATGAAACCTAAACAGAACTAATATTTTACAGTTAATTCAAAAACTGGTGTATCAATCGTATCAGCACCATGTTGTTTAAAGCAATCGATAATTGTACGAAAAACTTCTTCGCGAATTTTCATTTGGCTTGGATGATAATCACGAGTACCCTAAAGAGTATATCTTCGACGTTATTTTTTCAAGCTATGATAATATCTTACTCGTGGTATTTTGAGAATTTTATCATGTATTGTTACATGTTCGTTTTTATGAATAGACTGACGATTAGATTCTTCTTGTTTTGAACTAAGTAATTTAGTTAGAGTATCATCAATCTTAAAAATAAATAGGGAATTAATTGAAATATTTTTGGGCTACTCTATTTAAACTTCACTACCTGACGAGATCTCGTTCGATAAAAGACTTTTGGATAGTATAAACAAGTGTTCAAAATTAATCTCATATGTCGAATTATTTTGAAAATAATATCTGCAATATAATATCAAATTTGTTATCCATTGTTCAAAGAAAGCAGAAAGGAAAAATATTAATATACAATTAGCAGATAAATCTGTCTATATTTTAAAGAGAAATTTTTCTTTTGAATTTCATTTGATAGAAAAGAACGAAGTTTTTATTTTCTATAACTTTGTTTTTGACTGACCGGTTTGAATCGAGGTCGTTGGTTTATAGTAATGGTTATTGATAGCCAATCAAATGCATTATTGAAAACGACGCGTGTACAGTTTCTGTGAGAACGAACGAAGTGTCTCGTTACTCTCACAAAGTGAAAGCGAAGGTGATAATTACTCGAAGATATGGTTGATTGACTCATTGACTGTTTACTTCTATCATTTTTGTTGTTCTACATCGAATTGTTACTTTTAGATTTCTTTATTATTGTCTTGCTTCTTCGTTTTTTGGTTAGTCATAGAAATATTGATTTGTCCTTGTGTTCATGCCTATATAAAAACAACATGACTTGTTAATTTATTTAATCAATGATATCATCATTGGCATGCTTAGCAATATATAATTTGATATTTTGTTGACGATTATATTTTCAAATCTTTAACTTGAATAATGATAAGCCCACAACAAAATGAGCAAGAGTCATCATCTATAATACCATCTGAAAATCTATTTGATGTTGATACTTTAAGATCACAACAATTTCCTATTCGATCAAGTCAAACACTGTCAACTGTTATTGAAAATAGCACACATATAAGCACAAACAATTCTACATCATCAACTTGTATCGAAAAAGTAGTTGAGTACAATACTGACATACAATCTAGCCAAACAGCATCTTCAGCTTATTCAACGGATTTCTTATCATTAACAAATTCAAATCAATATTCTCTAACACGTGAAATATCATTATCAGAATCTGATTTACTTACATCATTAGATCGAAAAATAAATAAAAAAATAGCAGACAATCAATCAGAGAGTGATATAACGGATGATTTGCTTTTTCTTGAATGGGATCAAGAACGAAATTTATCCCAAGATTATATTAATTCACTTCGGAGAGAAATTCGTGTTCTTTTACAAGAACGTTTAGATTATCAAACGCAATATAAACACATTAGTGATGATCAAGCTAAAATTGATTTATTAAAAAAATCATTAGAAGAAAAAAATAGTGTTATTGAACAATTACAAAATGAATATGAACTAATTAAAGAAAAAAATAATAATTCATTACGTAAAGTCTCTCTTGTAGAATCTGATAATAAATCATATGTTAATGTTATTGATGAATTAAAACAAAATCTAGCTGATTTAACTGTTGATTTACAAAATCAAATACTTATTAAACGACGTTTAGAAATTTCAATTAATAATTTAGAAAGTAATTGTCAACTAATTGATGCTGAACGTATTAAATTAACAAATGATATTAAAGAAAGTCAATATAATAAACAAGAACTGGAAACGTTATTGCAAAAAGCTAATGTACAAGTTGCTGAACAGGGTAATATTTTTACATTAAAACTTCACGAGATTGGAATCTTGGATGGTTGTCAATATTCATCACTAATCGTAATTCGCTAAGAAAAGAGATTAGATGGATATAGAATGAGTTTTTCAATATAGGATTCTAAATCGATCAACGCAGTTTCTTGAATATACAATTCATCGCGATTCGCGACTATCCAACATTATCCATACGGACATGAATCAATGCACATAATCATTTGAATAAAAAGAAATCGGAAAATAGTTTTAGTTCGTGACTTCGACAATAAAACTCATAGATTATTCCAATGTAGAATTTCAAGAACAGTCAAAATAATTTTCTTTAAACTTTCACAATATATGAATAGAGAATTCTTACTGAATTATTTTCAAAATAAATCTAAATATTTCTACTTTCTATTGTAGGTTCGACAATTGAAATGCTACGTTCCGAAAATGTTCAAGTTCGTTCGCAATTGTCAACAATGCAGCGTCGAATGCTCCACGAAAAACAACAAATAATGGATTATCTACGTCAAATTGAAAATGATCTCATTGAAAAAGAACGCATTAAACAACGTGAATCATTATTACGTGAAGATTATGAACAACTAAAACACTCGATTTATCATGATCAACAAAGATTAGAACATGTACAAAAGGAATATTCACAATTATTAAAAATAAAAGATGATGAAAAACTTCATTTAGAATTACAATTAAATAATTGTAAATCGGGAATAGAACGTTTATATTCACATTTTAATTTAAATATTGATTCAATTGATCAAATAATACCAATTTTAGAAGATCGATATCAATCTGTACAAGCATCACAGGTGTCTAGATTATCAAAATTTTAAAGTTTTGGTTTAAAAAGAAAAAGAATTTTTTTCTTATAGAATTCCTGTCCAACAACATCGAAGATCGATGATAAATACAACCAATTTCGAACAAATGTTGAACAATTGACAATTCAATGTAAACAATTGGATGAAGCTAATTGTGCATGGCAACAATTTCAACAGACTCAACTTGATAATTTTAAAAATGAATTTCAAAATTATTTATCGATTGAAAAAAATTTAACTCTTGATGAAATAGCACAACTCATTCTTGATTATCTAAATCAAGTTGTCAGTGAACGAGATGTTCTTATGAGAAATTTGGATAAAATCGAAAAAATGAATAGCAATCATACAAGTGAGCTTTTACCCTTTTGAATATGATCATTGTTTACTTTCTAAAGAGCTAACCGGGGATATGTTTCACGTAGCGATGCATGAACTTGATCAAAAACAAGATCTAGATTCGGAACTGCCATCAACTTATTCTACGAAACAAACACATGTAATATCATCTGAAAACGAGTCTATTCAATCAGACGTTTTGTCTCTCAATAGTTGTGAAGTAAAAAATTTTCAACTTCGCTTAGGTTAATATTTTTTCGTCATGTTTAAAACAATGCTCCTCTAATTTTGCCTATTTCCAGAATCAGAAATCAATTTAGAAACAATCAAAGAATCTTACACTAATACAATAAATGAACTTACTCAAGAATTAGTCATCGTTAAAGAAGAACTTAATCAACAAATCAATGGTGAGTTTCACTCATTGTTCAAGCTATGAAAGGACCGATTTCATGGGATGATCGATTAGCTACTTAGAATAATTCACTCTTATATATTATGTTTTATGTGTTTTAGTATTATCAGCATCATCGAATGAGGTGGCTAAGATCTTTTCTTTTAATATTCATTATACATTGGCTGTTTTTCTTATCGTTAGATTACAATTGATCGGAATAATTCCGGCATAAAAAATAATTCTTTATGGCAACAAATCATCATCGAAATATTCCGAAATGAACTAGAAGATTATTTATCGATGGATATAGATGTTTCATTTGATAAGATTATTAAACAAATTGTTGATCAAATCAAAAGAGAACGAGAAGATTTTCACGAACGTTATCAAAAATTAGAAACAACAAATAATCGTCTTCAATCAGGTATTTTATATAAATCATATATTTTTTGTTTTTGCAGGATCTTTTTTATTTAGAACTCGATAGTAATATGGAGTCAATGCGGCAATCTTATTTGAATATTGTTAATGAATATAATCAAAAACTACTTGTAATTAAAGATGAATGTGAAAGTTTTCGTCAAATTAATAAAGAACTTGTTGTTGCAAATGAAAATTTAAATCGTCAATTAGATGATCGATCAATAGTTGTGGGTCATCATTCTGCTTTAGAAACAAGTTTCGTTGAACAACAGAATTTATTTGAAAATAACGAACAGGTTCTTTTTTCCTATTATCTTACTGTTGTTGGTTTCTAAACTTGTTTTTATTTCAGTCTGAAACACAAGATAAATATACTCAATATGAACGAAAAGAAGGAAATCACATCGGGACAGAAACAATTCCATTAGATTATAAAACTTGGTATCAACAAATTCAAGCTGAATCATTTAGCGATTTAGATTCCTTTGTAAATCATCAAAATATTGTTAAATAAAACTACTGATCTCTTTCTTTTTTTTATTGTAGTCTGATGATGAAAATAATCAATTGAATGCATATATCAATGACATATCTTATTTATCATCAATCGATCTTTCAAATGCTTTAAATAGAGAATGCCAACAATTTTTATTGAAGAAAAATCTTAAATTAAATTCTTCTTTAAATCTTGAACTAAATCATTTAGCATTGATAACAATTAATTTTCTTTATAATCAACATTTATGTGATAATGCTAAAGAATTATACAATGAAACTGTAGTAAGAGCTTTAAAACAGGAATATCATTTACTCAATAGCGAAAGAAATGATTCAATTGAAAAAATTAATTCTCTCCAAGAGCAGCTTCAACACATGGACGATGAACGTTGTAATTCACATGAATTAATTAAAAATCTAAATAAAAATAATGAAAAATTAAACTCTGAACTAAAGCAAATCGAATATTATTATGAACAATTAGAGAAAGAATATAATCGAATTGGTCGTGAAAACGAATTATTAAGAGATTTGAATACAAAAATTTATCAAGAAAGATCACGAGGAGAAAACAAAAAAGGTAAATTCCTAAGAATTTCAACGTTGAATAGAGCATAATACAATTTCGCAAATGATTTTCTTCATTCCAAACATCATTCTAATGAAGAAATTGCGTTTTTTAGATTGCATCAATGATCAATCAATTTCAACATCTGCTGATAATTCTACACATTCAGATATTGATAGTCAACAAAATTCTACTGCTCAAATATCATCTCAAAAGAAGCCTGCGGAAGAAAATGATTCAAATATTCAGAGTTTATCGTTAGAAGAACCTAATATTTTAAACATTCACATTGATAGAGAAACTCAAACTGATAATCAACGCCAAGACACACTTTTACAAATAAACAACAAACTGAAACATGCTCTTCAAACGATTAAAGAAAAAATACATAAAGTCATTGTTGAACAATCTGACTTATTTCGAGATTCCAGTGATAATACCATTGAACGACTTGATCATTTAATTTCTACTATTCGACAACAAAAAGAACAGATCGATCTGTTGAAAACTAAAAACGAGGATTCACAATATGAAATCAAGGAACTACAAAGGTTATTTTACTACGTTGAATTTATTTTCAATAAAAAAAGGTGTTTTATAAATTTATTTTAGTTCGCTAGAAGCATATCGATATCAACGGGATGATGAAGATTCTACTGAAGTTGTCCTGTTAGAAGATTATCGAAAACAGATTGATCAATTTCAACAGAACATTTTGACAAAAGATCAAGAAAAACATTTATTAGAAAAACGTTTACAAGAAATTGAATTTGAACTTAAGAAAACATCCGAGGATCAGTTGTCAACAATGACTAAATTCAAGCAATTTGTACGAGAACATGATACTCTTGTTGAACAACATATTCTTCAATCAACAGAATAGTAAGCAGTCAGTGTTAGTTTGAAGTTTTCCAAAGTATTTTTCTTCAGTCGACAAGAAATTCAGCAATTGCAAGAAAAACTAAAAGGTGTAAATGAAAAACTTCTCTCCCAAGTTGAACTACATGAAGACGTTGAAAAACAAAAGTAATCAACTAATGCATTTATCTCATAGGAAATAAACTATTTTGTATTAACATTACAGAAACGAAAGAATCAATGAATTAGAAAATCATATAAAAAATTTGAAACAAGAACGTATCGAACTTCGACAATATGAAAAGTTACTTCAAGTTAACAACAAACTAAAACGTATTGTACAAGCTTTCAAAGAGAAAATTCATCGTCTTGCTGATGATAAGCCAAGTCTATTCGAAGGAATTAGTGAAGAAATAAGCGAACGCTTCAACCATTTGATTTCAAAAGTAGAAAATCAATCAACACAAATTGATGCCATGCAAATTGAACGTCAGCAAGCCGATGAAAAATCTAAACAGCAGATTAAAGAGCTTGAAAGGTGAATAATAGATCACTTTTTCAATGAGTTGCGAACAAAGGCCGGTTTTCAAATTTTATAGATCTTTGGAAACATACCAAAACGAACTTCAGTATGAACGGCAAGTTAGAGCGGAACAACTTGTTTTTGCTGCTACACCAACTATGTTATCTGAAGATATTAGGTTAGATAAATTGAATACTTTATAAGATAATATTTAATCAAGATTTATTTTACCATCAAGTTTATCCATCAATGAAAATTATCAAAAGCAAATTGATCAACTGCAACGACAACTATTCGAAAAAGACGAAGAACAAACCTTATTAAATGAACATCGTAATGAAGTTGAACTTGAATTGAAAACAATAATAATAAATCATGAATTAACAATGGTTAAATACAAAGAAAAAGTTTTGGCTCTTGTGGAAGAGCGAAATCAATTTATTGAACAACAAGAAATTTCTTCAACACAACAGTAAGATTTCAATCGACAAGTGTTTTTTTCTATATACGTTTATATGAAATTTTAGTCAAAATCAAATGGTACAAATGACTGAATGTAATAATCTAATGCGACACGAAATAGATGAACTAAAAGAATCGACAGAACGCCACCAACATGTAACAAGCCAAACACTTGAAGAGTGAGAGGAAAATATATTTCAATATTGCAGAGTACTTTAAATCTCCTTTTCATTCAGAATGAACATCTTACAAGTATTAATAGAAGAAAAATGCCTTCTTCTTGCTCATCAAATTGACTCCAATGCAAAATTACAAGTTGACATAGAAGATCAAAGGTAGTTAATTAATTTTGATTTCGCCTGTGATCGAAGGTGCTCATTTAACTTTTTTCCCCTTTAGAATATACAATGAAGAACTATCAAATGAGTATAAGAATGAAATTGAAACTCTTACGAAAGAACGTAGTAATCTTGTTCAAGAATTAGAACAAGAAACGTTGTCAACTATATCAACTAGTAATAATGAATGTCAAACAAATGATGATCAATATGAGACATTAGAAATTGTAAAAGAAAAGGTTAAGCAGATTGCTAATGAACGACCACATTTATTTGATGGAGTCAGCCAAGAGACGAATGATCGTGTTGAGCATTTAATTTCAATAGTTGAAAATCAAATAATACAAATCAATCAACTTGAACAGAAACTTTCACAAAACTATGTTGAACAAGGAGTATTTCAAGAACGTCTTAATAAAGTTGAAATCGAACTACAACAAACACTAATGAAGAAATATGAAGTACTCTTACAAGAACGTGATGTATTGATTGAACAACAATCACGTCGTTTAACGGAGAGGTTAGTAGTAATTCATTGATATTATTTTTTTTCCGCATAATACGATTTAGTCAACGCGACATTGAACTATTGAGTAATAGATCAGTTGATTGTCAACATGTAGAAATTCAAACCGATGAAGAGTGAGTCGAATTAAATACATTTTATCTGTCAAAAATTGGTTCGTCTCTGCACATTTTTAGTACAAAAGTATTGTATGAGCAACTCAATGATCTGAATGAAAAACTTCTCACACTGGAATCTCAAATTGAATCTCAAGATGCAGTTAAAAGCAAAAAGTAATCGATCATTATTTTGTTTGTTATTTATGGAGTTGACGATTTTGCTTTAATAATATAGGAAAGAAATTGAAGAACAGCTAAACGAGTATAAGAATCACATTGATAATCTTATGATCGAACGTCAAACACTTTTAGAAAGCATAGAAAAAAATAGTAAACCATTTATTCAATTCATCGATTATGAAATTCAAACCGATGATGATCAACATGAAGAATTAATTCAAATTAACAGCAAATTAAAAGATACGATAGAATCAATTAATGATAAATTTCAAAATATTGTAGCTACAAGACCCGATCTATTTGAAGATATTAGTGAGGAAACTAATGAACGTCTTGATAACTTAATTTCAACTATAGAAAATCAAGCAAGATTACTAGTTAAATTACAAACTGAACGCGACGAAAATGCAGAAAAATCTCAATCTGTAATGAGTGATCTGAAAGAGTAAGAAAGAAAGTGTCTAATATAAAGACTAAGATAATCGTATAAAGACCACAAAGAGAAACATCTGGAAAAAACCTGTTAGTATATATCGAGCAGAATTAACATATGAAACATGGCATAGTCTGCTCATCGATGTTGATACTTTGTTTTTTGAATAGCTCATTTGGAATATATCGACAACAAATTGATGACGAATATCGTGTAAAACTTGACGAATATATTCCATCGCCTTCTCCAATTACTCACGAGATCGAAACTCAAACTAGCGAGTAAATTATCTCAACTGCTATTTTTTTCACTCAAATAGTCTTGATTTAGTTACTCAAATCTGGAGGATACAAGTATAAGCACGGGAGGAATTCGTTTTTTTGAAACAACTGAATCCAACGATAATGAAATAAATACTTGGTTTGATGCTACACCTGTTATTATAGATAAAGATGAAATCGAGCATCAAGAATTTCATGATATTGATATTCAATATACATGGATACCGTCAGCATTACCTGAACAACTTACTAATGAAATTCGTTCTTTTGAATCTCAACTATCAGCTGATTGTTCAACTCAAACTGATGTTGACACTGTTAAAGTTGAAGAAATTCAACAAATAAAAGATAAAATTCTAGAAATTAATTTTGAACGTTCAGCATTATTATCTACGTCAAATGAAAATATTTTAGAAAATCTTGATAAAATTAAGTTATTCATTGAATGTCTTCAAACCGATATAAAAGAAATAAATAGGTAAGAGGGTTCCCTCAGTTGCAAAGCAATAAAGATAGATGCATATTCGAATCCATTTTAAAATAATTCTCAAAAATGAGATCTATTTTTTGATATTTCAGTTCATTTGGAACATATCGTAATAGAATTGAAGAAGAAAATTTCATTACAATGAATCAATCAAAATTATATGAATCGAATCATGTTGGTACTCAAACGTTAGGGTATATTGTCTTTTTGCTATGTTCTTATCACATATATATTCCTCATTTTTTTCTATTTCATAGTTTATCAATTGTTGAAGAACATCAGAAAAAAATTGAAAATCTTCAACAAAATGAATTAGTGTATCAACATGAAATCGGACGTTTAATTGAAGAGAGAGATCAAGCAAGAAATTTCATTACTCAATGCAATGAGAAAGACACACAGAAAAGAAACAACTATGAAACATCTTTTCAATCGCAAATTCAAGAGCGAGATGAACAAATATCACAATTCAATGAAAAATTACAACAGCAAGATCATAATTCATCCATATCGTTGAACAGTATTTCATCACAGACCAACTGCGACGTAGATAGGTATAACAGCTAATTCGCTTTTCTTTTTGAAACTATTCAATTTGTTTACATAGTAAAAATGAATCATGCATTAGAGAATATCAATCTCAAATAGATAGTCTTCTTCATGAACGTTCGGTTTTAATGAAAAAATTGAATGAGCAAATGCTTCAACCATCAAAAGTTGATGTTGAAACGCAAACAATCAAAGACACTGATATGTAACTTTTATTTATTTACAATTTTTTTCATTTTTCATTTAGTTGTTGTTTTATTGAAAGGTTATCATCATCCGATCAGAGTATTTCACGTCAAATGTTTGAAAAAGAAATGCTAGCATGGGCAAAAGAAAGTGACCAATTAAAATCTTTTGTTAAACAAATACAAATTGAGAATAAAAAGCTTAAAGATATTATTCTTAAATTTGAACGTATGATTCTTGATTATGTGCATGAAAACGATAGACTTAAACAAGAAAATCGACAACTTTCGTTAATTAATTATTCATCCAATCAGGATATTGATGAAAAAGAAAATTCCAATGAAGATGTGTGTTTTTTAACATTAAAATGGTTAACCTATGAAGTAGCACAAAGGGCATCAAATATTAATATTAATGAACAATCATTATTATTGATTCAAGAGTCCGAACGAGATTTTAAACAAGAACTTACTGGACATGAACTACAGGTAGATTTTTTGTTCTTCTTTGAGATGATTTTAATTGACTTGCATGCCACTAGCTTCAAAAGATTCGTATTCAAAATAAAAGATTAAAAAGTCAACTTGAATCATGTACAATGCATTTTAAACATATTCAAAATGAAATGAAACTTCAAATCGCAGAGATGTCGGCAATTAAAGAGGAAACAGAAAGGTAAGATTAATCAAAAAAATCAATTCACTTTATGAGTGGAAGGTATAAAATGCAATGCTGCTAATACATTAAATTGATAGAATATATTCATCCGACGACGATAGCAAACTGTAATAATATCGAATGAACTCGAAAGGTAGCAACAAGATGACGAAATATCATTAATACTTAGAATTTCAATTCTTTTCAAAAACAAAACCCTAATTTAACAGCTTTTTTAGTCACAGAAATGAATTCTTCTATATTTATTTCAAGACTGCGTATAAATGAAATACAATATCCTTTGGAAATTGATCGTCTTCAAACCGAACTTAAATATGATCAATTAAAAATTCAACAGCTCGAACGTGAATTAGCAGATACGAAACTTAAACAATCACGAATCGATAATACTTCAGTAGATGTAAATTTCCCAATCAATTTTTTGTACGAATAAAAAAAAACATTTTGTAGAGTCTTCGTGAATTACTTGAATTAAAAGAACGAGAATTAAATGCATTAAAAGAAAAATTCGATTTTACGAAACAAACTCATGAAGTTGAATTACAAGAAGCAATCAAGGCAAATCAGGTAGGCGTCGTCGATAATTTCAATAGTGATGCTTCTTCCTCATCCTACTAATACAAAATCGCACGCATGCTATGCATTAGTACATCAAACGCTTTTGAATTTTGTTGCATATTGCTTGGTTTGGTTTTTACGTGGCTAATCTACTAATCGAGAAGCAGTTTTATTTTATTGTGAGTAAATTGAATATTTTACTTTAGTTCATTTCATCGGTGATAAGTATTTGTATCTGTATCCTTTCTTTTGTGCAATATATGATGTATCTACCCGTTGTTTTTTTATCTTAAATGCTGCTAGTAAACAGAACGAGAAAGCTTTGTCTAATAAATATTAAAAACACATCAATCTGTATGCATTTTAAGTTTTAATGGAGAATTTATTTATATATTACAGTTTTCACTTAATCATATCAAACGTTTTGAACAAATGAATTTATGTCAACAGGAAAAGCAATTCGATTTGGAGAAAAAACTTGCAAAATTTCGTTCTATTGTTCAGCCACTCATTGATCATGAACAATTATTTACTAAGGTAAAAGTAACAATAGATACATTAGTTTTTAATTAAACAAAGAAGAATGAATATTTTCTTTAACGAATAGAACCCAATAATTAACATAGGTGAACTACAAAAGTTAATGACTGACATTGACAATGAAAAACAATTGGTCAGGTAAGTTGAAAAAGAGAATTAATTTTTGCGCAGTATGATCATCAAATGAATGTATAAAATAAGATAATGAAAATTCATCAAAGCTGGCAATTTTTGTTTTGAACGATTACTGTATACCGTAAATAGTGATGCAGGTCGATAGATTGGTTACTCGTAGTGTTGGAATCTATCGGAACCTGTTTCTTCAACCCTTGTCAGTAACTAGAAATATCTGACACTTAGACCACTTCCTAAAAAATAGCAAACCAGAAAAATATCCCACAATTAGTGCAGCCCATACACGGTTTTTATTTGCAATCTGTTCATACCAAGTTCTATTTCAAATACAAGCATCAAACGAAAGGGTTGAATATTTGTGTCGCTTTTACTTGTTAGTAGAACTATCCACACAATGCATTTTGAATTTCAGTTCTCTTGAACCAATTCGTGATTGCTTGAGTCTTTTGGAAGCTCAAATGAAAGATTTACATCATAGTATAATTCAAAATCATGCACGACGTTCAAGAAAATGGAAATACAAATTAGGATTTGAATGTCTTTCATGTGAAAGTCGATGGTAAGATAAAACATACTTTGATAATTATATATTGGAGAATCTTTAGGGAAGTTACACACGACATTCGTGATTTACAAGAAGCATGTTTAGATCCGACTCGTTTTATTGAATCATCGCTGGTTGAACCTATGACGGGATGTTCATGTCCAATAATGATTGATTTCGTTGAAGGTGATGTTCGTCTATGTTTAGAGGATCTACTAAATGAAGTGATAGTAAAAGCAACAGTACCATAGTTTGTTTTTCTCATATTTTCAGCGAATTTATATTTTTTCCTTGTGCATATTTATGTATTGTTCTTTTGCTTATTTAAATTCTGTTCTTTCTCATGCATGGTGATCTCTTTATGTATTTTGGACGATTAATAATGAATACATGTTATTTGATACTTTTGGGTAATCAAATAATTGATTTAGCATAATGAATCTTTCCTTTAGTACAAATTAAGTTTTCAATATTCTAGTATTTTATGCCTGGGTTTAATGAAGTGAGTTTCTTATTTCCAAACGGAAGAAAAATTCAATGATGCATGATGTTGAAGCGTCAAATAAACTGACCTTGAGGTCTTATACAAAACGATGGGTTCAATCATGAGGTAGAGAGGAATTATATTCGAGCAGATATCTAAAGATGAGTAGATAAAATTCAGTAAAATTAAATTAAAGCAAAGAATAAGAAGAAAAAGTTGTAATTTGTTATAGTAAAATACTCCACTGTTTTTCTTCTCATATATGTTTTACTGTATCAAGTAGCATCAATACTATGTACTCTACATATATATTTACTTCTAACTCATGATGTATAAATTGAAGAGATTTTGGAGGGTGCAACCAGAAAAACAAATCAAGTGTATCGGCCTGAATGAAGAAATATCAACATCCACACCCAATCAAATTCATTGAGTTCGAATTCTTTTGAAAAATATAAATAATAATAAATTCACAACAAAGAAGCAAACATTTGCAGAATTAAAGACAAAAGCGTAGCATTTCTAATGAAGCATCAATGAAAACAATTATAATCATTTTCTTTTTCTCAAAATATTTTCGGTAGATTTGGACAAAATTTTCTTCTTTTTTTCTCAAGTAATACACATAACCAATGATCTGTATCTAATTACAATGTAATACGATTTGAACACAATTGAAAATGAAATAGGAATATTAGTTGTTTTTTTCTTTTGTTTAAATTACGTTACAATAATATTTAATATTAGAAAAGAAAAAAAGAACTTGAATATAGATATTCGAATACTATAACAAACAAAAATTAGAAAAACTATTTTGGAGAATTTAAATAAAGAAAAGAAAAGAAACAAAAACTGTTTCACATTGATAAAAATTAACGCTTTACACATAAAGTAAACGAACACGAGATGTTGATACTTCAAGATCACCATCAAAAAACTTTGTCTCAATAACAACATTTCCGCTAGAACAAAAAAAAACAAATATTATTATTATTAGGAACATTCCTTTTTCTCTTATTTTTACTTTAATAAATTAGCAGGAATCATTTGACTTTCTGGTGCTGCTTCAATTAATGATTGCCAAGTATTTGTTGAACCAGGAATTACAAAACCAAATGTAAACGACCACTCTTTTTTTTATTATAAAAATAAAATTTAAAAGATAAAATTATTGACATTAAGTTACACCATTCAAAAAAGTAATGGGTATGGGTTTGTGTGAAATAGTTTTGATTCGCTCACACCCACATCCTCAAGATTGATAAAAGATTATCAATCATCGATAATTTGAAGTTATTTACCTTCAATAATTGTTCCTCTAAAAAAGACTCTTTGTTCTAAACGAAATTGTTGCATTTCTTGCTGAGATGAAAAATTAATTTCTCTTGAAACTGCTCGACATTTAAGAATACGTTTTGGTACACGTGCTTCATGTTCAACGCCAGGTGTCGATCTAAAATATTTACTTTAAATAAATTAAATAAAAATATAAATTTATACAAATTTTCTGATGATTGCCAAAGAACTCGACCTGAATCAGCATCTCGTAAATTCATCCAGTGTAATTTAAATCCATTTAAGATATCTTGAGCTCGTTTAGAAGATAAATTATCATCAGACATTTTGCTTTTCTAAAAGAAAAAATACTAAAATATTTTATTCATTGTAATTAAAATAGATTGCTTTTTTTCCATTTTTTATCCGAGCAAATCTGAAGAAATTAAAATCGTTTCGTCGAATCTTGACCGTAATGCTTACAATTTTTTTTGTTTCACCGTATTTATTTCTCTCTCTCTCTCTCTCTTTCATCTATTGTCAATGCTCTTTGTTTAGAATTTATTTTATTTATGAGAAAAGGAAAAGATTAAAGTTTTTCCTTGATCAACCATAAATGGTGCGTTGCTATTAACAATACTTGAAAGAAAATCTCTATTTAGAGAAGCGACATCAAATTTATTTACCTTTTTCGAAAATTTTCCATTGGCTCTATAAAATAGCCATTTATATAATCAACTAACTAACTAACTAACTAACTAACTAACTAAAAGAAATATAGTTTTAATTGGTGATGGAGTTTGCCAATGGAAGAATTTCGATAATGCCATTATAAATGACAAAGAAACTGTATGAGAACACTGAAAAATCTATTAGAAATAATTATCTACAAAAAAACAATATAAATAAATTTATAGATATTCTTCTATATGTAAAAATAAATATATTCTGATAGGTATATATTTGTAACTCCATAAGGCCAATCATATTCAATCTTTGAAAATGATGAATCACTTAGTAACATTATGCTTTAGATTTGTTCATCGGTCTCTGAGTTGATATATTCTACTTCTAGTTAGAACTAAAACACTTTCTCATACAATTTATATGTAGAGTTTCAGGATGATATTACTACTCAAGAACATCATTTTTTAAATTAAACTATATGAATAGTAACAAATTTATTTTTCTTGAACCAAGTATCTTGTTATATTAAAAGATACTTTATTTTAGATTTCTGTTTCAAGATTTTTCTAGTTTTAATCATTGTTTTGTAAAATTTGAAGTATTATCTATAAGATAAAATAAATAAAAATGAGCAAAGTGCTTACAACTGCATCAAAATGTGTGCCAAATTTGATTGTATGTAATTTAGTTTTTTGATAAAATAATATCTATTCAATTTCTCCTCAAAGACTCTTTCATCGAAGACATCAACAATAAATGCTCGCTCTTCATCACCTAGTCACCGATCATATTCAATTCAGCACACACGTTATCCGTCATCGTTGAGTAATAATATTCGTCTACGTCAACCAACACAAATCTCATCGATAAATCAAAGTCGATTACTTCAACTGAATAATTTGATTTATTATGATCCACTTTTTACACTTGTATGCAGAATATTTCATTTTATTCAAATAAATCAGATTGTCTTTTGCTTTGTTTTAGAAACGAGGAAATGCATCACAACCGAAAGGATTTCTTGGTTCATTAATGGATAATATAAAAGAAGAATTTACTAAAAATAAAGAAATCAAAGTAAAACAAAAATGAAATCTTGATATGAATTCAATATATTAATATTTTACAAGGATAATATAAAAAAGTTTCGAGATCAAGCTAAAAAACTTGAAGATAGTGATGCACTAAAAGAAGCTCGAGACAAATATGTAAGCCAAAAATTATTTATTTCAAAATTTTGTTTTTCACTGTTTTGTTATTAAAAGAAATCATTAGAACGTGAAACAATGAAAAGTTCAGCGGTGCTTCGTGAAAAACTTGGTGAAATTGGTGACAAGGTCAAAGAAGTAAGCTAATGAATTAGTGATTCAGTATTGTATTTCTTTTTACAATAGAGTGATGTCATTAAAAAAGCATCAGATTTAGGCTATGAATTAGGTAAACAAGCACAAAAAGCGGCAGAAAAAATCTCCGAAAGAACTGAACAAATAACTGATACAACCGCTTATAAAAAAGTTTCTGAAGTAATATATTTGAAGGCTTTAAAACTATTTTCATCATTAATTGCTTGATTTCAAAGCGTTTAACTACAATTAAAGAGGAAGTTGGCGATGCAACAAAATTAACAAGACCATTAGGTTATCAACCACCAACAACTTTACGAAAACGCAGTGATACTGATTCAGTTAAGAAAGAAAAAGTCTTTCATGCGGATACGTAAGTTAACTATTAAATATTCAATGGCTGCTAACTATCGATAGAAATGCCCTAGAAAATTTATTTTCAAGTATGATAAAAATAACGCTTCCTCATTTAGGACAAGAATTGAAAATTGGGTAGATATGTATATCAACTACTTTTATTTTAAATTTCTGTAATTTCACCGCAAAAAGAGAAATATGCTTTTTATTAGAAAATTGAACAATTTCGGATTCAAAAACTTTTATTGTTTAGCTCATCGACGATTGTTTGCTTCTAGACTAACTTAATATCAGGAAGGCATTCAGTATTTACGTATGTCATATTATTTTGACTTCATAGCATTATTAAACAAAGCTGCAAGTAAATTCAATCATGTTATACATCAAATAGATTTTCTTTTGAAGAAAAATGATTTTTTACCATCCCAACCATTATGTAAAAATTTTTTAAAATCTAGTTAGAAAGAGAACGTTAAGTTTATTGAAACATCCCAAGAGTCTTTCCTAATTGAAAAATATCATTTATTTGACGTAATTTTAGTAATACGTTAAAAACATTAAATACATATAATTAAAGAAATAATATTCTAGTCACACAAGAACTTTTTTTATTTTGTTTTAAGAGAAACACAAACTATTACTGTTCACAAAGATTCACAATGGTATCAAAGTTGGCAAAATTTTAAAGAGAATAATACATATTTAAATAGTTTGTATTTTCCAATTGTTTGATTCATTTAATATATTTGTTCTGTTTATTTCATAGAACTATTCGATCTTAAATCAAAATATGATGAAAGCGATAATTTAGTAGTACGTGTTGCAAGAACATTTACAGATAAAGTGTCAGGAGCATTGTGTAATAGATAAAGAAAATTATTCAACAAACTTCAATTTATTTTGTCTGTTTTGTTTTAAGCATCAATATTTAGTCAATCGGAAACAAGTGAGGCTTTAACAGAAATATGCCGTGTTGATCCAGCATTTGATGTTGCACAATTTATTCGTGTTGTTCAATACGATATTATTCCGAATATATTCGAAGTAAAACAAAAAGAAGATCATGAAATATCCTCGATTATATCCCATCTGAGAATTTATCGTTTCAATTCTAATTCATTAACTCTAGATTGGATAATAAGTTTTGATTTTAATTGATTCACTCTTCTATTATCATTGTTTGAGTAGAACCCGTAAAAATGAAGTACCAGCGATCATTGTTAAGACATAAAAGTTGAATATGAAAACTGAACAAAAATGAATATCTAATTCTTTAATTTTTATAGTAATAAATTTCTATTTGCTTATAAAGATTTTAAATCAGAAATTCAATGTTTACAGCTCCAAAAAGGAAGAATCCAATGTTTTTAGAATACATTTACAAATGAAGTGCATTTGCACGATTAGGAGTGATTGAAAATTTAAGCAAAGCATATTTTTATCCACAGAATAGTAGAATTAGTCATTGGAAAAGTAAAAGCTGCTCTTCGTGTTTCCAACCTGCTTTATTCAAATCATATTTTATCGAAATTATTGACTATTTCTTTTAACTTTCTTCCCTACAAAATTCAATCCTATTTTAATCAAGTCAAGAAGAAACTCTATGCATATTATAAATGTTTATAATTTTTGTACATTTCTTGCTATTTTTTTATTATAGAAGGTATTTTCGCTTCTAGTACGTATAGTTTTGAGTCATTATAATTAATGGCATTAGAATCCAATGAAGAAAGCATCGAATAGGATTAAATCGAGGACAAATTTTTAAAAAAATCTTTCTTTAAAATGGTTGTTTTACTGTCGATCATTTATTTTAGTCTTTAGCACGCAGTGAATTAGAAATTTTACGAGATTGGTGTACTGAAGCTGTAAGTGAAATCTCTCTTTGTCGACTTATTGATTCTCTAATGTTTCTTCTTATTCAGGTTTACAATGTGCTCATTCATCCGATAAATACATCAAAAGCAATGAATTATAAATATCATTTGAAAATTATTGACCTTAGTGATGTTGAGGTAACTAACAATTATTATTTTTTCTATTAAGAAGCTCTCGTTTCGTTTTCTTTTCTTAATTGACTTTATTCAAATTGATGAGAGTTTTATATATTTATTTGTTTCAAGCTTGTTGCCGCTAAAACTATGGAAATGGGACCTGTTCTTGTAGTCAATTTTCAAGCTCAACAAATTGCTTATATTTCAGATGCAAATGGAAAAGTTACAGAAGGAGATCCGGTAAAACTTTCTTTTTCTTTTATTTTTTTATGTGTTGACTTAATGCCTTTGTTCAGGAACAAATCAATCGAATCAATTATATCTTTGCACTTGGTCGAGACCCAACTATTCTTGATCCTCTATCAGCTTGGCGTCTAGTTGACTTGAGTGCTTCAAAAGTCAATCATTTTGTTTGATTACAGTGTTCTTTGTTTTTTTTATGGTAAAAATAAATTTCGTTCAGTTTAATACTGTTTTTGTTCTTTATTCTATACAATGAAAGATAAATTCAATGTTCTACTAATCAGAGTGTGGTGTGAGTTAAGAGAAACGGGTCCACCTTCATTTCATACTCTTGAAAATTAAACTCAAGATAAGCATCGTCTAATTCCTCATCATGTCTCATACGCATCAAATCTTTATGATTAGTTCCATTGAGTTAAATGGATCTGAATAAAATTGATTACTTGGCAATATAAGTAAAATAAAGTAAAAAAAGGAAACAGAGTTTTCGTTGAATTTTCATATTTTTTATTTTGAATTTAAAATAAATCCAAAACGTGAATCAATTAATATAGATCGAGAGAAAAAGAAGTAAATCGTTAGTTTAATTATCTCTCTTTTAATCTCTAATAGAATAACTTGGATAATAAATCAATTGAATTCGATGGTGATGAAACAGAAGAACGTAGCGCACGTTTATCAAGTGCCCAGCTACATACTTTCCATAAACATTCTATAAATAAAAATTATTATGAAAATCTGAAGAAATATTTTGATAACATACGTCGACCTCGTTTTTGTAAATTGTGTGATTGACCGTCAGTCTGATCGAAAAGAGAGGCACTAGATGAAGTTATTGCTGATGGATTTGCTTCATTTAACAATAATTCAGTTTGTAACAATTTAGAATATAATTCATCATTTGATTCATTTTCGAATTCAAACAAAAAGGGTCTCTGTCGAAAAGAAAAGAAGTTATATGGGTGAAAAAATACAATTCTTTTTAAAAATATTTACTTGAATATGATGAATTGTATAAGAATTAATAAGAAATATTTGTGCACAAACAAATATTACAATCAAGTTCACGTTTAACATTTTAATAATACAGCGGATGAAAATGATAGATAACGTATGAATCCTACAACGAATATTTTTATTTAGAGTTATTTTTTAAATAAGAATAAATATTTCGAGCTTCGATAAAAAAGAATACAAAAATTAGTTACGCATCGAACTACAGATTAGATTAACACATATTATGGCGATTCAAATCCTCGTATACAAATTTACATCCATAATGCAGCAATGTTAACTAAATACTTTCATGATTTGTAATTTTCAAACAAGAAAATTACAAACGTGAAGTAGAAGACAACATGAAACGATGACAAACTCGACTTCTGTTTCGATTCTCTTACGTTAGTCGAATCTCAATTTCCAGTGTGAACAAGAAAAGAAAGAAGAATTTATTGCATGAGAAAACTCATCCGATTGTTAGATTAGTGAACAAATGTTTCTTTTTCTTTTCTTCTTTCTTTTCTATTGTTCCCGATGATAATCGAACGATGTTAAAAAAACTCAAGTACCAACGATTATTATATTAAATACTGTTCTATTTCACTTGAAAATTAAACCTTGAATAAGACAAAACAAATTGTAAAGAAGAAAATGATGTATTACATCATGATTTATCTTTTCCCAATTATAAATGAAATAAAAAGATATCCTATTATTTAATGATTATTAATTAATAATGACAATTCATCGATTTGTTTTTTATCAGTTTCATGAACAAATACAAAGTAACGCTGTAGGCTATAAACAATGAGGGTGTTAGTATTTTCTCTAATTTTCATAGATTTGAAATGATTCTTCTATCAAAAAATTCAAGATTTAATTCTCTGCAATACTATTGGCAAATGGTCATGATAGAGATAAAAGAAAGCAATATAGAATGTTTTGAAAACTGAATAAACTATTGAGAAAATACTAACGTTATCATTCTTTATGGACCACCACATTACTTATTTCTATTGACATTTATTTAATAATGCGTAAATTTATAATAAAAATAAATATGTACTATATCGTATCTTGAAGCTGTCGTGTAGCATTGAAATTGTTTAGTGTAATGCGCAAATCACTTAGTATTCACAATCATTCAGCAATCCTATATACTTTAACAACTTCTTGAAATCATCTTTAAAAAAGAAATTGAAATAAAAAATCACATAAGGATATTTATTTTAATCTGTGCAGAAAAAAGAAAGAGCATCAAATTAGTTGTCTGTTATTTCTTGTAAAGTTTTTAATAAAATTTGTCTAACTGATCTTCCTAATTTTTGTACTTCAGTATTTGTATCCTTAAGAATAATATAATCGAACCATTGTTTTAATTCAAGAAATTGATTTTGTAAATCTTGATCATAACATGTTTTACCAATTGAAACAAGAGAACAAGCATAAGCATAAACAACTGCATGTCGAACGCCAGCATCTTGATGTTTTTGTAATGCTTTTAATATTTGTAAGAAATGTTTAATCATATTATTCAATGATAAAGTATTTTGTGCATAAATACATAAGCGAGCTAAACAAGCAACGAGTTCACATAATAATAAATTACCATTATCACCATCAATTAATGATAAATATGTTGTTGGTTTATCAATAAATTCAATTAATGGATAAAAAAAATGTCCAACAATATTTCCAAAGTTGTTTTCTTTTAATGAAGGTTTTTTTCTTAATTCAACTTTTGTTTTATATTTTGTTTTTAATTTTAAACGTTCATGAATAGTTGAACGCCATGAGTCATTATCATCATTATCATCCTCAGAAGAAATAAATAATTCATCTTGAAGTGTTGTTTGAATTTGATCAATTTGTGATAATTTTTTAGCTGTTTCTTGAATTGTTTTCAGTATAAGACTTCGTTGATTAATTGTATAATTTTTTTCATAAAACTGTTTACATAAATAATCAGTTATTAATAATGGATAATTTTCGTTTAATTTTATTAAAGATTTTAATTGCAATTCTTGAAAATTTGTTATATTAAATGTACTATTGTAATTTAATAAAATCCGAACTAATTCTAAAGCAATTTCTTCACATTCAATACGATGAATTTCGATTAATGTTGGTAGAACATGTAATGTTGCTTCTAATTGACTAACTTTATCTGTTGCAATTAAATAGGCCAGACACTCACGAATATATGTTGGCTTTTCTACATCGGATCGTAATATATCCTGACTATAATCATATGATTCAAATTCATCATCATCGCCATCATCGAGCGATGCATCATGAAGAACAATTGTATTTGTTGAAGATATCGGTTTTTCAGATAAACATACTGCTGCTTCTACGAAAAAATATGAAAATAAATTCTATAGATGTTAATATATCATAATATTGTATTCTAATAAATAATATATATGCACAATACATTTTAATTAACCGAACAGGTATTTATTATCAATGCAGATATACGCTTGAGACTATATTCTTAACTAACCTTTTTTCATGGAAAATTCTTCTTGTTCATCGTCGGAAAGTTGTCTGTCATTGCATGAATGATTTATTTCCGATAGATCTTTTAAAATTAGAATTTCTGAATTATTTCTATCATATGTATCGAAACGAAGTTGATTTGATTGAGAAAATAAATCTATACGTTGAATAATTAATTCGCCAATGAATTGACCACGTTGACGAATATAATCAAATGTTGATTCAAGATGAATACGAATACCATTTAAAATAATCATTACAATTGTATCTTTATCAGTATTTAGTTGTATCTGTTGATTGAACGATAAACAAATGGATACGCATTGACAAATGTAAAAATGTTGATCGTTTGATGAAAATCGAATAAAACTTTCTTGTGACCACAATCGTAGAAAACGTAAAAATACATTTTGAAAACATTTTTCGATACGATTTATTGACATTGTCAGATAACTAAGAATTGTTCGTACTGTATCAATTGATAATCGTTTATGAAATAGTAAATTTTCTGTTATATATGTTTCTAACAATGGTAAATGGACTATGCGATCACTAAGAAATAAATCAAGTAGTTTTCCATTACTATGTTCAATTGTATAGAAAAGAATATCATCAATTGTTTCCAAAAGAAAATATTGAGCTAATCGTAACCAAAGAGAATCGTTTAGACATTTTTTAACAAATAAATTTTTATATAATGGACGCCAAATATATTCAGTGTAACCTGAAAGAAAATTATTAAAAATTTCTTTCTTATCAATGATAAAATGCATGTGAGAAATTGACGAAGATCATGTTGATAAGATTCAAATTACTTTTACTAAAGATAAGCTTAAAGCGAGTTATATTTAAGTTTTCATAGCAAAATTATTTTCAAGTGTTTATCATATTTGCTTTCAAAACAAAAATCTACATCATCATAAATTATTTTATGATTGATTTGAGAAACTAGATCAGTTTGTTTCCATCTCAATTGGAACGGATTTTACGTAAATCTAATGATTTTCGTTGTAGATCTGTTAAATAGACACTCATATTGATTTTACCTAATTTTGCTGCTCGATGAATAAGTTGGGAAAGAAAACTGATATTGGTATCCATTTGTGCCAACATATTTGGATAATGATAGTTAATTAATTGTTCTTGAATATATTCACTTAAACGATTAAAATAAGTTTTTGTTTGAAAACACATTGGAATATTTTTCATACAAATATTATTGATTCGATCAGGTAAATGAATAGTATATCCAATATCAGATTCATTTTCAAGTTCATGTAACCGTTTTTTATAATTTTTTTCATATACGTCGACTAATAAAAAAATAAAATAATCATTGTTTGTCAATTTCAATTCATTTAAAATCAAATCAATTATTTGTTTTTGTTTTAACGAAGATTGTGCTTCAAGAAAATATTTATGAAAATTAGATTTGATTTCTTTTATTTGTTCAGGTGTTTGAGAAAACCAATCAGACAATTTTCTTAAACATAAACGAATTAATTTCTCTTGTTCAATTGATGTTAAATGAATATTTTCATTAAAACAGTATTCTTCAATTACAGGTTGAACAGATAAATAGGAATGCGACGATGAAATTTGCTTTAATATTAGATTTAATCTTTCAAATGACATTTTGTTTTCAAAAAAACACCTGAAAGAAAAATCAAGTATTTCAATAGAACATAGACAAAAAGGTTTTCTTAGTCATAACATTTATTTATTTATAAAGACGAATTAAATCTTTTCAGATAAATTTGTTACTGATACAGATGGAACAACACCAGTATTTGACAGAGAAGTTTTAGTATTTAAATTAACATAAAGTGGGATAAGTCGTGGTGGAGGATATTCACTTCGACCATCGAATTCAGGTGCTCTTTTTTCTTGTTGTTTTCTATTCCACATATCACGTAATGAATTCCCTTAACGAAAAATAATAAGAATACTTCACTTGTGAAATGAAAACTTTTACCAGCAACGATTTGTTTAATATCACTAAATTCTGTCCACACTCGACCAGTAGTTTTTTCATTATTCTCTTGAAATTGTTTTTCTCGTTTTGTCATCGTTGATACAGTCGAAGTTGATTCATCAGTTGGAAAAGTGAAATCAATTTTATTACTAAAATAATACGTACATATCGATTTAAACGCTAATTGATAAATCTTTTTATTTACCTTTGATAGATCGATGAATCATTTTCAATTTCTGATTTTCGTCGATCGAGAATATTTTGATAAATATGTCGATGACTATCCGATGTATCTTTATAACCACGAACAAAATATTCGATTTCACGCCATAAAAAACGATACGTTTCATCTCTGTCAAATGAAAATTATTAGTTTTGAAACAAAAAAATGTTGACAAATCTTTCATAAGTTTTTAAAATATAAAATCTATTCACTTTTTTGCTTTGTTAGTCACAATTTTTGTTGTATATTGAAAATTATTTGGTACTGGCAATGTTTCACCATTTCGTTCCATATTATCAATATATTTTAGAGCCATTAGACACTTTGAAACATCTTCATCTGATAATTTTTCACGTAATATTAAACTTATTAATAGGTTCATCGGCTAAAATTAAAACCACAAGTAACAAAAAAAACAAATCATATTTATCTTTTATACTGGAGGCATATTGAAAAGAATTGTCTCATTTGCTAATAATGGACATCGACGTGTATGCCGTTCAAGTAGCCGAAGAGCTATGAAAGAAAAAGGATCGGACAATGTTTCTGCTATAGAGTTGATACAAAGCAAAAGAAGTAAAGAATGAACATCAATATTTGACAATAGCTATTAATAAAATTTGATCATATTTTCTTCCTTGAAAGCCTCGAAACTGTCTCATTTCATAGGAGTTACGATGGCGAAGAAAATAATCCAAATGATACCGCTATAATAAATAATTTCAGTCACTGGATTACTACACCGTTAAGTCTTAAAGAAATGATCAATCTGTTCAAAGTGAAAGTCTCTTCGAGAGTTTTTTTTAAACAGGATATTGAAATTCTTTCAATACTAATTTAGTGTGGTTTTAATCAAATAAATAGTATTCTTTTTACAATCTTCAATTGGAATTTTTCCACTTGTCATTGTTTCCAATGGGTAAAGTGTTGTTGTACGTATAACATTGATAAAACTCTTTGTAAACAAAAAGATGAAGTAAAATATAATAAAGTATATGAATAAATAACTTACTTCTACACGTAAATCTTTTTCTAGTGTGTCATCATCAATTTCATCTATTAATTCTTCTAAATCATTTATTGATATATTATCTTTTTCTTGATTAACTATATAAGATGAACCAATTTTACTCATTGGATTATTCGAACCAAAGGCAATAGCATGTATCATTAATTCTTGATTATGTGAGATTATCATATGAGAAAAGAGTCTATTTGTTGTTGATGAAATATCAATGTCAGACGTATTCAAACTTGTCTCATCGCCATATTCATTTATATTTACTACACATTCATTTGGTAAATTTCCAAGTTCAAGTAAAACACATTTACCACTAAGTAAAAAATTAGTTAAACATGCTGATTCACGACTATTGACATCTAATGGCGAAAAACGATAGGCTGAATACGTATCGTAATAATCTTAAAATAGAAGAAAATCAATTGAAGAATCACTGAAAGAAAACAAAGGTTTTAAGATTAGATTTTCGACTTTTCTATCTTATAAAAATACATTATCTTACAATCTGGGTATATTAGAAATAGACGGAAAAATGAATCGAATTCTATATTGAATATTAATATTTATTTCATGTTCTGATTCTAAATTAGATCAACAAATAAGAGAAGAAAATGCATTTTTTATTTTTTATTAGTAGATATTCTAAGCAAACCCTTATTTGATAATTAAACTTTATCTACATTTTAACGAATTCTTCTTGAATTTAATGAATTCTAAAACTGTTCTCATTAATATTGAACTAAGAACGAAAATTAAATTTCAATCTCTATTTTCTATCTGCTTCTATAATATATCTGACATTCTGAGACATTTGTCTATGAATTTTCTAGAAAAAATTACTTTCTGGGTCATAAGAAAATGCACTCCATTTAAGAACGATTGTTTCCACATCATCTTTTATTTGACGCCAATATTTTAATGGTGCTCGTTCACGTAAACTATGATGAACTTCAGCCGGATGAACAATATCAACATCATAATTTAAACTTGAACGTGAAGCAACATCTTCCTAAAATATGTGTAGTGTATAAATTATTTTAAAAACAAAAATAAACTTTTCTTTTTTACTTTCATCGGAATACCAGTTACTGTTGTTAATGCTAAATTATGTTGTTTCAACAACATTTGTAACATTCGCCTAAATAACATCTGACCAGCTTGGGCGTAATAAAGTGAACGATGGAGAATCGAACTTATCTATTTAAACATATTATTATTATTATTTATTTTAAGAATTTTAATTTAAAAAAAAAAATTTATTTACTGAGTGAAATTCAACATTTGATGACGGTACAGATTGATCAAGAGGCCGAACATCAACTAATGTTAAATCACATTTTGTTAATGGAACAAAACTAAAGAATAAATTATGTAGAATTCATTTTAATGTTTTCGAATTAGAATTTTGATTATTACATATTGAAGTAATATATTAAGGCATTCAATCAGATCTTGTCTCTATCTTTTCTGTGTCCAAAAAATACCGATGGAAAAGATGAAAATCGGAACTTTTACCAATGATTAGATGATTAGAAAAAAATTTTCGCAAACAGAACTAAAAATTAACGTTCGATATACTATGATTTTTATCGAATTATGTTGATTGGGACATTTTATTTATGTGCCTTTGAGATTTTCAGTAGCACGAGGAAGAATTTTTTATATTTCAAATATATTCATGTTCTCTTCGCTCTGAAATTCCTATTTTGACTAAAACCGACGTCTGTCAAAAATCGAAATGAAAATTGTTACTTTTAAATATAAATTTAATACACTTACTCAGTCATTTCGAGTGCCATATGATTATGAGATTCATGAAATGTTTGAGCATCTCTTTCAATCGTTTCAATACGTTCACTAAAAATCAAGAAATGATGCACATATTTATTTAAAAACCGATAGAATTTTAATAAACTACTTGTTATAAGTAGAAAAAAGAATAATATGTCCACTATTTGCATAATCTATATCACTTGGGATAATTTGTTTTTTTGATCTTGTACATAAAGCAGTTATTGCTTCATTCAGTGAATGTTTTAAAAGATCATCATCATTGATTAATGGACGTTCATTTGGTGGTTGAATACCAGCAAAAAAATCCATACACTTAATTAAGAGTATTTTTTAAATTTTTGCGAAAGAAAAAGAAACGCTTGTACTTGTGAAAGATTTTTATATCGATTCCACCATGATGATTGATCACGTTGATCAATTCCCGTGACAATCAATGTAATCTGATTGTAACAGACATAAAATGAAATATTGAAAACAAAACAAGATAACAGAACTTACTAATGCATCATCTTCGAAAATATCAAATAAGATTCGACAATATTCAAGAACACATTCGACTACACATGTCCACAATGATTTTATGCCAAGGCTATTCTCATTAGTTATTTGATCGTTTTGTAGTTGATCACTATTTTGAACATTAACATTAAATGTAACACCCGATGGACGAGCAAAAAAACTACTATGATCAAGAATTATTACAGTTTTACTTCTTAGATTATCCATTTAACTAGACAATTGAAATTTGGAAAGCTCTAATTCTGATATATTTACTTTCATTTTCCTATTGGATCTGTTCATAAACCATACATAATCATTATATAGATAAACAAAAATAAATAAAGTTGATTGTAACGCCTATCTTTCGTTCGTAAGATTGCAAATTTTATAATTTTTGAAAAATAGCTGAAGCATAGAAAAATTTTTGATTTACATACTACTATCCATAAACATTAACAACTTCGTAAAAGATTATTTTACAATAACTTGAAATATTTGCTCTTCGTGCGGTTTTATCATCTGTCTTTCTGATTTCGATGAATCTATATTTAATATTCAACATTGCCATTTAGGATTCCGCTATTCCAATGATTCTAATTTTCTAAGACTACTTTAGAAGCATGGAATTTCAATGGCAGCCTTTCAAATTGAACGCAATCTAAGATTTTGCATCACGCATAAATTTGCCATGCTCACCTACAATAATCTAACTTTTCAATATGTATCGCCATGCTGTCTCCAATAATATCCTGTGATAGATGACTCGTTAAGCTTTCTTTTGCACACTAAATGTATAGTTTTAGACAGTAACTCTCTTAGAATATATTTTTTTCCTCGTATGCGGTTGAGAATGATGAAAAATATAGGTCCCAACTAATTCGAGTGAAGAATGCAAAAAAGTTAATATTTGTTTGCAACAAGAGCTGATTATTCTAATGCTATAAAACTCGAAGTAGACTAATCAAAACTTATCCGAAGGCACCAACAGATGCATGTTCTAGATTGAAAACAATCAAAGATCTATGGCGGAAACGAATGCCAATTGAAATATTAATCGTATGGGGATAATTCTTCAGACATGTATATATTTACTTTCTTTCTGTAAGTTTACTTTATTTGTGTTCTTATCTTTATTCTGTATAAAGTAAAGATGCATTCACGGTTAAATAGGATAAAACATATTCGAAGTAAGGAAAATATATATGTTCAGATAGGGTAAAGATTTTTTGTCGAATTATTTTGTTGATGATTTTCTTTTGACAGCTTCATCATGATTTTTAATTAGTTCTCGATATTTTTCTGCTTTAATTGATTTTTCATATTCTTTATGTATTTCCTCGTCATATGAACGTAATTCAATTGTAATTAAATGTTTATTCAAAGAAATTTTTAGTGGTTTCTCCATTAATTTTTCTTTTGTTTGAATTGTATCACAATCAATAATAAATTGATTTTGAATATCATTTGAATTTAATATACAACTCAATGGAATGAATTCAATTGATAATATTTGATCTTTTCTATCGAAGTTTTCATTTATGGAAACCACTTTTAATTGATCATAGAGACAGTCAAGCAAACGTTGATGATTCATGTTCACAGATGAGTCTATTGGAAGAATAGCTAATAATGCATTTGGGTTTTTCTCTGGTGGTCCATCAAAATACCAAATTTTACGATGATTTAAACGTTTCTTTAAATTTTGATACGTTTCAAGTTTCATTTGACCATTTTCATTGATTTCGTCATGTGGCATATCATAATTAACACCACCAGGAAAATAGCTACAGAAAAACAAGAATAATAATCCGCAGATTTGTTACAACTAGAAAATGATCTAACCTTATGTCTAATACATTTGCTTTAATATCTTCTAAAAGTTTGTCTTGAACAAGTTCGATAATTAATTCTGATTTACGTAATGGATCTGTTTGAGTAATAAGTGTTAAAAAACAATCATTATATTCGCGTGGTATTGTTGTTAGTAATGTATCATTATCTATTTGTTTAATAACAAAACGAATTGGATTATCAAGTTTAACTAGTTCAGCTTGATGTGCTCGAACTTTATCAGCATATTGTTCAAGAATTCTTTCGATATTAATTACTTGAGTTTTTGTTACAACGGAAGAATCGAAAACTTGACAATATTAATTAAATTGATAATTGATTCAATATGAAAAGATATTAACTTACAAATTTTTGGTTTATATTCAATAAATTTAGTTTGTAATTCTTGATTAATTTCTTCTGATGTTAGCTTTCGATTTGATTTTCTCATTCGACGAAAATATTCCATCAGATGTTCAACATCATCTTCTGATAAATCCTTATAAAAAGTTTTCGATGGACGTATTGTGCCCAAAATAAGTAAACGTCTTGCATATTCATTTAATAAACTATTTCTTTGTTCAATATTTGTATTTTCTTCATCATTATTATTCTGATATTCTAAATCTGATGTTGATGATGAATTATTTTCTTCAGCAAGCGTTACTTGTGTTGAGTATGCTTTTATTTGTTTATGTTTTGATTCAGTTTCAAGTTGATTAACATCATGTATTGATGTTGCTGCTTCATTGTGAATCATAGGATTAAGACGACTTGTGGGTATTTGAAGAAAATCAGTACGTTGTGATGATCGGGGTGTTGGTGTACCTTTTAAAAATGTAATTATTATAATTTACATTTCAATTATTTAATTAAATTTGAAAAATAAGAAAAATTTGCATGTAACTAATAACTAGATAAAAGTCATACTTCTACGAGTCAATCTTACCATTTCCATTTTTCACTGAACTTCGTCGACGAACATTGAGGTTTGATGGTGATGGCGAGTTATTATCATCGTTATCTCTTTTTCCAGAAGAAGAACGTCGATCATCTTTAGATTTTTGTCGTTTTGATTCGATTGCAGATGTTTTATTAAGAGAAATAAGACCAGCAACGTTTGCTACTGTGGTATCTGGACTACCACCAGACGATTGTTGTTGTTGTGCTTGTTGCTGACGTAATTGATTATCAACAACGGATAGAATTCGAGATTGACTGGCTGTTGGCATGAATGATCTGGTTATTAGAAGCAGAAATTCTATTTTATTTAGTTCTGCATAAACTTAGCTTTCTGACAGTACCACAATTCTTTCTCTATTGATAAAAAACATAAAGCAATAATTAAAATTATGAGAATGACTAATTGGAAAGTATCTATCGAACAAGGAAATCATAAATATTTTAATAATCGTCTATTGATGATTAAATAACTTTCAAATTATACTTATATTTTTAGAATAAGATTACAATTCTAATAAATATTATGTTTTCAATAGTTTTATTATTTTGTTAAATAGAAAATTAATCTTGATATCTAATATATTGAAATTGAATTCATCAATAATTAAATTTGAACAATAAATCGTGATACGATACAGAAAAATGAAATACGTTTGCATTGGTCATATGGATAAATTAGGCAAATACTACTATAAAATATCATTGTTGGTGTCATTGTTCATAATTTTCTCCACATATATGCACGAAAAAGAGCATATTTTCAGTTCATAAAAATAATATGAACTGAAATAAAATTAAAAATCTGATATAAAATGTATGGAGTGATAAAATAATGTATCGAATTCAACTTTCTTACATTGGTTATATCAGATCTCAATATTTATTTTATCAGCTTGATGAAATCAGTTTCAGCTCTTTCTAAAAAACGATTTGATTTGCTTACCGTTTTTCTCTTTTGAGGTCTCAGTTCATTTTTAAAATAATGTTTATAAAAAAGCAAATTCAAATGTACAAATGAAAACTATGGTCCTGTCTGCCACAATAAAAAAAAAGAAAAAGAAAAAGAGAACACTGTTGAATAAAATAATATTGTTGTCGATGAAAATTCAACAATTTAAAAAAAATGAAATTAACCTTACTATATAATTGTTACTTTTATACAGAACACTCACAATTGAAGTTTCTAATAACAAATAAAGTGTAAACGTACATCAGTTTCTCTATCATTTGTATTTACTGTTGTCAAAATAGTAAAGAAAAAGTAAAATACCAACGATGTCGAGTGCAGACACTGATACAACATTGTATATTCGTAGAAAACATTCACCTCCCCCTAGTGTTCTTTTATTAACAAAACCAAATGATAATAATTATGATTATAGTAGTATTATTTCAAATGGCACTCATCAGCCAACAAATATTATTGATTTACATGTTAAGAATTCGGATGTTCAAGACACGTCAAATTTATCATTTACTTGGCAACGATATTCTAAGAAAAGTGGTCGAATAAGTCTTGCACCAGATGTTGCATATCGAAATAGATATTTAGACGAAATAGAACGAGAAAAATTCAACATCAATAATGGAAATAATCAATGCTATTCAATATCATCTCGTAGTCAAAAATCATTTCAATCGGAATTCACAGATGCATTTTTAGATCACAAATTAAAATCATTAGAACAACAGAATAGTTCTTATAAATATTCAACAATATATGATTATCTTCGTGCTTCTATTCGAGATAATGAACAACGTCGAAATTCGGCACAGCAAAATCTTTCTCTACGTGTAAAACGTTCACAAAATGAGGATTACACTTTACGACGCGCATTAGCAAATAGAAAATCTTCAATAAGAATATCAACATCGAGAAGCAGTTCGACTACAACGCAATCAATATCAACGTATCAGAATAAAAACATTAAAAGTCCGCAAAGTTTTGTTAACTACATAAACTATTCTCGTGTAGCTAATTCAATTAAATCAAATCAAACATGATTAGTAAACTTCAATAAACATCGCTGGTTAAATGATCAATTTAATTGAGATTTTTTATTAGAAATAAATAGAAAATTGCAGCAGCAAATTAATCTGAGTAATAGTTTTTTCAAGTCAATGTTACAAATCGATTGAGGTTTAGAACAAGATTTTATATAAAATTCAATGAAATTTTATTTAAAAGATTTCTATCGAGAATCATTATTCGAAACTACCTAAAAATATGTTAAAATGATTGTTAGTAAAGAAATAATTGGATTCTTTTTCATAACGTTATTTGAGATTTAATACGCCATAACAATCGTTTATTGGGTGGGTGTCCGTAAATAGAAAAATAACTACATTAGGTACACCCACACCCACATCATCACTAAAACAGGTTAACTCAAACATGTTTCTTGTCATGAGAACTTATTATTAACGGAAGACAAGCATTTTGTTGTGCTTACTACGTAATTCTTACAATGTTTTGCTTCTCTCACTCTCCTTTTGTTGGAGTGACATAATGAGTAAAGAAATTGAAATATCAAACAAAAAGAAAACTGAGAAGGTACAAGAAAGAGTTAGTTAAAAAAAGCAAGAAATAAAAAGTCTCTAACAATGGTATTTTTGTTTTCACTTAAACTTCCGTAGTAGCCACTGTAATCATCATAATCATAAATGATTGACTATAAGACTGTCACCGTTTGTACATAGACGCTATTCTCTATATCTTTTGTCATTGAGACTTAAGTTTCTTTCAAAAGATTCGTTATTCAACTCTCTGAGAAACCTTGTGATAAGCTTTGTTTTAAAGTGCCGCACTGAAGAGTCACAGGGAGACGATTTGATTAGACGAAATAGGTGCATTTTGTAACGTTTTTGTTTTGTGTTTTTATTCTCAAAAAATAAATGCACTTTGTAGCTCTCGAGAATTCTCATCTCTTGCTGGTATCTTGAATTGTGTCTCCCTTGAATCACATTTGAAAAAGGCAAAATTTCTTTCGTCAAGCTTTCTGAGCTCTCTTGAAGAACATATATGCGCAACTCTTGGAGCTTATGGTTTGGAATCAAAATCTTACTCTGCACCACTGTTTGATTTTCGCTCTAGTCGAAGAAAAATGATTATTCGATTTGCTTTAATAGGTAAAATAGGAGCATATTATAATTATTTGACTTCGAATGTGTGTAAAGATAAAAATATTCGGACCTCGAAGTTTATATTAGAAAAAATCTAACATTTTTTTACAATAAAATATTACTCGATGAAAAACTCGTTTCTCCCCAATTCGATATGTGTTAGAAAAAAGAACATAATTGATTCTTATTTTAATTTACCAATCAGTTGATAAGAGTTCAATTTATTTATGATTATTGAAAGTCATAATTACTATGCATGAAAATGTTTCAAATCAAATATTCTACTAGTAAACCAAAACTATTTCAAAGACTAGACATAAGATCTTTGATAGTTGACACAATATCCATTCAAATCTTGAGAAAAAAAAACAATAAAGATTTTAGATTTTATTTCGAGTCCGATCACAAGTTTAAAGTTTTCATAGCTCTTTTTAAGGTAGTTCAGCTTTAATCATTACTTTTTACATTTTTCAGTGGTGAGTAGATTTTCTTCGCCCTCTTTCAAAGTAGATGTCAGTATTTTTCAATTGCTATCTTTTTTGAAATGGTTCCGCATCAAGTTTTGTAGTTGTGAATGATAAAACGATTCTTTCTTTTAGTACAGTCCAATACATTTCAAATCACGATCATTAACCTTAACATAACATCTTAGTCTTAGTTGCTAACGATGACTAACCTTTACATCAAAGTGCATGACTGTGTTATCATTATTATTCTTCCTGAGATACTAAAATAATTTTCTTTCTGATTTAGTCTTTTTTCAAAATAAAATGAGACGAATAAAATCGAATTTGCAATAAAAAAATCGCCATTGTTCTTATCATCTTACCTCATCAAAGGATACAATCAGTTATTTTTTCGTGCATTAACTCAATTTCTTTTCGCCGTCTTGTATTCATGAACAGGTAATTCATTTATATCTCTCTTTTTAGATTTCTTAGTTGTAAAATCATGCAAGGCATTCGATGTGCCTGTCGACGAGCTGGAAGTGTAGCACAGCTGGTAATCGGTAAACAACGTAATACATTTGCTAATCCGAGATGGTCAAGACTTACTTATCAACCAGTGGCTGATTTTCACAGTAAATTCCCTGCCTGTAAAAACGGATCGTTTCTTAAATATTTCTGTTTCGTGAATAGTAGTTGGCAAGCGTAATGCTGCATCTCAAGCAACACAACAGAAGTCTGCTGAAAATAAACAAACCCTAAGTGGCCAACAAGCAGTTAAAGGTGCTAAAGGTCGTGTTGTATCTGTCATTGGTGCCGTTGTTGATGTACAATTTGATGAACAACTACCACCAATTCTTAATGCACTTCAAGTTGATGGTCGTCAACCTAAACTAATTCTTGAAGTAGCTCAACATTTAGGTACGATGGCAGCCAATACTTATTTGTTATAATTTGCTATTACTTTTTTCAAAGGTGATAATACTGTTCGAACGATTGCTATGGATGGTACAGAAGGTCTTGTACGTGGACAACCAGTTACAGATATTGGCACACCAATTAAAATTCCAGTTGGTGCAGCAACATTAGGTCGAATTATTAATGTTATTGGTGATCCAATTGATGAACGCGGGCCAGTGAATGCTGAAGATTATGCACCCATTCATGCTGATGCACCACCATTTACTGATATGAATGTTGAACAACAAATTCTTGAAACTGGCATTAAAGTTGTCGATTTATTGGCTCCATATGCGAAAGGTGGTAAAATTGGTCTTTTTGGTGGTGCTGGTGTAGGTAAAACTGTCTTGGTGATGGAGTTAATTTACAATGTTGCTACGTCACATGGTGGTTATTCAGTATTTGCTGGTGTTGGTGAACGTACACGTGAAGGAAATGATTTATATCATGAAATGATAACAACTAAAGTTATTGATCTTAAAGGAAAAGGTTCAAAAGTATCACTTGTCTATGGACAAATGAATGAACCACCTGGTGCACGTGCTCGTGTTGCTTTAACTGGTTTAACTGTAGCTGAAAATTTTCGAGACAAAGAAGGAAAAGATGTGCTTCTTTTTATTGATAATATCTTTCGTTTTACACAAGCTGGTTCAGAAGTAAAATATTTTTTATTTATCATTGAATTTCATATGTTTTCTTTAAAATTCAGGTATCAGCTTTATTGGGTCGTATTCCATCAGCTGTTGGTTATCAACCAACTTTAGCCACTGATATGGGTACTATGCAAGAACGTATTACTACAACTAAAAAAGGTTCAATTACTTCGGTACAAGTATGTCGAGAAAAAAATATTCATTTTCTTTATTTTATTAAAAATTATCCTTTCTTTCTTTCTTTTTCTAGGCTATTTATGTACCTGCTGATGATTTAACAGATCCAGCTCCAGCTACAACATTCGCTCATTTAGATGCAACAACTGTTTTATCTCGTGGTATTGCTGAATTAGGTATTTATCCAGCTGTCGATCCATTAGATTCAACGTCACGTATTCTTGATCCAAATATTGTTGGCGAAGAACATTATTCAGTTGCACGCAGTATTCAAAAAACGTTACAAGTAAGATATAAACAACAAATTATAGAAGATATTCAGAGGCACACGCTAGAGCTTGTTTATTCTAATAAAATAATTCTACAGGTGTAGCCGTTGTGCAAAATTAATGTATGCAAACAACGGTAAAACTATGTTTCATTTAGATTTTTAAAATTTTATTTAAATAAAAAAAAATAAGAAAAGATTTTATCGACAATTTATTTCTGTTTAATTCTAGGATTATAAATCGTTACAAGATATTATTGCTATTTTGGGTATGGATGAATTGTCTGATGATGATAAATTAACTGTTGCTCGTGCTCGTAAAATTCAACGTTTTCTTTCACAACCTTTTCAAGTTAGTTTACATTATTATTTAGATCTCTTTTATTTTTTAATATTTTTATTTTAAAGGTTGCTGAAGTATTCACTGGTACGCCAGGTAAATTAGTACCACTTAAAGAAACAATCAAAGGATTTAAAATGGTGTTGAATGGTAAGAAATTCAATTTGTTAAATGATGGATTAACTAATTATTTTATTTTGAATAGGTGAATTAGATCATTTACCCGAAGGAGCTTTCTACATGGTCGGTGGTATTGAAGATGTTTCTGCTCGTGCTGAAAAACTTGCATCAGAACGTTAGGGAAAATCATTTCTATAAACGATTATAGACCGACCAAGTGTTCTTAGTATATGTCTCTTCGTTTTTTCGAGTATTTCTCTCTTTCTCTGTATGTTCTAACTATGTAATCCTATAGACTATTATTAGAAGAGTAACAAATTTTGTCCATGCTCTTTCTTTTTCTTTTTTTATGTTGACACTTGGATAATGAGAGAGAAATACATAAGCCATCATAATATTTCCGTTCATTTTTTTTTCTATCTCAAATAAAAAATAGAATCAATTGTGCTATACGTGCACTAATTTAGCTTTCTTCTGTTGTCTTCTGATGTAATGATTAAAAATTGTAATTTAACATAAAAGAATACAATGTCTTTTTAAAATTATTTAACTCAAAAAAGATTCAATTACTCATAATGATACGAGATATTTTACTCCATCAGTTTTCAATTTGCATTTTAAATATTTTTTTGTGACGAGCTATGCTTTTATTGATCAAATAAACAAGAAAAAATAAAGTATCTGAACAACTAATTAATGAGCTACAGAAATATGATAATTACCTATCCTATATAATTGTAGTTGTCAACATAATTATTTAATAAAAAATAAATAAATCTATCATGTTTCGACAATATTAGCCGGTGACGATGGCTCATCGCAACCAGTTTGTAAAATAATACGAGGTTCTATCGAATATTCATATTGTATTTGCATTGATCTATTGTTGTTGAAGATCTATCAGTAAAAGGTTATGATCTTTCGAAAGTTAAATATTTATGTTCCTTTGATAGAGTTTGATCCATGGATGAATTATTACTCAGTGCTATAATTGTGGACGAAGACTTATTATTAGAACAATGTAAGGAGGTTGTAGCTCGAGTTCGATTAGTTAGTCGACATGAAATGTTATTTTTTTTGTCCTAATTTGTCATCTACTTCTAGTAATGATGTTGAATTACATGATTGAAGACAAGAAGAATTTTTGATAATAAACAATTACGAGTTTTATTTCTTGTTGAATGATTTTCATGACTTGTTTTAGGCGTTAAATGGTCATGATGACTTGATGATTGACTTGTTAATGTCGTACGATAAAATGATGTTCGATGTGTTCGAATTGAACGATCTGTATCATCATCATCATCACCATCCCCACCGTCATCAAATAGAACTGTTTATCATATTTCATTTCATAATCATTTGCTTGAGTCAATTGAAATCTGCGCGGAAAACATTCACTCATTAATCGACGAATTTCGAGAAGCTACGTTTGGCCACTATAAATTATTTAAGAAAAAAGAATTGAAAAAGAGCAAATATTGTCAAATGAATATTTTCTTACCTCGTTATAGTAAAAAGAATATGTAAAGAATAATTAGGCATTTCAAGAACTCTAAATATAGTATTTAGATTGACATAGATATGCAATCGCATAATTGGTGTTTTTCTTATATTAGTTGTAAATGCATTAATCATTGTTAGAACATATCGTGGTGAAATAGTTATAATAACAAAAAATGATGAAAGTACAAGTTGAATCGTTTTTTCTTTAAATTGGTTTTTACGTTTAATAACATCTTTTGCATCGATTGAATCAATTTTAGCTAAAATAATTCTTTGTGTTGATGAACTACATAATATTAACCAATTAAGAGTCAATAGTAGAATTGATGGTATGATTGAATGGAAAAAAACCTGTATTAAATGTAAAATAATGTTTTTTCCATTGATCATGTGGTGATCGTTCAATTCGTCGCATATGTAGGAGAGGATACATTAATTGAATTAAGATATTTAGTGTAGAATGTTATTTAATTAATCATGTAAATTGTATACGCTATTATTGAATTATTGGATATACATGAGGAATATAAGATGCGCTTCGAAAAACGCAATAATTTACTTATGAAAAGATTTCGTAAAGAATTTCCTCTTAAAATACAAAGAGTCTGATGATAAGTAGGATTCCAGTCCTTTAAGGCGATAAATTCTGATGAAATCCTCACCTAAAAAAGAAATCAATGAAAGCAAATTTCACTTTTTTTTAAGTATATAATTCGTTCAGTACTGTCTGGGACAGTTTTCTCTGATACGTAAAGATGCTCGGTTAGTGGATAAAGTGGTTCAAACATTTTCAAAATAGGCTTCACGTTTATGCTCCGTAGATTGAAATTTGAAATAATTATTGGATGGAGGAATAAATTTTTCAAACCCTCATAAGAATTAGAATTGAAAGTTTAAAATTAAAATTAAAATTATTGAAATTAAAATTGGAAAGAATTTTAAGAAAAGATGATCAAGGTTGGTTTAGATTTCATTGAGAGTATTTCAAATTATTTTTTTTACATTTTCTACAAATAGAAGTAGTGTTTCATCTACAAATTGTGTTAAGAAATAAATGTTGTCGATTATCTCTGGAATACAGAAGATTGAATTTCAGGAATCATGTAGGATTTGTTGAAGAATTTTGATTTTTATCAACACATGTGTAACTCAAATACTAGATTTTCTTATTTTTCTAATGTGTTACTGCTTTAAGTCATATTTTTTTCCAAATAATGATAACTAATTTGCATCATTATGAATTATTGAATAAATTAAGACATTATTTCTATATTTCACATTTTTTCGGTTTTTGTGAGGCTTATAACTTTTGAAGAAACTGTCGTAGAGAGCTGGGAGACGTTTCATTTTGTAGAGTATCGGTCACTCCATCATTCTACACTGTTAGAACAAAAAATATTTAACGGTTTTTGGGTGACAAAAAAATAGGGTTTTGGTTTTTTGGAGACCCTAGATTTGAGAATTTTACTAGAATTTTTATTTTGCTAGATTCCTATTGGAAACAATTTTCTCTACTCAAATCACTATTTGGAATCTGTCTAATGATTCAGGGAGCGGAAAAAATTGAAAATAAACTTTGTTGGATAATTTTGGGAGCACTGTAAATGCAAAATAGCTCCATCTACTGAACATATGCATCTCGATCAATCGCTTGTATCGTGAAAATCATCCAATGATATTTACTTTTTTATCCATGATTTTTTTTGATTTTTTGTCCAAAATGATTTTTAAAAAGGCTAAGCCTTTGGAGTCAAACACTAGAAAAAATAAAATTGAATTAAGAAATGCGATTGGTTAATTCAGATTTAAGTCATCTTTTTGAGGTGAATTAGTGGTTAATTCAGTTTTTATTTTTCTAGTGTGTTTGACTCTTTTGTCATTGTCAAGAATGAATTTGCTCTCAAAGTGGAAGAAGAAAAAATCTTTTTCGTTTGTTATTCATTATGAATTGATAAGAATAGTATAACCATTCAAAAAACTAATCAACGACCTAGATATTGGTTCAGTTAATAATACTAACTATTGTCGTTTCTTTTATAAAACAACAAAATATAAGATTTTTGTCATTATCATGTTTTCTTTTTATCTAGTTTTCTATAACAGTGAAATATGTATTCTTTTTAATCTTTTTCTCCATCTATTTGCGTTAACCAAATTAAAATTGATTTATTTCCATTGTAATATATTTATATATCTAGTTTAGAATCATGAATAGTAATGATGATATTGTTGAATCTGATGAGCGTAAGTAAAACTTTCTTTTTCGACTTTCTTATATTTGAATTTATTTTTAGATGACGACGAAGAACAGATTGACGATAGAGAAGTCGAATCGGAAGTAGAACATAATGAACAAGAAGAAGAAAATGATATCAGTGATCAAGAAGGATCAAATCAAAATAATAACGAAGGAGATGATGATGATGATGATGACAATAATAGTTCAACTCATCAAGACCAAGAAGAAAATGAAACAAGAGGTAAAATCAGAAAAAACTAAATCTTTGTTGCGAATCATTTTATTGTATCTAAACAGTGTCAAGTTAATTCTATGATGAATATTCAGTTGAACTACAGCAGACTTTGTTAATCTGTTTACTTTTCCAAACATATCGAAATAGGATTTGATTCATCAACAAGATAATTTAAAGAATAAAAGAAATTGTCATCTATGACAGATTCTTTTTGAGTTTTACTTTGTTAAAAATGGTCTCTGAAAAATGAGTTTGGCAAGTTCTATTTAAAAAATTGTTTTGTATAGAAAGTTAATTGTAAAAAAAGCTTCTCGTGAGACTACTTGTCAAAACATATTATTTCATCGACTTAAGCTATTTCTTCAATTTGCTTTTCAAGCTTTTAGTTTTAAGGACAAAAGTGTTTAAGTTCTAAGCTTGCGATGATCATCCTCTGCCATGTACAAGAAAAATACGTTCTTATTTGTGATTTGTTGAGATTAAGAATAAATATTTAATTTCAGGTGCAGTTGATCCAACAAATCCATTAGACGAAGATTCGATTGAAGCTGGTAAATTAAAATAAGACAGATGGAAAAGCATATTTAAGTAATTTACAAAAATTAATTTTAGCTCAAAATCTAACGCAAGAAGATGTTTTTGGTGAAGAACTGAGTGATCTAAGTGAAGATGAAGATGGTCTACGAAGAAAAAAACAAAATAATAATAATTTAAATGGTAGTCAGGTAAATAATCGAGTCCCTTTATGTTTAATTAGTTCAATAAAAGCAAACGACATTTCAATTAGGATGGCCATGAAGACGATGAAGATGAATTAATCGAAGAGCACGAAGAAGAAGAACAGATTTTAGTTGATACACCACATGTAACATGTGATCTTGGTCGTGATATTCACCTTGTTAAGCTACCAAGTTTTATGAAAGTTGAACCAAAGTATTTTCTTTTTCCTATTTTGTACTAACTATATTCTAATGAATATTTAGACCGTTTGATACTCAATATTTCAATGAAGATGTCCGCGACGAAGATGATGAAGAAAGCAAAGCAAGAAAGAAATTACGAGTAAGACAGCCACTATTTCTTCTATTGATTGTTATCTGATATTAAAAATAATGTTCTTAGCTTGAAAATACGATTCGTTGGCGTTATAATACAAATGATAGTGGTGAAACAATACGTGAAAGTAATACAAGATTAGTACGTTGGTCAGATGGAAGGTAGTTTTTATTTAATTCTATTAAATAATTTAATCGATGAAAAACGATAACTAATTATTTAAGTTTATCTTTACATGTTGGCAAAGAAATTTTTGACGTATCAAAAGCAAATATTCAAAGCGATCATAATCATTTATTTGTTCGTCATCAAAAAAGTATGCAAGCACAAGCTGTTTTTCGTACAAAACTATCATTTCGGTAAAAATTCTTTATGCTGCTTTTCTTTATAAAAAATAAAAATTCTTTTTTTAAGACAACATTCAAATGATTCATTAGCACATTTAAAACTAAAATTTGCAAGTAAAGCTAATCCAGCACCTAAAGTTCGTGTACTTTCAAATATAAAAGAACACATTAAGATTAGTGATGAAATGAGAAAGGTTGGTTTTTACTTTTAATATTTTTCCCTTTTCAATGAATGTTTTCTTTCAAGAAAGAAGAACAACGAGTAAAAGCAGAAGAACGTCGACAGAATCAACAATTACGACAGCGTGAACGAGCCGCTTATAGAGATCGAAAAATGTCAGCAAGCTATCTGGAAGATCGAGATGAAGATGATGAAGAGAATGAGCAAGAATCCTTGAATACGATTAAAAAAAATGTTAAGAAGAAAAAATTACAAGGTTATTTTTCATTTTCTTTTCGATTTAAAAAAAAACTAATTCCCTAAATTAAGGTGGATATCAAGCTGAAGATACAAGTGAAGATGAAAATGACAATGATCATGATGAAAAAGTTAATCATCAACGATCATCAACGTCATTGAAACATCGAAAAATAGATTCGTCAGATGAAGAAAATTCAAATAATGAACAACAAACAAAACGAAAACGTATTAAATCTGTTGGCGATGATGATGAAGAAGACGAACATGAATCAGATTGATAGTTCATTTTTTATACTCAGAAAAAAAAAATTAGAAAACCTTTGTAAAATTCTAGCATGATACATAAATATTAAATAAATAAACTCGATTAGCCATTATATTTTGTGTTATAAAATCAGTATCAAAAAATAATCAACAAATATTTGTAATCATTATTACATTTTCATGTAGCTTGATAATTTCCTTTATCTAATAAATGTTGATATGCATTCATTCCAACTTCTCGAATAGTTCTTGTCGTTTAACGTAAATTATCAAAACCACCATGTCGAGGAGCTTATCGAGAATTTTTAATTTGTACACGTCCTTCATATTTATTTTTATCATATGGTTTTTGGTCTTTTATTTTATTTCTCGAAGCAGAAAAATGAAATTATAATAATCACAAGTATATTGAAAAATACAAGACAAAACAATATAATATCACAAAATTAGCACGATTATTTTTAATTACGAAAGAAATTCATTGCTTATTTAACATCAGACCACAACAAAGAAAGAAACGAATTATTGGAAATTACATATTGGTAGAAAAATAAGATTAACAAAACTATAATTTGTGCATAAATACTAGTCATCATTTCTATGATAGATAGCTAAACAGTTTTATTGACTTCTTCTAATAAATTCGCTTGTTCAGATGTCATTTCAACAGATTCAAAGCGACCAGATTCATTAATTATTGTTTCATTAGAATTTTCAATACTTTTTACTATTTTTTCTTGTGATTCATTATCATCAGTTGACGAAGATGATGATGATGCAGTTGAAAGTGATGTTACTGATGAAATCATTTCAGGACTTGAGGTTGTTTTAATTTCAGTAGATATTTGATTATTATTTGATGTCAATCGACGAACAACTTCATATTGATCATCATCAGTATTTGTAGTTGTTGTTGAATGACTTGAACGACGTGAAAATTGATCAGGTGAACAAGTAAAATCATCGGAATTTTTCATTTGATTTACATTTTCGATCATTAAATTTGATGACTAAGAAATTAAATTTATATTTTAAAAATAGAAATACAAAGAAAATACTAACGTCGATTGGACGCATTTGTCTAAAAACAAAATATTCATTGAGGTTGAATAGAATTGGCATAGTGCAAAAAATGAAAGATAAAATCTCAGAAAGAACAATTTATTGTTTAATTATTTTACTCTTCTGCAAAGAAATAGATAATATTCGATAAAGGAGTGTCTCTACTAAGTGTTTGATAGAAATGGACTTTAAAATTAATATTATTTACTTACGTATCGATATCTTGATTTTGAGCATTGTTTGATGTTGTTAACGAATTTGGTTTTACATTAGAAAAATTAAAAATATTTGTTTCTGTTGTTATCATTGCTGATTGTTGAGACTTTTTACGTTTAATATCTTCTTCATTTCGAGCTGCTCGTCTATTTAGAAAATAAAATAAAAGAGTTCATAGAATAATATTGAAATTTCGAACGAACAATTCGAGTTGAAGTTCAAGTATTATATTTTCCATTAGCATAATTTCATTTTCACGCTCATTTTTTAATATTTCGAAACAACTTTTCCATTGTTCTAATTCACGATCACGATCTTTTAAAAGTTCTTCAAAATATTTCTAAAGGACAAAATTCATTTTAAATTATTTGTACAAATTCGTTATTATGAAATAGGATTTTATGAGATGATTCATAGCTTATGAATCTTATTATTTTGATGTAACTGTGAATATGTTTACAATCGATAAAATAGTATTTAAGTCCTTTCAAAAAGTTAAAAACTAAACTTACACGTTGTTCAATTTCAAGTTTATGTTTATCTAATGGAATCATTTCACATTCAGTTAAACTCAATGGTTTAAGTTCATTAACAGCTGCCAATCTTAGAATGAATTGTTCATTTTCTTCATCACTGCTTTGATCTTTGGGCAATTTTGTAATGCTATTTATAAGAAATGTTTTTGGGTTTTGTTTAAATTAAATACAATTTTCAACTAAACGTTCTTAGTAGTTTTACCTTTTTGGATTATAAAATAAAAATGGTGTTAAATCAATAACATCAATGTCGGAATCATTAAAAACTGAAGGATTTAGAATTGAACCATCTTGTTTAAAACAGAAACTTTACATTATTAAATAAAAAATAAATAAATACAAATAATTTCTATGAATTAAATAGAATACCTAAAATCAAGAGCATTTAAACCAGCTAATTGATCACATAAAATAAACGCTTGTGATGATGCCATTAGTGAATCATCATGATAAAATTTCCTGAAAAACAACAACAACATTGTTTTCTTAATCAAAATTTTTGCTACTTATACCGAACAAGATTTAAATCAGATATCATAAGTTTTAACAGTTCAGAAAGTATTTTCTCCATTAATGCTAATTGAATCCATGTTCGACCCTAAAAACAAGAAATAAAACGAATACTCTTCGCTGCCTTTTACTTCCTTATATTTTTATTGAGAAGATCTTTCATTGAATTTCTCCACTATTTTAATAAAAATAGATTACCTTATATTTAATAGATTTTGTTCTTGATAGTTCTTCAACTCGTTCAATAACTAAAAGATTGAAATACATATATACGAAAAAAGTGAATTAATTTCTCCAGTAACCATTTTTTCTAGAGGAACCAATACATGCTGGTCGAATAAAATCCCAAAAATATCGACGTTCCGATAGCCAGCTAGCTATTAAAATGAATAAATAGAAATATTTTGAAACCGTGATTTATAAATCAATTAACCTTTCAGACGAAAATTCAAAATACGTTCAAGTGTTAAAATAAAATTTGTTACATCATTATTACGATCATCAAATACAGATAATTCTGTTGATGATGAATGATCAATTAATGTATTTAATGTCAATCTATAGGCAACTACTCATGTAGACTTTTATTCTCTTTAAAACATCTTTGAACTTACTTAATTAAGGATAATAAATTGTTATTTTCTCTTTCTGTATTAATACTTTCATTAGAAAACATTTTTATCTAAAAAAAACATCTTTTTTTTTGTCTTATTTGTATTAATACACATTCACACAAACAGACGATATACTGGCTGGGATGATGATGATTTTATATAGGTGAGAACAATGATAATAATAAACACAAAAAAGAACCAACACACTTTTCTTTGCTTGAACACTGAACAGAACAAAAAATCGAGTGCATAACAATAAAACAACAGTTGAAAAAGAAAAACATTGAACGACACCGAGCACAATAAGAAGAAAAAGAAGAAGAAAAAACAGCCACACTACAAGCAAAAAATAATCCTAGATGTGAAATATAATATGTACAAAAACCATAATATATAAATGTATATCTATATTCATATTTATATGCACACAAACACAAATTACTATTTGTATCTGCTGCTTTAGAGAGGAAAAAACAAATGTTCAAGATCTTATGCGTTCAAGAGCTGTTCTTAAGGTTAATTCGTGTGTATCATACGATAAAGGATTGTTTGATAGATTATTTGGCATTATACCAAATTCAAATGCCATTTGAGTTTGAATATCTAAACAAAACAAAAGCAACGTTTCATAAAAACCGTGCAGTTCTTATTTCTGGTTACAAGTTCAAAGAGATATTTTCAGTGTAGTTGGTTATCTTAGTTTATGAATAACTCGACATAGAACTTGTTATAGCATTTAAAGATCAGGATGATCCAAATTTTGAAACTTTGACGGGCAGAAAGACATGAATAGGGTGTGAGTTTTCTTTTATACTGACACACCCACGCACACAATATGTTTTCATGTATTTAATCTAGTAAAATAAAATAATTACTTTGATGTTCAATAAGAATATTTTGAATTTTATTGTCAACAAGAGACATTAAATGTTCATAACGATTTTGAATCAAAAAACGAATTTGTCGAGTTTGCTCATCGTCAGATAAATGACACAGAAAAATATTCATTTGATCATTCAGTTTATTTGTTTTAATTGGACTCGTTGCTATTAATTCAATAGATAAACATGATGAACCTTTAAAAATAAAAATAAAAATAGAATCTAATTTCTAAATTAATTTAATAATCATTTACTTGATATAGATGAACAAACAGAATCCAAAATATGATTTATTGTTTCAGCAATAGATTCCAAATATATTTTTTTATTTTCTCTTTCTTGAATTTTTGCCATTAATTCATCTGACTTAATATTGGCATAATCGTATAATTCTATTAAATTATCACATCTATTGACAATCAGAAAAGAAAAGAAAATACTAAATAGAATTATTTTTTCAATTATTTAATTTATGTAACCTTAAAAAATGTTGTAATGATCTTAGTGTTGGTGTATACTGTAGTTTTAATTCAATAATTTGTTCTCTTAAATTCCATAAACGACGAGAATATGATAAAAAAAGAGAAATTTTTTCCGGGTTAATTGATGCGTTTAAAAATAATGTTGTAGTTTCATCATCCAACATCGATGAAATAGACCATTGTAGTGTACATTCATCTATTAGAGAAATTTTATTCGAGTAAATAAATAAATAAATCTTACTTTCAACTTTTGTGCAAATATTACATTTAAAAAATGCTGGAATACAGCTTGTTGTGACACCAACACATGTACAATGAGACCAACACAAACATGATTCACACTAAAGTTGTTTAAGAAAATTTTCAATAAAAATATTCTTACAAAAACATTTAAATATTATTTAAATAAGAAATAGTAAGTTTCTACTAGCGAACAAATAAGATATTTGCCTAAGAAAAAACTTAAGAAATACGATTCAAGTTGATTATCTATGAAATGTTTATTGGACCACTTTAAATATTTGAAAAGCAAAGTTATTCTTACTTGAATCATAAAGCCATTATCAACTTGTAAATTACATAAACAATGAATGACTTCATAAAGATCACGTTCTTTTGGTAGAAAAGACATTTGTTGTATAAGATTCGAGTTAATTAAATTATTATTTGGAGATAATAATTCTTCAATTGATTCTTGTTCGACTATTTTTGAAGATAAACACGTTAATGGGCTAGAAGGTGATAATAATATTTGTTGATCATTAATTAATAAAGATTCATTTTCATTTTTAATATTAATAATTGATGATCGTTTCATTTTTATATTTCGATTTTTCTCACGGATATTATTTAAACGTTTAGTTTTTGTTAAAATTTCATTTTTATTTAAATTTTTATACAAAACATTCTTTAAACATAATTTAATATGTGTTTTTATTTCACGTGGAATTAATTGAAATAGATAAATAAAATTGTTTTTATGGAATAAATCAAAAATTTTTTCCAATACATTTGATATTAAATTTAAGCGTTGATTCTTTTGATTATAATAATATTCTAAGCGATATTTATTTATTTTATTATAATTTTCATTATTATTATAAATAAATTTAATCAAATCTTCATATAATATTTGATCATCTTGATTATTTAAATTTTCATTTTTATCAAATTCATTTTTTTCTAAATAAATTGAAAAATTTTCTAAATCTTCTAATGATAATAAATGATTATTCGAAGATATTGGTTCACTATATTCATCAGATAAATAACCTCGATCAGATGTTTCATTCCCTTTTTTCAATAAATTTTCATTATCTTGTTCCTTTAAAAATAAATTATTAATAAAACCATTTATTTCTTCATTTTGTTCTCGAGAATTTAATTCGGTTTGTTTTCTTTGCGGTCGATTTTGTTTACGTTTCGATTTCAATTGTTGAAATGGTTTATCCAAACAATTTTCTGATTCTTGCGTTAAATTAATATCCGGTAATGATGGTGGTGGAGTTTCAAGAAAACATGAAGATTTTTGTTGTTCATTTTTCATTTGTTGTTCAATGAATGATCGATTTGTTTCATGTGGATTTATAATACAAGGATTATCTGTACTTGTTCGAGATGATGAACGACTATCATTTGAAACATTTATTTGATTAATAATATCAACATTTATTAGAGATTCTCTATATTCATCACCATTTGAATGATGTTCTTCACCTTTAATTTCATTTTCAACATCCATTGAACAATTACCTAAAACGTTTTTATTCAAATAAGATTATAAAATAATTTTTCTATAAACGATAAATGAAAATTTGCTGAGAGAAACCGTATAATCGTAATTTCTATGCCATCAAGCAAGAGGTTAAGGAAATAATTAAAGTTTTTTTTTTCTTTAGAGATATTTTTCTCAATCGTCTTCGACCTAAGATTTTCTGACGAAATCCATAAATCTAATCATACATTTTAATGATGTTCTATTATTAGATTGTTGATCATTTGTTGTTTCTTCAACAAAACGAATAACTAAAAGAAAATATATTCTTCGTATTACAAATAGAAGTAAATTTTATTCAATTTACTAGGTCGAAAAATAAGAACTTCAGATAGTGGAGCTTCCGTTGAAGTTTTAATATCTAAATAAATTTATTGTAGAGGAAAAAAATTAAGGTATATATATACTGTTAGATGTTTCTTCAGTTGAATTTGATAGTGTTCGTCTTCGACAATGATTATCAATTAGAATATTTTCTTCAGGAGATATTAATGGTAAATTATTAGTTTTGGATGATCGACGTGCTTAAGTTAATTAATAGATTTTTCTGAAATAAATATAGAAAATGATAAAATACTTTGAATAGTTGAATTTGTATTTGGTTTCCAAACAAATGGTGATTTTTTTTCTTCGCTATTTATACTGGTTGTTCGAGATAGACTTTTTTGCTTCGAATCTATGAAAAGACAAACAAATGAAATAGATTTAAATAAAAATATCGATTAAATAAAAAAAACCCTTAGTAAAATCATTTTGTGAACATATTGACGAAGACTCAGAAAAAGATGATAAAACCTTTTCATCTAGAAAATATTTTATTAAAAAAATCATTTTGGAAAATTTCCTGTAAGATTACCAGATACTATTTTGTTTCTGGACTTCGTTTCATTACGAAGAAATTGACCGGGACGATATTCAAATGGTACACTACGTTTCTAAATGAAATAAATAAATCTTCTAGATTTCAAAACTGTTGAGAATGAAAAACGTTTTATTACATGATCAACAATTGTATTTGGTCTTATTAGATCCAAATCAATCCAATATTGTTGTTGTTCAACTTGAACAAGATATTTTCTTAGTTGACATTCAAGAATTATTCCTGAATGCCTATAAGTGAAAGCAAAAACAAAATTTCGTTTTTCCATTTTAAAAAAAGTGAATATACAAACGAACCATTTTCCATCGTCAAGTTGTACTTCAACATTCGAACCATTTTTTAGACATAAAATCTTGTTTGATATTGTTGTTGATTCGTATCGTTTGCGTTTCATTTTTATTCGAAATTAATTCTTTTAACAAATTATTTTTCAGCATAGCCCAAACAAAATAACATTTGATAAACAAAATCTATCAACATAAAATAAATAAAATTCAATCAAGTTTATGATATTGAAACGAGAACGTCTGTATTAAAGCGTTTCTTTTTTGCTGTTTTGTTTTTAAAAATGTTAAATATATATCCAAACAAATAATTTTGACACGTATCCATTTACTACATCATGCGATCACTACTATTACATCTCGATATGAATAAAAGAAAGAAAAAGAAAAAGAAAACAATAAATATACAATAAACACAAAACTGTTGATGATGTGAAAACATTTCGCTCGTTCTGTAGCCAATTAGCAGTGAAGAATAGGTTGAACAACAAGTTTTTTGAAAAATTTGTTAAAATTTTATTAAAGATGTTTGCATTAAGATAAATAGGTTTTCTTTTCTTTTTAAATATTTATTGATATGTATAAACAAAGTAGTTGTTCTTGTTATCCATTGGCTGATGCTAACCCAGCATGAGTCATGACTACTTTGACCTTAATATCTTATTGAAATGATTATGAATCATGATCATCACCTACTTTCTCTTGTGCCAATATGAACAAAAGCAATCTTGTGAAATCTAAGGACAAATTTCTCACCAGTGTAATTTTCGATGAAAATCAAAATCAAAATAATAATTAGTCAGTAGAATTTTAGGTGCAATGCGTGTCGTGCTCAAGTACGACTTTTTACATCCGGCCTCGATCCAGTGTTAATCAACATTCAGAAAAAATTTCCGTAGTCATAGCTCAATTTTTAAACTTCAACTTGACATATAAAATCATACTGTTTAGATTCTTCCGTAAATAGCAAGAAAATAAATAAATCATCTTCAATTTCACAAAAGGTAAAGTGATTCAAGATTCCTTCGATGTCTTTCTGCTTACAGAATTCGATGAATGTCGGTAATTATATTTGCTGGTTCCCAATGAACTTCGAATGTGTTGTAGTGGTGTTGTCAAACACTGAACTCATAGATATACATAGGAATGCGTCTTATAATATTAAAGTACATCTTTTCCTTTTCGGTAGTTCATTTTCTTCGCCATATATTCAGTTAATTCGTCTCATGTTGCCTCAGCATCTGTAGATCACTTTCCATGTAAAACTATTTATCTTAGTAAAACAATATTGCATTCAAATACGATTGGTTACTCAGTGATGATCGAGCCGCTTTTAATCATATGCTTTTAAATAAATAGGAGTTTGAAAAGTAAAAATATTGGGATCCTCAAGATTTGATTAGCTGCCGGATATGATGTCAAATTTGCAATTGACTGGGATTTGTTTCGTTAATGTTGTCTAGCTATTATTCTTTATTGAAATAAACTTGATCAATGTGAAAGGAAAGCAAGTGTTTTCTCGAAAGAAAAATATGATATCAAATATCCGAAATTCAAAATGAACTAAATATCAAATGATCTTTATTTTGATATTTTTCTCATTTATCGACGGTCAATGCTATCTCATCGACCAGCAATATATATTCCAAATGAAACAAAGTCTGCACTAATTTGTATCTTTGTTGATAATTATATGAATTTAATGAAATAAAAACGAACAAGATATCATCATAATTAAAGTGCATAGAATCTTCGCCAATGTTTTATTGGAATTTTCCATGATAAATAAGTAACTTACTGACCTGAATAGCAATAAATCGAGCAGAAAACGGTAAAATTATTTTCTTTAGAGTATAGCAAAAATTTACGTGCATATGCAGAATCAGGAGAAAATTATTTCACAAATGCGAAACATATATACTGAGATTATATCATGTTTTTTTCTCTTTAGGATAAGTATTAATAATTAAATTGAGTTTTTCAGCACTTTTTCTAGAGATTTCTATCATTGTTTGTATTTCTTGCTATAAAATTCAGTGTGAAAACTTCATATAGCTAAAATCATCTAGTATCATGTAGGTTGATATTCATGTGCTGTTCACAAGAATTTTATACTTTTTTGAATTATTTATATGAGCAATCTGTTCTTGAAAAATAACGTTGATAGATTTTCATGTATTTTAGTTTGATCATTTTTAAAATGAAAATAAGATTGTGCATCTTTCTTTGTTTTAAGTCTCAGATATAAGTATGCATAGATGTGGTAAGTCGGTGAATATTCATACAGAAGAACATATCAAAGACAAACTAAGAGTAATATTTTAATGAATAACTCGTTTTTACTTTTGTATTCATAAAGTAATGTTCTATACAATGACCTTCAAGTTTAGATGTTTATCTGCTAGTAGTTGCTATTTCAGCTATCTTCTTATGATCCTTTTGTTCGTAATATGAATAGTTCTCGTAGTAATTAATGATGTCCATACCATGATACATGTGATAGAGAGAAAGTAGCACCTCTGCATGGCTGAAATCAATTTTCAAAAATTTTCTCCCGATTCTGTTAGTTCTTGTTGTCTCAATACTTTATATTTTACAGAATGAAATAAATATGAAATATGAATTTATCTTGTTGTTGACAGTTCTATAGAAATGAGTAAGATTGGAAAAGAAAGAGTAGAAGAAAATGACTTTCATCATTTTTTTTCTTGCTGTATGCTGAACTCAACTCTAAAGCAGTTATATAGCTGCTTCTTTTTTTCCTTCGTTCTTTATTTTAACGTAAAGACTCGAACGGAATTGAACAAAACGCACACACCACCATTGCTTTTCCTTGTATTAATATTCATCAATGCACATAAAACAAAAAAAGAAATGAATTTTCAGAATACCTTTGAACTGTTTATCAAACTGTAAGGATCATTTGTCAACTATTTTTTCTTTTCAGTGATCTCGAGATCTGTTTTTTTATTAAATTTCCCTATTGAAATTTATAGATTAAACAAAAAAGGTATTAATGACTCTATTCTTCGTTGGCTATTTGATAGCTGTAACAAGTACAATTGCATTTATTGTTGTTATTTTAACACCAAAATGGATTTATCCAAATAACTTACCAGTTGACGCAAATAATCTTGCATCACCAAATGAAAGAAATTATCGAGGAATTTTTTATGTTGATGAAGGTTATCCTAATGGAACGTGTCGTGATTGAATTTTACTTTATACAGATTCAGTAGATTCTTGTCGACCGCGTATGCTATTAAAGAGCTTTACTTTTTTTAAAATAAAATATTTATTTTAATTATTTTAGCATATACTGTAGCATGTGCGTCTCTTGCAATAATTGCTTTATCATTATCAATAATTCTTCTTTGGCTTGCTGGTGGTTATTTATATATTCGTCGCCGACGCCTTATGCCAATGTTTGTTACAATGTTGGCCTTTTTCACATTGTTGATTTATGAGCACTATTTATTTACCTATAAATATCTTTGCTTTCTTTTTTTTCATTGAAACTTTCAGTTTGGATAAGCGCAGTTATATGGATTGTAATGATTACAATGAATCGCGATATTAATTTAAAAAATCGTTGTGAAAATATTGGTTTTTCAACATGGATTACAGTTGGTGGAAGTGGTGGTTATTTACTAACTTTTATATCATTTACTCTTTATTGAATTAGTCTTAGTCGTCGAAAACATCTAAAAGAAACGGCAATAAATTCACGTCGGTTCTGAATTTGTACAAATCAATCTTTTCTTTTTTTACTGCAATATTGATGTCAATCATTTTTCTCTACCCTTTTTCAATGTTGTGTTATTCGTTTTATTTGTTCATAACTATTTAAAACAAAAATAAAGAAAAGTTTTCTTTCTACAGAATGTTTTCATATTTCACAATTGCGATGCGATGATCAGTTTCTTCTGAAAAGTTTTAGACCTCAATATTGAACAAAGGCGAGGGAATAATATGACAATGTATCAGTATATTAGAGTGAGTCAATTATTTTTGTTTTTCTTGATAAGAGGAAGATAAGGTATGCAAGATAATTCCAGAGAACTAACTGATACTTAAAATCAAGATCAATTCTGGTGTAATTACATGTAAAGTATCATTTCAATACTATCAAGAATATTGCCACATTATGTGATACAAATCATATGCTTTAGATTTGAATTTACCAAATTTTCTATACGATTTGAGAAATGATACCCTAATGTATGTATCTCTGTGTTGTAATAAGTTTATTGTAGTACAGAAGTTTCTATGTTGTTTCAGTACAAGTTATTTTTAATTTAATTTAATTATTCAATTAAAGTGTTCCAATGTCGTTATGGATTCAAGTGATTAATATTCAAAACTATCAAAAGGACCGATTAAAATTAATTAAAAAGATGCAACAGTACTAAAATCCTCTGAAGAGAAATCTTGATTTGAATTTAACCAGTTTTTAATCTTTGGCATTCGAGTAAAATTCTTTCATAGAAGATGTGGATAGAAACACAGCACCAGTCATTTATTACGAATGTATAGATTGCTTTCGCAAATTAGAGTACAAACAGGAAAAGAAAATATTTTTTACTAATCGTTAAATTCAGGATCAGAAGAAAACCTAGCTTCACAAATTGTAAAATAAAAATTTCTTTTCACTAGAAACAATAATAAAGCAAGCAGTCCGCTATAAAACAATTATTTTCGACTTTTATATGATCTACCGCGGTAGTATATGAAGCATTGATCGTAAAATGAGGTCAACGAAGAATTCAATAACTGATAGGCATAATTGTCACGCTAGATAAATAAAATAGGGTCTTATATCTGTTTCTAAATTGGAGATTCTATGGTTGATAGTGTTTTCAAGATCTTTATTGATTTCTCTGGCATTAGTTTGTACACAGAAAGATCTGTTTAATTGAAATAAAGTTTTAATTCTGTTAACATGAAAAAGAGAAGAAGATAAATAGATATGCTTTTTCAGAGTTGCTTTGTGACACATTTATTTGAATATTGGTAAGTTGATGTTAATAGCTGGCGTCAGTCTTATACATATTTTACATGAATAATAAATATTTCTTACTGCTTAAACACGATTGCATCAAAATAGATTTTATTCATTTGGATGATTTTGTCCCTTATATTGCTAATCTGAGTGGTAGTAGAATTTGAACAGAAGAGAAAAAAATGTTATTCTAGTAGGTAACTTTCTTGGAAGTGAATAAGGATAAAAGAAGAAACGCACGCACTTTCGATTAACTCGTTTCTTGCTACTACCCATACATCATCGTTTTCGCCGTCAGAGACTCGCACGACGAGAAAATGTCGTAGGAAAAGTAAAAATGCACAGAGAGAGAATGATACTGTTTGATGCCATAAGATAAAGATGCAACAAAAAAACAAGACGGGAGAAAAATATGAAAATAAAATAAAACTGAAGAACTCCACCTTTTCTAATTGCGAAAAAAAGTGAGTATGTCTTTAACTGTCTATGAACAGCATGTTTTTTCATCGACGAATTAGATTTTGCTATAGCTGTGCTTGCAATAGATTGGTATGCATCTACTTATTTTTGTACTCGTGTTACCATTATCGAGCAACCAATTGATTTCAAGAAGTAAACAATAAAAAAACTCCTTTAAAAAAGGATTATTTATTAGTTTTATGAAAGAATATTTCCTCCTGTGTTATAATTTGTGTTGGAATAAGTCTAATTGGTTTTTTATTTAACTCATAGTATACATAACACTTAATGGTTACTCGTATTACAACTAATTTCGGTATTCATTGGTTTCTTCATAATGAAATCTATAACTGTATTCTTTTGCATTTTAGTTTTATTGTCCGTATAGTGTTTGGTCTATTATGCTAACGATAAAATTTATATTAAAGTGAGTTCATTAATAAATATCGATACATGTGATTTTTAGTCCTGTGCATTAGTAATTTGAAACTTTGTAATTTATTTGATTGTAAAAAAATTTAAAATAAACAAAAAAAGGTGAACATTTAGAAATGATTTTCTGGAGAATATGATTCGTCTCGTCTTCTTCTTCGACAACTAAGCCCTCTACACAATGATAAAACCATTGATATAAATCCCATTAGAAAACCACCTGAGGCACCAATCGCTAACCACATTGGCCATCTGAATATTGACGTTTCAGCTGTTTGACCAAGTGACAGAATTTCAGCTATGAGTAAAATCCAAACGGCTACTGATGTGCAAACTAAAATGAACACGAACATTTTATTGAAAAGATTCAATCCATTTACTTGACTTACAAGTAACAAATAATAAAATGCAAATAGATGATAAAAAACATTGTGTAATTGAATCTCTTTTACGACGATTGAAATTAATTCCAGATAGCCATACAACAATAAGACTAAGTCCAGCACAACTAATAGCAAGTGCTGCCGATGCAATACCAAGTTCTATAATAAATTATCGATGACATGAAATAGAACAATATTGAATTATGACTTACTATATATCCATGTCCCTTTTTGAATATTTATTGGGTCTACATCAATTATTGATGTGCACTGTGTTAATTCATAAACACTCGTCGTTGAAAGTAATTCGCATACATAAAAAATACCTCGTTGAACATTAGTATTGTCTGATGACGTGGCTAATTGAAATGCTATCCAATTTGGAGATAGAATAGCAACAAGAAATGCAAAACTGGCTGCTACATGCCACCCAAAACCGATAAGAAAAAGCATGATTTAATGAAGTTTATCTGCAAAAAAAATGCGACAACTTCTTGCCTTTTACTGCTATGAAATAATGCAAAAAAATTCTTTTTATGTTTCTTATATGAAAGAAAGAAAAATGGCAGGCAAAAAGGCTCAACACTTCTCGTCTTTTTCTCGTCGTTCTTCATATTCGACTACTTTGTATAAATATGCCTATGCAAAAGCGAGAAAAAGGTTTTGTAATCACATTTTGTGATCAGAAATATTATAGAAGTGGTATGGAACTCTAGTTTGATGATCAACCTTCACTGGTGTTTATTGAACTACTCTGCATCGTGTTCAATGAATCAACTCTTTTTTTTCTTGTTACATATATGTAGACACACTACTTCAAGCTCCTAAAAGAAAGAAAAAGGTAGTCATAAGATTTCAACAATTATTTTGGAGAATAAAAAAAAGGAATGAATGATTGGATAAAGAACAAGAGAAAAAAGAAAATGAACGAATATGAAAAATATGCAAAACTGTGAAAATGAAAAAGCAACGAAAAAAAAACGATAGAAATGTTAAAATTTTTGTTTACAATGTTCATATAGAATTGAATGGATAAGTATGTTTTGAGATTGATAAATAATTTTTCAATATATGTTCTAATTACGTAATTCAAAACGACTCAATGGACAATCGAACGAAAGGAAACAGTCTTTTACGCCAGTGGAACTGTTCGATCATACTTTTCTTTTTGCTGCAAATAAAATATTCAAGTATTTTGTTTTGTAGCAACAGTGAAAATTTCTTCATGATTTATTTACAATATTTTATTTTGCCACGGACAAAAAAGTAATAAGATTTAGATTTTAACCTAAAGAAAAACGTGAATCGGTTGTCAATAATACACTTTAACATTAAAGAACATTTCAACAGAGGAAAAAAATAAAAAAGCTGTACTCCGTTAAGATTGAATGTAATTAGTATCATGAAATTTGATTAAATTCTCATCTAAAGATTCTCAGAAATCCTATCAATACCTCTAACAAGAGCCTTTTTTCATCATATTGACTTCTTTTCACCTCGCCTAAATTTCGTTTTCAGTCGAGATCAGAAAAAGATTTCTAAATGTGTGCGTAGTGTAATGATCTCCATAGTTCACTAGATACGATGCCACTTGAACACCAGAAACTACTTGATGTGAAGTAATCGTATCGTAGCACCGCGTAACACGAATTTGCGCGGTTTTTCAACAGCATTTTCAGTCCCATATGTTGCTGCTCAATGGATTTGATTTCTTGCTGCGCAAGGGCAAACATATCATAGAAAGCAAGACTTGATTTTGTGACGTAAACAGTTATATAGTACACTAGAGCTTTAGCATCGCTACCAGTCCAGATGAATTTAATGTCCATATTGCATCGGCAAGCATTTATAAGCCATTCATTGAAGTTATTGATCCATGGATATGATCGACGCATAGTTATCTGACCTGTTGACACATCGATGTGAGAATTTTCGACGAGAGCACGTGGCACACGCATTCGACAAGTTTTCAAACCATCTGGGTTAGCTTTTGAGTATTTATAGCAATTTGCCGAATGCCGATGAATATTAGATGTTTCGACGATGCGCACGACATCGTTGCGAAAGATTCGTTGAAAATCGTCATGTGTGGAATTAGGTGTTGGTAGGCAGGTTGGAATAACTTCTTTTTCGACCCGCTCAGTTTCCTCTAAAGTGAAGGCAAAATACAAATTAAAAGTATACCAAAAACAAGTAGCTTACGAATGGGTAGTTCAGCGCCAGTGGCTGCATTTTTCCTATCGTAATCTACGTCTTTTAAAAAAAATATGAAAAAATAAATAAAATCAAGTTATTAAGGTTAGTAAGAATCCATAATTTAAATTAAACACGTCATGCAATTGCCAGAGAGTTTCTTGCAAGCTCATCTGTAGATTGTTGACTAGAAAAAGCACTTCTTGGATATGAAATATCCTGCATGATAGATGTATGAATACCCACGTCGAACAGTACGGTCCGTATACGGCCATTGACGCTTACTTTACGACTATTTTACGGGCGAAATTTTGCCGTAATATCTGGCGCAGTAATACGGACCGTATTATCATGAGAGTACGGAGCACAAACAGCCGTAAGCCATGAAAATTCATTCCCGTTTACGGTGCCGTATTACTGCGCCAGGTATTACGGGCAAATACGACCTATTTACTGCCGTAAAGATACCGTTTTGACATCGTTTACCGTCGACAAACAGGCCGTAAACGAATCCATGTTGATCAACCTGGGTACTTCAAATTGTAGATTAGAATGAAACTGTAGCTATTACTTCGAAATTGATCTAGATCTTCTTTTACAATATCTTCTAAATACTTCAGTAGTTTTTGACGGAAATCTTCGTTTTGCATTTGTTGCTTCAGCTGTGTTGGTGTGAAGTCATGATTGAGCCAAATAAGAAGGTGCAAGTGAAGTGAACCTCTGCCTTGGCTCTTTACAGTACCAAAGTACTCCTCTGATATGCTTCATAAGTGTATTTATTCTTTGATCGGCAATGTTTGAATACGTTCCTTTTGAAATATTTACAAGGGCTGTTGCTATATCAGCAGAACTCAATGATTCTAGAAGTTGTGCAGATTGCTGAAAGTATCGTATTAATGTCATTAAATGTGCGTGAAAGCATGCAGTACGGTGTTGTAGAATATTGAAAACAACAAATATGAATGAGTAGTGTTCTTCAAAACGACAATCTCCAAACGAAAGAAGATATCTGAGACGCTCACGAAAATCTATTTTAACAGGTCGAGAACCATCTTCAATTGAACCACAACCATATGGGAAAGCGTAGGAAGGATGCCTAATAGTAGATTTGGATTAGAATATTCATTCACCGGTCTGTTGCCACGAGGAATCATGTATACAGTATCTTTTTGGATACTTCTTTCAGAAGCCAGTCCACGTGTTTGCTCTGCGGTTTGGAACTTCATTCGGTCGAATAGATGTTCAGCAACATCATCGGACGAAATATTGGTACCATTAACATCTAAAAAAGCACTGTAATACAAACCATAGTACTTAAATATATCAATATGATTTTTTTAAAATTTTACTTCGGAATTAAAGGTACAATTGCTGTATTATTTGATTCAGATACATTGATAAAAAATCGGGAATATAACTTGCTCTTTCATTTGCAGCAGTTTCAACGTTGTCGAAGACTTGCATTGTTACCCACAAACATTATGGTACATCATCGTCAGGTAATTTATCGATTATTGATGGATTAATTACTACATTTCGATAGAGTGGGTTGTTTTGTCTGAGCCATTATAATGGGTTCAGTACTTTCTTTTTTCGAACTGTCAAAATAGTTTTTAGTTGGCTTCTTTCCGAAGTATGACAGCCGACAAAAATGATTTTTAGTGAATCGCATAGATCCTCTAACTCTAATGGTAAGGTAGCAGCAATGTTCACCACATCCTGTGGAAAGCTTATACAGTTACCTTTAATAGCCGATTGAGCTGTGGCTGCTGAATGAAAAGATGAATGCAATTTTACGATGCAACTATTGTGTCTGTATACAGCAATGAGTCTTTGCTCAGGAATGGTTAGGCCCTGCAGTTCTTTTGGCACATCTCCCATCCATATTTTGTTGGCCACCGAAAACTTTGGTATTTTTTCCTTTGGCAATGCAGACCAGCACTCCATGCAAATGTTACAATGTATAAAATAACGTTTCTTCTTATCAAGACTACGATGTAGTTCTCGTTCATAAAAACTACATCCTTTATACTAGTGAATGATAAGTTATTCATTGACGATTGTACTTCGCCATCTGTAACGAAAGCATTTCGGTTTATCTGTTAGCTATAAAAAAAAAGAAAATAATAACCTGCTTCACTTTCAACCATTGCCAAATCAACATCATTATTTATATTGTACTTTTCATTGGAATGCAAGTTCTGTGTTCGTTGTATACAAGGAACCACGCTGCAAAGATCCTCAGGTGTCTTAGGTAATTCAATCGATGGCATTTTATTCAATGGCACACGTCTCAGATCTCGCTGATAACAACGAATATTACATATTCCACATACACCTTCTGCTAGAGAACTCATAGACATTTGTTGAATGAGTTTCTTCAGACAGCTAGTTTTGCACTCCGTATCAGCAGGCTTTGACCATTCAACTTCGATAATTTTATATACTCCTGTTTTAGTCACTATCTGTTTACTTTTCGAAGTTTTTTTAAAGAAGACTTCCTCTGGTGTGTAGGCAGCTCGCCTTGTAGCAATTCTCTTACGTGTTAGTACTCGTTGTTATTTCCCTATTTTCGGTGATGCAGTAGCTCGTGTAGCCATAGTCCTCATAGAAGCTAGTATACGTTGTTGCGCAGCTTCTTCTGGTGTAAGAGAAGTTCTGATAGTAGAATTTCTCTCCCGACTAAGTGCTCGCTGTTGTTCAATTTCTTGTCATGTGAATGAAGCTCTTCTAGTTGCACTTCGTTGCCTTACAAGTACCCGTTGTCGTTCGACTTCTTCTGGTATAGCATGTGCTCGATTAATGGACATTCTTTCCCGGGCGAAAGTTCGTTGATTTTTAACATTGGTTGTGTCTGCGTTGGAATTGTTTTCTATTGAATATTGCCTACGTTTGGTCCGAGGGGTTGTTGATATTTCTTCCGCTAGTTGGGAAATCATTGGAGATGTTAGAAATAGTTGCTGTTCCTCGTCCTCCATGTTGAAATTTGGAATACGAACTTGAGTCGCAATGCTATTCTTCGTTGTTGATTTTTGTTGGTGTCTACAAGCAAAAGTGGCTTTTCTGTAAAAATATCTCTGTAAACGCTATAACTCACAGTATCAGAAGAAAGAACCTGGGGATGCGACAGATTGGTTTGAAATTCGGGATTGTTT